CAGAGTCGGTTCCCAAACGCGCTGGTTGTTTGCTCGGGTGGCTATCAAAACTGGTCTCCACTTCTTCTCACGTTCCGCGGACATGATAGTGGGGTGACAACTGTTGCATTTTCTCCAGATGGTCATCGCGTCGTATCGGGCTCCGAAGACGGTACGATGCGGTTCTGGGATGCAGAAACAGGCGAGCAGATAGGAGAGCCACTTGAAGGACATACAGATCCGGTCTGGTCGGTCGCATTCTCGCCGGATGGTCGCCGTATTGCTTCTGGCTCAGATGATTCGACAGTACGACTCTGGGATGTAGAGGCAGGCAAGCAGCTTTGGGAGTCGCTTGGAGGACATACAGACTCGGTCATGTCTGTGGCATTCTCACCGGATGGTCGTCAAATCGTATCTGGCTCAGACGATGAGACGATACGGTTATGGGACGTAGAGACAGGCGAGCAAGTCGGGCAGCCGTTCCAAGGACATACGGAGTCTGTCTCGTCGGTCGCATTCTCGCCAGATGGTCGTCGCGTTGTATCTGGTTCAGAAGATGAGACAGTGCGACTATGGGAAGTAGGGACAGGCGACCAGATAGGAGAGCCGCTCGAAGGACACGCAGACTTGGTCTCCTCGGTTGCGTTTTCACCGGATGGTCTTTGCATCGTATCTGGGTCGGAAGACGAGACGTTATTATTGTGGAACGCAGAGACAGGGGAGCAGATTGGACAGCCACTTGAGGGACATACTGGCTCTATTACGTCAGTAGCATTCTCTCCTGATAGTCTTTACATCGCATCTGGCTCGGAAGACGAGACAGTACGATTCTGGGACGCAAAGACAGGCAAGCAAGTCGGACAGGGACTGATAGGACACACACACTCGGTCTCATCAGTCGCATTCTCGCCGGATGGTCATCGCGTTGTATCTGGGTCAGATGACATGAAAGTACGACTCTGGGATGTCGAGGCAGGCAGGCAGATTAGAAAGTCGCCTGAAGGACATACAGATTCGGTCTGCTGGGTCGCATTTTCGCCGGACGGTCGTCGTATTGTATCTGGCTCCATTGATAAGACCATACGATTGTGGAATCCAGAAACAGGCGAACAAATTGGAGAGCCACTGGAAGGGCATACAAGTGATATCAACTCGGTCATATTCTCACCGGATGGTCGCCTTATTGTATCTGGATCAAACGACGAGACAGTACGACTATGGGATGTTAAGACAGGCGAGCAAATAGGGGAGCCATTTGAAGGACATACAGACGCCGTCTTGTCGGTTGCATTCTCACCAGATGGTCTTCGCATTGTATCTGGCTCGGATGACGAGACGATACGTCTATGGGACACTGAGACAAGGGAGCAAATAGGAGAGGCATTGGAAGGACATACAGGGCCAGTCCATTGGGTCGCATTCTCGCCAGATGGTGGCCATTTTGTATCGGGTTCGAAAGACAAGACTATACGGCTGTGGGATGCAAATACGGGCAAACAGATGGGAGAGCCACTTGAAGGACATACAAGCCCGGTCTTGTCTGTTGCATTCTCGCCAGATGGTCTTCAGATTGTATCCGGTTCGGAAGACAACACGGTGCGAATATGGGATGCAAAGACCCGCAGGCAAATAGGAGAGCCGCTTGAAGGACATACGAGTGCGGTCACATCGGTTGCATTCTCACCTGGTGGTAGTCGCATTCTATCCACATCCGAGGACCAAACAGTGCGACTGTGGGATGCAGAGACGTACGAACAGGTTGGACAGCCACTTGTAGGGCATACCAACTTTGTCCTATCGGCCAATTTCTCGCCAGATAGTCGATTTATTGTGTCTGGTTCGGGTGATGGAACTGTGCGGTTGTGGGAATTGGCGATCGAAAACCTCGTAAGCGTCTGCAACCCCGCGTTTCATACCTATACTTAACCACCCAAAGGATTTGCTTCCTAATCTTCATTCTGTGATAAGAGCTAGCCCTCTTTTCCGCTCGACGCCCTTGTCGTCTGAGTTGTCCCAGCTGTCCCAGTCATCCTCGTCATCCTCGTCATCTCGGCTATCCTCATCCTCGTCATCTCGGTTATCCTCATCCTCGTCACCTGTATCTAATCCTAGCTCAACTCTTTCAACAACCTCGGTTGAGGAAGGGTGGTTGCTGACACCAGATGGCAAGCCGCTCTTCTGGGTTCCGCCTCAGTTTCGCACTGGCCTTATTCGACACGGCGTTCGTATCATCGGCCAATGCCAAAGATTGGAGGTTGACCTGTCCCGATCTGTCTATGGAGAACAGTGGACAGGAGTGGCAGAAGCCAGCAATGAGTCGTGACTTGTGATAATGGTGCGTCATTCAAGAATATCAACAAGCGAAATTTGACGATAGAGCAGGATCATAACCTATCTGACAATGGATACCTGAGGCCTGTGCTTCGGGCATCGGAATACGTTATGGATGCGCTTTTGTTTGTCCCCTTTGATCGTAAATTAATATCAGGTGGAGGATTGTACCGCCAATTTCGGCCCTGTTTACCTGCTCCTCGTCTCTAGACAACGTCTGCTTGCACTGCTGGTGAGCGCTTGCAGGCCGCCTTGCCAATCCTGCCATCGAATACTTCTGCAAAATCGATTCTTTCGACCATGACGGCGAAACTTATCCATGCCTGTGGCCAAGCCGGCGCGCTCTCAATTCCCAGTCTGACTTGTGTTGCTCACCTATGGCCACCGGTATGACTCTCGACAGATGAAAGGAACAGGACATCCACAAGTTTATTCTGTCCGACCTATGGAACATCAACCGCTTCATCAAGCGAGGCGCCAACGATGGAAGTAGCGAGAGAATCCCCCCACTCAAAAAGCCGAACGGCACACTAACGCAAAGTAACGAGGAGAAAGCAGAGCTACTATGCGACGCATTCTTTCCACCTCCACCTGCACTCGCACTCCCCAGACCAAGGCCAGCACCTCAAACTGCACTTCCTCAGTGGACACCATACTCGATAAAGAGGGTGAGCAAGGCAGTTGGACGCCTCAAGCGCGACAAGGCACCAGGCCCGGACGGTATCCCAAATGCAGCAATTCAGGAAGCACTCCCAGCTATCAGTCCCATCCTCAAGAATGTATTCAACGCGGCCATTCGACTCCGGCACATTCCAAAGCAGTGGAAGGAATCAACTACAGTGGTCCTACAAAAGCCAGGGAAGCCAGCGTACAATATAGCCAAAGCGTACCGACCGATCGCGCTCCTCAACACCCTCGGAAAGCTTCTCTCGGCACTCATGGCGGAGGACCTCACCTACATGTCCGAGCACTATGCACTGCTCCCACACTCTCAGTTTGGTGGTCGACCAGGAAGGACAACAACAGACGCCCTTCACCTTCTCACAAGCACAATCAAGAAGGTATGGAGGGAGTCAAAGGTGGCCAGCGCACTGTTTCTCGACATCCAAGCAGCATTCCCCAATGTCGTCAAGCCAGTCCTCATGCAGAACATGAGAGCAAAAGGGATCCCAGAGGAGTATGTGCAGACTCTCGAGAACATGCTGACAGGCAGATCCACGCGCCTCAAATTCGACGAGGTGCACTCCGCACCCCGCGCTATCACCAATGGGAACAGCCAAGGATGCCCACTCTCGATGATCCTCTACCTATTCTACATTGCCCCACTACTGGAGATCGCAAACGGCAAGGACCAGCTCACCCTCGGGTTTGTGGACGACTCTACCCTGATCGCCATTGGCCAGAACTTCCACAACACGCACCTCGGACTGAAGGACATGATGGAACGTGAAGGAGGCATACTAGACTGGTCACGTTCGCACCACTCACCACTCGAGAACAACAAACTTGGGCTTGTCGACTTCACCATGTCATCCGAAAAGCGCAAAGGCTCACATCCCCTGGTCCTCGAGGCAAAGGACAGCAATGGCAGAACATCAACAGTAACGATTCAACCTACCGACAGTTGCAAGTTACTTGGAGTGGTGATCGACCAGTCACTGTGGTGGAACAAGCACCAGGAGCTCGTGCACACAAGGGCAGTAAAGTGGACCTCACTATTCTCGCGTATACACAGGGCATTCCATGGCCTCCCAATCTGCTCAGGCCGCCAACTCTTCAACTCTGTTGCCATTCCTTGCATCACATACGCCACAGACATCTGGTACACCCCACTGTACACCAAGCCAGACTCCGCATGCCGGATGGGATCCATAGCCATCACCAAGAAGCTGCAAGCCGTCCAACGTAGAGCCGCCATCAGTATCACAGGCGCTATCCGCACAACAGCAGGAGATACCCTTGATGCGCACCTCAATATGCTACCAATCGAAGAAACTCTACGCCTCACATGCCAGAAGGCGGCGGCCCGGCTGGCAAGCCTGCCCGCTACCCATCCTCTCTCCAAATTCGTGAAACGAGCATCAAGAGGACTCCTCCAGAGGCACAACGCCCCCCTACATCGCATCTTCCACTCCATCGACTCCAAAGTAGACGACCTCGAAACCATCACCCCAGCATCACGCAACCCCAACGCCACTAACCCATTCACTATCTCAATAGAGGAGTCGAGGATGTTAGCAAAAGAGGCGGACAACAACAGCAACGGCAACAACGAGCGGGTAGTAGTTTATACGGATGGCTCAGGAATGGAAGGCATGATAGGAGCAGGTGCAGTACTCTACAGAGACGGAGTACGGATAAGGTCAGCAAGATTCCTGCTTGGAGAAGACACGGAGCACACGGTACACGAAGGAGAACTCGTTGGAATTGCACTCGGAGTCCAGCTAGCCAAGATGGAAAGGATCATCATACCACGTATCAAGATCAGCCTCGACAACCAGGCAGCAATACAAGGAATGGAGAACGTCAGTGCCAAAGCCGGCCAACACATCATCCACAAGATCCACAGAGCAATAGACGAACTGCGCAACGATCAAAAGCGTAGACAAGAACTCGTAGAGGCGAGCAATGACGAGACGAGGATCAATCGATTGACTCAGATCACTCTCACATGGGTCCCAGGTCATGAAGGGATTGAGGGTAACGAAGCAGCGGACGAGGAGGCCAAGAAGGCCATCACAGATGGATCATCCACAGCAGCAACACTCCCACCATGGACGAAGGACACCCTCCCGCAGAATATCTTGGCACTCAGACAGGAACTCAAACTTGCAGCAAGGAAGTCAGCACACGACAAGTGGAAATCTTCAGCACGGTACGACAGGACCAGGCCCATCGACGAGACAATGCCATCCAACAAATATCTCCAAATCACAGACGAGCTAATGAGAGCAGAAGCAGCGGCACTTATTCAGCTACGTACAGGACATATCGGACTGAACAAGCATCTGAACCGCATCAACAGAGCGGATGCACCATGGTGCCCACACTGTGGAGAGGGAAATGCAGAAAACATAACTCATCTCCTCCACATCTGCCCAGCGTACAATGCAGCGCGAGCCGAATGGGAAGGAGCATTGCGTGAGAAGACGAGAGAACCAGCGGAGATACTAGGGACAAAGGAGGGAATCAAGGAGACGTTGAAGTTTATCAGGAGGACGGGGAGGTTGAAGATAGGACGGGAGGATACAAACGGAAGGGAAAGAGAGTAACCAACTCACCAGAGCGACAACGCGTATCGAAGCCAAACCAACTTCACAGACAGTCAAGGCGATCGAAAGCAGGCAAAAGTAGCGTAGCAGAGCCACACCCAGAGGGAGATCTCGGCGAGGAGAGCGACAACTGCCTGCCTGCGAGGAGATGCACGCGCCAATGAAACCGAGGGTAACCCAGTAAGTGGGCTCCAGTTAGACAATGTGCTATATTGGCGGTGCCACTGCACAATAATACTTAACACAAAAAAAAAAAAAAAGTTTATTCTGTCACGCCGTGCTCGCAATAGTGATGCTTAGGCACACTCTGGAGCAGGCCAGCTATCCTTTTGAGCTGGCATTCGACCGCGCAGCACGCTGCCTTGTGGGTTATCGGAGGCAGGGGTTTGCTACGCATCCAAGTTGTAAATTAGATGTGGATTCTATCTCCATTAAGGTTGATTCAGCCACCGACATACCGAGATGAACAATTGGCCGCCTCATTACGGCGTTACAGAGTGGCATATCGAGTATTTTGGAGCCTGAATGGCGCCCTAATTGTCCGAAGTCAGAAGTCTCGGGGCCAAGATGGTACGACGAAGAGACAAGTTTCTGGTTTGAATCGGCGTGTACGAGTCACAGAAGCCATGGGTAGTTGCAACAAAGGAGCACGCTTAGAAGAGGGGACTGTGACTGAAGACGTTTGTGTGAGCAAGTTGGGATTACCAAAGGAGTGTGAATGGCAAACATGGCCGTAGCAGAGCTACGTGTATTGACATTTCCAAACAATACACAGTCATCGGTCCATTTCAGCGTTCCTGCCTCGAGAGTATTCATGTCGAGTACTCCCCGCACCTTCATGGACAACGCCAGCGCCTACAAGTGCAATAGTCCACGCCAGGTACCGTAGGGCGAGTCCAAAGTCCGGGGTGAGTTGCAAGTGGCTTCGGTCAGAACAAGCGTGGGCTGCATTCTAACAGAACAGAATATTAATGTAATTTCGAATATTTGTGTATTCCGCACGGTGGTAAACAGCTCCTGGTCTCTGCTGATATATGGTGGAACAGCAGCAAGTCGAACGCCTCGTCGAACGGCACATTCGCTATGCTAGTTCAAGTGTACAGTGGATATGCTGTGGAATGGGTTTAGTTCCCCTAACCAAACCAGAACTAGTTTGAGATGTCTTCGAATGCGATCAGCCCGCGTCCTCGAATGGATGCAAACAGAGATATTAAGGTCATAAGGGCAGGATGGGCGTCAAAATCCCCCGAGCTGAGCGTCCTGTGTCAGAGCCTGGCGTCGCAAATCATCTTATCCCCCACCACGTTCAGGTCCGGTCAATTCCCTACAATTCTATACACGCAAATAAAGCCATTGTAGCCAATTCGACAATTCTCGCTTCATACCAACTCTGTAACACGCCCGAAGCCCTCAGCATCGCGCTCAAGTACCTCTCCACAGCCAAAGCCGTCTAATGTGACTGCTGAGGAAGGGAACTCGGGGACCAGGGTGGCATTCTTTCCATCTTGAGTCTCGGATGTGTGACGTCGATTTCCGAGGTCAAGAATTCGGCCACGCTCAGCATCTTCCTCATCAACGTCCCTGCATTCGAGAAATACACACACCAGGGTAATTCTTCTCCTCTTGCACCAGTATTCTCAAACCTGACCAGCAAAGAGGTCCTCAAGGTCGATTTTGACCTATGATGGACGCTTCTGAATTACGCCATGGACACCACATCGTCCTTACGCATGTCTTGGATCTTCAGATTGTCGACTTGATGTGTCGTGACAACAGCGTAGAGGCGGTTTTGCGGAGATTGGCTGGATACTTGGCGCCTCGATCTGTTTGGAAACCGAGAGACTTACAAGCATGTCCTGAGGCTGAGTGGACTCGACAAGGCGCTCATAGATCAAGGCCAGCTTTGCCGCGCAAGCCCAGTAAGTCACACTCGTCAATCATCTCTGAACGAGGGCTAAAATATGATAGAATTCGATCATTCTAAGTGGATGCATCATCCTATTGATGAGGAGAACCTCGTATACGCCGCAGAGGACGTTTGTAAAATTCAAGTCCTTTATGAACTCCTCGTCCGCAACCCGCTCGTCAACGTCGAGTTGGAATCGAGCAGAGCGATGAATACATCCATTTTCATGCGGCTGCACGCCTAGATTGCACGAACAAGTATCTCAGTTATGGATTGCTGCCACTCGCAATCCTTGAGGGACCTACGATGCTGTGTGCCTCGGATAGCAAAGTATGCATGGGATGCAATAAGTCTCTACAGAAGGCATACTTTGAGACGAATCAGCAGGTTATTCGAGGGGGAACCCTGTGCTTCATCTGTTATGCCGTCGACCAGCATGCACTCGAAGCTCAGAGGAATCCTCCACCTTCTCGTTTGTACTAGCTATAATACATTGCATAGTTATTGAATGTTATGCCTTGACAAACTGCGACTATACTGGCCAATTTTGGCTTATCAGAGGACGTTTATCCAACCACATTCACCAGCTAGCTACATCGTTCATTCTCTACAACTATATATCTCCACCTTACCATTATGACATCTTGACCAAAGTGCTGCATCACTATTGGCCACAAGCGCCAAACTTGAGCTTTACGGACTTTGGTCTCCGACTTCATCCGGCCCGAAGAAACTTCATGATGTCTCTCTTTCAGAAGATATTCAAGAAGCCTAAGAACAGTAAAGAGGTGCAAAACGCAAATATCTCTACAGCACCGACGAGTCTTATAGAAGCCTCCACGAGCACCGCAGCATCGATTGCCATACCAACAAACAACGATGCTACTGCTCATGAAATAGGCCAGATGGAGAGGCCAAAAACTCCATCTACTGCCCAAATAAACGCACAATCCCAAACTCGGCAAGACGCTGACCGGTCGACCCTCGGATCCAAGACGGACAAATGGCTTGCTCGAGCGGCTTTAGTACTTGATTTGACCAAGAGTGCCGCTGATGCAGGCGGCCTCGCGCCATTAAAAGGAGCATGTGAAGGCATGGTCACTCTCCTAGGTTCCATTCAGGTAATTCTGCAAATCTATTGTGACTATGTGTGCTCATGAAGTTCAAGGCAGTCAAAGATAACCAGTCCGCCTGGTCCGAGCTCCTGCGGACGGTCCGAGAGCATAACACGGCACTTCAACGGCAGCTCGACCAGCTGGGCATCAAGGACATACTCGAAGAGTGTGAAAAGTCTATTAGCGGTCCGGTCATGGATTATACTACGTGGGTTTGTCAATTCCTTCTTCGATGGAAACTCATTCGCACAGCACCCTCAAGGAGTTGGTCATCGATATCTGCGTAGATTCGGGACTCAAGGAATACGATATCGACAAGGGTATCACCTTGAAGATACTGGCTCAACGTATAGGCACTACGAGGCTAGAGGCGGACACCATCGCTACGTATCAACGACAATTGACGGATGCCAAACGCGGGTTGATGGTTGGTAACTGCATTCTAATGAGTTCAAACTGTTCATTCTGCGTAGGAAGCTCTCATGCTCTATGTCACAGTGTCGGTGCAGAAGACTGCGGAGAAGGACATCTTGAAAGATCTGCGATCCAAGCCTCGCCAACGTCCACGAGAGTGCCAATCAGGAACACGCGTTGAGATACTGGCCAAATGTGAAGCCTGGTCCAAAGACCTTAATGCCCCAAATATCCTTTGGATAAAAGCCGCCCCCGGAGCTGGCAAGTCTGCCATTGCATCTACATTGGTGACTACGCTCGGCATCAAGAGGACACGCCTAGGATCGAGCTTCTTCTTCAGCCGTCAACAGACGGCAACTATCACGATCAGCACGGTCTGGCAAGGTATCGCGTATGATCTAGCACGGCACCCTACCATTCGCCGACACCTCGCACACAAGATGGACAATGAAGAGATCGACCTAACGGCGCCAAACATTGACGCTGTCTTTCATCAGTTGGTCGGAGAGCCACTATCCAAGATTGGCACGATCGTTGGCGATCAATCACCTATAGTTGTCCTCGACGCATTGGATGAGTGTGGTGGACTGGAAGGTGTCCGGTCGACAGAATTTCGCAACCTCATTCGTACGCTTGCGGCGTGGTCTGATCTCCCGTCCAGCTGCAAGCTGATTGTGACAAGTCGCGAAGAGGCCGCGATAGCAAGGATCTTTACTGGTCCTAGAACACCATATATGATCGATTTGCTCGTCGGAGAAGAGACGATCAATCAGTCGAGAAGAGATATTCAAGCATTTCTGAGTGAGGAGCTTAAGGAAACCGCCAAAGAGTACTCTTCTCTGCCTGCAGGATGGCCTGGGGTAGCTACCATCGAAGCACTCGCGATCAAAGCCGACGGGTTGTTCATTTGGGCATCAACATTGGTGGAGTACGTCCGCCGTGGTAATCCAAAGAAACTTCTAGAGGAGATAATGCATACTGAAAGCAATATGGGTATGAACGCTCTCTACGGCAAAGTTATCAATGCGGCTTTCCCTAACGCAGAAAGCCAAACAATTCAAGAATTACAGATGATACTTGGTGCGATTATCGTCGCCAGGACGACTCTGGACATACGGACAATTGCTGAGCTCCTTGCAATCGACCTCTCAACCGTCGAGCACATATGCAACGCTCTGCGGCCCGTGCTGGAAATGAGGGAGGGTGCCCGCTTTCGCCATCAGTCGTTTGTGGACTTTCTATTGAACCAGCAAGTAACAGATTCGGAACTCCAGATTGTCACGAGCGACTGTAATCAGATTCTTGCTGATCATTGCCTACGGGTGATGGCAGAGAGGCTACGATTCAATATTTGCGAGATTTCGTCGTCATATCTACTCAATAGCGATATCTTGAATGCAGTCTCATCCATAGAAGACTACATCCCATCCTGTTTACAGTACGCATCGCGATATTGGGTAGACCACTTGGAAGGTACACCTCCGGATGCAGAAACAATGGAACGCATTAGATACATCCTCAAGAATCATTTCCTCTCTTGGCTCGAGGTCGCAAGTTTATGCTCATTTGCACACGCCTTACCGTCTATCCTAATTCCATTGATCGCGTGGCTGAAGGTGACTCCATTCAGTATTAAGGTCTCTCACTGACCACTCCTAGCTAAACAATGGTGGGAGCCTGATACCATTCGCCACGGACATGCTTCGGTTCACGAACCATTTCATTGAACCAATCTCGTCAAGTGCAGCACATATCTATATTTCTGCATTTTCGCTCTCCCCTTCATCTTCAGAGGTGAAGAGGGAATACCAGGATCGTTTCAGAAATCGGCTGATCGTTTGTGCTGGCGGTTATCAAAGCTGGTCGTCACTTGTTCTAACTTTACGTGGTCATGGCGGGGGTATCTGGGCTGTTGCAATCTCTCCATGCGGTGATTGCATCGCCTCTGGCTCGGAGGACAAGACGATACGGCTGTGGGACGCCGAAACAGGCAAGCAAATTGGACAGCCACTTGAAGGACATACGGGACAAGTCAATTCCGTGACATTCTCGCCAGATGGTTGCCGTATTGTATCAGGAGCAGGTGACAACACAGTAAGATTGTGGGATGCCAAGACAGGCGAGCAGATCGGACAGCCATTTCAAGGACATACAGACTGGGTCAGGTCGGTCGCCTGTTCCCCCGATGATCGTCGTATCGCATCTGGCTCGGATGACATGACAGTCCGATTGTGGGATGTAGAGACAGGCCAGCAGGTCGGGCAGTCACTTATAGGGCACACAGGCTGGGTTAGGTCAGTTGCGTTCTCGCCAGATGGTTGTCATATCGTATCCGGCTCGAACGATCATACAGCACAATTGTGGGATATAAAAACAGGGGAACAGATGGGGGACCCCTTTAAAGGGCATACAGGACCGGTCCGGTCAGTCGCATTCTCGCCAGATGGTAACCATGTCATATCTGGCTCGGAGGATCAGACAGTACGATTGTGGGATATAGAAACGGGCAAACAGATAGGAAAGCCATTCGAAGGACATGCAAGCTTTGTCCTTTCGGTCATATTCTCGCCCGATGGCTATCGTATTGCCTCCAGCTCGGGTGACAATACGGTGCGATTGTGGGATGTGGAGACAGGAAAGCAGGTCGGTCAGCCGCTTGTAGGTCATGCAGACCCAGTTACATCCATCGCATTCTCGCCGGATGGTCGCCGCATTGCATCTGGCTCAGCTGACAGGACAGTCCGATTGTGGGGTGCAGGATCAGGGGAAGCTACTGTGCAGCCAGTCGAGGGACACGCAGACGCGGTCATGTCGGTTGCGTTCTCGCCAGATGGTTGCCGTATCGCATCTGGCTCGGGCGACAAGACAGTACGATTATGGGATGCAAAGACAGGCAAGCAGATTGGACAGCCGCTTGAAGGACATACGAGCCGAGTCAACTCCGTTGCAATCTCGCCACATAGTCGTCGTCTCGTCTCTGGCTTGGAGGATCAGACGGTACGATTATGGGATGTAGAGACAAAAGAGCAAATTGGGAAGCCACTTCAAGGACATACAGACGAGGTTTGGTCTGTTGCATTCTCTCCAGATAGCCGTCGTATTGTGTCTGGCTCTGAGGATGAGACAGTACGATTGTGGGATGCAGAGACAGGCGAGCAGATTGGAGGGCCGCTTGAAGGACATGAAAGCCGGGTCTTATCGGTCGCATTCTCGCCAGATGGTTGTCGTATCGCATCTGGCTCGGATGACAAGACAGTACGATTGTGGGATGTAGAGACAGGCAAGCAGATTGGACAACCGCTTGAAGGACATACAAACTGGGTCATTTCGGCCAGATTTTCACCGGACGGTCACCGTGTCGTATCTGGCTCGAAAGACTGGACGATACGAATGTGGGATGTAGAAACGGGAGAGAAGATTGGACAGCCATTTATCGGGCATAGTGGCGATATCAACTCGGTCGCATTCTCCCCGGATGGCGGTCGCATTGTATCATGCTCGGACGACCGGACGGTACGATTATGGGATGCAGAGACAGGAGAGCAAATTGGGCAGCCACTTAGAGGACATACAGACTTTGCCACATCCGTCGCATTCTCGCCAGATGGCTGTTCTGTTGTGTCTGGTTCGAGTGACACGACTGTGCGGCTGTGGAATTTGACCAGTGAAAACCTCGTAAGCGTTTTCGACTTTGCGTTTCGTGGCTATACTGAACTAGCTAAAGGATCTGCTTCCTAATCTCCACTCCGTAATTGACGGCGATGGATGGTTGCTCACACCAGATGGCAAGCCGCTTTTCTGGGTTCCGGCTCAGTTTCGCACCGGCCTTGTTCGACACGGAGTTCGTATCATCGGTCAATGTCAAAGGTTGGAACTTGACCTATCCCGATCTGTCTATGGAGAAGAGTGGACACGAGTGACAGAAGCCAGGAATGACTAGTGACTTGTGCTAATGGTGCGTTATTCATGGATATCACCATGCAAAGGTTGAAGATAGTGCAGGATCATAGTCTTGATGGATGCTTGAGGACTATACTTCAAGTATCGGAATATATTTTCGGATACGCTTCGTCTGTTCCCGTTAATCGTGATTCATTAGTGTCGAACGGAGAAATGTGCCACCAAGTTGGGCTTGTTGGACTTACTACTCGTCAAATAGACATATAGCAGTACTGATGAGGGCTTGGCAGATGGCCGTGCCGATTCTGCTGCAATCTAATACTTCTATATAGTCTACTATGAGGGTAAAGAGGACTTTGGCCTGCGTTCAAGCCGACGCACTCTCTATCCCTAGTCTGACATGCATCGCTTCCTACAGTTACGGACGTGACTTTGGAGATACAAGTGATATTGACAACTTTGTCCAGTTGCACTGTAATCATGATAGAGGTCCAGCCAACCGAGGCGGGGTCGGGTGGAGAGCGACTCTCGTCCACGCTGAGCTGGTCTGTCTCGCGGATTGCCAGAGGCGGAGTTTGCTACGCGTCCAAGTAGTACACGAGATGTGTGTTGGCTGAACGAGTGGCGGCCTCCACTGCGACGGCGCCCTCATTCTCAGAGTCCTGGGTCCAAGATGATACGATGAAGAGACCGAGTTTCTATCTAAATGAGCGGATACAAGCCGCGGGAGCCATGGAGAGTCGCAGCAGAGGAGCGCGGTTAGACGAGGCGGCCGTGACTAAAGGCCAAGGAGTCTACGTGTACGATCATCTACAGTCGGTTTGTCAGCATCCTTGCTCGGGAGCCTTTACGGCCGCCGCCATCTGGACCCGTCCTGTGCGTACCCTTTAATGCCGTTTGATCGCTCTATCTCCCGTGGCGGCCTGGAAATGTCGTGCGGCTTGAAAAGATGGGCCATCCGTGCTGCCGGCGACTGACGCGTTCACTCGTCCCCCCCGTTTTCCATCTTCCGACTCGGACACTTTTCATCGGAGGATTCACCCTCGTCTGCTTCATATAAGCCCAGCAAATCGTCCACTTGACTCTGGGAACTACAAGCAAATGTCCGAAAAGGAAAAAGAGAGTAAGCCAGAGATCGCTTCGGCGACAGAGGCAGAGGCCACTCGCGTCAACAGCAGAGCATCAGCTCGTCCAGCAGAAGAAGACCTGCCATATGAGAGAAGCGCCGCAGTAGAAGAAGAGGACGAGAGCAAGTATTATCTCTCCGGTGCTCGTCTCTGGCTCGTCCACGTTGGAATTCTCCTGTGTGTACCACTTTAATTTGGCTGGGGAATCCGGAGACACTCACCTCCGGACAGATCTGTATTCCTCGTCGCGCTCGATCAGTCCATCGTCTCCACTGCTCTCCCCAAGCTCGCTTCAGAGTTTAACGCCCTCGAACAACTCACATGGGTCGTCTCTACTTATTTTCTTACTCAGGCTGGTATGATAGCCGCCCATTTTTGCACGATATGAGCGCGCTTACACTTTTATAGGGTTGATGCTCTTCTTTGGCCAAGTTCTCAGTCAGTTTCTCCACCCATTCTCCGACCGGCGATCACTCACCACTTTGCAGCTTTTATCTCGTCCAAATGGATTTTCCTTATTTGTATCGTCATCTTTGAGATTGGCAGTCTCATCTGCGCCGTGGCTCCAAACATTCACGTTCTCATCTTTGGGAGAGCCATCCAGGGTAAGAGCACTCTTTGGTGACCAGTCCTATTTCTTACACGCTATATAGGTGTCGGTGGCTCTGGAGGATACGTCTCCATCCTCACCGTCATTGCCCAAATCGCTCCCTTGAAGCTTCGCCCAATTCTACTCGGTAAGTTTGCTCTCCAGTTGACACGAATAAATTCTAACACTCGATAGGCTCCTTTGGTGCTGTGTTTGGCATTGGTTAGTCAATCGCGCGGCCGTTTCAGGCTCCCTGAATCAGCGCACTGAGTGCAAAGAACCACGTTTTCTGACCTCTATTACAGCTTCCGTATTTGGGCCGTTGCTTGGTGGCGTTTTCACAGACCGTCTGACATGGCGCTGGTGCTTTTGGATCAACCTGCCGTTTGGAGCCATCGTGCGTAACCCCACTTTAACTCCTTTCTTCATTAACATTGATTTCTACAGTCTCTAGCCGCTGTGACGATTTGGCTTCCCGCACATCCTCCCACCACATCAGCCGAAGGCAAGGACAAGACGTTGTTGCAAAAGTGGATTTCGCTAGATTGGATTGGCACTGTCCTTTCGCTGTCTATGACGGTCTGCCTCTTGCTCCCACTTACATGGGGAGGTGTCACACGACGTGCGTACCGTGGGTTCGGTTCGTTGGGTTCTGCTCACACACCCCTCAGCATGGAACGACCGCGTCGTGATTGCTCTGTTTGTCACAGTACGTCTCTCACGGTCAATTTATCCTCAATTACTGACGTACTACAGTTTGGTGTACTCCTTGCACTTCTCGTCCTCTGGGAGCGTCGTCTCGGAGACCGTGCGATGATGCCCATCTCAATTCTCTTCCGACGAACTCAAGTATGTGCACTCTTGTTAGTAACGTGACATGATCTGACCAAGCACAGGTGAGCGCCGGCATTGCCAACTTTTCGATCATGTTCATCGGCATCTTCTACACGTACTATCTACCCTTTTTCTACCAAGCCAAGGGCCGTACAGCAGAACAAAGTGGTATTGACATCTTACCGCTCATGATGGGCACCGTCCTCGGTTCCGGACTCGCTGGTTATCTCAACAGCGCGACAGGTCGTTACACCCCTTACCTCATCGCTGGACCCATTCTCTATGCGATTGCTGCTGGACTCTTCTTCACGGTCGACGAGTTTACGTCGAATGCAAAATTGATTGGATTCCAAATCCTTTTCGGTGTGGGCGAAGGGTTGGCCTTCCAGCAACCTTGTACGTCTCGTATTCCTCCTTCCTTGTGGAGATAAGCTAATGGACTTGAAATAGTGGTTGCGATTCAGGCGGAATACGCCGATACGCCTGCGCTCATCCCACAAGCGTCCTCAATGCTCACCTATCTACAACTCCTCGGTGCCGTTGTTGGAATCTCGTAAGTTCCTCCTCTCTTTATTCACTACGCAATGCTCACAATTCCGGAATAGAATTGCCGGTGCCGTCTTTGGAAACCAACTGAGCAAAAATCTGGCGGCATACCAGGCCCTGTTTGGACAAGAGGTCATCGATGGTCTCAAGCAGTCCGTCACTGTCATCTTCATGCTCCCGAAACTATTGCAAGGAATCGTCATTCACGCCTATGTGGACGCCCTTCGATACGTCTTTATCATTGCCGTTCCTCTTGCGGGAGTCACGATCATCTCTGCATTCTTCATCAAGAACTATAACCTCAAGGAACGTGGTGTCAAGCCTGGTGCGGCAGTCGCATAAACGTGGGCATGGCATGGAGTATGAGAGAAAATCTAACGACCATTTTTCCTTACACACGAATATAATCACGACATGTTGGTTTTAAGACTACATTTTATTGACGGCCTACGCTCGCAACGACTGCTGTAACGACGTAGATAGATGCGGACCAAGTCCGGTTCCAATCAAAACGATTTTGCCCTCTTCTGGACGTTGCTCATGTCCGACGACTGTCACTTCGTAAAGCGTTTGGACGCCTTGAATGACGGCTTGTTTACCTGCATTCGTCCAGTAGATGCCTTTGCACCGCAACACTTTGAGACGCGCAGGTTTCTCCGTGCCAGACAAATCTTCAGTAGCCAGATCTGGCTCTTCTTCGTACAATCCCTCCCAGAGCGTCTTGCGTATCCACTCGTCGAGTAACGCTTCTTGAGAGTCGGTGAGAACGGGAAGGGAAATGACCATGGATGTGATGCCTCTAAAATGATTGTGTCTGTCTTCTCCTTCGTCATGTTCATGATCATGATCGTGGTCGTGATCGAGTTGACCGTAATCCAACGCTAGTTGTGGTCGCGAGTGGAATGCGTCGAGGTTTAGAATCTTGTCCAGTGAAAGCTCCCCGCGCACGGTGCGATGGATTGGGATACTTGTGTTGAGGGTCCGTATGGCGTGTTCGGTTGAGATGATCATATCTTCCTCGACGAGGTCACATTTGTTGAGCAACACGACGTCCGCACACGCGAGTTGCCTTAGTGATTCTCCAATTCCATGTATGGCCCTGTCCTTCTCGATTTGCTGCAATTAAACTTGTTAGTTGGTTTCCATAACTCCGGAATATCCGCACCTCGAGTCCGAAGACGGCGTCTATAAGACATATGACACCATCCAACGCGATCATACTCCCGAGGCCTGTGGCGTATTCTTCGTTTTCCCAAAACAATGCAGCGATGGGTGCTGGATCTGCGAGTCCCGTGGTCTCTAGGAGAATATAGTCGAAAGCACCCTTCTTTTCCATCAACTTTTCAATCGACGCTATTCCAGTGTCTTTGACAGAGCAACAGAGGCATCCATTTGCCAACTCCAACACTTCTTCAGCGAGTTCACCGTCGGTGTTATCAGTATTGGACGAAATGTTGATCGCTATGTAGTCTATGAGATTTGCGAATATGGTTGAAGAGTTTAGACGTACTCTCCAAGTCGGCAGTATCTCCAAACTCGTTCATGATGACCGCTATTCGATATCCGTGCTTTTCAGTTAGAATCCGTCTACAATCCTGTCGATTAGAATCATTGTGTGTCATACAGGAATCCTGGACAAGCTTACCTGAGCAGGGTGCTCTTGCCGGCCCCGAGAAAGCCAGTCAAGATTGTCAACGGGACTCGTCCATTTGTTACATCTTCACTCTTGTCCACTTTAGCGTTCATTGAGGCGGGTTGACCAGCCTGATTCGATTCGGGAGTGGTAATACCAGCAGTCTGCAGGGTGGAGAGGTCAACAAGTTCTCTAGAAATTCGTCAGAATATAAGCGCGTGCAATTTCACCTCGCATACGGGATTTCATCGTCGTCCATTGTGAGCAGAGGATTCAAAGTTTTATGGTGGAGTACAAAGCTTGGATCCGACCGCAACACATACCGTGACCTATTGAATGTCGTCAGCCGACGACAAACAACCCGCAAAGCCGTCTTCAACTCCAGATGAGCCTCCTTCGCGATTAGCAGGCGCTACGCGCAACGCAACATTCTCCGAATGGTGGCAGGCCGCCAAGGTAGGCTCTGTTCTGTCATTTCTGACTGTAAATGACGATGCATCTATGAAATTAGACTATTCGGCCAGACGACTTTCGAAATATCGAGCAAGTACCGTGTGCGCGGCAGAGTTTGATGTACGGAATTGCCGGAGGTACCGCTATTGGGTGTACACGGTATCTTACCTCAAGTTTTTCTATTTAAATTTTGTTTCTTCAGAAAATTGACTCTCTATTAGACCCGAGGATCGCAAGTAATTGGGCTGTCGCCTCGTTTGTGCTCATTTCTGCATTTTCCTGGTTCGTTTTTTGCACTCTATATATTACCGGTAACATTTTGATGAACAACGTAGGCGTCGCTGTCGGTCGATCCAGACCTCTCAAATGGAGCAAATGCGAGCAGTGAAGGAGCAGCTAGCGGAAAAGGCTAGGAGGCGCTCTGCAATCCGAAAAGAACGTTCGACATCTGCAGAAACCTCTATGGAACAAGCGGGCCCATGAAAACGGCAGAGGTCGCCGGCTGATCGGTGGAGCGACTGCCATTGCGAGAGGTCTTCAAAACTCAACTAAACCGATCGGTAACGACAGCACTCTCTCAAGGATAGATCACAAGCGGCTGTTTGGGACGAGGAAGTCAAAGTCATGCAACCTGCTGGTTCGCAATGGCATCAGGCGCCTCATACTTGATCCATTATACAGTTTTTTTTCGCTCCGAACAAGTGACAGACAAACAAATGTTTGCTGGTGATGAAGGCCTTGTTTCGCTTCAGCACGCCAGAGCGCAGAGTTTGGCATTGGGCGTGAATGATGCGTGCATTTTACTGCTGCAGTATATTTATCACCTTTTCCTCCATCTTTCCGACCGTAACCACGCTTCTGGGATACGGTATGCCATGACGCGGATTGGGGCAAGCAGCGAACATCAACGCTCTGGCAGACCCATCCGGCTATGCTCCACATGAATTTCCTAGTATAGACGAAGTAAACCTTTTTCGCTCTGTAGTGCGGACCACGGGTACGTCAATTCATGTCGCCACCACAACACCGGTCCCTCATGTCCCTGCGTGCCTTTCCGCTGTCGACGAGCCCCAAGACAGTGGCTACTGATCTCAGACAACATTGCGGACGGTTTGAATCTGGTCTCGACCGTACCCATGGTAGAGGGCGTTTGACCTCGGCGGCGTTACCTCAACTAAGTTCGTCCTGGCTATATCATAACGGAACTCGTGGGGGTGAAATAGTTCTTGGACCTTTCTAGATCTGCCACTGCAGCAACCCTCGTCGCAGCGAGTCAAACAATCCTCAAGGACCCTTCCACGTACTCTGAGTATCTAATCATACTTCATATGACATTCTACAGTTCGCAAAATCGGTCAGTCTAGCAGCGTCTATCTACCCGCGATTTGCTCAATGACTGGGTTACCCAATAGGAACGCAGAGTTGCGACCGAGGCTGGATCAAGACGGCTTGAACCTCACCCCATCCCAAGTAGCGACAACTGCGTATACACCTTCAATGGTTGACACCTCTGCGGCTATACAGGACCGTCGGCTTCAAGAAGACTACGAGGCGGCGGATGATGGCATGAGCGGGAGGTCGAGATACACGTACCGCAGCGAAGTTGATGCTGATCTCTTCCTCAAGCGTATTGGAGGGCGAGTAAGTAAATGTTCTGCTATCTGAGGGACGAGTCTTCGCACCGGCCGTCCATCTCCCAAGACGCATAATCTGGCAAGGATTGAAGAATGCTAGACTGACTTTTTGATGTTTACAGGCGTTCAATGCCCTGAGTGATACATATTTCCTTCCGTCAGGTAAGAGGATTCAATCCTGATGGAGAATGGACACTGAACTGATGGACTCAGATGACAACGAATGGGTCCGATTGTCAGTCATTGTTACACTCTCGGCGGCAACTCCTGACTCGAGGCAGAAATAAGCAGCATGTAGGGCTCGTGTTAGCACTTGGAGAACTCTACCCAGCAGGGGAGGAAGTTCGTGCCATCTTGGCACCCGTACCAGGCCAAACAAAGAGAATTCTAGATCTTGGTAAGAAACGATCAACTTCGAATACACTAGATGACATAAACCCTTGCTAGGCTGCGGAACAGGTGTTTGGTATACCGCTTCCGACGATCCAACTATGTCGACTAATGTTATCCAGGACAATGGACATGGCCCGTGAATTTCCACATGCCGAGGTCGTCGGTGTAGATCTGGCTCCCGTCCCAATCGACCCCGAAACTCTTCCCCCTAATTGCAGGTTTGAGATCGACGACATCAACCTTGGATTGGACCACCTAAAAGACACCTTTGACGTTGTGCATGTCCGCTTTGTTGGGAGTGGGCTGAAGGACTTCAAAAAGACGATGGACGACGCCAGTCGGTGTCTCAAGCCAGGAGGGATTGCACTGTGGATAGAAGCCGACTGGAATACGTATGCAGAGGACCAGCGTGTCTGTATCCCGCTCGCGCTCGAGGAAGACGAGGAGAATCCTGACCAGGGTGAGCGCTCCTGGTTCCAGCGTATTGTCTTTGAGATGGGCCGTGGTATGCGCATGGGCAACAGCGATCTCGACGGCATGTTCAAGGCGATGGACTATGGACTTTGGGACAACAAATGGATAGATCCTGAGACCTGTGGCATGTCGAGCCTCTACCTGCCTATCGGTACGTGACTTGTATTCCCCGGTTGCGTTATTTGACTACCTAGGTCCCTGGGCACGCGGGAAGTCACACATGGACACTCAGCGACTGGGGTATGTGGGAGCGTTGATGCGCCAGGATTTCATGGTATAAGGTTCTGGGGTGGTGAGTAACGCATGCTAATCAATGTTCCAGAGGGTTCATCGTGCGGGCCATCCGGTTATGAAGCGCCTTGGGTGGGAGGCCGAGAAGTTGGAGAAATGGTCTGAATTAGCCGACAAACGTATGTTTTTTTGGCTTACATGTAGGATATTGACATGTCCGCCATAGAAATGATGGACATGAGTCCAAAGACATGGTTTAGAGTGTATGTGCTTCCCTTCTCTGAACATTGAGAGCTTACATGGCATTAAATGATATATGTATCATAGAAGCTACGCTTGGGGACGCCGTCGTGCAGCCGAAAACGAACCAGCCCCTCCGCTTCCACAACTAGCTTCCTCTACGACAACAGAAGCTGATTCGGGGCATCCTTACCCTCACTACTACGTCTATGCAACGCAACAGGAGGCACTGTCCGCAGCCGCACTCAGGAACCGGAGCAAAGATTGCGATCCACCTCCATTGCCCAGACCTCGCGCTGCCGAACCGGAACCCGTTACAGCAGACGTCGACCAAGGACAGGAGTCCACATCCGCAGTAGATTAGCAGTAGATTTGCAAGTCGATCTCCAGACCAATTTCAGCGTCTTCGCCTATCGCTCCCTACGGAAGCAAGGAGAGGGTGACATCTGGACTGTTATAGTGGCTAATGGAACTGCTCCGAATGCGAACGGCATAAAATTGGGTCCTGATTGAACTAGCGTAAGGTGGCAGTCAGTTTGAAGTCTCCAGGGATACAGTACTTGCATACTCGAAATGGCACCGGGTTACTACCATTGCGCTCAGTAGTTCACTGGTTCGACACATGCTTCAACACTGTTCGATACACATCCACCCGATACATGATTTCCTAATGTACCCCACAACGAGATTCATCTGAGAAAGAAACAGACTACTTCCTCTTCTCCCTAAGCTTCCCGCGCCGATTCACTGCATAGCAAACGAAACAATATGCGATACCGACTCCCGACTTGAGAGATGGAAACTGGCTAGACGACAGCCTACGTTTGCATCCCGCACACAGCCTTGTTCTCTTCGTATCCAGATCCCCGTGTTCATCCAAGGGCATCAATCCATGGCGTTGGTAAATGTCATCTTTCGACGGTCTGCAAGAGGCGTGATACTGGATGTATCCTTCGCTGCGCGCAACCGCGTCCATGAGGCTGACTTTCCCGTTATCGCGAATGGCAGTGTAGAGCGAGTAGATAAGACAGATATCTTCTGCGGCGTAGGAAACGTATCTCTCGCTCAACGGTCTTAACATCCATCTCGAATGATCCACTCCTATAGGCCGAAATCAGCCTCAATCTCAGTGCGTAAAAGGGAGATGGCTCACTCTTCTTTGGAATGGTCTTGATTCCCTGGTCCATCAGAGCGCCGTCGAGTCCATTGAGCTTGACGACTTTCTTATAGAGCTCCCTATTCCCCAGTATCTCTTGCGCGGGAAGAAATCGACCCATTAGTCTCTGCAGAGGCCTAACTTCATCTTCTCCAGTTCTAGAGACCACATCGGCGACTTGTAGATCCAGAACACACGTCAGGCGCACACCATATCCGTGGAGCAACTCGGATGCATCCATACGTAAGTCAAACCCAATCTTTAGTACCACAGATGAAGCGAGAAGATCGAAAATGGACCTGAGTAGGTCCGGCTGAGCGTTAGCGTGCTTATTGTCGAGTGACCCGGAGCAAGGACGTTGAAAAGCGAGGACGTCAACAATATAAATAGTCAATTCTCCTTCTCGACTGTTATAGTATCCGTCTGGGCTATTGTAAATGCCGAGCCCCAGAGTAGAGAGTGTGCCGCCTTGGGAACCAAGGTCTTTGCCCTCGCAGTCGATGAACAGAATATTTGCATTGGAGAGTTTTGCAATCGCAGATGTGATAGACTCGTGATTATCGCAAAGCTGATGAGATATTTTCATCGCTACTCGTCTTGTAAAGATCGGGGTGGAGGCCAAAGTTCTGAATGGTCAGGCTCGCCCAATGTCGTGCCAATGCAGGCAGCTCAGAACGAGTAAGGCCATTTATCCACGTTCAAATAGAAGTACTCGTACGCAGTCCTTACTGAGCACTTGGACTGTCCTGAAGCCATATTGGAGCCTGCACCAACTCAAATTAATGCCTTCTGAGAGCTTTCAGATCGTATCTCAGCAGATTCTGAAAGATCTGAGTTCGTTGATATTGTGAATTCATCACCTATAGGCGTGGAGTCTATCTGTCCCCACGAAAATCATGCTATCATTTTGGATGTGATTCCTCTCATCTTCCTTCCTGAGGGTAGTTACATCACCAGGTACACATGGAAGACAGTATATATATTGACAGTGATAGTAATCCCGACATATCACCGGTCAGAATTTGTTCGAACATTTGTCCAAGAGGGACCACATTGAAAGTGGGTGAAGTCAAGTGTTGTTGTCCGTAAAGGGCTCGTTACTGGTATTGTCAGAAGATTTGGATATACTAGGCCATGCCGGTTGTCTGGTGGTACCCAGAAGAGAAATTTATCGGAAGATTGCACCCAGCCATCCTGCGATAATGTACACTGATTGAATCCCGGTACGAGTACTTCCGGGGGAGTATCCAGTGACGCAGATTTCAGACCTATATCTCCAGCGCCGGTACCTTGGCGTTCGGAGTTCTTGGAGCTAGTAGCTGATGGTAATCGTCAGATTGGTCCCGTAGATGGGGCTGAAACTAACCAAGGGTTGCATCCCATAACATAATTGTTCTATCGGCTGAGGCGGAAACGATACGTGAGCCGTCTGGCGAGAATGCCACGGCCCTAACGCTATCGTTATGGCCTTGGAGTGGCCCTCCCAACGGTAGACCAGTGTTTGCATCCCAAAGTCGAACTGTGTTGTCTTCAGATCCAGAAATGACCCGTGAGCCATCTGGCGAGAATGCGACGGCCCAGACTGAGAACTCGTGGCCACGGAGTGGTTCTCCCAATGGCCTACCAGCTTCCGCCTCCCATAGTCTAATAATCCCGTCGGAATAGCCAGAGGCGATTCGTAAGCCATCTGGCGAAAATGCAACGGCCCTCACCCAGCCGTTATGACCCCTGAGCGGCTCCCCCAAGGGCTGGCCAGTGTCTGTCTCCCACAGTCGAACTGTCTTATCGTCGGAGCCGGAGACGATCTGCGAGCCGTCGGGCGAGAATGCGATGGCGTTCACCCAACCTTCATGACCTCGGAATGGCTTTCCGAGCTGCTGACCAGTGTCTGCATCCCACAGATGAATTGTCCCGTTGGGTGAGCCGGAGGCGATGCGTGAGCAGTCCGGAGAGAATGAGACGGTGTTGACCAAGAATTTCTGACCTTGTAGCGGCTCTCCCAACTGCCGGCCAGTAGCTGCTTCCCATCGTCGAATTGTCGTATCCTCCGAACTTGAGAGGATTTGGGAACCGTCTGGCGAGAATGCGACGGCAATGACTGACGCTTCATGACCTTGAAGTGGCTCACCAGTTAGATGACCGGTGACCGCATCCCACCGTATAATTGTCTTGTCGGACGAGCCAGAGATGATTTGCGAGCCGTCTGGAGAGAACGCAACTGACAGGATTGACGATTCATGGCCCCGAGGTAGCTCTCCTAAAGGCTGGCCAGTATCTGCCTTCCAAATCCGAATGGTCTTGTCTTCGGAGCCAGAGATGATTCGTAAGCCATCTGGCGAGAATGCGAGGGCAAAGACGTAACCTTCATGACCTCGCAGTGGCTCTCCCAATGGTTGACCAGTGTCTGCCTCCCACAATCGAATTGTCCTGTCACAAGAGCCGGAGACAATTCTTGAGTCATCTGAAGAGAATGCCACGGCAAGGACCGAGTTTTTGTGACCTCGAAGGGGCTTCCCTAATGGCTGGCCACTATCTACGTCCCACAGCCGAACTGTTTTGTCGTTAGAGCTAGAGGCGATTCGCGAGCCATCTGACGAAAATGCAACAGAATTGACCTGGGATTGGTGAGATCGAAGGGGTTCTCCCAGCGGTAGATTAGTTTCTGGATCCCAGAACCGAATGGTATTGTCGTCGGAACCGGAAACAATACGTGAGCCGTCTGGTGAGAACGCCACGCAATTGACCCCGTCTTCGTGACCTCGGAAGGGCTTTCCCAACGGCAGACCGGTGTCTGCGTCCCATATTCGAATTGTATTGTCTCCAGAGCCAGAAACGACTCGCGAGCCATCTGGCGAGAATGCTACGGAGTTGACCCCATGTTCATGGCCTTGGAGCGGGTCACCCAATGGCCGACCAGTTTCTACTTCCCAGAGGCGAATCGTTTTGTCGTTGGAGCCAGAGGCGACTCGTGAGCCATCTGGCGAGAATGCGACGGCGTAAACGTCATCTTCATGCCCTCGCAGTTCCCCTAACAGTTGGCCAGTGTCCGCCTCCCATAGACGGATTGTGTTGTCGATCGAGCTGGAGGCGATTCTCGATCCGTCAGGAGAATATACGACGGCAGTAACCAAGTCTTGGTGGCCACGAAGAGTTCTGGGAAGACCCGGATATAATTCCTCAACCCCTTGGCTCACAATCAAGCCATTTGCGTAGCTTTCCATGCCTTCAATATGCAGTATTGACTTCCGGGGCGAAAATGGAATCGCAGAGATGTAGATATGTGATGCACTTTCCTGGATCGGCACCAAAAACGCCATAAGAAACCGACGTATCTCCGTCATACGGCCCCTAGTTTCTCCTTGAACCTATATCTCGTTAGATACAAAGGCATACCGCGATAGATCACTCACCCGGCCGTGGCGTGTAACGGCTTGAAGGCCGGCTATTGCTCGTGGCACCGCTCTTGTGAAGCTCAGAATCTCCATCCAGTGAAACACACGCGGACTTTGAACAATGCGTTCTACTTCCTTCTTGAGTGCATCTCGCCACTTGTCGTCCGTTTCCGCCAAGTGAAACAACCAATGCGAGCTCGCATATCCAAGTTTTCTCGGGATGAACTCTGATACCCTCGTATGAAGGTCTGCTATCTGCCTATTCAGATAGAACGATGACTCGATTCGGCAAATGTTGAACTTGACGCCTTCGGTCGGTGAGTTGAGCCGTTTCAGACACCACGAAGCCACTTGACCATGTGCATTGACCCTGTCGATAGAGATTGCATTGTGGCTATCAGTGGTTGAGGCCTGGGAGCGGCGTCGAAGGTACTCGACCATAGTGGGATGACGGAATCGGATTTGCCTTGTATTTGGATCCACACTAAGGACGCTTCCCAGATTCTGAACCAGGGCATTCACACTTCCGCGTACTCCAGCATGCTTGAGAAGATCCTCCAACTCGTCCACAGCGAGCGGCTCGAACACCGCAAGCAGAATACCGAGCATACTACACATTGTTGCGAGAGATTTCGGGTCTGTTCTCTCGAAAATGAGATCGTATACATCGTCTATATCTCCAGTCTGATCCACTGAAACAAGACGTTCGTATATGCTGTCCTGGGTATCCAATGTCGTTTCGCTTTTCAGCATTCGACATGCGGTGCTTGCCCAGATGAACAGCCCGTTGGCATTCTTGACCAACCGTCGCTTCTTCTCCTCAGCCAGCGTTCCATTGATCAGATATTCTATATAGATTGCAATGTCGTTGATGTTATCACCATGGCTGGCATCGTGTAGCCGGTCTTCCATCTTGGCTTTGATTGGAAGTGATCCTAAGACCGCTTGGATGACAGGATCCGGTCGACTTGTCATGAATATCTTGAGATTCGTACTTTCCCGAACGGCGATGGAAAGCGTCTCGACGAGCCTTCTTCGTTGTAGTCCAGACGTGCATTCGTCGAGTGCATCAATGACCAATATGACCCGCTTGTTCTGATGCTTCGTTGGCTCCACGATTAGTCTTTGGAACTGCTCCTCGAATGTGCTCGTCATGATCGAGGGGTGTTGTTTGACCGCATCCGCGATAGATGGGGCCAGTGTGGTGATGTTTTCGAACATTTGCCGGGCGAAAGTCGGACACATTTTGGTAATGGTCGACTCCTCAGTAGTGGCGATCGAGAAGAAGAAGTAACCACCGAGTAGGCCTGTCTCCTTCCAAAGTGCAATCATGCTCATCGACACTGTCGATTTACCAGAACCAGCAATGTCGCAGAGCCAGAAGATCGGCTCGGCAAACTCGCCTTCTCCCCAACGGCGGATAGAATCAAGAACAGTGACTCGTGTTCCCGGATTGCAGCGATTATGAACGATAGAAGATGTCGAAATAACAACTGGGAGTTGAGAAATGATCATTATATCCGCTGAGAATGGTCAGGCAGAGCGACTGTGTCAAGAACGCACGCTTACCATCTTTCAGTAGGGTCTTAGTATTCTCTTTGATGACTTGCGTATCCACTCTCAAAACCTCGGTGTCACCCTTGACAGCTTGAATATGAAGTGAAGACGATACGGCTAGAGCAGCCTGAGATGTCATCAGTACGAAAATAAGAGGTCTCCGTGGCCCGTACCGTAAGTCTTTGGTGACAATCGTCAATGTCTTGATGAAACTCTCGGATATCTCCTGCGTCCATATCAACTTTCATTGCTCGAGTCAACAGTCGTGAACGCGTTCGTGCTTCAACTGTTTTCTGTATTTCATCGAGCTTTCTGTCCAGGCCATAAGATGAGTGCCCGACCCTGGAGTATTAAACTTGCCTGACATAGACTAGTAGTGGTTGTCGCAACGAGTCGTCCACCTGGTGGTTCTTCTCTGGATGCTCCTCGAATATGGCTATCTGGCTCTCCATCGACTCCAAATGACCTTGTAGCCGCTCAAAGAGACGTTTCCAATCTTTTTTGTTGTTCTGGGCAGCCTATCTGTGCCATCAGACAAGTCAAACACATCCGTCAGACATACGCGTGCTATCTCGAGGATCTGCTTTGTAGCTCTACATGCCGCTTTGAGAGAGGCAAGCGCATCAGATGCTTCTGAGATGTTGGCGACGAGGTCGAGAATCGGAATGGCGGTATCGCGCACTCTGTCAGAGCGGCTGCTTGTGCTTGGACTTGACGCATTTGATTGAGGGCCGGGTTGGTTACTGGTGTCCTTTGAACGAGGAGTCTTGCCTTTGCGTTCGAACCATGACATGGACATCTGGGGTGGACGGGACCAAAAGGTTGAATGAGTGGCAAGCCATGAATCTGGACTCTAATCGTGCGTTTCCTAGGACAACATGTGCTTATAGATATGGCTAACCCTTTTTAAATAGGGGTCGCGATATTCTGAATACATAGCACTCATAGGACCTAGTAAATTTGGTGTATAGTAAATTCGATGAAAATAAGCACCCGTAATGGACAATTTGAACCCTCCAGTCACTACGCAACTAGGTACGATACAGATTCACGGCACAAGATTCCAAAGTCAGCGATAGGCAAAGTCCCTGGGTGCTTCTAGTCGGATTATTGGTAGCCAAATATAGTGGTGCACCTTGGAGTTATCCCCTAATCACCGCGCTTGCACGGCTTTGTGATTTTGGAGTGGCGAACCTGAATTATTTGGATATGGTGTGTGGGAGCTATTATAAAACTGCAAGCTTGATTCCCAACCAGCAACGTGCCTCACCACGAACTTCGGGATTGATAAGACTCGAGGATATAAGAGTGCTATAGCATAAATCACCCCTTTGTTCCTCCCTCCATCTCAACATTTCCGAGCCTGTAGACACCAGAGACTTGAATCGCTTTCGCCAATTCAAAGTTTGGATGAAATCATTCATTCATTAGATGCAACGTGATTCCTGTCATCGTGCACTGGTATTTCCGGAATGGGTCCTGGGTATGGCGGTTCTTCGGCGCATCAAGGCGACTTATGTGGCCAAGAAGATTGGTATGCTACCGAAACATGCCTTCTCATTGGTGCTGACCGGTCTGTTTCAGGTGTCACTCGTCAGCACAGATTCTTCATCTCGTCATGGGTGGCTTTCACCTCTTTGAACGAAGCCAAGAACTGGCCTCGAATACCATCGAGATTGGAGACGAAGATGAAGATGAAGCTCGCAGATTGATCAACGAATTAGCGGAAGGAGACAGTCTACTTGTCACTACGACGAACGAAAAGGCAGATGTATTGGAGGATTTTGGACATCCTATCCACCCACTCGACGGATTTGACGTTTTTCGTCTCATAAAAACTCGCAAAATTCGCCTCCCGACTTCTGCTGAGCTGCAGGACAAATGCAAGAGCGACGGACTCGCAAAGCTCCTTGTCATCGCCCAAACCCTATGGTTTATTGTTCAGTGTATTGCATGGAAAGCCAGCAAGCACCCTCTCACCGAGCTCGAGGTCATTTCGCTTGACTATACTCTACTCACCGTGGCAATGTACATTGCATGGTGGGACAAGCCATGTCGGGTAACATTCCCTGTACGTGTGTATGAACCACTCCCGGACGTACGACCGAGCAAGAGGAGCTGAAGAAGAACATGGGAAGGCCCGACTGGTATGAGACGGCATTTGCTGCTTTTCTCGTCGTCATTCTCGCTTGGTCAACGTTTCCGTTTAATCCTCGATTGTTTTCTTGTCCGTCACGACACGTCCTAGGTTTACTCTTAAGTGGGGGGCCTTCCAGGCGAGGCAGGCTCACGCTCACGCCTGCAGAGCATCACCTAGGGCGCGGTGGGTGGGTCGACGAATTTTCAGCCTTTTGGGGGCCACGCTACGCCCGTGCTGTCGGCAGCGGGCTTGCGTTGATGTTGGTTGGCGAAGCCTTTCGTTTGCGGCTCTTGCCACGCACCTCCATTTTTCGATTTCATATTTCGTCGTTTGTCAATTAATTCTTTCCAATATATTCTCTATCTATACTGTTTTCCTTCTAAGTTCTATTCCTGGAGCTCCCATTCCTCGCTCGCTCTCGCAGCATGGCGAGACCGTCTGGTCTCCAACCAGGATATGCCATGGGTATTCAGGGCTCGTTTATCGACCTGCGGAGTATGAATCGAGTCCCAATATTCTACTCCGGGTACAGCGAAGCAAGGTCCATCTGCGCCTCGGCGGCATGATTACCACGGGCATCATTGGAATGCTGTTTGGCGCTGTCCATTTTCTTGGGTGGTCCTCGCCCTTTCCATCCAATCATATGGAGTTTCTCTGGAGATTCGCAACCATTCTCATGGCTGTAGTACCACCTATAGCCGTCGTGGGTATGCTGAGCTTGACTGCGGACAACTACTCTCTGGGCAGCACCCTTTGGTTCATAGTCCTCCTAGCGCTGTTATTGCCTTTGTATTTTGCTGGAAGAGGCATAACTATGGTGCTCGCGCTACAGACACTCGCAGTGCTACCACTCGACGCTTATCGAGACGTGGAGTGGTCCGACTTCTTCCCTCACATCTAAATCTTGTTACTCGCAGTTTATATCGTACTTGTAATCCATATCTTCTGTTACATTCAATGGGCAGCGGCTTACAACCGATTACCCAAAAAGAAGGCCCAATGTGAAAACAAAAAGTCGGCAGCGCAGTTGGGTCATCATGGCAGGAGTCTCAAACACATGGAGATTGACCACGCCCAAGACCTTTGAAAGCGGCCTAGCGCAGCGCCATATGCAGTGCCTTGCCATGCGTCGGAAGGGAGGTGATCATCTGGATTGGATTATGCTTTCTTGTGCTGTCTCCCAAAGGTGAACCGCGAGTTCATCGTCGTTCATGCCCTTCTGACTTGACAAATTATCCCCTTCTTCATGCAACTTGTCATAGAATTCTGTTAAGATTTAGATATTACGATATTCGCAGAGTAAAAAACTTGCCCATGCAATCGCAATTCGGAAACTGGTACTCCAGCGTCAGCCCATGCTCTGCAGCGACGTCCGCGAATGCTTGACCCAGCGCCATGTACCATGCTATTGTGCGGTGAGAGACGAATACGAGCCTGTCGATCTTTGGTTTTTGACTGAGATACTGCGTCCACTCATCCGTTGAGACCCAAAATCGAACGAACTCGATGGTCAGCTCGTGGAGATTTGTTGGTAACAAATCCCAATGATGCAACAGCAGTTCTTCCGATATACGCAATGAGCGCACCGAAGAGCATGCCGTGAACCATTCTGAGAGAGCATCCCTACTCCATTTCCATCCAAGGCAATACATCATCTCCATTCGAGTGATCTTTGTCGTTGTAAGAAGTCGCGGTGCTGGAGATATGGGTGATGACTCGTGCATGCGCAGCGTGGTCAGCCTTGGCTGTGCGCATAGCCAATCATCGAGTATTGAGAGTAGCGGACAAGCCTTGAATGTGATCGTGTCCAATCGTTCGAGGATTGGTGCAACAGAGATATCGGCCGTTTCGGAGAAACTAGCCAGGGTGAGATGTCGGAGATTACGAAACTGGCCTATATATTCGAGAAAGAAAGGAGATTCTAATGCATTTGTCCCGTGCAAAGACAAAGATGAGAGATCTCTATGTTGGTTCGATGAGATGGGGAATCCGCTCGACTCGTCCATTGAAATGAGTGCATGAGTCGTCAACTCTTGCAGATTATTGACGAGCTGAATAATGCTACGGAATAATGGGTAGATGCTGGGCGGAAAGCGGGCATTGACCCGTGTTGGGAGATGTAGACGTTTGATCAGTAGTCGCAAGTGTGGGTAATCTTCTAGAGAGTGATGAAGGCCTCTGGTTTCCTTAAGAGTATGAAGCCTTATCGACTTGTAGAGTACGCTCTGAGCGGGAACGTACCCTGTTGGGTGGTTAATGATGAAATAATCCATGCAAAGAAACGTACAGCTCCGACAGATGTACGGCAACGACCTCCATTCAGGCTTTCCCGCTGTTTGTTCACGAGAGAGATGCGCCTGGAGGAGCCTAGGAGGATCCAAGGAGATGACGGCTTCGAGGATGAGATACAGAATCTCGCGGGGAAGTAATTGTGCTACGCACTGTCAATGATCAGTACCAAAGTAAGGCGGACAGTTAAACACGGCCTACAAGCCTCCGATGATGATCCATGGAAGTGATCAACTCTTGAAGGAGGACGGGACGAGGCCGAACACCGAGCGGCGCTTAGTAGACCCGTTGTCACGGTCGAGGATAACTTTGAACTCCCCTTGGACCACCGTGTAGCCAAGCCCACTCCATTTCGGACAGCTCCAGGACTACCATGATCAAACTAGGACGCAATAAGTCTGCGCCAAACCCTGGATCTCGGATGTCGAAGCTTCTCCCTGGACCGACAAGTCTCCAACCTGCTGAGGTGATTTTACTCTAAGCTCGCTCTTGTGTAGATATTTATCTCTTTACAGAAACCACTTTCACATGCACAGGACCTTCCACCAGAGATCCTCGAGCTCATCTTTGGCTACTTGGAAGTCCCAGAAAGCCGTTTTAGGCGCATTCAACAGATGATGGGAGACAGAATGATCTTTTTCTCACTCGTATTCATCTGTAGACAATGTAAGTGCTGATATATCGACTATCTTCCTGACTGAGTCCTCATCAGGGCATGGACCGGCTATTGTAAGGCTGTACGCATCGATACACCTAAATACGAACGAGCAAGCGATCAGATTATATGAAACTCTTCGACAGAGATCTCATCTGCGCCCGCTTATTCGTGCGCTGCACCTGCCGTACCCTCAAAAAGGGCCGGCAACCCCACACATTTTCGCGCTCTATTGCCGCATCCTTGCCCTAGTCAGTGACCTTGAGGACCTCAGCGTACCAATCAAGCTGTTCACTCCTCGGAACCATGCGAATCGGTCGGACCGGAACGGCACCATTGTTACGCTTCCCATTACTCCGAATCGCCACCAAACCATCGAGGCCTTGACAGTATATGGAGGTGTTTATCTTGGTTCTATACCATTTCCTCGCTCCTTTACAATCTTCACCAACTTACGCTATCTGAATCTCGAGGGATTCGCGCTCAATCGTCATGTAGACCCGAGAATCACACCGCCGCTGCCGCATCTAGAGAAGATTGTATTGACGCGCTTCAATGGATTGGAGCATCTGGACGACTGGTTGCTTGCATCCCCTAAATTGACGACCATTGGCTTATGGTATACCCAACCAACAGCTACACTTCCCAAAGTCCTCTGTGTAGGACGCATCGAGTGTCTAGAAATGCTCATTGAACTTGGAATCAATCCTCTCCCCGCCACCATTCCATGCGTCTCATGGATCTTTGGCTGTATCTTTTGCGCCACTTACGGATATCCAGCAATCTCTTCAGAGCTATTAGTGGATTTATCCCATCCATCATTGAGGAGCTGACAGTGGAAGTAATGGACTCTCTATGCCCAAGCGTCGAGGAATGGAAACGGTACTTTAACCGTGGCACGAGAGTTCAAAAATTTGTGCTCTCCTTCCACAACACCGATCCTTGGTCAATTGACGTCGGGCAAAGGGCGCGTATTATTGCAGCAGGATATCGGATAGAAATTCACTTGGAATACCCGGATGCCACTCGGAGTGGTAGGTACAGACACTATTACTGGGATAGAGATTGATCTCTGGTTCGATAGGGGTGACACCTCGATCTGAGCATAGGAAATCATCCGTCTTCCGACGGATTACCAACACCAGCCGCAAATCTTTTTCGAACCAATGAACAATACTCTGTTTCAAATGGCGATGAACATACCATTTCTACTGAATGACGGTCAGATACCACCTTGTAGATCTCGAGGATTACCATATATGTGCAATGCTTGATGATCCAGATGCCTTGCTTCGTCTGTGAACTCTCTCTTCTTTAACCCGCCAAGACCTATGCTCGCCAGCTATAATATGAAACATGCTGGACCTCTCTGGATAGCACGACCCATGCACTTCGCATCTGATGTACGTCTGACATTTACGGTTTGTTCTCTGGGGCCAATGGAAATTGTGGCGAAAAGTCTCACTGATGGAAGTCCTTGATTGCACTCCTATCGAGTTACTCGATGTCATATTACCTTTGGAAATTGTGCAAAAGATGAATGGCGGACCTCCAATCACCCTCCCTATTCTCTCTCCTCAGGAGAAATGCGGTTGGAGTAATCTGGGGTATAAAATCTTGGAGGATAATGTGTAGAATGAGCAACTCTGGCGAAAAGCATCGACAAGATTCTAGGATCCCGCAGTGGAATATAATAATGAAACATGAGAATAAGTGTGGTATTTTGATTCATGGATTGGTAAAACCGGCAGGCGTACAAACCTTTGTCAGAGTCAATTGGGAACCAAACAAGGCGCCTGAGGTTCGGCCTTGATCTCCTCAACTACCGATTACAGGTCAAGATGGAAATAGCACGTTCTAATAACTTAGATAGAATCTCGTTGAGGTTTGGGCCTCTCAAGCCCCGAGGTTTCCAATACACGGAAGACTGCCCTAAGCGCAGTGTTGCGTGTGCCCTCAATTCCTCACAGAAGCCGCCATCACGTGCACAGATACTCCCTTTTGAGCTACTCGAGTTTATTTTTGGCTATTTGGTTGTTCCAGAAGACCGCTTCAAGCGTGTTTGTCGGCGCCTGAGGGGGAACCGAGGGCTCTTTCTATCACTATTGTACATTTGCCGACAATGTAAGTGCATTTCGCGTGCCATCAACCTTTGACCGAGACTTCATCAGGGTATGGTCCAGCCATTAGGAGACTATACGCATCGATAACCCTAGAAACGAACGAACAATTAATTAGATTATACGAAACTCTTCGACAGAGCTCCCATTTGCGCCCACTCATCCGTGCACTCCACCTACCCTACCCTCAGCAAGGCGCAACAGAGGTAGAAATATACGCTGTCTGTTGTCGTATACTTAGCCTCGTCAATGATCTGGACGAAGTCAGCATGCAAATCAAGCTTGTTCTTCCTAAAGACTGGAATGTTGGGTCGGGTCCGGAGGGCATCACTGTTGCGCTTCCGATTACTCCAAGTCGCCACCACACCATCGAATCATTGACAATATATGGAGCAGGCGATCTTAGCCGCATATTCTTTCCGCGCTCCTTTACAATCTTCACCAACCTGCGCTATCTAAATCTCGAGGTCTACTCACTGGTCTATCCCGTAGACCCAAGAGTTACACCACCTCTACCGCGTCTAGAAACGATCATTTTCACATACTCCGACGGAATACAGTCCATGGACGACTGGCTAATTGCATGCCCAAAGTTGACCACTGTCGGCCTATGGTACACCTATCCGGCATTACCGACTCTAAAAGTTCTCGCACGTGGAAAAATTCAGTGTCTCGAAATCCTACTTCGTATCAGAATCGCCCCTGTCCGCATCACCGCTCCAAGCCTTGCATGGATCTCAAGCTGCGGCTCCCTGCGCCGATTACGAATCTCTAGTGATATCTTTAAACATACCAGTGGAAGAATCCCAATCGATCTCGAAGAGCTAAGAGTGGAAATGATAGAGTCGCCATATCCAAGTGTCGAAGACTGGAGACGGTATTTGAGCCGTGGCACGAGGTGCAGCATTTTGTACTTTCCTTCCATAGGTCCGATTCCTGGGCCATCGACGCTGGCCAAAGGGCACATATTATCGCCGTTGGATATCAAGTGAAAATTCATTTGGAATATCCGACAACCTCCTGGAGCGGTAGGTCGTGACGCTATTTGAGGATTCGAGGCTGATCTGTGTATAGGAGCAACTCCTCGACCTGAGAATAAGAAATCCTCCATACTTCAACGGATGTCCCGGAGCGGCCGCAAACTGCTTTCGAGTTGAAGAATAACGAGTCATCTTTCATATGCTGATCAATATATATTGTCGGAGGTGTATCGTTACAATCAATGTGTTATAATTCTACTGGGCAGCCTTTAATATGACCCCGTAGACGTCGAATTCAACGCACATGTACATTGCTTCATTCTTCAGATGCGCTGCTTTTTCCGTGCACTCTCTTCCTCAGCCTGATAAGCCGTCTTTGGAGCGTCGGCTCGCTGTCAAAGCTTATCAAAATACTACTCGCGACTTGCAAGTAAACGCTACGTACCAGACCTCTCTGGATAGATGCCTGTACGTCATCGCCAGACGGACCTCCAGCAGGTTGCTTCTTCTTCGCGGCCTCCTCTTCGGCGTAATACGCCGTCTTTGGCGCGTCGGTCCTCTATCCCATGGTCAGCATCGATCTCAATAAGCCAGAAGCAGGATAGACGTACCAGTTCACGCTCGATGGTAGCCTCCAGTTCGTCATGGCTCGGACCTCCGGCTGGTTGCCTCTTCTTTGCTGCCTCTTCCTCGGCATGGTAGGCAGTCTTGGGCGCATCAGCTCTCTGAATAAATGGTCAGCCAACGGTACGATATAGCGCTTGTTAGTAAACTCTACCATTTCGCGTGCGAGGGTAGCTTGCACATCTTGATTGCTCGGTCCGCCAGCAGGCATATCTTCTTTGCCACCTGGTTGTCCTGAGAGTCCAACCTTTTCAGCGACGGGGACGGCTTTGGCGTCATTGGAAATGTTCTCGCCGTGCTTGAGGGCAGAGCTTCCAACAAAGTAGTAAACCTAAACACAGTTGATTAGCGTGTAAAATCGTAAACAAAACGAAAACGTACGGTGGGAACGAGTACAGCGACTCCACCGACCTGTACCCCAGAACGTTAATTCGAGGGATTGTCGTCATGCGTAGGTAAAGCTCACAATCCACGGAAGGTCCTTCGACCTCTTGTTATGCGGAGGCGTGCTCGTTCCGCCGACGCTCCTCTTTGGCATCACTGCGACACGCATCGTCGAGCGAGGAAGTCTGGTAGCTGCAGTACGGAGACTCATTGTGATTTAATTTTTGCGAGAAAGTCGTGGTAAGAGTTCAAGTTGCAATGTCGTAGTTTGCCACTTGACGTCAGGTCGTCGATTGCCTAATCGGTGGAGCTCATTAGAACTGGTAAACAATTTGGATACACAAAAGCATAGAATACAATTTAGTTACTAATAGAGTCTAAGGACGAGGATTATAAGGATCATCTGCAATCATAAATGAGCTTCATAGCTCTTTTTCGTCGTGTTTCGTTGCGTTCGACATTGAAGAATTATTGACTCCAATAGGAGCGAGTTGAGCGGCTAGAAGACTGGATGCACTCAGCTAATCTTCTCATTCGGCGGGGTAAATACTCACAGTAGACGACGTAGAAGAGTGTCTAGAGTGTGAAATTGGGGTTCTCCACTCGTTTCCTTGCGCGGTTGGGTGCTGGAACGAAGTGGCGCCTTCGTTGGAAAAGCGTGAGCGGTTCAAGGTCGATGTAGGAGATTGAACAGGAGATCCCCAGTACTCTGTATCGTCGTAGCCGTCATAAACGGGCGTCATCGATGAGCGGAACGTCTTGAGCTGTACACCATCTTGGCCGGCTTGTCGGTCATTGCCAAGTACGTCTGTCATCTGAGTCTTGAAAAGAAATCCAATAAACTCGGAGACAGTGACGGTGGTGCTGTTGCGGGACATGAGGAATATGGGCGGCGTCAAGTTGTAAAGGTCAGGCGGACGGTCGGTCGGGGCGGGTGATAGAGGGGGATCGTTCCTCCACGAAATTCTGCGTCGGGTTTTATGCGCCGCTGCTACTGACAAATTTAGAGTAGTGGAGCCACTTTCTCGTCAGACCTCGGCCGTTGACATCGGAGACGGCATCAGCGTCATCCGGGAGAAATTTTTCAGAATTACTCAAGAGTTTTAGCATACAATCTTTCACTCTATTTAGCATGCTTTTCCATTTTCCGAGTAATTTTCGAGAGTGGTTGTAACAGCTCGCTAACCGCCTCTTCATCAAGCAGCAACGGCGTATTTTAGAGAGCTCTGGAATATACTCTGACTTTTTACGCCAACCATTTACCCCTAATGAGCCCATGGCCTAGACATTGGCTGTCGAACTCTAGCGGCCTCAGCCCATCCAAGCTGGACGCATCGCTACACCCCGGAAATTTGTATTGTAATATTTTAAACCCTCTCCAAGCTTATTGGTAAAATCTTGAATGCCCACGGCAGCCACAACATGGGGATCTACAGGCCCGCTGTGTTTGTTTTGCGCCCAGTTCAACTCTGACCTAGCCTCGTCGACCTCGAATCCACGAAATCTAGCCGAAGATTCGCAAATATCTGCGGTCTAGCTTTCTACAACATTTCTACTACTCATAAGAGTAGCCCCAGCGCATCTAATCAACCAATATACACCCATCCCACCGACTCGCCGCCGACCTAGATCCCCCAGATGGCTTCTATCGCAGCCACGACCTCGCCTGGAACTTCAGAGGTCACTTCGGTAAGCATTTATAACAGTTTCAATCCTCCTGGCCCCTCGCTCACAATCTCTGGCTTGGCTTTGTTTTCTCATGGACGATCGTCGTATAGGCCTCTAGCGATCCTCCAGGGCCCTCAAATAAATCTGAAGAAACATCTCTGTATCTTCCATTATCAATGCGCAAGCAATACGTCCTTGCGTCCACCCAAACCGATCCGCCAGCCTCTTCTGACCAGCAAGAACCGGCTGTGGCCTCTTCATCGACTACTACCACTCCCTTGCTCGCCGCATCTCTTCGAAGAGCTGGCTCTCGTCCCCTTCTCCGACGCCAGGGCTCCAGCGCGCGACGGACCGGGCCTACGACACCGCCGCTCCATCAGCTGCTGCTCGCCAACGGCACACTGAGCACAATCTCAATCCTCTCCTCGCCCGCCCTCACCTCTAACGGTACTTCTCCTCGCTCCAGCGCATCGCTCGATAGCCTCGTGGACGACGGCTCGGTCACTTTATCTGCTGATGAGCAAATAAAGCCCAAAGAACTCGTCACAATGCTCGCAGAAGAAAATGAGGAGCTTTACCTCGACAATCTCGAGTTCAAGGAGCTCTTGGACGCTCGCCAGCAGGCCCTCGTGCGTGCTCAGGCAGACCTCAAGGAGTCCAAGGCGAGCATCGCTGGACTCGAGAAAAAGCTGCAAAGAAAACAAGAAAAATATCAAGTGAGTTTTCCCATCTCTATCTCGCTAAATGAAGCAGCCACTGGGTTTTCGAGAAATTTTCTTTGGTTTTCGACCTATTTGGCCACATGTTTGGCCATTGGTTCGCACGCGAATCACGGCCCTTGCTTTGTTGTGACGGGGTTGTGATCATAGACAGTTGCTGACAGAATCGCCCCTATCTTCTAGTTGGCCAAATCCGAGTTGTACGAATCGTACAGACGATACGACTCGGTCAAGTATGTCAGCAGCATTTTTTGCAGCAGCTTCAAGACACATCGGCTATTGGCCGAGGAGCGTGAAAAGGCAAACGAGGAGCTCCGTCGCCGTAATGACGAGCTCTTGGTGCTCCTCGAAGAAATGACGCGCGACAAGGACGTTGTCTCTGCGGACAAGGCCCAGCTGCTAGCGGAAAAGGAGGAGTTGTTGGCAGAAAAGGACAAGCTGCAGAAGGAAAAGGAGCAATTGCAGTTGGAACGCGAACAAGCCCAGGCAGAAAGCGAGCGACTCCAGTCTGAAAAGGAGGAGCTCAAGACCTCGCATGCCAAAACCGTTGAGGAGCTGCATGCCGAGGTTGATGCCCTTCGTGCAAACATCAAGCTTATTGAGCGCAAGAACGCTCAGATGCTCGACAAAAACGCCTTTTTAACTCTTCAGATTGACGAGCTGGAAACTCGCCTGGACGAGCGAAGCAGTCAAATGGAGGGTCTAGAGGCCCGTAACGAGGAGCTCTGCGACACGATTCGTCTTATGCAAGAACGAGAAGAAGAATTGGAAAATAAGGTTGAAGAGGCGCGAGCCGACTTTCATGAAGTCCAGGGTGTGCTCGAGGACCTCGAAGCCGCATATTTGCAACTCAAGACCACTGGACGATCCAATAGCTACGTGCCCGATGACCGTAGCGAACGTGCCAGTATCACGAGCGAAGACATGGACGTAGCCGCCCTCGAAGATGCTGCCAACGCCGTCAACGAGCATGGTGAACATGTCGAACACGAGCGACACCACCGTTCCTATGAGCGCCCTTCGTCCACCGTTCCTGAAATTGACACCAGCGATCCCGCTGCGGTTGCCGCCCAGATCAAGCGTCTTGAGCGACTTATCGACGAGTACCACGATTGCATCAGCTCCCTCCGCCACGAACGTGCCAAGCTCTCGGATAGGGCGTTGGAGATTGAGGACATGGAACGCGATCTCCAGGGCCGCCTTGACAAGTATCGAGAGATCCAAATCGACTTTAGGGAGCGCGAAAACGACTTTTATGCCGGTTGCGAGATTCGCGAAAAGGAGTTCCTCGACCTCAGCGACGAGTATGAGCAGTGGCGCCTCGATTGCGAGGTCCGCGAGCTCAAGGTTGAAGAAGAGCGCATCGAGGTCTGGCGGTTCCGCCGCGAGCTTGAGAGGCGTCTGGAGCGCGTTATTCACCGCGAGGCACTCGTTCGCAAGCGCGAAGGCGAAGTCCGCTGGCGCTTGATGTGCCTCGATGGCGCATTTGCGAATGCTGAAGGTTGCTGGCGCTGCATCCCACAACCGCCCGAGCTTTTCCCTCCAACTCCCGAGCTGGACATGAAGCACATTGAGGATGAAGTCGAAGAATTTGCTGCAGAGCAAGAGCTCCTGCGCCAAGAGGCCCTCCGCGTCGCTGAAGAGACGGGCAATCCTCCCGTTCAACCGGAGTGCTCGCTCGTCCCTATTCGTGGTCTCAACCGCGAGCAAGCAGAAGAGAGGCTGCGCGAACTCGTCGAGGACGATGTTGATGAACGTTACCTTCGTGAAGAACTCGATGCACCGTTCGAGTTTGACACTCACGAGGCCGTTCGCCGATATATTGAGGAGCAGGAGCAGTATGAGCGCGATTATAGGATGGACGAGTTTATCGATTTCCAAGCGGAGGAACCCGAGCTGCAACAAGCTGCCGCCGAATTTGACGAAATCGTCCACGCAAAGGTGGACGAGTTGATGCGCCAGGCCGACGAGAAGCGTCGCCAGGTAAAGGAAGCAAAGGAGCGAAAAGAGATTAAGGAGGCTCGTGAAGGCGAGATTCCAGGCGTGTATGACCCTGCATTGGTGAGTGCCTGCACCCTCCAGCGTTTTCTCTGTTTTCTGACTGTCGCATAGGCCAAACTCAATAACGACGGATTACATGGATTGGGGCTCGTTATGAACCCAGAACAAGCTCCGGAAAGCGAAGACGCTACCCACGATCCCTCTGCCCTCAGCTCTGCCTTTACGTTTTCGTGCCCAAAGGCGAGCACTTCGACTGCCGGCGCCGAGACTTCCTCGTCCACGACGCACGCCCTCGCGACTGATGTCGCCACGTATGCCCGTGAGGAAAGTCAAGGTGCCGATGCTGTTGAAGGAGGTGCAGAGGAACTCACAACCTCGTGGGAGGACGTCACTCGCGATACGGAGGTCCCAGTCCAACCATAGTCTGTTTTCAGTTATTCACCTGGTCAAATGTTGTCAAACGCAACCTCTCCGCCTAGATCAAGCACAAATCTCGCTCTGCGGATTGTAGCATTCCATCTCAACTCGCAAATCATTCGCCTCGCTTCACTTTCTCGCTCTCAGCTTTCAACTCCTGCACTGTAGCTCTACCAGCATCAGCAATGTCACCCATCAGCATCGACCTCACTCTCCAGCATGTAATCGTCACGACATGTGCATTTTCAACGTCAGCCGCTCTGCAAAACACCCGGAACTCGTTCTCTACAATTTCAACGTCCGCAACTCGCCCTCTGAATTCGACATGAACAACTCGCTCTGTGCAACTGTTGTGCTCTCATCAAGCTCGCCAGTTTGAAACTGGATGTAGTAGTATTGCAAGCTCGGAATCCATCCCGGTCACTCCTTTTCCCTTCCTACTGATCTTTACTTATTCCCCTATTTCATTCAACTGTGCATATTCATTTTGCTCATCACTCTGCATTTGGTCCCATTGCTTCATCTGTGCATATTGGCTCATTCTCCGACTCGTCACACTCTCAATTTGCGAATCCCAAGCATTGTAGTGTCGTTTCATGAACATGGATTCAATTTCTTTTCCAAAAACTGTGCGCGCTCGATGAGATTAGGCGCCTCGTCGCTGGGCTCAGACTGGGCCGCAGTCGCCGCAATCGATGCCAGAACTGGGCTCAGAGTGTCGTCTGCGCACTGCGTGGGCGGAAATGGCTTGAAAAGGCTGATCGATTGGCAAGCGCCTAAGAGCCAAACGTGGAAAGCAACTTGGAATCTGCCACTCTAATCCTCGACTGCACAAATGGTTCGTCATCGTTCTCGTCGTCGCTGCGTTTAATGCTCATCTGCGTACTCTCGTTGTTATCCGTTGTGTGTACGGGCGATGTCACCCTTACACCTTGATCGTTATGGGCATCACGATTCACTAGGCCTCTGGAGTTCCTGTCAACCCGGATTGTATCACAACTTCTCAAGAGGGATTCAAGAACAAAAACAAAGGAAGTGGCCCACGACTGAAGTACATCATCTTCACGGTCAACAACACCAAAACCGAGATCGTGGTCGAAAAGGTCAGTTAAAGGTGTCCAAACCGCCTTTGTGAGTTGATAAACCTGGTTACTGAGAATGGATTGACGCAGACGTCGACTGACTCGACGTACGAGAACTTCCTCAACGACCTCCCAGAGAATGAGCCCCGATGGGCACTTTACGATTTTGAGTACGACCTTGGGGATGCCGGAAAGCGCAGCAAGATTGTGTTCATAGCCTGGTAAGCCTGCGCCTATTCCCTCTGGCCTTGCGCGGTCGTTGACCTTGTGGCGATTCCGCGGATGCAACTTTATGACGCTACTTTCCGTCTCTAGGTCTCCTGACTCGGCGACTGGACGACAGAAGATGCTATTTTCGTCTTCCAAGGCCGCGCTCCGTGATAGCTTGAAAGGAATTATCAATGCAGACATCCAGGCTACCGATTTAGACGAAGTTTCGGAAGCAGCGCGTATGTGATTCTTCATGTGCTCCATGTATTGTTTTCTAACCCTTTCACAGTCCTTCAGAAGCTCCCGAGGACGTAAACTGTGTTGCCGACTCGTCGCAGCGACAAGGCTTCTTTATGAGCTCAATGTACTCAAGGCATTCTTTACCCTTGTTGAAATCGTTTGAATCTGCGCAATGACAACTATTTTCACCATCTCTAGCTGCCTTGTACATGCCTGTAAATGCTTTCTGTACTCTGTTTCTTGTAAACGTCCTTCAGTTGCAGTGGCCAGTCTGTAGAGACCACGTTTGACAATCACCTGCTTTGCTTCCACCCACGACTGGGGTTTCCTCAAGAAAGTTATGAAATGTCGACTCTGCCAATCCCATTGCTGTCCTTACTCCGGAAATTTATTTCGGAATTCTCTCTAAAGTACCCCTCCAAAGCATCTGCAACCCCACGACCAGCAGGACGATTCGCGTCATTGCTGCGAGCTGCCGCCATCCCCTCGCTGGGCTATTTGCTCGGCTGGGGACCACAAGTCTCGTCTAGTTCTATATCATCGGATGAAAAGGGTGCTACTGGGCAGGCTTCGGAGGTTTCGTCGTATAACGAGAGCGGCAATGAGTCGGGGAATCAGGAGCCAAAAAAGCAGCGCAAAGAGGATCTGTATGATCCGAATGCACCGATTTATCGGCTTATGAACAACCCGACGGTGTTTGAACCTACGCGCGCGCCTCGAAATCCGATCGTCCTTGCACATGGTACGATTCTTCTCTTGGCCTACTTCGGAGGACTGACTTTGAACAGGACTTTACGGATTCGATGTACGAGGGTTCTCTACGTGGCCGAGTCTACAGATTCATTATTGGTCTGACGTGCTGGGTATTCTAAGGAAGAAGGTTGGAGCAGAAGTCATCGTCACCAGAGTTCCGTCGTACGTACTGATTATCGATACATTGAGTCTGCTGAGCGCGGATAGGACTGGTTCGATCCAGGAACGGGCGAAGACGATGCACGACTGCTTACAGCACGATGCCGCTGGACGGAGCATCAATTTTATTGCACATTCTATGGGAGGACTTGACTGTAGGCAGCTGATCTCCAACATCAAGCCAAAGGAGTACACTCCGCTTACCTTGACTACCGTCAGCACACCCCATCGTGGTAGTCCCTTTATGGACTGGCTCATGGTATGTTTTAAATCTTCTGGGAATACAAGATCTAAAATCCTGTAGGAAATCATCGGGATAGGCTCTGTGCGAGAGCCAATACCAGGGATCAAGCCCGTTTCGCCGGCTGTCCCATTACCCTCATCTATTATCTCATTTATCGACTCCCCAGCATATTCAAACCTCACTTCCAACTATCTCAAGGCCCATTTTAACCCTTCAACGCCAGACTCGCCCAACGTTCGCTACTGGTCTGTCGCAGCACGCACACCGAGCATGTCCTTCTTCCACCCGCTATGGCTCCCGAAACTTATTCTGGACGGATACGAGGAGAAGGTTCAAAAGTCCGGGAAGTATCCCAATCGACAGTACGGCAATGACGGGCTCGTCACCGTGGAATCTGCCAAATGGGGTGAATTCCTGGGTGTGCTAGAGAATTGTGACCACTGGGATATGCGGGGTGCTGGAGGGCTGTCTGCTCATCACGCAGACGAGGCAAAAGGCGCAGAGAGCGCCGTGGCTGGGTCGGGATCCAACCAGAGTACGTGGAGCTGGACGGATTGGCAACGGTTCCTTGGAGTATGGAATCAGGACAAGAGCCGACGTGACCAAGCGGCGCTTCAACAGCAGAAGCTTCAAGAGGAGGACGGCAAGGCGCGTCGAAGTCAAAAGGCCCAAATGATTGCGACACTTGGAGATTCAGAATCTAAGGAAAAGATTGTGCAAGAAGCGAATCAGAAGGAAGGAGGACAATCCCCGATGGATTCTGTACTAGATTGGGTGGTGGAGAATGTCCCGGGCATCAACGCGGTTACTGCACCCCTCAAGCTTGTCACATCCTCTACGAGCGAGACAAAGGAGGGGAAGCCTCAAATAGCGGATCACGGCTCGACGAAGCCTCCGAGGTTTGACTTGGAGAGATTCTACGTTGCCTTGTCGCGGAAACTGTACGATGAGGGTTACTAAATATTTGCACTTCTAAATTTACATTGAGCGCTACCGCCGCGAGTGAGCCGAGAAGCCAAGTGTCGAACCGAGGCGAACGGCCAAAGCAAGCAAGCCCTTTTGGATCCCTCCTCTACCGTCCTTGAATTTTCTTTCAAATCGACTCTCTTCAAATCAGCACCGACTATGCGTATTTTACCGTCACTTTCTTTCTTTTCACTCGCTCTTCCGCTCTTGGTTGCCGCTCTCGATGAGTCGCAGATGCAAGCGCACCTCGCCGCTGCGTCAGGTCTTTTGGGAACATGGGAGGAATCTTCAGATGCACTTGCTGGATGGATGAGCAACCAACCAGACTCGACAACGTTTCCTACTCTCAGTATTCCAGGGACCCACGATTCTTTGGCCTGTGAGTGGTTTATGCACGCTCACGATGAGATCAGAAGCGCTTATACAATAACTTCATCATAGGGAATGTTACGGGAATTGCAGCCGCGTTCACCAAGACCCAGGTATGCAGCGCGATTGGCGCTCGGCCAAATCTTTGTTCGCTGACCCCGGCATTTAGGATCTGCCGCTCTTCAAACAACTCAACGGTGGTGTGCGCTTCATTGATTTACGAGTAGGAGAGAATAATGGAATGATCCAACTCTATCACGGTCCGTCCCTGCCCTGGTTATTTCGAGGGTATCCGCAGTCACACTGACGAGCCCATTGATCTCTAGGTGCTGCGCTTTTGGATACGACCGCACAATTGGCAGATATCTTTTGGGGTCTGTACAGATGGCTTGATGCGCATGCGACGGAAACGGTCATGGTCTCGGTTAAGGTCGATAATGGGAACAGTACCGCCTCTCTGCAGCAGACTATCTATGACCTTGTGACTGGTCAAGATGTGGCCCAATATTGGGTTCAAAGTACTGCGGTGAGTTGTACATGTTACCCTCTGTTGACGCCACTGACTCCCTGTTCTAGCTTCCTACGCTGGGCGAGGCGCGTCACAAGGCGATTCTGCTTCGTAGGTTCGCATTTGATCAGCTGCAGAATATCACACCCATCGGCATCGACGCATCCTCGGGCTGGGCGGACAACAACGCCCAGTTCCAGATCCAATACGGCGCCAATGGCGAGACGCTCTACATTGAAGACTTTTACAACGTCGGAGGCAACGACCTTGAAAGTGCCGTAGCCTCCAAGTACCTTGCGCTCTCCGCCAATCTCGATATTGCTACGAGCGCTCAGCACCCAGATGGCTTGTTCATCAGCTTTGTGAGCGGCTATTCAGGAATTTCTGTCACTCCTTCGCAACTCGCCCAAGGAAATAACACATCACCCGGGATGAACAGCAGAGCACTGTCGTACTTGGCCGGCAAGCAAGGCTCGCGATTTGGTGTGGTGCTCTTTGACTTTTTCGGCTCCGACTCGCGTCTTGCGCCTGCAACGCTTGGACAATCGGTCGATTTAAGCGCCACGCCGAGTGGTGCAGCGAGCCCCTCGACGACGAGCATCGGGACGTCGCATTCGAACGGCGCACATCTTACCACTGCATCCTCTCTCCTTTTCCCCATCGTACTCCTCGCAGTCTCTTCTCTTGGCATCTCTCTATGAGAATCTACACGGACATATCTACCCATCTCGCTCTCTCGCATTTCGCTTATTGTAACGATTTGGACGGCTGCGAATGTGGCCTGTCCTTGCTCTCTCATCACATTTCTCACGACAAAAGGTTATGGTACGCTTTCTTGTGCCTTGCTCGCGCATTGCGTCGGACTTTTAGAATATGGTCATCTGCTGGGGTAGATTTAATAAATCCTTGAATGCGTGGCGGATATCCACCTGAACTTTCAGTTTACTTCTCAATAATGCCGTTAATTGCTGCACTCCATGGTTGATGGAATGTACGGTTCGAATAGATTAATGCCGTAGGTTACAAACATAATGCACTCGATTAGATCCTATCACTGTGGCTATCCCAATTCCAATTCCATTCGCCCCTTTTGGTCCCGTCCACCCCAGATGTCCAAGTCATGGTTCGAACGCAAAGGCAAGAATCCCCGTTCAAAGGACATCAGTAACCAACCCAGCCCTCAATCAAACGCGTCAAGCCCAAGCACAAGCAGCCGCTCTGACAGAGTGCGCGATACCGCCATTCCGATTCTCGACCTCGTCGCCAACATCTCAGAAGCATCTGATGCGCTTGCCTCTCTCAAAGCGGCATGTAGAGCTACAAAGCAGATCCTCGAGATAGCACGCGTATGTCTGAAGGATGTGTTTGACTTGTCTGATGGCACAGATAGGCTGTCCAGAACAACAAAAAAGATTGGAAACGTCTTGCTGGGCGGCTACAAGGTCATTTGGAGTCGATGGAGGGCCAGATAACCATATTCGAGGAGCATCCAGAGAAGAACCACCAGGTGGACGACTCGTTGCGACAACCACTACTAGTCTATGTCAGGCAAGTTTAATACTTCAGGGTCGGGCACTCGGCTTATGGTCTGGACAGAAAGCTCGATGAAATACAGAGAGCAATCGAAGCACAAACCAGGTCGCGGCTGTTGTCTCGAGCAATGAAAGTTGACATGGACGCAGGAGATATTCGAGATTTTCATCAAGACATTGACGATTGTCACCAAAGGCTTACGGTACAGGCCACGGAGACCTCTTATTTTCGTACTGACGGCATGTCAGGCTGCTCTAGCTGTATCATCTTCGCTTCATATTCAAGCCGTCAAAGGGGACACCGAAGTTTTAAGAGCGGATACACAAGTCATCAAAGAAGATACTAAGACTCTATTGAAGGATGGTAAGCCTGCACTGTTGGCACGGTCGATTCGCCTCACCTGTTACAGCGGACTTGGTGATCATCTCTCAACTGCCGATTGTTCTCTCGACGTCTTCCATGATTCACAATAGCTGCAATCCGGGAACTAGAGAAGCTGTTCTCGATTCGATTCGTCGGTGGGGAGAGGGCGAATTCGCTGAGCCCATCTTCTGGCTCTGCGATATCGCCGGCTCCGGGAAATCGACAGTATCAACGAGTATGGTCACAATCTGGAAGCAGGCAGGGCTGCTCGGTGGTTACTGGTTCTTCTCAATCGCCAGCAACGAGGAGTCGACCATTGTCAAGATGTGCCCAACCTTCGCCAGGCAGATGTTCGAAAACATCCCAACGCTAGCCCCATCTATTGTGGATGCGGTCAAACGATACCCTTCGATCATGTCATGTACCTTTGAGGAGCAGTTCAAAAAGCTGATCGTGGAGCCAACGAAACATCAGAACAAGCGCGTCATCTTGGTCATCGACGCGCTCGACGAATGCATGTCTGGACTACAACGAAGAAAGCTCATCGAAACACTTTCCACCGCCATTCAGGAAAGCCCAAATCTAAAGATATTCATGACAAGTCGACCAGACCCTGTCATCCAAGCGACCTTGGGGTCGCTTTCAATCAAAGCCAAGATGGAGGACCGGTTGCACGATGCCAGACATCGTGATAATATCGATGACATCGCAATCTATATAGAGCAACTGATCAACGGGATGCTGCCGGAGGAGAAGAAGCGACGACTGGTCAAAAATGCCAATGGGTTGTTCATCTGGGCCAGCACCGCGTGTCGAATGCTGAAAAGCGAACCGACATTGGATACCCATGAGGGGATATATGAACGCCTAGTCTCAGTGGACCAGACCGGGGATATAGACGAGATATACGACCTCATTTTCGAGCGGGCAGACCCGAAATCTCTCACGACGATATGTAGCATGCTAGCTATATTGCTTGCTTCATATGAGTCGCTCGCTGTGGACGACTTCGAGGACCTTCTCAAACACGCTGGAGTACGCGGGAGCGTGAATGCCCTGGTTCAGAATTTGGGAAGCGTACTTAGTGTAGACCCAAATACAAGGCAAATCCGATTCCGTCATCCCACTCTGGTCGAGTACCTTCGACGCCGCTCCCAAGCTTCAGCCGTCGATAGCCATAACAAGGTCTATATCAACGTGGTCAATGCACACGGTCAAACGGCGTCGTGGTGTCTAAAACGCCTCAATTCACCGACCGAAGGTGTCAAGTTCAACATTTGCCAAATCGAGTCATCTTTCTATCCGAATAGGCAGATAGCGAACCTTGACGCGAGGATATCAGAGTTCATTCCAAGAAAACTTGGATACGCGAGCTCGCATTGGTTGTTTCACTTGGCGGAAACGGATAATAAGTGGCGAGGTACGCTCAAGAGGGAAGTAGAGCGCATTATTCAAATCCCACGTGTGTTTTACTGGATGGAGATCTTGAGCTTCATGGGAAATGTGCCACGAGCGATTGCCGGACTTCGAGCCGTTACACGCCATAGAGGGGTGAGTGATCTATGGTGATATACTCTTGTATTAAACGATATAAAGCTCGAAGAAGACACCAGAAGCCGTATGACGGAGATTCGACGGTTTATTATGACGTTTTCGGTGCCGATCCAGGAAAGTGTGCCACATATCTACATCTCTGCGATTCCGTTTTCGCCTCAGAACTCAAGAATGCATATAGAGGGACTAAAAACGTATGCGAGCTGTTTATCTGCGACTCGAGGGGTTGAGGAGGTGTATCCCGTACTTCCCAGATCTCTTCGAGGTCACCAAGGCTTGATCAGCGCTGTCATATTTTCCCCGGATGGGTCGCGAATCGCTTCTAGCTCGATTGATAAGACGATTCGACTGTGGGACGCAGACGCTGGTCAACCATTGGGAGAGCCACTGCGAGGTCATGAAGGTCATGTCTTTGACATCGCATTCTCCCCTGACGGCTCACAACTCGTTTCTTGCTCGGATGACAAGACAATTCGACTTTGGGAGGTAGACACTGGTCAGCCGTTAGGCGAGCCCTTCCAAGGTCACGAATCCACAGTTTTGGCCGTCGCATTCTCACCAGACGGCTCACGAATTGTGTCTGGATCGGAAGATAGCACAATTCGACTTTGGGATACGGATACTGGCCAGCCGGTAGGCGAACCACTCCACGGTCACGAAGGCGCAGTAAACGCGGTCGCGTACTCACCAGACGGCTCAAGGGTCATCTCTGGCTCGGACGACCGGACGGTTCGACTTTGGGACGTAGATACTGGTCGAATGGTGGGAGATCCATTTCGAGGTCACAAAAAAGGGGTGAACTCCGTTGCATTCTCTCCAGCAGGCTTGTGGATTGTGTCTGGCTCATCTGACAAGACAATCCAACTTTGGGACTTAGACACACGTCACCCATTAGGAGAACCGCTCCGAGGTCACAGAAAATCAGTCCTAGCCGTCAGATTCTCGCCAGATGGCTCACAAATCGTTTCTGGTTCGTGGGACAGGACGATTCGACTGTGGGCCACAGACACTGGCCGGGCATTGGGAGAACCACTTCAAGGTCACGAAGGCGAGATATGGACCGTAGGTTTCTCGCCCGATGGTTTGCGAATCGTCTCCGGTTCGGTTGACACAACGATTCGACTATGGGAAGCAGAAACTTGTCAGCCTCTGGGGGAGTCACTCCAAACTCACGACGACGCCATCTTATCAATCGCATTCTCCCCAGATGGCTCTCGAATTGTCTCCAGCTCGAAAGACAATACAATCCGACTTTGGGAAGCAGACACCGGTCAGCCTTTGGGAGAGCCACTTCGAGGGCACACCGGTTGTGTCAATGCCGTCGCATTCTCTCCGGATGGCTCACGAATCGCCTCTTGCTCGGATGACAATACGATTCGACTATGGGAGGCAGACACCGGTCGGCCTTCAGGGCAGCCACTCCAAGGTCAAACCGGCCCGGTGATGGCCATCGGATTCTCGCCTGATGGTTCACGAATTGTCTCTGGCTCCTGGGACAAGACGGTTCGACTTTGGGAAGTGGGCACTGGCCAGCCTCTAGGGGAGCCCCTCCAAGGTCACGAATCCACGGTTTTGGCCGTCGCGTTCTCCCCTGATGGCACACGAATTGTGTCTGGCTCGGAGGACTGTACTATCCGACTGTGGGAGTCGGAGACTGGCCAACTATTGGGAGGGCCACTCCAAGGTCACGAGAGTTGGGTCAAATGCGTTGCATTCTCACCGGATGGCTCACTAATTGTCTCCGGGTCGGATGACAAGACAATTCGACTATGGGATTCAGAAACCTGTCAATCTTTGGGAGAGCCACTCCGAGGTCATGAAAATCACGTCAATGCCGTCGCATTTTCACCAGACGGCTTGCGGATCGTCTCTGGCTCGTGGGACAAGAACATTCGACTCTGGGAGACCGAAACTAGGCAGCCTTTGGGGGAACCGCTTCGAGCTCACGACGGTGGCATCAAGGCCGTCGCATTTTCACCAGATGGCTCACGGATCGTCTCTGGCTCCTCGGACAGGACGATTCGGCTATGGGATGTAGATATTGGTCAGTCTTATTTCTGCTTCTGGAATTAACCTGACAATTTTCATTAGCTATCTGCTCCAAGAGTCCCTACCAGAAAGACATAGAGCCTTCAGGCTTAGATTTCGGGCCCCAGCCACGGGGTGATCCCTTGGGAATCCATGTACCTGGATTCAATCATTGCTTATTGTCTCAAGATGGCTGGGTGCAATCTTCCGATAAGCTTCTTTTCTGGGTACCGCCAGACAATCGTCACGGCTTGGTATATCCGAATCGTCTGACGATACCAGTGACAAGTCACTTGCGTACAACCACCCTCGACTTTACGCACTTTCGATGCGGTTCCTCGTGGACAAATGTTCGAACGAACTCCAACTAGTGGCGTATGGCGACTGCATTCTATCTTTCATGTATACCTTTAGAGAATCCTAGGAGGCAAAACATAATCCCATTTCGTGGCCACCTGTTGTACCGCCTTATCATTCTAGAAGTACTGAAAGGCCTGATCGCTTGTCGAAAGCAATTGGATGAAACGAATGAGGGCGAGCGTAAAACGGGTTGTTATTGTTATTTGATAAATGGATGTCGGAGACAAATGGGCGCATATTTTGGCCGGCATAATCTGGTCCAGGAGCGTCCAGTTATCCGACAGTCGCTTTTGGGCCCATCGACACTTCGACCTCGACCCCAAATATTCGCCAACAGACACTCGCCTTCGACATCCATTTGTCAAATAACAAATAGCGTATATAAAGCAAGTAACGGTAAAAAATGGCTTGAACTCTTCGCATGTACATGATACCGGTTGTTAGAGGTTGTATATACGCGCGAGTTATGGGCAATGAAACTTTATGATAGAGCCTATTTCATTGCGTTCTCTGGGAAGCCATTCTGATCGATACTCACCACCTACCTAAGCTAATTAGACTCTGTCTATTAGGTTGACGATACATGTCACCCAAAGTCGAGGGAGATATAATATTTGACTACACCTGAGACCTACATAGTCTGGGTAGATGCGCTGATAGAGTCACACTCGTGACTTGCCCGCCATTCACCCTTTTGGATCCATCCATCATAGATGTCCAAGTCATGGCTCAAAGGCAAAGGCAAGAATCCACGTTCAAAGGATCCTAGTGATCAATCTGTCTCTCAATCGAACCCGTCGACTGCTGGTACAGCCAGTGGCTGGGAGAAAACTCGCGACACGGCCATTCCGATTCTCGACCTCGTCGCCAACATCTCAGAAGCATCTGATGCGCTTGCCTCTCTCAAAGCGGCATGTAGAGCTACAAAGCAGATCCTCGAGATAGCACGCGTATGTCTGAAGGATGTGTTTGACTTGTCTGATGGCAGCGATAGGCTGTCCAGAACAACAAGGAAGATTGGAAACGTCTCTTTGAGCGGCTACAAGGTCATTTGGAGTCGATGGAGAGCCAGATAGCCATATTCGAGGAGCATCCAGAGAAGAACCACCAGGTGGACGACTCGTTGCGACAACCACTACTAGTCTATGTCAGGCAAGTTTAATACTCCAGGGTCTGGCACTCATCTTATGGCCTGGACAGAAAGCTCGATGAAATACAGAAAACAGTTGAAGCACGAACGCGTTCACGACTGTTGACTCGAGCAATGAAAGTTGATATGGACGCAGGAGATATCCGAGAGTTTCATCAAGACATTGACGATTGTCACCAAAGACTTGCGGTACGGGCCACTGGTGTCTCCCACTTTCGTACTGACGACATCTCAGGCTGCTCTAGCCGTATCGTCTTCACTTCATATTCAAGCTGTCAAGGGTGACACCGAGGTTTTGAGAGTGAATATGCAAGTCATCAAAGAGAATACTAAGACCCTACCGAAAGATGGTAAGCGTGCGCTCTTGACACAGTCGCTCTGCCTGACCATCCTCAGTGGATCTAGTGATCATTTCTCAACTCCCAGTTATTATTTCGACATCTTCTATCGTTCATAATCGCTGCAATCCGGGAACACGAGTCACTGTTCTTGATTCTATCCGCCGTTGGGGAGAAGGCGAGTTTGCCGAGCCGATCTTCTGGCTCTGCGACATTGCTGGTTCTGGTAAATCGACAGTGTCGATGAGCATGATTGCACTTTGGAAGGAGACAGGCCTACTCGGTGGTTACTTCTTCTTCTCGATCGCCACTACCGAGGAGTCGACTATTACCAAAATATGTCCGACTTTCGCCCGGCAGATGTTCGAAAACGTCCCCATGCTGGCCCCATCTATTGTGGATGCGGTCAAACGACACCCCTCGATCATGACCAGCACATTCGAGGAGCAGTTCCAAAGACTAATCGTGGATCCAACGAAGCATCAGAACAAGCGGGTCATATTGGTCATTGATGCACTCGACGAATGCACGTCTGGAGTACAACGAAGAAAGCTCGTCGAGACGCTTTCCATCGCCGTTCGGGAAAGTACGAATCTCAAGATATTCATGACAAGTCGACCGGATCCTGTCATCCAAGCGACCTTGGGATCACTTCCAATCAAAGTCAAGATGGAAGACCGGCTGCACGATGCCAGATATGGTGATAATATCGATGATATCGCCATTTACATCGAACAATCGATAAATGGACTGCTGGCTGAGGAGAAGAAGCGACGGTTGGTCAAGAATGCCAACGGCTTGTTCATCTGGGCAAGCACCGCATGTCGAATGCTGAAAAGCGAAACGACATTGGATACCCATGACAGCATATACGAACGCCTTGTTTCAGTGGATCAGACTGGAGATATAGACGATGTATACGATCTTATTTTCGAGAGAACAGACCCGAAATCTCTCCCAATAATGTGCAGTATGCTCGGTCTGCTGCTTGCAGCACTCGAGCCGCTCACCGTCGACGACTTGGAGGACCTTCTCAAGCACGCTGGAGTACGCGGGAGTGTGAACGCGCTGGTTCAGAATCTGGGAAGCGTCCTTAGTGTGGATCCGAGTACAAAGCAAATCCGATTCCGGCATCCCACCCTCGTCGAATACCTTCGACGCCGCTCTCAGACCTCAGACGTCGATGGCCCCAATAAGGTCTCTATTAACGTGGCCAATGCACATGGTCAGGCGGCGTCGTGGTGTCTGAAACGCCTCAATTCACCGACCGAAGGCGTCAAGTTCAACATTTGTCAAATACAGTCATCTTTCTATCCGAATAGGCAGATAGAGGACCTTGACGCGAGGATATCAAAGTTCATTCCGAAAAGGCTTAGATACGCGAGCTCGCATTGGTTGCTCCACTTGGCAGAAACAGACAACAAGTGGCGAGAATTGCTCAAGGACGACTTTGAGCGTATTATTCAAAGCCCACATGTGCTGCACTGGATGGAGATCTTGAGCTTCACGAGAGATGTGCCACGAGCAATAGCCGGACTTCGAGCCATTACACGCCATAGAGGGGTGAGTGATCTATATCAATATGCTCTTGTATTTGACAATATTTAGCTTGAAGAAGAGACTAGAAGCCGTATGACAGAAATACGCCGTTTCCTTATGGCATTTTCGGTGCCAATCCAGGAAAGTGCACCACATATCTACATCTCTGCGATTCCATTTTCGCCAAAGAAGTCAAGGATACATATTGAGGCCCTAAAGAGACTCGAAAATACTTTGGCCGTCACCCGGGGGATTGAGGACGTGTATCCCGGACTTCCTAGCATCCTTCGAGGGCACCAAAACTTGGTCAGTGCCGTCAAATTCTCCCCTGACGGGTCGCGGATCGCCTCTTGCTCGACCGACAAGACGATTCGACTGTGGGACGCGGACACCGGTCAGCCGTTGGGAGAGCCGCTACGAGGTCACGAAGGTTACGTCTATGACTTGGCATTCTCTCCAGACGGTTCACGAGTTGTCTCCTGCTCGCGTGATAAGACACTTAGACTATGGGAGGCAGACACCGGTCACCCATTGGGTGATCCGCTCAGAGGTCACGAACACGAGGTATGGGCTATCGCATTTTCGCCAGATGGCTCGCGAATAGTCTCCTGCTCCTCGGGTGAGACAGTAATTCGACTGTGGGACGCAGGAATCGGTCAGCCGTTGGGAGAACCGCTGAGAGGTCATCAAGATTGCATCTATGCTGTCGCTTTCTCGCCAGATGGCTCGCGAATTGCCTCTGGCTCAGAGGATAAGACTATTCGGCTGTGGGAGGTAGACACCGGTCGGCCATTGGGAGAACCGTTCCGAGGTCATGAACATGCGGTCAATACTATCGCATTTTCGCCAGATGGCTCAAGGGTCATCTCTGGATCATCTGATAGGACAATCCGAATGTGGGAGGCAGCTACGGGTCAGCCGTTGGGAGGGCCCCTCCTAGGTCATGAACGTGGGATCAATGCCATCGCAGTTTCCTTAGACGGCTCACGGATTGTCTCTGGCTCTGCGGACAGGACGATTCGACTATGGGATGTAGACACTGGCCGTTCATTGGGAGAGCCACTCCGGGGTCACCAAGAAGATGTCTGGGCTGTCGCATTTTCGCCAGATGGCTTGCAAATCATCTCTGGCTCCGAAGACAAGACCATTCGGCTTTGGAGGGCAGATGCTGGTCGGCCTTTGGGAGAGCCACTCCAAAGTCACGAAGACTTTGTACACGCTGTTGCATTCTCGCCAGATGCCTCACGAATTGTTTCCGGCTCAGCAGATAACACGATCCGACTGTGGGAGGCGGACACTGGTCAGCAGATAGGAGAGTCACTCCGAGGGCACGAGGACAGGGTAAGGGCCGTGGCATTCTCGCCAGATGGTTCACGAATCGCCTCCTGTTCCGACGATTGGACGATTCGTTTGTGGGCGGCTGACACTGGTCAGCCGTTACGGCAGCCACTACAAGGCCATAATGGCGAGGTATGGGCTGTCCGTTTTTCGCCCGACGGCGCACGACTTGTCTCTGGGTCCTGGGACAAAACAGTTCGTCTTTGGGAGGTAGACACTGGTCAGCTGTTAGGAGAGCCCTTCCAAGGTCACGAATCCACAGTTTTGGCCGTCGCATTTTCCCCCGATGGCTCACGAGTTGTCTCTGGCTCTGAAGACCATACAATTCGCCTGTGGGATACAGAAACTGGTCAGCCAGTGGGAAAGCCATTTCAAGGTCACGGGAGTTGGGTCAGATGTGTTGCATTTTCACCAGATGGCTCACTAATTGTCTCCGGGTCGGATGACAAGACCATTCGAGTATGGGACTCGAAAACCGGTCAGCCGTTAGGGGGGCCCCTTCGCGGTCATGAAGACTCTGTGTACGCCGTCGAATTTTCACCGGACGGCTTGCGGATCGTCTCTGGCTCGTGGGACAGGAACATTCGACTCTGGGAGACCGAAACTAGGCAGCCTTTGGGGGAGCCACTTCGAGGTCATGATGGTGGTATCAAGGCCGTCGCATTTTCACCAGATGGTTCACGGATCGTCTCTGGCTCCTCGGACAGAACGATTCGGCTATGGAATACGAGTACTGGTCAGTCATATTCTGCTTCTGGGATCAAGCTGAAAATTTTCATTAGCCATCTGCTCCAAGAGCCCCTACCAGAAAGACATAGAGCCTTCAGGCTTAGATTTCAGGACTCAGCCACGGGGTACTCCGTTGGGAAACCTTGTACCGGGATTCAATCAGTGTTCATTGTCTCAAGATGGCTGGGTACGATCCTCCGATCAGCTTCTCTTCTGGGTACCACCAGACAATCGCCATGGCCTGGTATATCCGAATGTTCTGACGATACCAGTAACAAGCCCCTTACGGACAACCACCCTCGACTTTACGCACTTTCAATGCGGTCCCTCTTGGACAAATGTTCAAACAGACTCCCACTGGTAACATGTTCGGATTCTATCACGGTCAATATCTAAAGTCGTCATCCATATGTACCACTTGAAGAATTGTAGGAGGGAAAATAATCCTATCTTGGCGCATGCTGTGCCGTTGATGAGATTCATACGAAATCTATAGTCTGATATCTAGCCAATAGTACGCGCGGGTTAGTGCCTGCTGATTGGATCATCTGATTCTACGACTGGTTGATCTACGCTGAATAACACGCACTAGTGCACACGGTGTCCAAATGAGTTACACTTTGAGGACAAAGCCCATCTACTTATGTCCAAGAGCACAGAAGTTAACGCGGTAGCCGACGCGACGATTTCTTTCCAAGGCCTATCTTTCATCACAGTGAGAGATCCATGCATCGTGAGTGCCTGACTCCAAACGACCCTTAGGTGGTCAGGAGGGAGGTCGATTGCAAAGCTAGGAAACATATAGGCTCTACATCCCTGCAAATATACACTATTAATCACCTTGGATATCATAGAGTGGACATGCTATCAAGGTGGCTCCATCTCTTGCTCCAGCCTACACCCGACGGTCTTCGTCAGGCTTGGCCGCGCTCGCCGTAACTAGGCATTTAAATATCGAACATGGCATCGAATATGCAACATATAGATATTTATTCAACCAGATCGAATGAAATACGCCAGCTCACAGATGTAAGCTCTTGCGCTCTATGGTCCAGGGAGACTTAACTCTGGAAGAACACAGGAGGTCCTGCTCAGAACCTTCCTGTCGAAGTTTTAATGGAAATATTCGAAGCTAGCATCCTTCCTGCTCGACAAACCAGGCTTCACTTGTCTCGCCATCGCAAGGCAGAGCCGGACGCTTGGAGGTCTCTTCCTTATGTATGTTCCCAATGTTCGTCCTCTAATAGTAAGTTGAATCTGGCTTACTTGCGATTTAGGGTACGGACCAGCGATCAATGTGCTCTACACCTCAGTAGTACTACGAACGTACAAGGAAATATTGGGTCTACTTCAAACCCTTGAAGCATACCCACATATACGACGTTTGATCAAATGTCTTCATCTCCCCATGCGGAGCCAAGCTGTCTATCCTCTCGAGGTTCACAAGCGATGTTGTCAAATAATTCATTTAGTGGATAACTTGCAGCAGCTAAGTACTACTGGGATCTGTACACAGAGATACAAGAAGTACAGCGCGTGGACGGGCTCTCGACTGACGTTGCCCATTGCTCCAAATCGACACAAGGCGCTTGACTTTCTCGAATTACGAGGAGAACATTCTCTCAGATCTGTGGAACTTCCACCACAGATTTTCTCTTTCCAAAGCCTCAAGCATCTTACCCTGGCGGACGTGATACTTGGTGTCCAAGTAAACCCAGTAACCACTCCCGTATTACCTTCTCTAGCGGGTATCACTCTCATGGGCTCCGCTTCACTCAACTTGCTCGACGACTGGCTTTGCAAACAACCGAAGCTGCACACTCTATGCCTCTACGAGACATATGCACCTGAAACTGTACCACGGCTGTTGTCAACCGGGAAGATAAAGAACATGGAGATGATGCACTGTGTAGGCCGCCTCTGGGATCGGTTCATAGAGACATGGTTTGGCTCTTGTTCCTCGGTTCACAACCTCCGCATTTCCGACGACATACTTGTCTATTATCCCAAGAAGATCCCCACCAAACTTCACGTACTGCGTGTGGAAGTAGCCCGACTATGGGTAACCCCTAAATCTTGGCACAGCTACCTCGACCGGGAGCTGCAGACCGACCGCATTGTCATCTCTGCACATATATCCCGTAACTGGTATCAGAAGCAGGGGAGTAATCTCATCCTTGCGGCAAGGAGTAGAGGGCTCCCCGTCGAATTCGAAGCAGCGCATTGCGAGTGTGATCGTAAGTATACGGTTGCCCTCTTACTTCTTCCACCTGATCGTCCTCAGAACAAAGGCACCACCAGTACTATAATGTCGATACAGAGAACGCTGACAAGACGCGAGAGTCCATGATTGCCGCCTGGGATTGGGCGTCTGAAACTGACACGAAGAGATAATTGGTGTCTCTCAGACTTTGATATCTCATATGCTTATAGCGCTTCCTACCTTCGTTAACACACTTCACCATGAAATAATTACGAATTCAAGCACAGGTGTCTACGCCGGAGTTCCGAAATCATTAGACGCTGATAAGACTAAAGGATTGATTTCACATCTATCGTTCTCGTCTTGAGATTGTTGCTTTATTAACACGGCGCTGTCTGCGTTTGCCCAATTCCGGCGACTGACAGATCGTTGGCCCTCCAATGTGGTCGAACAGAGGGTTGTCATGGCTTTTCCTAATAAAGACGTAGAGCTGCTTTCAAAAAAAAGATTCCCTCCAGAAAGTCATGCCTGGTTGGACCCCCTGTTGAACACGGAGCGAAAGTCTCCGGATGGTAAACTAATATAACACGTAGATAATGTCAGGACATTACAAATGCAAAGGTACCATAGAACAAGACTAGAAGTATATGCTGGGTATCGACCCAATCCGGGGTCTCCGTGGGCCATTAGACGAGACAAGTAGGTTTCCTATGGGCGGCTTTGAGAAAAACATGCGATATGGAGAATGTTTCGTTATCTGAGGGGGATTACTTTGGTGAGAAGACGAAGGAATTTGTTTTGCTTTGTATGCTTTGAACGGTGCCGCCGTCGCAATTCGTTGCTATAGAGGATCTCGCCGCAGACTGTGCACTCAAAGTCGCCGAGCGGATGAGTTCGCAAGTGTCTGTCGAGTTCACCTTCGCCTCTAAACGATACTGGACTATGAAAAGGTTAGAGAGAGGAATAAGGGCATGCATAGGTGACGTACCAGAGGTGACATGTAAATGGTAGTTGTTGAAAGTGCACATCCCTAATGTGGTCACATAGGGCTTGGATCTGTCTTCGCGGTGGGTCATCCAGCCTTTCATCTGTACCCGTCGAGGATAGACGAGTGAACTTGGACGAGATGCGCGCCAGACCGCATTTTCCTATGAGACACCATCCATGCTCTCCGTGTATTTCCGCGATTTCTTCGGCAACAAGGTAGGTGGGGATGGGATCGGCTGGGTGGTTGTTTAGGAACCGCCGTATCTGACCAGCGGCGAGGAGTTGCCCAGGAGTAAATGAATTTGTTACGAGTGCGTAGAGTGCACGCGTTGCCGGTTCGGGGAATTGAAAGTTCTTGATCGTCGACGTTCGCCAGGTGGGGAACTGATTTCTCTTAGCCGACGTTGGTGGTTCATGGTTGAGTGACAAGAGGTTTATTGCCATTGCTAGTGCTTCTTGGTCTTTGGGATTCACGTCAATCTCCCTCTCGAGCGAGTTTCGACCCGCAGGCGCCTATTCGGGACACAAAGATGTTAGCGTTCATTCGTTTATTCGAAAATGAGATGTACTCACAACATGCACGGTGGGTGTCGAATCGTCTACGAGTGGTGATTCTGGGGGCTTCTGAGAGCTGGTCACTACTGGCGGCGAGGTTGCATTCGTTAGCGAGCGTTGCCAATCACTGGGGGGTTTTGTGTCGCCGTCAAGAGACAGAAGACTGGCTATAATGTTGTCCCCAATGTACAACTGGCTCGTACGGATGCTCCTGTCCCAAGTATATCGCTTTGGCCTGGGACTTGCAACAGGCGTGCTTGGCTGAGAGGTTGTGATGCATACGTTTACAGAGGGCTCTGAGCTAATGGCGGATGTTCTATGAGAATAGGCCCAACTTGCTCGCCATGTCGATCGCTTCCATGACTTGTCCATTCGCAGCGTTGGGGATGATAAGTCTGATAAAGAAAGATTATTTCCAAGGAATGTGGTTATATATGTTTGCTGGGGGTTGCCCGTCAAGGTGACAACGATTCGGCTGGGCAGGTGGACGAAGACGGGATCAAGTTGGGTTGGTTGTCAACGCAGCACATGGATTGCAAATGTACAGTCTATCTATTCATACAAATAGTGTATTAAGGATTCCACAAGATCACGACACAAACAAAGACATCTTCCGCCAACGCATACCAGAAGTCGTCCCACGTACCAGCTCGCCAAGTCCGCGTCTCCGATACGACCGAGAGTGTTAGCGAGCTCTTGAAGTCGTCTGGTCCCTTGGTGGGAACAAGTCTGGCTCAAGCCAGCTGCCTACACCTCTTGCTTCAGTCCATACCCGACCTTCAACCATAAGTACATGGTTTCCATCTTGTCGCTCGCTTCGTAATTTGCCCATCTCCGACAGCATCCTGGCGTATTACTTTCAGAATATACCAACCAAACATCACGTACTACGCTTGGAGATAATGCGACAAAGGGTATCACCTCAATCTTGGCACAGTTACCTCGACCGAAATCGACAGATTGATCGCATTATTGTCTCTGCACATACGTATCATAGGTAATACCGAACAGGGGAGACGACTTCATTCTTGCGGCAAAGAATCGAGGGCTCCCCGTCGAATTCGAAGCACCGCATTGCGAATGTGAACGTATGTACAATGTGAACATCTCCGCTCGTCGATTAAACTGCTTTAGAACCAAAACGACTGCAGCGCTTTGATCACAATGACTGTCTCGACGAGGAGACACGGGAATCCATCGCGGCGTGGGATTGTGCATCTGAAACTGTCACTAGGACATAGTCGACGGTTTTCGATTCTCTCGTATCCGGTATGTCTCTTGAACCTGGTTACAAATGCAAACGGTGTCGTATAACAAGATGATGAATGTATGTGAGGGTATAAGCCCGAATTCCATGGGCATTAGTTATAATGCAGATGAGCAGCCTTGAGGTGGACATAACGCGTCCATAAGGATTCGTTATTTGAGGGGCACCACTCTAGTGAGAAGACGAAGGAATCTGTCCCCAATGCTTTGCTTTGCATGGTTGGAATGCTGGTGTCTTTGTCGTAATTCGTGGTTGTAGAGGATATCTCCACAGGTTGGACACTCAAGATCGCCCAGCGGATGAGTCCGTAGATGCCTGTCGAGTTCACCTTCGCTGTCAAACGATGCTGGACTACCAGAAAGTCAGACACAGACGTGAAACATGACGGCATAACGTACCATAAAAGACATGGGAAAGGCGTCTGCTTGAAGTGAGAATCCCGGATGTGAATAGATAGCGATTGAATGTCTTTGCGTGAGTGATCTTCTTCCAGCCTATTCTCCGTGGCGATGCTTGCCGAAGTTGGACGAGTAATTTTGAACGAGATGCGAGCCAAACCGCATTTCCCAATGAGACACCATCCATGATTTCCGTGTATTTCCGCAATTTCTTCTGAAATAAAGTGGCGTGGGATGGGTTCGGCTGGATGATTGTTCAGAAATCGCTGGATCTGACCAGCGGCAACAAGCTGCACTGGAGTAAATGCGTTTGTCACGAGTGCGTAGAGTGCGCGTGCAGTCGGCTCGGGCAACTGCAGGTTCTTGATCGTCGACTCACGCCAGGTCAGAAACTGGCCATTAGCTGAAGTTGACGGTTCTTGATTGTTGGAGAGGAGGATTATCGCCGTTATTAGTGCGTGTCGATCCTTGGGATTTACGATAATCTCCTTTTCGAGTGAATTTCGACACGTAGACGCCTGTTCGGGGTAACGAGATGCTCGTGCTCGTTCCCTTCCGTCGAAGTGAGGACTATTATAGGGATGTGTAGAATACTCGTCTAGAGTTGTCGATTCCGGGAGGTTCCCATGGTTGGGTAACCTTGGCGGTGGGTTTGTGAGTAAGCGTTGGTATTCACTCGGAGGTTTCGTCTCGTCATCATGAGACATGAAACTGACTGGCCTGTTGTCACCCATGTACAACGAGCCCCTGCGGGCGCTCCTGACCCAAGCGTATCGTCGCCTCGACTTGGGACTTGCAGCAGGTGAATTCTGCTGAGAGCTTGTAATGCACATGTGAACAGAGGGCTCTGAGCTGATGGTGGATGTCCTTTGAGAGTAGGAACAGTTTGTTAGGGCCGATCTCTGCATAGAAAATGCGTCCATTGAGAGAGTTGTGGATGATAGATCTGATAAAGAATGGCGGTTTCTAAAAGAGTGTGGTCGTATACGTCTGTCGTAGAGCGTCTGTCGAGGAGGAAGGAGGTCAACCAGCTAAAGAGAAGACGGGTCGGGATTCGGTTGGCGCCTGCGGTCAACCTAGCGTGAGAAATCCTTAACACCGGTTAATGTCTGAAAAATAAATCTCAAAATAAAATTCCACAAGGCTAGGGTACACAGACTCACCTCGTTCCCCAGTCTGCTCCCGCCCTCGTCCGGTCATCAACCATCAAAGGTTCTGGAAACACTATAGTTGGATGCAAAACGCCGACTATGGCCCATTGTGAGCCGAAAGCCTCTGCGTCTCAACAGTCGCCACCTAGGCAGCAAGGGAACAGAGCGATGGATGTCGCTAAAGACTCTCAAAAGAGTCTAGTCATTGCCCAGAGGCTTCCTGTAGAGATTCTGATTGCAGTCTTCGAAATGATCATTCTTCCACCGCGCTTGACCAGGGTACATCTATCACGCCATCGCAACGCAGACGCGGAAACATGGATTTCGTTGCCGTATATCTGTTCTCAGTGTAAGCCTAGAAGATAAGCAATCACTCACTGACCGTGGCGCCAGGGTATCCCATAGCGCTCAGCGTGCTGTATGCGTCGATAGAGATACGAACGTATAAGCAGACATTGTCGCTCCTTCGAGCCCTCCAAACGTACCCTCATCTTCGGAAACTGATCAAAGGTCTTCATCTTCCAATGCGCGTCGGGGTTCCGTGTCCACTTGAAGTCTACAGACTTTTCTGTCAAATCATTCATTTGGTGGACGACTTGCGAGAGCTTAGCGCTACCGGTGTCTGCGGGCAACCTGTGTTTCAATATCCTGGAACGTTTATCCAGACGGACGACAAAGCCGCCTGGACAAAATCTAGTCTTTCTTTGCCCATAGCACCGGACCGGCACCAAGATCTGGTGTACTTGGAGCTGAGAGGAGAACTTACTACCCTTTCAGTCAGTCTCCCTCCTCAACTATTCTCCTTTCAGGGTCTCAAGCAGCTTACTCTGGCTAACATCGCACTCACCGAGCGACTCAATCCGGGGGTTACCCCGAAGCTACCATTACTGGAAGCAATCACCTTTACCAATCGCAATCCCATCCTTCTTCTGGACGACTGGCTCTGCGCTCATCCAAAGTTACATACTCTTCGAATGTACGAAGCGCGGGGACCTACTATTATACCAAGGCTAATCTCTTCCGGCAAAATCAAACGTATGGAGATGATGCACTGCGTCACTTATCAATGGAATAGAGAATTGATTTCATCCTGGTTCAACGCCTGCACATCACTGCGCGAACTACGTGTCTCGGATGACATATTTCTACAAAATTCAGATCTAGTTCCCATCAATCTGGAGGAATTGCGAGTAGAGATTGCTCGGCACTGGCTTGATATGACTCGCTGGGAAAGATATTTTGAAAGGGGTCCAAATCTCGGTCGCTTCATTTTATCTGCGCATCCAAGGCGCAACTGGTACAAGGAATTGGGCGAGAGTGTCATCTCTTATGCAAAGGAGCACACGCCAGTTGTGGTGTTTGAGCCTCCAAATTGTAATTGCAGTGGTAAGTCACGTAATTGGCACTTAGTAGAATTAACCCTGTCATAGATAACGTACGAAAGTCGCGGTCTGCTCGGTTCCGGACGATTCCTGGAAACACGATTCAGGATGCCATTGGGTCATGGAATCGTGCTCCAGAGTGTGAGAGTGAATAAAACCGTTGGACTATACTATTATACAAATCTAATGATAATGTGCTATTACCCGTTTGTGAATCAGCCTCTCGCCCGAACTATATGAACAATTTTCGTCTCGTGCTGAATAGAACCTCAGAACTCACCACTGGTATTCAGATGCTCAAATCAAGAGTAGCACCTCCAGCCAGACCACTGTACCAAATCAGATATTGGTACTCATTCTATCCCTCTTGACTCCGTTGAGGAGGCAAGCCATCATTAATTTATCTCTCTAAATTGTGCATCTACTCGCACAAAGGCTTCAGGACATTGAGCATGCTGGTTCGGTCCATTGTTTAACCTCCGTGGTGAAACGACATTTCTTCCAACGCAAGTAACTTGGCTAAAGGTAATGCGAATTCGTAACGAATCCTGTAAAACCATTGTGGTCCGCGACTATGTTCAGACCCTGGTGTTCCCTCCTCAATCCGAACGCTTATTCGTCAAGAATATTCCAATGTATCAATTTCAAGAACAGGCAATTCACGAGGTTATATCCTAACGGACGACTTCATCCTTCGACCTTGCCCGCATTCATTTTGCCCTCTACTCCGTCTTATCCATTGGCGCATCCAGCTTCAAACGTCGAAAAATACAGTAGTAGAGTGTAATAAGACTTTCTATGTCAGATTTTGAGGCGAGGGCGTCCGCGCCTCAATCATTATCGGTTAGTTACCATCGGTATCACGTAAAGGACGACACTCAACATGACCAGAAGGATCTAGTAATTGCACAGAGGCTGCCGGTCGAAATTCTCATAACCATATTTGAACTGCTCATTCTCCCAGCGCGCTTGACGAGAGTACATCTATCGCGCCATCGCAACGCAGACGTGCAAACATGGAGTTCACTACCGTATGTCTGTACTCAGTGTAAGCCCAGAATCTAAGTGATCACTCGCTGACTTTCCTATCAGGGTATCGTCCAGCTCTCAGCGTGCTGTATGCATCAATAGAGATACGAACCTACAAACAAACGCTGTCATTTCTTCGAACACTCCAAATTCATCCTCATCTCCGACCTCTTATCAAAAGTCTTCACCTGCCAATGCGTGTCAGGGTGCGGTGTCCCCCAGAGGTCCAAAAACTTTTCTGCCAGATCATCCATCTGGTCGAGGACTTGCAAGAGATGAGCACCACCGGTATTTATACTCAAGGAACCCCTCAACACCCTGGAACGGTTAACCAGACACATGTGGAAAATGCTACCTTGGCCCGGGCTTGTCTTTCCCTGCCCATAGCGCCGGACCGTCACCAAGGTTTAGTTTACTTGGAGTTGAGAGGAGAGCGTACCCCTCCTGCGATCAGCCTCCCTAATCAATTACTCGCCTTTCGGTGCCTCAGGCGGCTTACTCTGGCCGATGTCGTCCTCACCGAACAACTCGATCCAAAAGTCTTTCCGACGTTACCATTACTGGAAACAATATCATTTTATAATCGTAACTCTTTACTGCTTTTGGACGATTGGCTCTGCGCTCACCCAAATCTACAAACTCTGGGCATGTACGAAGCGCAGGGGCCTTCTACCATACCACGTATCGTCTCTTCTGGGAGGATTAAATATATGGAAATGATGCACTGTGTTGCTCATCAATGGCGGGGAGCCTCCATTTCATCCTGGTTCAACGCTTGCAAATCACTGCGCAAGCTTCGTGTCTCTGATGACCTATTTCTTCATCACCCGACTTACTTCCCACAAATTTAGAGGAATTGCGACTGGAAATCGCTCGGCACTGGCTCGATCTGAGTTGTTGGAAAACATACTTTGACAGAGATACAAATCTCGGTCGCTTCATCTTATCTGCACACCCCTCACGCGCTTGGTACAGAGATTTGGGTCGGACGACTATCTCCTATGCAATGGAGCGAACGCCAAATTTTGTATTTGAGCCTCCGATTTGCAACTGCAGTGGTAAGTCCAGTAGTAGGCTATCTACACAACTGAGAGCTTTATAGATGGACCACGGAAGCAGCCGTTTGAATTCTGGACGAATGGTGCGGATAGGCAAAATGATATTATGGCATGGGATTGCGCCCCGGAATGTGAATGCGAATGAATTTAACATACTGTATGCCCCGCTCGACTACGCGCCAATGTTATAGAGTATAGTATTTATGACCTTACAAATTGAACCAGACCCGCTTCAGGACTTTCGTCTCGCACTTGGAAATCAAGATACATCAACAAAAATATCAAACAGACAGCCGCTTCCTCTGTGCTGCCGCAGGTTAGGCGTGTCCACACGCTAATTTTCCGCTAATCAGTCTAAATAGCCCGGAGAATCGCCCATACAAAGACTTCCAGTGGAGATAATAGACCTTATGCTCGCTTAGTTCGCTGTTGAATCTCGGTGATCAGAATATCATTTCTGCCGTCATAGAAATCTGGATTCTGGTGAATGGAAGACGCTTCCCTTCATATGCAAGCTATGTGAGTATATCAAAACAAACGCTGCTAACAGCTCATTGGGCATATGCCAGCGACAAGAATGCTCTATACGACCATTGACCTACGCTCGTACAGGCAAGCTCGAGGGCTCCATCACACTCTGAAGATATTTCCGCACCTCAGGCCGCTTGTCAAACATCTCCGTCTCCCTCTTCGGATTTGGCCGCAGTGTCCACCTGTCACATCCGAGCTCTATTGCCGAATAACCAGCCTATAAGATAGTCTGGAGACGATTTCACCTGTGTCGCGAGTCCTAGACTGCAGTAATTCGCCGCGTGAAATGGCTCGCACCTCATACTTCCAATTTCACCACTCAAACACCACCAATTGATCTCTTTCACCATTCACGGCGATTTAGTTGTCTCAAGCGACATCTTGAGCAAAGATATTGGGACCAAGGCCAAACTGAAGACCATGTTCTGACAAGTGGCCAAATATTGGGGAAAATCTTGCAGATATTTGCATTATTAGTACCTGGGGAACAGAAACAAGATCCTGACCGGAACGAAGGGAATAATCGTTCAACGCCACTTCTGTTTGCATCACGTCAGGACGGAAGGCTCTCTCCCGGGATGAACTGGCTGCTGCTAGAAGGTACGAGTCGCATCCACATGATCCTATATATTACTATGAGCTTACACAAGTCTCGCAAGGTAAGAAAGTTCGTTTATTCTGCTCTCAATTTAATTGTCAGAATCGTGACCACTCCCACTTGACCACCTTCACAATATCCTGCCGTGAATGCGCCATAGAAAGTGATGGCAAAAGCATCCTCCGCTCCTTCCACTCAGATGTACCTATCTTGTGTCAGAAATGAGTCCAGGTGAACTATTCGACTCACTTTGAGCACATTTACAGGCGACCTCCTGTATTTGGAACGGAATACTGGCCTCTTTGAATGACCTCTCCAACGTTTCCGAATGCTTTCGTGTCCAATTCTCATGCTTACATCGGACCAAGTCAAACTTCCCCACATAAGGTCGAGCAGAGAGATATGTTTTGAATGGATCCATCGTAAGACCGTCCTTCGGACCGACTTCAAGGGTAAGCGACTCAAGATAGGATGGATAAAACTCTTTCCCGCTTGAAAAGAGATCCCATGTCGTGCGAAGAGCACGCACAGATGAGCATCGGGCAAGCCACGATCCACTATAGGGTCGCGTCGCATGCGGGAACATATGTGTGAGACTGAGCCAAAAGATTTTGTTTGTCTCGAGTATAGAAATTGGCGGTGTTTCGGTCGTCGAGTTGGGGATTTCGGTATAGCAGAGGTAAAGCTCCCCCAAAACTGGGCAAGCTCGAATCCACTTGTCCATCCGGGTCATCACGTTCCCTCCGACAGCGTGAAAGTTGTATAATTTCTCAAGGACTGGTACCTTGTCCGGATCCACGTCGTCCCGTAGGAAGAAACCGTTTAATGACAGAAAGGTGAGCTGCGAAAAGTTGTGTACAATGGCGGACGGGAAGACAGAGGCCTTTGTCGTCTCCGAATAGAGTAAAAGATACTTGAGGCGACTGTGTCGGCCGTGGGTGATTGGGACGAGATGGTGGTTCCCAGTGTATGCACCCTCGCCGGCGAATCTAGGGTCCATAAGGAAGGGACATGTCGTATACAGGTGCTCAAGCGATTCTACCAGGTGAATGATCTTTACAAATGCTTTGACCAGCAGCTCGGGGCACGAGACGCCAACTCGGCCAGGTAGGAGGAGCGACTTGACTAGTGGTCGAAGATGAGGGCTTGTCTGTAGCGTTTCGAGAAACCGAAATACGCATGCGACGCGTGGAAACTCGATGGTTTCGTATGCCACTTTTGTAAAGGGCCCGTACCAGCTCTTGCAGATCAGAGCCATGGTATAAATACCGTCTGTTACGGTGGGTCGAATGACGGTTGGATCGAGTTTGACGCGTTCTATGCATCTAAATATCTCGACAAGGACCTCTGTTGGGAGGTTTGTAGCGATAGATGCAGGCGCCGGTTCAGTGGCCATGGGTGATGTTAAGGCAGATATTGGACGCTACGGGCAGTCATTAGCGACATCATATGCCATAGTTGTGAATATGTACCGATTTAGAACGTCGCTTGAGTGAAGAGAGTAGCCTAAGACTGCCCGACCTCGCGACTGGCCTTGGGCGGTCCGACACGACTGCCATTTGCCAGTCTGAACGATGGGAAACCGTCGTATGAGACGGTTCCATATCTTGTGTGATCATAATCTGTCGCTCGCCCATGTCAGCCAACAAAGACGTAAACGGAGGCGTCAAAGCTGGAGGCGGGAAATGAGCGTCTACCCGCTAGGCCTATACGCCAGCAAGTTGAAGTGACCGCAGACTCGATTACAAGCCACAGGGACAAGGACCAACAAGATGAAACAAATCTACAACAGGGACAACCCAAGAAAATGGAACCAGACCCCTATGTTTTCGCCCACTCCCAATCAAGCAACTCTTCGTCCTCCTTTGAAGGGGACTTGAATACACGTTTTACACGAGCGATGACCTTATTCTCCTTCTTCTTCGCCTCTCGGGTCGCCTCTGAAGGACGTCAATAGGTCTCCCTGAACATCATCCAAACTCACTCTGATACCAAATGACCGTTTGATCGACCTTCATCTGTACCCCGGCTTCTTCGAAGATCTTCTTAAGCTCCTCTTCGTTATGCTTGTGCCACTGTTGTCGATCCGAAGCCATGAAGACGAATTCGTCCCAGTTGGGCTTGTCCTTGAGTCGTTCTCGCACGACATCAATAGAAAGATCGTCCTTGGTCCGTATTGTGAGTTGTAGTTGCTCGAGGGCGGTCGGAAGCGGCGCATCTTTGCTAGAGAAGATATCCCAAGTGATCTGAAGACGCTTGACCGAAGGGCAGCGAAGAAGCCACGAGCCTCTACAGGGATTATTGTGCGAATACATCCAATACAGTTCGAGCGAAGTAATCTTTTCTGCCCTGAGGATCCCCAAGGGAGGCTCATCCGTCGCCCACGGTGGCATCCGCATCTTCGAAATAGAGTATCGCTTCAATTTGGGGCAGGCCTGGAGCCACGCATCGAGTTTAAACGCGGCGTTTCCAGCAAAACAGTAGAACCTCGCCAGCTCGGGTAGCACAGGCATCATGCTCGTGTCTACGTCGCGGGCGAGGCGAATTCCATTCAAAGCGAGGAATGTCAGGTTGGAAAATGTCGTTCCAAGCGCACTAGGTAGGTTTCCGCGGCGCAAACCATCCCCATAGAGTGTAATCCGGCGAATAGACGAGTGCTTGCCCGGTCCTATCGGGACAACATGTAGACTATTGCTGTCCCACTTGTTTGATGGCATGGACGGATGGGAGACAAAGCGGGTGGTGACAGTAAGGTCATTTAGCGAGTCTACTAGGTGGATGATTTGCACAAACGTGCGCATGAGTTTTGGGGGACACTGTTTGCGTAGGCGAGCGGGGAAGAGGATGACTTTGACGAGCGAGCGGAGGTGAGGGTAATCAAGAAGAGCTTGGTAAAACTTGAAGACATTGGCGACCGTGCGGAACTGTACTAGTTCATAGTAGACCAGTGTAGCAGGATTGTTCCACGCGCGGCAGACCAAACTCGCGTTAAACACGTCATCTTGGATAGCGGGACGAATCATTTTAACGTTGAAGCGTTTTCGGTCGATGCTACGGAAGATCAGAATGAGGAGCTCGCTGGGCAGTCGCGCAGCGTGGCAGACTGGCTGCTCAATTTCGCTCTTTCGCTTGTCAGGTTGGTAGATGGACATTCTCTGCATGGCATGAGTATACGGTGCTAGGCCGAACTCTCATACGTACACCCTTGAGGGTTGAATAAATCGTAGAGAGGCGCTTGTGCCGCGAACCGACCCTTGCTTCTTCTTCGGTCACCATATTATCAATTACAGGGTATTTTACAGATTGTCACTATCGCGGGTTCTGGTGACCCTGGAGAATAGCTGGGCGGAGGTGGGGATCCAAGGTCCGTCGCTTAGGCAATCACCGTCCTCAGTCTTAGAAACGACTGCAGAATACGAGAAACGAATGGATGGATTCATCAAAAGTGTTTTGAGCACACAGGGTATAAACGAAGTGAGCTCGTTGGCATGTTATGAAGCTCATGGCGCGTTCGTGTTTCAAGGCAGGCACTGAGAATACCATTGGTTCGAGTACTTGCATGTACCCGAGGCGCATGTCGTCGGTCCATTGTAGCCCTGGCCACCACACCTTGAAAGAAGTAAGTAAGGAAAAGAAGGATCAGATGAAAAGACTGGACGTACTGTCCGTAGAGAGTCTGACCAGATCCATTGGCCGAAGAGGTGCGAGTAGAGCTCGAGCTCGTCGAACTTGAGCGGCTCGACGAAGAGGACGAGGAGCGGCTGGAAGTCGTCGACTGTCCACTGCCAGTGGTTGGTTGTCCACCGGCTTCGCTGTTGCGCCTGCAACCCGAGATATTTGTGAGCGCACTCGGGCACTGAACAGCTTGCCAGTTGACGGTTGGGTTATCGCTTCCCGAGAACCAATCGAAGCGCCAGTTACAACCTGGCTGTACGATGCTGGGGAGGTTCGCGCACTGGCTCTTGGACGAAACACCACCATACTGTGCACCACCATTCCACGATCCGTATTGCGCATTGCACCCGTTGAAAAGTCCGACTCCACCACCGGGCATGAGGATATCAAAGTGGTTGTTACCGAGATCACCACCAGTGTTTGTAACCTGAACTACCATGACTTTACCAGTCGCTGGGCCACTCGTAAAAGTGAGCTGGTAGCATTGGCAGCACCAGGACGACTCGGAGCTACCAGCAATATTGGCGGCAGCGAAACCATATGCGAGTGAGTTGGAGACGGCCCAAGGTTGGTTGTCCGCGCAAGTAAAGGCACTTCCACCGTCGCAGCCCGACTTGACGTCAGGGCCAAGCACCTGCTGGTTCGAGCCGCAGGTGCGAACGGGCGAGGAGACGGAGGCCTTGCCAGACCAAGCACACGATGGCTTACAGCAGTCCCTAGAACAATCTCAGTGACCAATATTACGAAATGGAATGTCCAAAACCGTACCAGTAACGGGTGGTCACACCGGTTCCCGACTGAGCATTGGCCTGGAGTGCGAACAATGCCGCAGGGAAAAGAGCACCGAGTTTTGAAAAGGAGACCATGGCTGAAAGGTTGGCTATGAGGGTATGTGCAAGACTGATTGGTGTCTTTTTGAAGGGAGAGTGTGACTGCTTGGGGCCGAGCGTCGACGGAGAAAGGGAAAAATGCGCACGGACATCGTCTACAGCTCGGCTTATAAAGAAGAACTCTCGAACTATTCTCGTTTGAGAAACGCAGAGGGGCGGCGGCTGCGCGCAAGATTCACCGAGCGAAAAGAAACCAGGAACCCACACCGCAACGAATTCGTAAATAGCCGTTGTAGCTATGAAACGTGGGCACGGGACCTGTCGTGTCTCAGGACTGTAGGACCCCCTGTTGTCAGGGTTCGGCGACGAGGACGTGCGGGAATGCGCGGAGCCACTGAGCCAAGCAACTTGTAGATGAGTGTTGTATGGTAATGGGAACAATTTGTTCACATTCTAGCCAGTCGCAGAAACGTTGGCGACTTGGACTGGGAAACGTCGGGTCAAAGGCGAGTAATCCACACGCGCAAAGCGACCATCGTTGTTCGGAGGTCAAGGAGCCGACCTGCAAGAAATCTAAGAAAATCTGAGCATTATCCAAAAGGATGATAGAGAAATATTATTGCACATTCGTATGTAAAAGACTGCAAAACCCCCTCCAAAGCCAATCGTCGGCAATCGTTGGCATGAATTAAGAATTGTGCGTACTTTGGCAACACGGCACCGCATGTCATTCTATCTGTTAGATTTCTCCGAAGAGTAGATAGCTGACCCCACAATTGAGCGCGGTCCAGAGCCGAATCCTCGCCTCAATTATGGGCATGCTCAGCGTCCTTGTTCGGCTCTCTCATTTCGGAATGACGAAACGGCAGGATGTAGGCTTCTGATCATAGCGTACCCTTGGAATAGAGCCATTATCGCCTACGCCCAATTGTACTCGTCGAGTTCCCTCTTCTTCAGATCCATCGCCTCTGACCATGATTGCTTGACCGCAGAGATTATCCGACTATTTCCTGGTACCATACGTGCTACTTATTCTCAGCTCATATCGATGCAGAGTAGCAAATACTCATGTTCGCAAACGCATAGGCGTTGAGTCGACTCCAACTCGACTCCAAACTGATCCAGCCAGGTCGCTAGCCTCACTTGGTTACCTATAAACCACTGGGTATGTCTACACCAGCCAATATCGAGCGTCTTGACCGTGTCGGCGCTCGAAAAGTACGCGCTAAACGTCCGAAAGAGGTTGGGTGCAGCACGATGGATAAAAGAAGAAGATCCACTGGTAGGATGTGACAATATGAAATGAATGTCGAGCCGTACACGCAAAGGTGCTGAAGGGTGCGCGTTAGCGACGGATGGACAAACCAAGGTAGCATGCTATATAGGATTGTGCCCCAATCCTTTGTATACCAGCCAAAATCTTTTTACTTTCCCCGAGCGCAGGATGGCAAACGGCGGCTTGACGTCCAGCCCAGCACTCTCGGGGGCAGTGATGTCAAAGAGATGGACCTTGACGAGGTTGGGGCAACTGGCCATTCGTCGAACGCTTCGATTACTGACCCAGGATTTGCGATAAAAGCCCTGAGATTTGGGAGTACTGTGGTCGTAGAGGGGATAGAGGCTCGAGCAAGTGAAAGCCCTTGAGCTCGAGCGTCTCTAATAGGAAGATGTACGGCAACAGCTTGCACCCAACATCTTCAACAGGAAAGTTTGCGTAGAGTGTCAGCGACTTGAAGTTTGGATGCTGATACGACTGGACGGGGAAAAGGTATTGATTCAACTGGAGACATTTGGAAGCAGAAAGCGACTTGGACAAGTGCCGAAAGCTTAGCAAGTGCACTATAGTCCCCAGTGACTCCAAGTTTTCCACCCAAGGCAATGATTCGTGCGAATAAAGCCCAGAGCTGTTCTGGGCACTTGGGTCCAAGACGTCCAGGAAGGTCGAGCCGTTTTACCAGTGTACATAGATGCGGATACCGCAGGAGTGTGTCGTGAAATCTGAATGCGGACTTTATGCGCGGGAAAGCGACGTGTGCGTACAGGGCTGTCTGTGCAGGCGCGTACCAGGACCAAAGACGAGTGCGAGCGAACGGAGCGGGTCCAGGGATGCGTCCCTAAAGGGCTGCTGGATATAGCTCAATATTTCGGACACGAGTTTCGGCGGAAGATTGATCTATGCCTATTTGCCAAGTGCATTACTATCTGGTTCGACCACACAACTGGTCCTCCATTACGAAATAGCGCCCAGAAACTTCCGCCATTAGTCTGCTTGAGGGCCATTGAGTAGTTTAATTCTGTGATAAGGTCAATGGCTCAAGAAATTGATCCGTCGTCGGCGTTGACACGGTCAGATCTAAAACAACGGAGGCTATGTAATATATCTACTATACGCATATACGACGCTCATTGAGCAGTTCGGAGCTAGAAATACAAAAATACCATGCAACAAAGTCGTCAACTCGGCACCGCATCCCTCTGTCGTCGTCCTTTCCACAGGACGTTCCTTCCTTTCCACTGAAAGGCTCCTCCAAAGTGGGGCCAGATGTCATCGCCGGCCCCTGGTACGAACATTATGGTTTCGAATCCCAAACGCAACGAATCCCGCGACGATACACGCGGGCAAGACTACGACAAACGAAGTCCTCACCGCCCCAATATACGCATCCTTGACTTGCTGTCGCACTTCGTCAGACGCGAGAAGAGTCGTATCGAACAATGCCGTAACGGATTGTCGAATGCGATCAATAGAAGCGGCAGGGAGCACGCCTTGCGCCGCGAGTGTCCGTAAGCGAGAGGTGAGCGTATTGATGAAAATGGTGCCTGCAATCCTAAAACAGGATCAGCAAACGAAGATTATGGAAGTGTGTACATACGAAACGCCGATCATTGGCCCAGTCCGTTGGAAATATCCGACGATAGATGTAGCTTGCGGGATGAGTTGAGGATCATTTGTAAACTCGGCTTGGACGCCCATTACTGCAGAAAAGTCAGAAATGGTGAACAGGGGTGTGTCGGAGAAAAGACGCACTCGTATTTTGAAACGCCATGCCAAAGCCGGTGCCCATGAGAATCTGCCATCCGAGTAACCAACGTGTATCCAATAGTCTTTGCTTGATCAACGGTCCAGCACCCGTTGCAGCGAGCCATGGCCCCAAGACGACAAAAATCTTATAATATCCAATACGTTTGACCAGGATGCCTAGAATCAGATCTTAGTACACCAGAGGTTGCAGTGTGATATCAACACACCTGCAATCGAAAGCGCAACGACGCTCGAAATCATAAATGGCAAAATCGCCACGCCAGATTTTAATGGCGAGTAGCCGTAGACTTGATAGAGTAATGGAAGATACGTGAGAGTGACCCCGAAGAGAACATTTTGGAAGAACCCGGCGAGTGCCGAGCCCCAGACCGTTCGGTTCGTCAAGAGGTGGAGAGGTACCATCGGGTGCGAGCGCCGTTGGGCCGAGGGCGTGACCGAATTATAGTGTTTGGACAGATACAGCTCCCATCCGAGGAAGATGACGAGGAGAGTAGGAGACTGTTTGGGCAAAGCGCGTGAGTGGATGGTTGGCGGAGGAAGAAGGACGCACGAGTATGAGCAATGCAAGCATCGTTGGACTATTCCATCGGAATACATCTCCGCCCCACTGAAGTGCCAAGGTGAGACAGGTAGTCATACCAAGACTCAGAACGTTTCCTATCCAGTCAACCGCGCGTAGACGACTAAGCCAACTTTGCCAATTTGACTGCTGAGGTGTCCCTTCTAGTCGGAGACTGAGTGGGAGTCGGACAGGGTACGACGGGAGAGCAAAGTATACAGCTGTGGCACCCTATACGAAGCGGATGTCAACGCGGGTAAGATAGAGATAGAAAGACGCACAATTGCACCAATAGGGAGGTTGATCTACACATGATCAGAGTCGACAAATCCATAGGGAATGAAACATACCCAGAAACACCAGCGCCATGTCAGACGATCTGTAAAAGCGCCGCCCAAGGCAGGCCCGCACAAGCTAGCGCTAGTGAATACAGCACCAAGACTCGCATAATGCAAGCTTCGATCCTCTAGGCGAACGACCTGGCCAACAATGGTATGCATGCCCACGACAAAGCCACCAGCACCAAACCCACTAATCGCACGACCAAAAACGAGGAGGGCAAAAGTGGGAGCGGCAGCCGAGAGGGCGGAGCCAATCTCGAAGATGAGGATGGTGGAGAGGAACGTCAGCTTTGGTGGAGATATCGTGTAAAGTTGTCCAAAGGTGAGGGTGCTGGTCGCTTGCGCGACTAGAGGACGAATGTCAGTTCATGCGGGGATCAGAGGGACAGCTCGCACGGAAAAAAGCATTGACAACCCAGGGCAGCTGGGCGAGCGCGTCAAAGTGCGAGCTGAGGATGGGCAGAGCCGGCGCTGGACGTTTGTTAGTCGATAATCAAAGTGAAACTTGCTGGAAGAAACGTACCGACGATAGTCTGGTCGAGTGCGATGATCATCGACTAACAGACGTCGCTTAGACGTTAATTCAGGTTTGCCAAGAGTATGAATAATACGCACGCAGAACACGATTCCACTACCAGAAATCAGATATATGTAAGAAATATGATGGGAGTTGACATACCCAATGAGCATGTAAAGCCGCCGCCCTTGCAAGGTAGGTCGTCCATCGTCTTCTTCAGCGCTTGCAACATCTCCGCCCTCCACAGTTCTTTGAATATCTTCCGGGTCTACGACGGTTGTCCCAGATAATGGCGACGCGTGTGCTGCATCTTTTTCGTCGACAAATTCCTTTTGATCTCGTCTGGAGCCGTCGCCTGATGCCGGCGCTACTCTTGAGGTGTAGTCATGAGACCCCGGATGCGCATCAAGCGTTGGAGTGAATTTTTCGTGGATTTCGGAGGCGGGCGGCGAGCCCGACATTGAGTCCGTTTATCCACGCTCGCTGGAATGAGCGCGAGGGGTGTATAGAAAGTGACGAGAATCGTAGGAAAAACACGGCAGACGAGACCAACACGAAAGGTAGCGAAGAGGTAGCGGTCCAAGGGGATGCGAACAGACCAGACCAGGACTGCTGCCATTGAGTGGGGATTGAATGAGATTCCAGCTTCCACACGGGCTTCGCTGATGGCGCGTGCATCCCTTCTCTTACAGTCGAAACGTACGATTGGCTACAGTGTGCTATTCTCAGCTAGGCTATTACCACCGCCGGTCATCAAAAATTCGAGATAAAATCACAACTCAGTTTCCACTCCTTCCTCCAACCACCTCGTCGCGTTGTTTACCCATCTTCTGGCCAGGTGGCTGCGTCGTGGCCTCGAAAGCTATGTTGTCCCGTGCTTGCTCGACGAGCGGCCAACCATGTACACGATCTACGTTGGGTTATTACAAATGATCTGAAAGATTCATCAAACATACTGTTGGGACAGCGACCAGTATAGCGCCCATCTAGCAATAAATTACTCGGTGTCTTCACGTAATCGAGATACACATACAATATACATATTCGATGTGGGACCCGGTGAAGCGCTGGGCCCATCATTGGTCGTTACATGTCTCGCTCCTCCTCTCTTTGCATTCCTAATTGTTGGTGTCGAGCGGGCCGCGGCAAGCCTGATGGTACGCGAGATCATCTTTAGGAGGAATTCAAGTACATGGTGACCAGAATTGACCAGTTTTTATACCGCCGTCTCGTCATCATCGTCAGCCACGACGTCACAACAGCAACCCCCCCATCGAAATTCGGAAGTTTGCAACAATCTAGATCCGCACTCGACGCTGCGCTCATACACACGGCGATCACTCCACGCAGGGTCAAGGTGTCGAATTGGGTGGGTGCATTGGTTGAGCGCGCTACCTGCGCCAAACTCGATCAGTATTAGAATCCAACAAGTTTGATTGTACACTGGGTATGAATAGACGAACCAATAGACCTTGATAGGGAGATGAGTAACAAGCCAACGGGAGCAGTCCTGATCGGTTGCATTTCCACCGGCGGATATGACAGGTCGGCCGGCATCGTTGGCTTCTCAACACTGAACCTGCCCAAGTATACCTGTTTCGAAATAATATCACGACTCGACAATAGCAAGTACAATAGCCATGAAGGTAGGGGTATCCTGTCATTAAAGCACAATAAATTTCCGGATTGCCCTTGACCAATCACCAAGCAGGGAGCGTCGATGGAGACTGGCACTGTTGATACTGGCCCAATGTGACAACAATGGGTGGAATTCGTTAGTGAGGAGGACGCTCTTGTAGGGATGCCTAAACAATGTCACCGGTGCCAACGACACTGGGGGAGGAAATTTGGCCAGTCTATACCCTTATATACGCTCAAGGGGAGAGACTTGAGCGTCAGGAACGCCAATAATACAGTCACCCCGCGCTGGACGACATAGAAAGTCAGTAAAAGAATAGCAATGGTGGTAACAATGTATGAAACGAAGCTCATGATTGGAATTTGCACCAACCACTTGGCGAGTCGAAAGCAGTAGATCATAATGCAGAGGAGCATCCAGTCGCCAATGCGGCGTCAAGGTTCACGCTGCGCGAGGATATGACATTCGGTTTCCAGTCAGAAAGCATGAATACGTAGCAAATATATACCAGTAATGGCGGTCTGATGGTCGCAAATATAATAGGCGCCGGGGATTGAAGCCTAAACCCTGACAAACCTTTCTTCCTCTCAACTCATCGCTTGTCGAGCATTTGATCGATATAGCTATGAACGGCAAAGGAGCCCACTCGATTCAAGGCAAACATAAACCATGGTCCAGTAATCATAGACGATTGCTCTCCACATTGAGAGTGCGCTCAGCAGCGGTAAGATGAAGCTCCTATGCTTGATGTCTCTAACTATTTGCGAAGCATTCCACATCTGCGCCAACTTTGATAATCGTCTCCGAACCAGCGCCTAATACGACCATGGCCACCAGACTGCCAACAGAGATCCTCGTCGAGATATTCAGATGCATAGAGCGTGTCGAACGTAATCCAATCGTCGTTCGACCTGCGGTAACCAAAGGGATATACAACATGGCGCTTGTCTGCAAGAGCTGGTACGGACCATTTACAAAGGTCGCGTACGAGACCATCGAGTTTCCGCGTGTATCGTGTGTATTCCGTTTCCTCGAAACGCTGCAGACACGGCCTCATCTTCGATCACTCGTCAAGTCTCTGCTTTTGCCAGCTCGAGTTGGTGTCCCGTGCCCCGACTTGTTGGTCAAAGCATTTGTGAAAATAATCCACTTAACCGAGTCACTAGAGCACCTCTATGTGACTTGTCCTTTCCTTACGGACCCGAGGTTCACCAAAGGAGGTGTGTACACTGGGAACCATTACCTTATTCCAGTGTCTCCCGGTCGTCATAGTCGACTTAAGTACCTTTTACTCTATACAGAGACAAAGGAAGAGTCCATATTTCCACTCGGCATCGCCTACGGTTTCTCTCAACTCACGTTTCTCTCTCTGAACGGATTCTGCCTTCGAGAGGAAATCGACCCCGAGAAGGTCCCCGTGCTCTCAAAATTGCGCTACTTGCATGTAGTTGGAGGGAGCGCGATAATCCAAATGGATCGATGGCTTGTAGCAAGTCCGGCTCTCACAGACCTCGTACTCTGCTACACCGAGCTTCCCGATTCGACTACTAATATCCCACCCATTTCTATCCTCCAGAAGGACAAGATCACTCGACTTACTCTCACGCAAATGTTCCCGCCTTCCAAAGTATACCAAGGGACATGGCTCACGCAGTGCTCCTCTGTTCGGATACTATCTGTGTCCTGGGATCTCTTTTCCTCGGAGAAGCCATTACGCGCAGCCTCTCAACTGGAATGGATTGCTCTCACAGCCCTCCCATCCGATAATCTTTCTATTGAACCTTTCCAGAAGTTCTTATTCACTCATCCGTATATCAGGTACTTTGAGTTACGACGATGCGCGCATGACAAGTGGGTTCAAAATCACACAAGTAGGCTGATGATCTTGTTTGGAGAGGCTGGTGTGAGGTTGACAATAAACGAGGCAAACTGCAGGTGTCAACAAGGTTCGTCGTCATCTATGAAATCTGCTAGGACGCCTTTGACATGATAAAGGCACATCGGCGCTGAAGGAGCGCCTGATATCTTTGCCACGCGGCTCAAGTACATCTTCACGGAAGGATGCGATAAATCTGCTCAAGTGGGAATGGACTCGGGGTTAAATTATTCCGAGAGTCAAATGCGTATGCCCTTATGCGTGTACTTGATCCGGCACGAAAGAATAATCCACTCGGTTCAGAGGCAAACAGCGGTAACCTAAGACTCGAAGCCAGACTGGCTAGTGTTTGTAACTCAGGGCCATGGGGTACAACCACCTTTACTTATCAGGAATCTATTCTAAATGGAAATGTGATACGCCGGGATTGTAACGTTAAGAAGTTCAGGCTTTATTTGAGGAGGATTTCTGAGCCTTTGTAGCCTCATCCTGCGAACGACGACGATTCCTATGACTTCTCGCCCGTTGCTCTGTTAACCCGTTCGCGGCCTGCATAAGGTTCGCTGCCGAAGAAGCTGTCTTGGCCACATGAATTCGAGAGCCCGATACAGATCCGCCACTATTTCCCGTAGATGAATGACCACCGGATGCGTGGCTGCTAGATGTGTGGCTACTACCGTGACTACTGGATCCGTGGCCACCTCCTTTGGGGAGTGGTGCAGCGAGAACGTTGGGAACAGTAAGCGAAACGCAGAAAAGTAAAGCCGTGAGAATGGTAGAAATATACATAATTGATCAAGCTGTAGCGCGCGAAACCAAGGACCGGCGAGTGTAAGTGCATTGGGACGTTTGCAGCGCAAAGGACTCACATGAGGCACCAGGCCGTGAAGAAAGACTAAAAACGAAGGAGAGAAGAAAATATGCTCGATGGGAGTAATCCTGGACCGAATATTTAAAGATGTGCATGTTAGCCTCTGCTACTATCTCCCGCGCCCATGCGAACCATAACGACGGTGATCAATACAAGTGCCAACTGTCTTTCTGAAAGTAATAGACTCTGAGACATAATACAGGGTGAGAAAGGGTGTCTGCAATCGACTAGAGGCGAGTGGCAACTCTTCTCCATGGCCAAACGAGTTTGATGTACTATATTTGTCAAGGTACAGCACAATATTATATACCCAAAAAAAGACTGGCAGAGCACCTCGAGTTCTGCGAAAGGCTATGGTGAAAGGCTACGAGGGATTGAACTGTCACGGCTTGGTCCACACCGCTCGTCTTGCGAAGTGGGCGCTCAGTCTTCTGATCATGGCCCGAAATTCTTGGACAGAGAAAGCGGTGTGGGGACGGGAAAAAACTGTTCATGACGGCAAAACTGTGCGCCCAAAGCTGGAAGCCTCCAATTAGCAGTGCTGATAGCAACTCTAGAGTCCTTCACTTACAGAATAATTGCCATTAGAGGTCGTGAAACACATTCTGCGTTTCACATACGACCCGTATGCCATAATTCAAAACCAATATATCGCAAGCAGGACAGAGAAAGCTGGAATTTGCTCCCATATATATCTAGACTATGTAGGTGCAGTCCTTTTACTGGTATTTGTCTAACTTTCTCAAGGGTATTGGCCGGCGATGCGTACATTATACAGATCGATTGCCATCGATACGGCTCGAAAAATGTCGTCACTTTACACTACAATTCGAAATTATCCGCATCTACGGCCTCTGATACAAGGCTTGAACATTACATGCCGGTTCTATATCGTGGAGAGTCCACCAGTAGTCTGGAATCTCATCTGTAGGCTGATCCTCATCCCAAGTCTACAAAATCTCAGTACCCCAATGAGGCTACTGAATCCGCAAAGAAAGCGGCATGGACCGCCAGTTGTTCTCCCAGTGGAGGCACCCCAACAGCGAAGCATACAGAGACTTACAATCTATGGTAATTATATCTGGAGGCCTGTCGACTTATCCTTGATTGTCGCTTCATTTGGCAATCTACGATCCCTCACCCTCTAGCGCATTACGCTCCTCGGCTTCACCCAAGGGGCAGCATACACTCCCAACTTGATACAATTAAAGGAGATTAGCACTAATCAATGTAGAAACGTAGCTGATCTGGATGGTTGGCTCTATAGGCTCCCAAATCTCACGACCATGGCAATCACATCGTATGAGGAACTCTCGCACTGGACACCGAGCATATTCTCCAAACAGAGAACCATTCGCCTCGAACTTGTGATCACCAACGAGTGTGTCCGCTCTCTCCGGCAGTGGTTCACCTCGTGTGTCTCGATGCGCTCACTTCACATATCCAGCAACCTTTTAAAAGCCCACTATCAGGCCATTTCATTACACATAGATGAGTTGTGGATCGACGTCGTGTCATCGGGCGAATCTCAAAACGGCATTGCACAATGGCAGTGGAATGAATATCTTACAAGAGGTCCCACAGTCTCACAAGTTGTTATCATTGTCTTTTCCGAAGATTCGTGGTACAAGTTGAACGGTCGTCGGTTTCTTGCGCTATCGAGTACTTATGGGATCAATGTACGGTTCCAGATATTAGATGACATGAATGGTAAGCAAGGTGTTCGACTTCTCAATCATTGGATGCTAACTTGTGGTAGAGGATGAAACTGCTTCTCCCGATCCCGGTTGGTCTAGAGAGGTGGGTAAAAGGGCTCGAAAGCGGCGTAAATTTCGAACTACGGACAAGCGAGTCATGGATGCTTGGGATGACAATCAGGTTATGTAGCATGTTGGTAGTTGCTCTCAAAGATGTTCCATCTCAACCTGGCCATAATTCGTATCAAACTGTACATAATGAACCCCGAATACACTACAAATCGTGACTGTCCACGGATGATAAGAGGTGAGAGTTCAGATTACCAGATGTACTTCAAGATGGGAAGTTGCCAGAGAAGCATATCATACTCGTCTTTTGTCAAGCATTTTCTGACGACGGGTCCTGCCTTTAGTGCGAGTGGATATAGAAGATGTCTCTTCCAAAACGAACCCTTCTTCGTATCTGTAGAAATGTAAGAGTAATGCGATAGTTTAAACTGTGGATACACACCATCACACTCACAGACTTCATGCTGCATTGTATAATTTTGCCAGATCTTCTGGTCGTCCAAGAGGGCCGGCCCAGGATGATGCTTACAACAGAACATCATCTCGTGCTCATATGCAGGGAAAAATCGGATGAGTTGGTCAATTTGACCCCGAATATTGTCGGGTAGATCCGTCTGGCCCCATCGAAGAGTAACCTTTTTTCTGGTGTGGCTAAGAGGCGTGGTAAGCTTTTCGTCCATCGAGACATCCAGCGTCAACTCTTCGATCGAGGGACACTCATCCAGCCATTGGAATAACTGCGTCTCTGCATCCCATGCAATGTTCATCTCGATCAATTCGAGCGTCTTGAGACTTGTCTCCTCGGTAAAAAGTTTCAGTGGAGGTGAGAGGGGACTCGAGCAGATGTCCGTCCCGCGCAAAGTAACCTTTTGCAACATGGGACACGCGAGTAACCACTCGTCAAGCCTCCACACCGAACTCCCACGCGAGAATTCAAAGTGTTTGAGGCGCGTAAGTGGTGGGGTAGTGAGTGGCGAAACATCGTATGCGAGCCAAAAATCATCGAGCGCCAGATGCTCCAAGCGGGGAAAGGCGTGCGTGAGGAGGTAAGGAAATGTGCTGGGGTTGTATACGTCCGAGTGGATGCTCAACGACGTCAGGTTTGCGTGTTTTCCCTGTGCGATGGGTAGCACAAATGGCCTCTCTTCAGCCGCGTAATCCACCGTTTGCTTGCGCTCATCCACGTTGCCAAACACCGCAACCGGGCACGTAAAGTCCAGTATCCTCAAATCCTCCAGCATATTGACCATTTTTGCCAAATCGCGTCGTAGACAACTCGGCATACGATTCCCCACGCGCGAGGGGACGATGAGGGTACGCACGAGCGAACGTACGTGTACCGCATCTGGATCTTTCAAGAGTTCGAGGAACAACTCAATTTCCCTACACTCGAATAATTGCACGCGTTCAAAGAAGATTGCGGTCGCGGCTGGGTACCACGCCTTACAGACGAGGCGGGTGGCGCGCAAAACATCCTTTGGTTCTTGGGAGCCCGAGAGGACGAATCCAGAATCGACATGGGCCCTCTGAAGATTTCGAAAGATGGATATTAAGATCTCGTCTGGTAAGCGCGCCGCTAGACTTGGGCGATTGCTTGGTCGCTCGGCGTCTGTCAGTATGTCGTTCCAGCTCAGATGAGAAAGGGACATACTTGGGTGTCTGAGATGCGCACCACATTCGTCAGGTGCAACCGTTTGATTGCACGGATGAGCAGTCGCTCTGAACCAGAGCTTGAGCCAGACCGTGTGTGAACTGCCAGCGCAGGAGTAGGTCCAGTGTCTCGTTGATCTTTCATTGTTGCTCAAGTCTGTAGATCCTCCCTATTTTATCTTCTTTGCCGGCCAGCGACGCGAAAGAGTTCGGCACCAAGTGACTGACCGCCTCCCAGAGCCTGTAGTGCCATACAGCTTCCAGCACGACAACCGAGAGCGGGAGTGGCAGTGCCCTTGGAAAACCACTAATAGAACGTAAACACAATTCCATTTCGAGTCACATAGCTCTAACGACACAGCATGGGTTTAGCACATTTCATAAGGCAATACTGGAACAGACCAAAAACAAGTCATGAAGAGGGACGAGGGAAAGAAGCGTCGAGTGGGCAGAGAATGCGAGCCGACACAGAGAGAGCCGGATGGGCTTCGGTATCAGAATGAACGGACGTCGGCAATGTCGTCTAATTGGCGTGAGCGATAAGATGCTAAACAATAAATCAGGTCAGACGGTTTGAGCCCCGGTGTTCATGAGTGAACCAGCTCCGAGACATCCGCCGCCTTTCCTGTCATAGCCTCGAAGAACTCAAATGCCTTGATCGCCCGACGCTCCTGCTCCTCGTTGGCCTTGACCTCCTGTTGACGCTCCTCCATCGCACCACGGAACCTCTCCCTCAAGTCCCAGCTCGCCAATCTCAACACTTTGCGCGTCTCGCGTGAGATGCGAGTAGCATGCGCATTGACAAACTTGAGCTCCTCTTCCTGTCCTTCCTCTCCACGAATAAGACTAGCCTTGATCCGTCGTCCAACATTTTTGGGAATGGTGCTGGGCAACTCGAGCACAAAGTACACCGTCAACCCAATCGTGAACGCACCGAGCACCGGTGCAGCCCACTTGCGCGCCGTCTCATTGCCGAACAAGTCGGTGATGCGCACCAGGCCCTCGAATGCACCACGGAGTCCAACAGCCTTGCCACTGGCAAGCGTCAGCGCACCGACACCAAGTGACGCCAAGCTAAGAGCACCAGCAGCCGCATCGTTTGAGTCGAGGCCGCTCTTGCTCTCGTCTGAGCCCTTGAGATGGGTGGACAGTCGGTGCTGGAGGTCCATAATGTCCAAGAAGGAAACGTCGAGCATCTCTGGGCGCTGAGCGAGACCGATGCCGAGTCCGTGAATGCCTCCTACGACGAGCGTGCCAGAGTTGCGCTTGGCCTTTTTGGCGGCTCGGAGCGAGAACATGGCCGAAGGCATAAAGACACGGCGGGATCGCTCGACACCTTCAGGAAGATACACTTCCTCCATGTCTTGAATCTTGGCAACACCAGCAGAGGTAATGAGACGCGCCTCGTCCTCGGCAAGCTTGACGGACAAGTCGAGGGAGGCGAGGAGAGCCTTTTTGACGTCACGCGTATATTCGAGAACACCGAGGAGACCAGGGTACTCTGGCATGCTGATCGCACCCTCCTCGGCGAGGTTTCCCGTACCAACGCGGTCCAAAGCATTGTTGAGACGATCGCGGGTGCGAGTGCGGGCCTTGGTGGCACCATCGTCCTCGACGTTCTCCAGTCCATCCTCGAGTCCCTCACGGCTGGCTTTCATCTTTTCGAGGATCGGGCGAGCAACCTCGAGGGCAGCACGGGCCAAATCCCGCTCCGACTCGGCCAGAATGGCGTTGGAGGATGCGAGCAGGCTGACGTCTGCGAGAACATTGTCGAGATAGGTGACGACTGGCTGAAGCTTGGATTTGGAGCGCTTGACAAGCACAAACGAGCGCAAATCCGACTCGAGCTTGTCAAATGCACCATTGACCGATGTCGAATGAAGTGCCGAGCTGGAGTCGACGAAGTGGACGAGGTCCTCCGCATCTTCATACGTCCTCGGGCTGAGTTGCTTGATCTGGTCGAGGACAAGGCGCTTGCACCTGGCCTTGTCTCTGATCTGGTCGAAGCGGTTGACGACGATGAAAATGTACGCCTTTTCGTTGCTCGCGTTCCAAAGGAACTCTTTGGCCGAGAGGGTAAAGTGGTTCTCTGCAGAGACGACGAAGACGACAACGTCAATCTCCTCCTGACGCGCAAAGACGGCCGTCGTCTTCAGCGAGTCACGGTTGAGACCGGGCGCATCGATGAGGGCAATGTCGGCGATACCGTTGTGAAGGAGTGATTCGGACGGGTTGCGTGCGTCGTTGACGTAGAGCTTGAGGACACGCTGGGCGTTTTCCGGTTCGACAACAAGACTCTCCAAGTCGGAGAGCGATGCACGAATAAAGGTCGAATCGTCGGTGCGCTCGTACCGGACACCGTCCTTGACGAGATGAACCTCCTCCTTGCCGTCATTGTCGGCAGCATCATGAACCTCGCAGAACATGGCTGTGCATGGTTGCTGGTCGACGGGCATCACCTCGCGACGAAGGAGTGCGTTGACGAAAGTCGACTTGCCGGCATTGAGGTCACCGGTGACGAGGATTTTGCTCGACGTATCCTCTGCGCGAGCCTTGAGATTGTCCATGTGGTTTAGCGTGCTATCGATGCGTTCTTCGATCAAGTTTGCAATCGAAGTCTTCTCGAGCTGATTGATCAAAAAGGCAGGGGTGGTGCCAGTCGGGCCAAGCTTGAGATCGAGCTTGAGGAGATTGAAATTGGACGAAGGAGGAAGAAGCGTTGGATCTGGCTCCTCGGTAAGCGCGTCACCAAACTGAGGTTGATGGTCGTGCTGCGCCTCTTCATTCTCCGAGACTGCTGCGAGAGTCATGGATCGATGCATGCCGGGTCGAATGACGACCTCTCGCGAAGACGATGGGTCGTCTGCGAAAGAGAGGGCGCGTCGCATTCCCCTCCCCACGGCGGGGGCATTCTTTGTGGAGTCTGATGATGGTGACGAAGACTCGGCGAGGGTTGGGTAACGAACGATCCAGGAAGACTTGTTAAAGTCTTTGATGGACGAGAGAATATCCTTGGTCGCGTCGACGGCACCGACGAGGCTGTAGAGGCATATTGTGTCAGCCGTTGGACACAATCACGAGGGGATGAGCGTACCGGGTTTGAAGCTGAACATAGGCTTGCTGAACATCTTCAATATTCTCGCCGTTTTCTATCCTGTCTTGGACGCTGTCCGAGCCGGCCTGGGCGACGGGTTGTTGAGGGACATAAGTCTGAGCCATAGCGGGTGTTAGGGGTGATTAATGGGGTCGTGGATGGTATAAAAAAGACGATTCCTGCGGCTTGGATGATTTAGATGAATAAAATCGTGCGTGGGCAGTGGCCCGTAATCTCTGCGGTCGATATGGTCAGGTCCAAGCACGCGGTCCAACTCGGGGGATTGCCAATGTCGTCGATGGGCTGTCGAGGAGCTTTCCAAGAGATTATTCTAGTGTTTATTAGATGGTTTTCACGCTCGCGGCGGTCGTGGCCCAGCTCGAGGTCGAGGAATGGGCCAGGCCATGATGTCGAAAGCCGTTGGCGAGGATTGAAAAGCGTCTAGAAGCATATTGTTCTCATTATCCAATCAGCTATTTACTAGCATATTGGTACTCCTAGCAACCTCACTCCAAACCTTGCCCTCGCCCTCCATTTTCATAGAGTGTAGTTGTACCGAAACTGAGCGCTAAAAAGTGCCAAGAAAATGGACAAAATACAGGCTGAACTCCGTCGGACGAGCGACTTTTGATAGCGGCCCATACGACAATTCCCGTTCACCGCTTGGCCACCCACCTACTCGTCGGCCATTCCTGCTTGCATTGATTTCTAAATTTATCTGACCAGCCATCACCGCTGAATAACAAGTGCCGAAGGGCTCACCACACCGTCTCCAATCAAATCCCTCGAGTTCAGGGGAAACTGTATTCGGATACATGCACTGCATACGCGCCGTATCATCGCTCCTAGGGTCGAGTTTCTTTGTGGCATACATCTTCGAGCGCACTGACTTGGTAAGAAATCGGAGCTGTCTCTCCCGGATCTCTTCAAGTTCTGCTTAAAAGGCAGTCTGTCCTCTTACTCTCCTGTTCATCATTCCTTTCCCTTCATCTTCGCTACTTTCAATGCTCTCCGCAACCATCTTACCCCTCCTCACCCTCAGTTTCCTCTCTAGCGTGTATGCTGACCGGGCTTTGAGCATTACACTCTCCGGTACGACAAATTAGTCTTACTAAGGCACTTTCTGACGCGACATAGGTTCAACAGAGGTCCGCGACGTCGACAACTTTGCCGTGGTCACAACAGTCACCAACACGGGATCTGAGACAGTCGAACTCTACAATACCCCTGCATCTGTCCTCAACAACTTTCCTGTACGTCTACGAGCAGCACATCTCTTCGCGCCCTGACCTGGCCACAGACGGATACATTCACAGTGACCAACGAAGACGGCGACGAGGTCCCGTTTATTGGCGCATATGTCAAATGGGGCTTTGAGATTGCAAAGGACTTTATCACACTCGCTCCAGGCGAGAGTCACGAGGTTACCCATCAGCGTATGTTTGCACTCCATCCGGTTTGTCGTGCTTACTGACCTTTGAACACTAGTTGGTGATGCCTACAACTTTACCATGCAAGCAAACTACACCATCACACCCAGATCTACCTTTTATGCTGTACCCTCTGACAGGGATTCCTCACCAGTCACCATCGTCGCCAGCATGCCCGAGACGAATCACACCACCAACCTCAGCGGAAGCCTCGTCTCGTCTGTCGTGACCAAACGCAGTCTCGAGCACGCACAGTTTCTCCAAAAGCGCTTACTGGGGAAGCGAATCTCGTTCAACGGGTGCACGCCGGACCAACAAGCTGCTATCAATAAAGCGGCTTCCAACGCGGCTGAAATCACTAAAAACACCGTTGCATATCTCTCCCGCTTCCCCAACACGCAGCGATACCGCATGTGGTTCGGCACCTATTCAAGTGCCAATAGAAACATAGTCTTTGATCATTTTAAGAAGATCCTATCGAGTGACGTAACGTCATACCAATACGACTGCACCTGCGACAAAAGTATCTACGGTACGTCCTATTCTAGATTTTATATACTTCTCTCATTGTCGTTTTCCAGCCGAGGTCTACAGAGATAATTTTGGAGTCGTCTATCTCTGCCAGGCTTTTTGGCCCGCGCCAGCACTTGGAACAAACTCCAAGGCGGGTACACTCATTCACGAGGCCAGCCACTTTAACGCCAACGGTGGGACAACCGATACAGACGGCACATACGGTCATGAGAAGTGTGCCCAGCTCGCCATCGACAACCCAGGCCTGGCCATTATGAACGCAGACTCGCACGAATACTATGCGGAGAACACACCTAGTCTCACATGAACAACGCCAGCACGCACCCAATGACCCGACTATCTTTATGGCCATATAGCCTATGCGAAGAGGAGCCCTCTCGCTATTTATTCTAGAGCCTATCAACCTCGTAGAAATGTAGACTAGTGACGTGAAGACGCATCACGTTCCAAAAGGCACTCTTTAGAGTTATCCGGGAAACCTGTTCACTGGCAATTCCGACAGTGCCCGTCCTCGTTTGGGAATTACGGAATCCTATCACGCATGTCAGGTGCCAAAGGGACTGAACACAGGATCTTCGCCAATGTCCCTGGAATATCAAAAAGACTGACAACGTTCCTGAAAGAGCTGTATGCGAGCGCGTTGAATGTGCGATCAAAGGTCGCGACTCTTCGTGTTTTGGGCGTTTGATCGCGCGGGCTTGGCAAAAATCGGATTTTCTACCCTGAGGTCTTGAGGATTCTGTCAAAAGGTGGCCCTAGAACTGGCCGTGACCATTTGGAACCTTGCCCTCCCCTCCTTCCTTCTTATTCCCTCTTCGCCACTCACCATGTTCTCTGCAATGTTTCTGTCCCTCTTCATGCTCAGTCTCCTCTCTGGTGTTCAAGCAGATAAGACCCTCCGTTTAGCGCTCTCCGGTACGTCAAAAGTCGCGGTGAATGCGTGTTTCTGACCTGCCATAGGTCCAGAAGAGGTCCACAATGTTGACAACTTTGCTGTCGTCGCGAAGGTTACCAATACCGGATCTGAGACTATCAGGCTTTACAAGGACCCCCATTCAGCAATTGATGACTTTCCTGTACGTTCATTGAACCACCTCTTCGCGCCTTTCTGACTCTAGATACAGGAGAATACATTCACAGTAACAAGTGAGGAGGGCGACACACCCGAATTTATTGGCGCAAAGGTCAAATGGAGCTACAAGGCTGCGACCGAGTTTATCACACTTGCTCCAGGCGAGAGTCACGAGGTCACCCATCAGCGTGCGTTGGTATTCAGTGCTAGAACTTGTGCTCATCACCCTTTCTGGACATTAGTCGGCGACGCCTACAACTTTTCTAAACGAACCACTTATGCCATTACGCCACAGGCCACCTTGTATGCTCTACCCTCTGGCAAGAATCCATATCCAGTTCCTATCGTCGCCAGCATGCCCGAGGCAAAGCATACCGCCAAGCTCAGCGGGAGCCTCATCTCGACTGTCGTCGCCAAACGCAATCTCGAGCACGCAGAGTTTCTCCAAGCGCGTTCACTGGAGAAGCGAATCTCGTTCAGTGGTGGATGTACGGCCTCCCAAAGGACCACGATCAATACTGCAGCTACCAATGCACTCAAGTACACCACAGGCGCCGTCTCCTATCTTTCAGGCTTTGCCAGGACGAAGAGATACCGTACATGGTTTGGCGCTTACACCATTTCGAACAAGAACAAAGTCTTGGACCATTTTAAGAAGATCCAGTCTGGTAATCCAAAGTCGTACAAATACGACTGTGCTTGCGTCCGTGATGGTGTTTTCGGTACGTCATGTTCCACGTTATGATCATGTCTCTCAAATCGCGGCTAGCCTACGTCTACTCAGCAACATTCGGTACCGTCTATCTCTGCCCGGCATTCTGGGCTGCACCAGCACTTGGAACAGATTCTAAAGCAGGGACTATTGTCCACGAGTCTAGCCACTTTAATCGCAACGGTGGCACGGACGATTATGCGTATGGTCAAGTGGCTGCTGCTGCGCTCGCTGTCAGCAATCCCAAACAGGCAATTATGAACGCCGACTCGCATGAGTACTTTGCAGAGAACACACCCGCTCTCCCATGAGCAAGACTGGCCATGGCCACTAAACGACTCTTGGACGAATTTCGTGATGATGGGTGTAACACTCTACGAAGAGGTGACTGTTGACGATGGGAAATCCTCTCGCAGCTTTCCTTTTGGACTTTTTCCTGCCTTGTGATGCGCTTCGTAGATGTATACGTTAGCCGCGCAATGGGCAATGTAGCGCATTTGACTTTATGAATCATGATCCTCGTCGCTTTCATGCTTGCTACATCTTACGAGGCCTTTAGCACTTTGGGCTCGCGTAGTGGCGACAAGCGGAATATAATCACCCGATAAATAGACGAGGGGCGGTCTAGATCTCGAAGTGAGGGGTCAACCAGTGGAGTCCCGTTTTGTCACCATTCTCCTCTTTCGCATTCCTGAACCTCTTGTTCTGGTTTTATACGGCCATTACCATCGACCAAGGAACAGAGAAATCTGACCAGTCGTCGGCAGCGGCACTCCCGTCTTGCACTCACAATCTATGAACATCCAATTGTACTCAAAAGGCGCTCCGTATGTCAGGCTCTCTGTGTGGACGGGCCCCTTGGCCGTCGACGTTCTCTTGCGTGGTGCTAAAGGCTTTTCGCTTTACCCCACCAATGCACGTGAGTGAACTTGGAACGATTACTAATTGGCATTTGCACCGAGCCGGGTCTTTGTGCCAGTAGCGAAACAAAGGCAACAGAGTTGAACGTTGCCATCACCGGCCTACACTTATAGCCCCGAGGATTGACCTTTATCTATACCAAAATGAACCATTCCATTGCTATCCAGCACTATCCAATCGTTCAAGCCATGAAACTACAATCTGTGAGTGCTTACAAAACTCCGAAAGGACAGACTGACCGTTCCACGGTAGACCGCAAGCGCAGAGGCTCTCGATCTACTCAGTGCCTCCTCCCTAATCGCATGTCTTCTATATCAGCAACCCATCATCGACGAGCTCAGACTTTGCGGTCGCGAAATCGAGCTTACGTTGTTCCAATACAAATACGACGAGTACTACAATGATCTCCCACTGCGCCATGCACCATATCTCCTCACAGATATTACAAAGTCTGCCGTTCAAACCTATATGAGCGACATCGGACACGCACTCAAAGCGTATTCGGCTGAAGATCTCGATAGAACCTGTACGCCTCACGATATACCCACGATGGTGAGAACCTTGAGCTCAAGAGTGTCAGCAAACAATCTTGGTCTCTGCCCAGCGTGCAGCCAGGGGATTCGCTAGACTTGCAAAGACTCTTCGCCAAGACGCCACACCATATCGTAAAAAGATTCGTGCCGCACTTCAACACCTCGTTGTATACCCCGAGCTCGATGACAATCACGCATGCCTTGGGTGGACGGGCGACTTATTCTTCATTGGATCCATCGACCTCTCCGCTTCTTCGAACCACGAGATGACCAGTCGACTGTTCAAGTGGAATGAACGCGTATGGGATCAGTTTGACCTTTACCTGACGTCGCTCGATCAACTCGAAGCTCATTTCACGCGGGTTGCGCAGTTACTACTCTCCGGGTTCACTTTCGATTCGCAGCTTGCCCACCACCTTGTTGTCTCTAGAAAGCGTGCAGCAACATGTTTGATGGCCATGATCGATCATGTGATCCTCGTGTTACGCGTATGGTGGATCGTAGCAAGCTAGGAGCGCATCCATGAATACCTGGGTTGATGATCGGTCGCGATTTCTCTGGTTTCTTGCTCCCGTCAAAAAATCTACTTTATATCTATTACCCTTTTTCGAGGAGAGACATAACTTCAATATCATCGTTGATTTTCCCTCATGGCGGTCCTTCTTGATGTCTCAATAGCCGAATGATGTAGCATGTGGACTGATCCATGTCGGTGAGTACCGTTGTGTATTGCTGTCCTTCTCCACAATCCAACATTTGGCTGCGATACCTATTGAGAACAGACGTTGAATATGGCATATATAACAATTGGTTTTTGTTTGCATTATTCACCGCTTTTTTTAGCGACCATTGTCTGGCGTCAAAGCCAGCCCCTCCTACTAAAACGCGCCAGTCCAAACAGGGACAAATACAGTCTGCTCCTCGTCCCACCCACATCTTTGCGCCCGCCGCTGATCATCGCTCTAGCATCTTCAACAGCTCTGTACGTATATTTACTGTTTTTATGGACAGGTAGAGGCCCCTGTTTTCCCGCCGCTCGTGTGGAAGCCCGCCACAACCACCTCCCCTTTGTGTTTTGGTCCTCCTGGGCAGATTTGTGCTTACATCTTGCTCTTTTCCAGCCCCAGAATTACCCTGAACATGTCCAAGGAACGCTCCAAGTCCTCCAAGGATGCTCGCCGCCACACCGACCAACGCGCCGTAAAAGCACACAATCACAGCATGGCAAAGCTCATCGACAGGCTCAGTAACATCGAGATAACCGGCAAGGACGATTATTCTGCCCCCAAGCTCCCTACAAGCGTCGCTGCTCACCTGAGCACAACCAGCCCGTACATGAAGGCGGACGACGCTGGCTACACCAGCGATACGGCTGGATTCGCGGACACAGAAGCTGACTTTAACGCGCATCGCACTCGCAATAAAATTCGTCAAAATCGTCCCAAGGCGACGAATGTCCCATACGGCGCAAAGCGCACGACCAAGGCCTCCAAGGCCCTCGACGAGCGCATTAAAAATTCAAAGGTAAATTAAAGATGCAACTCTCTTTTGTGAGGCCCATTGCTGATCCCGTCTAGGTTCTGCACGCGCAACCGCTGCCGCCCGTCGAAGAGCTCCCACCAACGGCCGTTGACGAGTTGGCGGTAATGTTGAAGACGAAGCTCGACACCATTCATGACATCCAGTTCATCGCTACCATGCGGGTTCTCAACGACCCATCTGTCATCATCACTTGCTCCTCGCCAGTCTTTACGCCTCAGACAGACCGCCTCGAAATGGCGAGCGTGGCGGGGCCGCACGAGGACGTCGCCAAGGAGCCCTCGCCAGCGCCTTCCAATGTGTCTCTTCCATCTCTCGAGGAGGTTCTCCGAGGTCCATCACCCTTTTCCTCTCAGTCCTCGTCCTACAGCGACGACTCGGTGGGCTCTATGACCTTGCCGCCAATTCATCGCCCATCTCGGCGTTTTGTCAAGGAGAACCGCGTACGTAGTATCCTTTCACCTGGTAAACAATGTCGTGCTGACTGCCTCTCAGAATCGTCGTGTGTCTCCCTATAGCTCCAACAAGAACGACCGCAAGAAATCCAAGGCTCCTAAGACGTCCCGAGAGGAGCAAATTGTCGAAAAATTGTCGAAGAAGCCGTGTTTCAGCGACGACATCCAGTTTGTCGATGAACCTGGGCTCAACTTCGAGGCTCAGTGCGAGCATACCCTGGATGTGATTCCACTCACTTACGAGGTGAGTTGGGCGCTGTCACGTTACCGTATACTAATGCTCTCCTAGAACAACTATCTTCCCCACGACCACTATCTCAAGGAATTTGCTGGCTTCAGCGCCTCCATGTACGTTCCGTACATCTAAGCAAATCAACTCGGCTCTTCTGCGTTTTTCAAGCCTCAGTCTCGGTTCTTGGCCCCATCTCCGTCTCGGTTTACGGTTTCAATCTCAGCCTCTTCCTCTCGACTCCAATCTCGGTTTCCGCCTCAATCTCAGTCTTAATCCCTGAGTATTCAAGACGATCTTCGACTTGTCTGTTCGTCCAACGCGGACAGCACTGACCACATACTAATCGCTGATACTCGACGCGGCGCGGGCACCAGGCGTTGACCTCGCGGGCTGCGCGTTCATGTTACCGTATCGCTGCCATCGACCAAAAGGTCACCTCGACAGTCGGTAACATGAGCGTGCGACTCGCCACAACGACGTCTGGCTGTCGACTTGATCGTCTCGCCCAAGTCGGTCGGTTCGCATTAGGTGTGGAGAGGTAACAAGTTTTGGATAGACTTGTTTATTCTTCTCGGCTCACGACCAGCTCGTCTCCCTTTTGTTGGTAGGCGTAGCGCTTATGCAATACAGTTTCTTTTTTATTTTGAACACGCTTGTTGTGCCGTGAGAAACTGGCATATCTGTTTCTCCGCTGAATGGCTGCGCTCGGCGGGCGCTATTGACAGGCTGGCCAAGTAACGGGTACCTTTTATCGGCGAAGGGCCCTCTTTGCCTTCTTGGACTCTTCCTCGACCGACTATAATCCTCGGGTCCTCTCCGAATACGTACAGAGGGAAACTCTATCTAATTACCGCGCGAGAAACCGCGACCTAGACTGCCTCCGCTTCCGTAAGTATCGTCGCTCTCGACCGTCTGCGTCTCTTGACAAAGACGGCCAACGCCATCGAAATCTACACTCTCTGGAGTTAAATTATCTGCACCTCTGGAGGATCTTTTATCCAGAGATTTCCGACGCCTTCGTATTGATAGCAAACGCTGGATCGAGAATGCTGACCTCTTTTGTGATTCGCAGACGATGCGGTTCACTACAATCCTTAGTACCACACTCGCTACAACGCTCAGCACGCTTCCATTTGTCCCATCTGCCTTCGCCGACGTTCAATCCTATACGCTCAACATTGGCAACACCTATCTCGGTCCGCTCGGTCTATGGCGCTCTACCGCCGTTGCGAATGGACAGTTTCCTGGTCCACTGCTCAAGGCGAACAAGGGCGATACGATGCAGGTCGGTCCTCTTCTTGTTTTCGCCGAGTAAAGGCTAATAAATGTCACTCTAGGTTACGGTGAATAATCAGCTCTGTGATGCTAATATGCGCCGTTCGACGAGTATCCATTGGCATGGCTTGTACGTGTTCTTGTCCGGCCACGCCAAGATGCTTGACACTTAGCTCTCCGTCTCCGATAGATTCCAGACAAAGAATTCGTACAACGATGGGCCCGCATTCGTAACGCAGTGTCCTATTGCGCCAGACCATTCGTATACGTACAATTTGAATCTCGGACAGCAGGCCGGAACGTTTTGGTATCATTCGCATCTTGCTTCGCAATACGTAGATGGTATTCGTGGTCCACTGGTACGTCTGGATATCTCGAAATGCGACTCGTTACTGACATACCGTTAGGTCATTTGTAAGTGTGAACCCTTGCCCTGAGCTGGTCTGACTTGTGTCTTTGAATCTATGTTTCGTTAGATGGTGCGCCAATTCTTGCTAGCCACCATCCGCTCAGCTCACACCCTTCTAGATCCGCAAGACCCTCATGCAAGCCTCTACGATGGTACTTTGAATCCACCATCGAATATTGGAATCTAACGCAGCCCGTAGTTGACGATGAGAACACTATCATCGTCTTAGCTGACTGGTATCACCGCTACGCCCCTCTCCTTCAATCCGACTACCTCTCCCCTCAGAACACGGCTGCATCCGACGAGATTCCAGACGGCGGAACGATCAACGGGATTGGGCGATACGTTGGTGGGCCACTGGTTCCCTGGTCGGTCATCAATGTCGAGCAAGGCAAGAGATACCGCTTCCGGCTCATCAATGCCTCTGCCTATGGCCTTTTCCGCTTTTCCCTCCAGGGTCACCGATTTACCGTCATCGAAGCGGACGGTGTGAACACGGTTCCTTACACTGCGGATTATCTCGAAATTTCGGCCGGGCAACGGTACTCCATCGTCGTACGTCGCTTTCTATGCCTCTGTCACAGCCAATTCTGATTTATCCCAAGGTAAACGCGAATCAAGCAATTGCAAACTATTGGATTCGAGCACCAATGATCAATGGCGGTAGCACAAATCCAAATCGTACGCCGTGCTCCATTGTCTACCGTACTCCACGCTAATGTGGCTCCAGTGGCCTCCACTAGGAACTATGCCGTCCTTCGCTACGCCGGGGCACCAAACGCAGACCCGACGACAACACCGGGATCCGCGTCTGGCGTCAAGGTTCAGGAAGTCGCGATCCAGCCGCTCGAGAACCCAGGTGCACCCGGTTTACCAGTAGATGGAGGCGTCGATCGCGTGTTCAATCTCGCGTTCACTCTGACGGCCGGCGACGGCGCGAACAATGGCGTGGCGTGGAAGATTAACGGCAAACAGTATAAGACGCCCAGCGTCCCGACATTGCTCAAGATTCTTTCCGGTGCGACAAACGAAGGCGACTTTGACCCGACGGAAAATGCGCTCGTGATTCGGGCCGGGGAAACGGTCGAGATTAATATCTCTGGCGTTGTCCATCCTCATCCGTTCCATTTGCATGGTCACACGTTTGATGTCGTTCGTTTGAATGGTGTGACCAACTATGTCAACCCCCCAAGGAGAGATGTGGTCACGACTGGACCTGGTACGACGACGATCCGGTTCAAAGCTGACAACCCGGCGCCCTGGATCCTCCATTGCCATATCGAGGTCGGTATTTTTACTCTTTTCAAGTGCTCCAAGCTCACGGATTGTTCACAGTGGCATCTCGAAGGCGGTCTGGCCGTCGTAAGTCCATCACTTACCACGTTCATCAATAGCTTATTTTCCGCTAGGTTTTCGTTGAAGACCCAGAGGGTGTGCGGACAGGTCCCAATAGCTATCAACCAACGGGTGATTGGCAAAACTTGTGCCCCATCTATAATGCCCTTCCTCAAGAACTCCAGTAGACACAGACGTCAGACGTTGCTCACGGACAATGTATCATCGACCGTCTATATGCTTCTATTCTCCTGGCCGCTACCAGTACAGCAGCGAGGCCCCCTTGTGCTCCATCTACAATACACTCTTTGTCCAATAGACGCCTCTACTTATTCATCGTCCAAAACTACCGACTTGTAGTCCGTCTAAAAAGGTTGATGTTCCTGTCCTAAGCGACCTCGAGTATCATCACGTCGTCTTCCGGCTCTGCAATCGCAGGATCTGCCTCCCACAGTTGCACGAACTATATTCGGATTAGAAGGGCGTAAGGTATAGCAGACGAACGCACCCTCTGCTTCTGGGTCTCGACATCTTCTGCGGTCTGTAATGGCGTCGTGGCGAACGGTAGCTTTTCCCAATATAATGGCCGATCAACTTTGCGCACTGCAGCCTTGTCGCCGATTGCCGATTTCTTGTTAGGTTCCCACTTTGCGCACTTTCTATGTGCACGGTCACGAATGATACCACGAGCGGAAGACCACATACTCTTCACTGATTCCATACATGCCCTTGAGATGTGCCTTGAGGAGTAGGAGCATTGCCAAGATGATTGACGCCCTTGCCATCGAAAACGGTTCAAAATTGCGGCTCAAGGGTTCTATTTCTTTTCAGTAACGCTCAGTATGAAGAGATCAGTGCTTACCTTGGACAGGAAGGGGTTCACTGGGATCACCTTCTGCCGCTGGAGGGAGGATGCCTCCTTCAAGCTGCTTCATAAGATCCGACGGTGCAAGTATCTCCATCATCTGCATACCCGCAACAGAGAGAACGTTAGTTGCCGCTCTTATGACAGCTAGTACCTCCTCCTGAGTCTTGTAATCAAAGGCGGACAGGTTCTCAACGATAAACCGCACAAAGTCGACGTCTTCTTGGCGGGAAGACAGCTTTGTCGAGTCGACGTCAAATGATTTGGTGATAGTGCGTATAAAATCCATTCGTGTCTGGCGTTTTTCCTTGACGAGCGAGTACCATTTGTGGAGAACAGCCGCAGTGGTCGTCGTATAGCGGAATCCTGATACAAAGTGAGCAAGAAATGGAATCCCTCGAGACATTCATTACCGCAAACGGCTCCACCTTCGTTAACCTTCTGTTGATACTGAAATGCAACTTGTGCACATTCTAAATAGCGACTGTGGATAAGCGAAGCGTGCTTCGAATGAAGAATGGTGTGAAGAGCGCTCGCTCTACCATTCAACTGCTGGTTCTCTGATGTCTCAAGAGCAATAATCACCGGTAGGCACTATGGAGCTGATGAGATCAAGTTGAGCCGTACAGGTGAACATGCCTGAAGAGGATGTGCAAGTCCTTGCTTGATCGTGAATCCAAGGATGTCAACAGCAGCATTCTGCACGACCACGTTCTTTGCGAGAGCAGCTTCCAAGATCTGAGGAAGATATCGCTGGACAACGGCTGAGCTGACACTGCATATATTTAGAACAGGCAATGGATTGATATGTTTTCATACCCAGACTCCGCGAAACCTTGGGTGTTTCCAACAAACGCGTCCATGTCGACTGTCTTGTTTGTTTTCTTATTACTCTTTAGTGCAGCTAAGAGATTGTAAGGGACCATTCGAGGTAGCAACTACGATGTACCTTTCTCTTGAGCAGCGTGCTTTGCGGATTCTGAGTTTAAGAAGTCTTGAAGAATTCTTAGAAGTCTACTTTGAAGCTCCTGATCCTCAGAGGCAAAGATTCGGTCCATCAAGTCGGCAGACAGAGGGCCAGTCATTAGCGTAGGGTATGCACGGAATAAGAATCCTAAGCGGAAGTCAACAAGTGTGCAAAATGTTGACATAAAGCTCACCAAGGCATTGGAGAATGCGATTCTGCACAGAGGAATCTTCAAATTTGGAGTAAAGGTCGACCAGAGTATGGTAAATATGCTCGTTGACCGAATCCTTCTCAGAGTCAGATAACGACGGGAGTCAAGGCAGTATCGTACCTTTGAGATGCTCTGGATCTCAGCCGCGAGTTCTGGACGAGGTGAGTTTAGAGCGAAATACCCAATAGACGCACCTGGCCGGGTTTCTCGAACAGAGTCGAGGTTACAATGTTCGCCAATGAGTGCGACCATGCATGCCAAAAGTTGAATCTGACGATTCAGAGTTGCGTTTCCAGGTTGCGCCTGGAACTTGGTCGTGGCATCCTTTAATCTCGCTATATGACTTCAGCGCAGGTGACACAGAGAGCGACAACACGAACCAAGGCATGACTTGAGAAGCCCTATAACCCTCTTAAACTCTTGCGTGATATGCGTGATAACCACGCAGAAGCAAGCGATTGCCTCTTGCATTGTCTGTAATGTATTCTATGAGCACGGAGCCAGATCAACAGTTCAGACGTACCTGTAGACCTCCAGCTGCTGACGGCTTGACGATGACAGATTGCAGATTCGCTTGAAGCTCCTGTCCAAACTTTATGGCGCTCTTGCTCATAGCTGGAATACAGTGTCGGAATATGCGGAGGAGACTGTCTGCCACCAGTTGTTCTTCGGACTGCAGACGTCAGTTGACTGTTTAAGCCATAGTAGCAACCTACTGTAGTAGCATGCTTGAGATAAGGAAGTAGAGTCATCGCCTTTGAACTGGAGATAACAGAAGGCTGAGCAGAGACAATTACTTGTACAGCCCGAACACATGAGAGGACGTTCTGAGACGTTTCAGTACAACTCAAGTAGAATGGAAGCAACTTACGAATCCTGTTGTACTCTCACCGTCAACCAAGGTGTCGATTAGCGCATCACAGATCTTCATATACTTGTCGTGGAGCCATTGAGTCTCCTTCTCTGAACGATCTACAGTAATCTGCATGGCTCGTTAGAAGGCATAGTACGCATCTCGCTGATCTCACCCGATGCAGGAAATCGCTGACGTTGCCATGTCGATCGCGTTGAGCCACTACACCGAGTATGACTGTGACAGTTGGTTTGAGCTGAAGTTTTTCTTCGTCCTCACTTGTCGGCTGCGGAAGGCTTCCATCACCAAACCATAGTTCTTCCAAAGTTTTGATCGCGAGGTCCTATACATTAGCGTTATTCTAAACAGAAAGGGAATACAGTTTGCCCTGTACCTTGACACCGTCATCTTCGTCGAGCATGCGATTTGCAAGTCTTGCCGAGATATCCACTCGTCGACCGATCTCAGTTGTAGATTGATAAAAGACCTTGAGGAGCTTGATGACTCGCTTCCGAACACCCAGACCAGTGTCCTACAAGTTGTGAGAATGCCATCGAAAGGAGTACTCGTACATACCAAAATGCGATCGGCAATCTTCTCGTAATAGTCATTAGCTACTTCAGGTAGCTGGAGCACGTATTTCCCAATGAGCTCAACCGCAGCATCTCTTACAGCGGCCGAGTTGTCGAGAAGGTGCTCCTCAATAGCAGCACGCACATTTGGCTGCAGGTACGTCAGTAGATCAACGGGAGCGTGAGCAATCGTGCCTTTTTGAGAACAAGCGCATCACTGGCTAATATTTGACCCAATGCTCTGAGACCTTTCGTTCTCATGAACACGGCGGCTGCATCCAGTGATCCGAGAATGACGTTCAAGATGGGATCGAATGCACTATTCAGCGATGATAGACTTCCAAGGCGTTCTGAGAGTGCATCTGCTTTGACAGTGTCGTTATCATTCCTGGATATGACCATGAATTTACAACCCAGACAGGGGAAATGACATACCCAACACTGAAGACGTCACCAGAGGATCCCACCCATATTCCAAGGAGTGCCCGTTTGAGAACTTTGACCACTTCCAGCAGCTCTTTGGGCAGGTCTGGTGCATATTCGTCATCTCCATTGGGATGCATCGTCTTGTCACAAGTGGTAAGTGCATTGGCGAGTTCGTGACCCCACGCAGCCCCAGAAAGATCTTGTGCACTCTAAGAACAGTCAGAACATGGTTACTTCTGCAACATCAGCCGAAATACTGACCGAGTACGATTGATCCTCCGCAGCCTTTTTTGCGAGGTAGCTTGAGATTTCCTCATGTGCATGGATGAGTGCTGATATCTTGTCGAGATCCATTGCCTTCACAGCCTATTCATTTCATGAGTCCAAATCGGAGAAACTGACTGAAAATTACCTCCTCCAAAGGAGTCAACGGAGCTTTGCCTTGTTGTCGCAAGGCCGAGATTGAAGCGGCCCGAAGTCGCGCTGCAATAGTTCCCAAGTGATCTAATGCCGTCGCACGAGTTGCACTATTGTCTAGGCTCGCATTTGTTTTGACATCATCGAGCGAGGCAACCTATTTCCACGTCAGTGATGGGCCTTGTGTCCACAGCGAATGCTCACAAAAAGACGAGTAAGCACTCCAAGCAACAGTGTAGCAGCGGGCCATTCAGGAAGATAAAGAACCGTCAATAAATCCGCCACTAAGTTGTCCAAAATTGCTCGGTATTCAGTTTCGTTGGATGATTTGGCTGCTTTCGTCTTTCCCGACCTGCACTCTATCAGCCTGTTCTTACACTCAATAAGAATGAGCCTACCTTTGAGTGAGGAAAACTACAATGGTTCGTGCCACTCTGTGTGCCGAGTCCAAACCTTTGGCATAGACGGAAATCTCCTAAACATAAGATGAGTAAAACACTGGGCACCCAAAGATTGGCGCACTGTTTGGTCAATCTCGCTAAACTCAAACTCCTTGCCTTGCTCTGGAGCATATCGACGCTTCTTGGCAAGGTTGTGACATTCAAATCGCAGTAGGTGTGGCGATGTTTGAACGAGTTGAAATAACAAGGCTGAGACAGTGTGTATCGATTTGCCGTCTCGGAGGCTAGTTTTGTCTTTTAGTATCTGAACGTATCTGAACGTGACATTCCGTACCGGAATTGCCCGCTTTTATGCTTTAGGTCTGGAAGTTTTATCAAAGATGTAAGGATCTCCTCCACGATCCACTGTCTTTGATCTTCATTATTTGCAAAAAGCTAACACAGTCAGCGTTGGCAAACAGTCAAGTGATCCAGCTTACACTGCGGATCAAGGAGAGAGCAGAAAGTCTCAGGCCACGTAAAGATGTAGCACCTCCAAGAGTCGAAATGACCACGGAACCTTTCCCTCCACGACCATCCATCGCAGGTTCTGCAACAAAGAATGGACCAATTGCAATGAAAACTGACTGGATGGTGATGGACTCGGACATAGCGAATCCAGAGAGACTGACAAGTCTGTCGATGCGTGGGAAGATGGATACAAGTGTTTGAAAGATCTCGGAGACTGCCCTCCGTAATCCGTTTGATTGTTGGTCCGAATGCTTGACGATATGCAACAGTGACTGGCTTATTTGATCTCGGATACCAGTCAGCTTCTATTCGCGATCCCCAAGTTCAACACACCTTGAACTTCGCTGTTCGCCTCCAAGAACGGGTAGATTATCCTGGTGAGCTGATTCTTGACTGTATTCAGGCACGAGGTAATGAGCTCTTCCGAGTAGAGCTATACATATTAGTGATGAGGGCGGCCTATAGCATAACAACACACCTGCTTCGGAAGCTGTTCGACACTGAGAATGGCAAAGCAAGCGTCTGCAGCAAGTACGGATTCATAAGCTAATTGAAGCGCGCGTTCCACCTTGCTCATGTCAACCTCAGTCGGATCATCAGGATCGACTGGGGTGCGCGACTTGCTCCGTGTCTTCCTACCCTCTGGCGTCTTTGCTCGCTTTGTCTTCTTCCCTTTGGACGGACTCTTCCCATTACCATCAGCAGATGAGAGACCGCCGAGTTTGACAGTAGGACCTGGAAACGGTTCGACATCTTCTCCGGCGACGACGCTCCTCTCCAAGATTTTGATGATTCTTGAAAGCAATTGGACGTCAACGCCACTTAGACCTTCAGACCGGTTGACCGAGGGAGAGTGAAAAAGTGCATCACGACGGGCCCGTTGCTTTGGTTGAGCCACTTGGTCCACAATCTTGGCCAACCTGGCAATGAATTCCACACTGAGATTTGGGCGTGACCAGTCGGTCGTCATCTTCGAGAAGAAACCAGTGGATTCGTAAGAATCTTCAGCAGGACCATCTGCCGGCACACTGTCCTCGGCCTCAAAAATGTCATCGATGAAGGACAGTAGCCTGTCCAGGGCGCCTATTAATAGTCATAAGAGAGCGATATACCGATAAAAAAGCGACTGACTGCGTTCATCCCCACCAAATCTGCTTTGAGTAGAAGGCGGGACAATACGTGAGGACATGGCCTCGTCATCTGACGCTAGTTGCCAATCACGCTCACTACCACGTTTGGGACTAGGTGAGGGAGTATGAAATTGGTCTGGTCGTTTGGTTGGTCGTCGAGGAGTGACATTTGCCTCGCTCCACGGCACCGGAGGGGGTACTTCAACATATGGTTTCTGGTTTGGATGACTGGTATTCGCCGAGGGAGGAACCGGACTTGACGTAAGAGATGCCTGCTTGACTGGACTCCAACTCATCTGATCCGACGAATGCACTCGCTTGAGTGAAGGCGAGTTGGGGTGATCTTCGCCCGCCTTTCTCTTTTGCGGTGTTTGGCTAAGCATTCTAGATAAGGGCATGGAGTTATAGGTTGATTGACTATTCTGGGGAGGGTAGGATGACGGTGGATTTGTTGGGTAGGAGCGTGCTTTGGATTCTCGCATTTCGTGAGACTTTTGTTGCAGAAATTCGCTAAAGAATCTTGGCGAATCCTCCGGTGGAGCATATCTGGGAGGATGGAGAGCGGCTTGAGCGTATAAAGGGGCTTCACGCGGCGCATATGGACCGGACGGGAGTATAGAGTGAACAAACGCGTTCGGGGGGTGCTGAGGTGCATAAATATTCCTGCTTTGATGCATCGGATGATACTGAGGGGGAGTAGGCATTTGATATTGGGCGGAATTTGAAGCACTGTGAAGGAGTCGAGAAGGGCAACACACCAGGGCAATTACTAGTCAGTTGAAGCTAAAATAACATGATATCACTGACTGCTGGACATGTTGCATGGGAGGGTTGATCAGTCTCACGGCCTGTTGTTGATTTGCGTCCCAGTACGCCCTCTCGTGGCCGTTTGTGGGCACCGAAGTCGAGGATAATCTTGATAGATGGTCTTGTGGACGCGAATTTCTCGTATTAAACGCGTCAGGGACAAAGCCTGGTACGAGATGCGGCTGCATATATGTTGGGACTGGAGCGAGCTGCGTCAGAGTACTCAAATGCATGCCAGCTAGAGATAAAATGACAAATAATTCAGCATATTTTTATAGTTTGGTGATGGACGTGGAGACCAGTGGCAAATGACTTACGCTGCATGACGGGCGTGACACTGGCGATGGGGTAGGTAGATAACAGTGCACGAGGATCATTATTCCTGACTTCTTGTGGACGGTGCCAGCCATTGGCATTGTTACTTTGGCCGTTCATGGTCGAGGCGGGGTTCAAACTTGTGGAAGCGAGACGGGTACAAGGTGTGGAATGGCATCTTGACAGAGGCGTATTGGGAGTATAATATGCATGAATACACTGTTGAGACTATTCGTTCACGCCCATCGGGCTCCTCCGGCATAGACTGGAATTCTCTCTCGTGGATAAGCGGTCGCTTCCTTTGGGCCATGAGGGGCCCTCGACTTTGTGTCTTCCATGGTATTTGGCGGGAAATACTCCTGTATAAACGAGGAAGAGATGGCTAAGTCACGGTTGAGGCTTATTCGAGAGATGCATACCTTGTAGTCACTCAGCGACCATCCTTCCAAGTCTCTTGCGACATCAAAACGCGCGAGTTGGGACCATATCATCCATATGCGTTGATATTACAAAGGCACGGACCACCAAAGATCTGGGGGAGCGTCGCCCATCCCAAGCTCGTCGAACTGCTCCTGTGCATACTCGGAGAACATGGAGTAAGCTGATGTCTTTATATCCCGAGAGGAGTGTCGAAGGAGAAAGGCCTTTGACCATTCTTCCATATTCCGAGGAGGCCGGACAACCCATGGAGCAATGAGGAGTATTTGCTGTCCGGGACTAAGATTTTGCACTTGAGAGACCACTTCTACTATCTCGTCGTCCTCTCATGGCAGGTTTGTGTCGAGGGAGGTTTTGGGTGCCTTCAAAATTGGCTGGCTGTTGCTTCCTTGCTGGATTGAGCTGTCCTCTGAGAAATCGCAATACCAAGTTATTTAGTTATATCCAAATCATTCAATATGGTGAGTCATACTGTCGTTAAACTGGGATCCCGGGGAGCCTGGATTCAGCAGGTCATCGGCGCCCTTCTTGTCATGATCCATGACTAATGTGTCTTCTAGTTTTATATTATGACTATATATTCACGATAAGCGATAAGAATCAACGGCCGTGACGAAAAGCGTAGCGAGACCAGCCGGTTGCATGCACGGAAGTAGGCCCAGTGACGATAAAGGAGAGTATAATCATCACATACCAGTGTTAATGTTGTGTCTCAAGTCGATGAAAGAGGTCGATTGTGGATGCGCACGACCAAGCCGAGGTAGAGGGGTCTACGTGCCTAGTATGTTTGGTTGCCTTATACGGGCGACGCGAGAGACGGAGTACTGCGCCCTCTCTATCAGCAACCGGCGTGATAAATGAGGGTTATCCAATCAATCTTGTCGCAAAAAGCAGCCCGCAGCTGTAGTTGTTAATCGATTTATTCAGCACATAGGCAAATCTGGGTGGTGGAGAGATATAGGACCCGTTACTCTGCTATATCCATCTTTGACTGATTTTCATCCGCAGCAGATTTTATTCTCTCTTCGACAATGTTGTTTCGCCTCTCTGAGAGGAAGGCGTCAATGCGCGCCTTGAGCTCGGTATCTACAACCATAGTCAGCATAGATCCCTACTCCTGTCCTTATCACGTACTCGGGATTACATCTTCAATCTTGAGAGGCATCCGATTGAACGGATCTGTCGGGTCTGAGAGAAGATGCGATTTTATGGTCGACATGTCGACAACAGTTTTTGATGAAGGTAGAATGACAGGATCTTTCATGATTGTAGCCATGAGAGGATCTATGGTAGTCGTAAGTAAACATTGTAGGAGAATAGCAATTGCGCTCACCCTCGAACTCTTCTGGATAGTCGGTAATCTCTTCCTCATCCATCGCCAGACGAGTAGCCTCGACGTTCTCTGCAAACTTTGCAAAGGTTTCAAGTTCCTCACTGCTCTTGAGAACCTTATCTCGAGCAATCTTGAGAGCTCGGTCGAATAGACTCTTTCGATAGCTTCGCCCTTCCCCAGCAACTGCTTGTACGAAGGCCGGTTCTCCGCTGAGATTAATGTAGATCTGCAACACTTTGCTGAGCATCTCTCGAGGATCAAAGCGATACTTGTCCAAGTCTTTCGTCTTCAAGTCTGAAGCACGTGGGCCCGCAAGTTGGTCCAAGACGTAGTTGAGCATAGCTGCAAGTCGTCCAACAATCTCGGGCGAGACGAAAGGCGCCTTTGAAGAATCCGTGAACTCGATGAGCAGTGCAAGGAATTCGCGAGAGTATATAACCCATGATTCGACTATTCCTTCTGCGGCTCGTAGCTTAGACGTCCTATCCTCTCGCTGCTCTTGAGTGAGAGCCTCCCAGGCCTCCTTGTTGGCCATTTCGAGCTGCAGTTTCTTGATTTCTGCCAGCTTTGTGAGCAGCTCGTCCAGCATGAAAGTCACGTCGTTCATGAGGCGATTAGCAAACTTGACAAACTCTTGCATGTTACTGCAAATCGTGTCAGCCTCGCATAACACATGTATACTTACATACCTCGTAAAGTTTGCCATGACAGCACGATGGGTGCTATCTCGCCAGACACTTTGCATAACTTCTGCGATGTCCCGTCTAAAGAAAGTTCAGAGTCCATCTCCTCATGGTCCTTGCTGACTCGCCTGATCTCTAAAGGGGTCTTAGTTGGGGTTGACATCAGATCGAGTATCACTCACGGAATTTGTCATAGAATTGGGTGTGTGTGCCGGTCTTTTCACATTCTTAGAGTCCATTAGTATGCATTAGCGCGGATCGGTAGTCACGTACCAACGTAGAAGCTCATCAAACACATCATGAGGTGCTTCAAGCTGAGCGGATGGGAACACAGAGCGTTCCCTAGAATGCCGGCTGTATGCTGTCGGAATGGTCGAACGCCAATGGCTAGAACAGCCACTAATTTCGACTTGAGATACGGGTTGGTGATATACCAGGTCGACGTCAAGAACGCGATAGCAAAGTCGATAATCTCCTTTTGTCCAAACGCGGTAAAAACTGTGGGTTTGTACTTCATCATCAAGTCCCAGAACTCGACAATATCATCAAAAGCATATTCGGGTTGGACTTTGAAGACGAGGGGAACTTCCTGTGGCAAAGGAAGGCTGTGACATAGGTCAGCAAATTCGAGTGCATGGCACATTCGACGTACCTGATGGTGACCTTTGGGTGCTGTTTGGAGGGATCGACCATCCGAAGAAGCCAGACGGACACGAAACAGGAAAACCCAACAGATTTCGAGGTGAACTCGTCGTCCAGAATGGCGACATACATGCTCTCCATGAGAGCATGCATCTTTGAAATCTCTTCCTGTTCCTTGTCAGAGTTACGTAGTCCAATAGCCATCCCTCATACCTTGCCACGCTTCAATGCTGCCTCCACTTGCTGCTGAGCCGGTCCCTGTCCGTAGTGAGGCACGATAAAGAGAAGATTGGAACAACTTACACCCCTCCAACTTTCGTCCCTTTCCATGACCTCTAGCTCCTTCTCAATATCCCGTACGTGCCTCGCGATAGCGGAGATATAGTTGGAGATCGGCCCAGTACTCAGATGGTTCACAGCTGTGAGGAGGTAGAAAACGTCGGAGACAAAGTTGGGAGTCGGACCACCCGCGTCAGCACCCTTCTCCCATTCCTCGATTTCAGGGGGTGTAGCATTGATGCGAGTCTGGTCTTTGAGGACGATTCGCCGTGATCTTTCATAATAGCGAAGATCAATCTTGTCCAGTTGTTGATAATCCATCATAAATGGATCCGCCAGCCGAAGGAGCACATAATGGAGATTATGCATGAACGAGTCGGATGCCTGTGTCTCGTATTTGAACCGCATGGCTGCCCTTTTCCCGTTCAACGCGACGACTCTTCCTACATACGCCAGGAAGGCTTCTCGTGGAGCAGGGCCAGCGCGAACAATAGAGTTGACCATATTATAAAGAGACGTCTATAGAACAGAGTGAGATTATTGAAACAGAGAAAAGGTGTCTCGTACCCGAAGGGATGTGAGACTCGCTTTAAGCGAGATATCCGAGGCTTGCTTATCCCTCGGAGGCATCTGATCGAAATCCTTGTAATAGGAAACCAAGACCGCTGGCTTCAGAGTTGTTAAGCGACGACATGAGTAGTAATAAGCGGTCTTACCCAATCGCGAGCAAAGATCCCTAGCCTCATGACCATACCGAGAATGCTGCTCTTCTCATGGTCGCTACCATTCTTTACCCCTGGCCAGGATGAGAAAGAGGTATGAAAGTAAGCACATGATCCTTACCTGTGCGTGTCTCTTGATTCCAAATATCTGGATTCCACTGAGGTAACGTGGTAATCATTGCAGCAATGGGCTTGATCGAAAACAGACATTCAAGTGCTGCTACTGCTGACCTCCAGGAGGTCGGATTAACAGCGGTGGATGAAAGAGTAGCCGTCGTGTGCACCTAAACTGAGTGAGATGGTTACAATCTTATAAGTCCCGAGCTGCTTACCATTCCCACAGCCAAATGGGGACTGAATGCGACAGAGCGAACTACGCCTCCAAGAACCTCTTCTAATCCATCTTGATGGAAGCGTTTTGCCAAATCGCTCAGGAAAGGCTGTAGCTCTGACGAGGGATCGAGTATTAGATCTTGAGCCATCGGAGATGTTGCAGAGAAGACAGAGTTGGCAGATGCCAATGCAAACAGCGGAGGTAAAAGCTCTGCGCCACCTAGGGGTTTCCTTGCGGAAGATGAGTGGATGAAAAGCGTTGATGAGAGTACCTACGTCGTATTTGGTTGGGGAAACATGCTAGGATCTTGCATTGTCAATCCGCAGTAGCTTATGATGAGCTCTCGAAGCTTCTCGATCAAGGCAATGGCTTTCTCTAGGTCCTGAGCATATCGTTGTCAGATTGTTATTGAACCCAAGGATTAGCGCACCTTTTCAGGTGGAGCTCGCTTGATCACGGCCGCACGCTGTCCAATAAGCCTTTTCCAGCAACCCACCAGATACTCGAAACAGGTTTGCTCCGGGGGAATGGATGACATGATCGAGATTTGCTCTGGATCATCACTAAAAGATGATTTTAATCGTTGTTTGAGCCTTTGCAAGATACCCACCTCATCCTCTGAGGATCGAGTTCAAGTCTTCCAATGAGTATCTGGTCCGCATGGTCCCCTTTGCAGCGCAGTGGTCGAGGTGATTCTAGGGGTTGATCAGTCCATGTTCATCTGTGTCACGGTCAAGTCCTACCGGGTGTCTCGGATATCAATTCCTGTGACAACTCCTTGAGCCAAACAAGTCGCTTTCGCTGGGCAATGTCTTTCTACACATGAATGTGCCATCCAGAATCGTTAGTGAACTGAAGACTGAACTCGAGAATGGAACCGAACCTACATCCAATGCTACACCAAAGACTATCTCTACGGTGTCCTCCTCCCATCTAGCAAACGAGAAGGGAACATTTGAATGTTTAGGTTTTGGTACAGAATTGGATGCATGAGTTTCTTGGGCAATCGGTTTTGTAATGGTGATTCGTGAGGGTGTAACTCGGCCAGTGCTTGAAGACCCAGGAAGAGAAGAAGACTTCGAGGCTTGGGTGGGGCTTGCAGTAGTGTTCGCCTTGGGCGAAACACTCTTCGGCGCTGCAGTGGATGTAGATGGATTAGGCGCAGGCGCCGTAGGTTCAGCAGGCGGGGATGATGGATTTGACGTAGAAGAGGTGTTTCCTGTACCTCCACCTAGTCTCGCGAGGCGTTTATTTCTGATCTAGAGAGAATAGCATCCAGCGGCAATGGCGGAACAGAAATGCATACGCAATCGCAGGGTTAACAACCGCGTCTTCTCAACGGCTTTCATGTGTACTTACTCGTTCTGCTTCACTTTGAGGTGTAGGCTGTTCGCTCATATCGCGTTCCAGTGGTGGCAGCGGTTCAAGATGCCTTTGCCCGAGCCCTGATCAATGGCTACAGCTCAAAGTACGACACTGTCATAGTACACTGTTTGACCTTATTCTATTGGCTTTCTAAAACAGTAAATATCAAGTATTCTGGCTTTTAAGGTTGGTTGCGAAGGATTCCAACGACAAATCGCAAGCCAAAGGAGCCGCTATGGCGCCGACCACTAAGTTATTTTTCATATTCTCCAGGAACGAACAGATAGGGTATGTTGTTTCATGACTTTCGACGCAACAATATTGGCCGACTCGGGACAAAGGTCGCGCTTGATGGTGTTCAGCTAACGTCAACACCCAAAATGTACTACTGAAACACTGGATATAATGAAACGACGGCAAATGAAGGGAATTTTGGGGTCATCTAGCTTTTGTTTGGATTCATAGGCGTCTTGATAAATGGAGATGTAACTCTCCCTCGGTACGCTTCAAAGAATGTAGATGGTTGATTCCACTGTCCGTAGGTTTTATGGTATATGGCATTTCATGGCCTCCACCGTACCGTCTCTTCGGAGCCTAACGCGTCTCAGCACACTGAAGTCACTCGAAAGTCAAGATTTGGGCCAAATAGATCAGAAGACATAATGCGGATTACAAATAGTTGCAGAAGCGACCAGTCGGTGAGTCCCCTGCGTCACCCTTGCAACAATATAAGCCAACAAATTGTCCATTTAGTCAGAAAGACCTATGTTTCCTTTGTTGTGCCGTTATCAAATGTGTCTGTGGAACGTGCTGGAAGCGGCATTTGCGCCGCCCTTTCAGAGCCTGACGGGTTCGTTCAACGCTGGTCCCAACCACAACCGTCTAAACGCAATCCAACGCACCAATAAGCCTTTATACAGCACAGAGATATCATATGGGTTCGTTTTCTCACTTCCTACTATGAATTTTCGCCAACAGTATCTCCTAGCCGACCCTGGTACCCAGGAAGAGCGGATGCTCTACACCATCCGGCATGTTTTCATGCCTCCAAAACTCCCTCAGGAAGAAGAACCTGACGGTGCCCAGAAGGACCTAACGCTGCTCGGATGGGTAGTGGACGCGGCCACCCAGTTCAACGAACGCGTAAACGCCGCGTACTCCGGAGACAAGGCAGGAACTGCAGCATGGGCTCATACTCGAAAAATGCTTGAATCAGCTGCATTTCTCCATAGGCACGGCACTGTTAGGGGAAACGATCTGACGAAGGCCCTCTCCTGTATGCAGATTGGCGGTAAGGTCCTCTAACGACATGGAATGGCCCTATGGCTCACTTAATCCGCAGACGTCCTGCCTCTCCTGATACAGGCACAGAATGCAGGTGTCATCTTTCGAAAGATCACTGACAGCGATATTTCATTCGAAGCTTTCGAAGTTCAAATCCCTGCGGCAAAGGTCACAGGCACAGTCGGAAAGCTCGTCGTTCAGTATCCCGCCAACCGTCGAGAAACCTTTGCGGCAGACAAGAACCACATTGATCCGGTTTCCAACGTCATCGAATACCTGGCAAAGAATGAGCAAGATGATGCCCTTCCTCATACTCGAAAGGGCGGATCGTCTCATAAGGAGACGAGAGACGTAGCAAGCCCGCGCTACATCACGGAAGGTCTCGCCGGAATTTTGCGCGCTGCCACAACCTCCATCACCACCCCTATTCCGACGACCTTCATTCATAAACGAATCAATGACCACGTCCTTTGGAAGTCGGCAAATCTTCCGTGGAGGCGTAGTCCGATGTGGCTGCTCATTAGAGTCGCATTACAAACTACTCTAGAAGAGTTCAAAGTACCAACGGAGATGGGCTACAAAGCATTCATGATATTTTTCATGACACTTGTCATCGAAAAAGCTCCCTCCATCCGCCAACACGCGATGCCCTCCCATCTCCTCCACTTTATGAACTCTAAGCTCGCTCGACGACTCTACAAGTTGGGAGACGTCGTGGAGGACAGAAATGCCAGTATTCTGCAGGATTCGATCGCGACCGTCCAGCAAATTTCTTCCCTTCTCGAGACTCGCTGGGAGGAGATCAAGGATGAATACGCTGCGAAAACTCAATGGAAGGACTTTGACTTGAAACGTCTGGAAGGATGCGATGCATTGACCTTCGGGTCCAGCAATACCTATCTTCACCAAGTCATAGGTCGAAAGTCAAGCCTCGAAGCACGGTCGCCCCCCGATTGCAATGCAATAACTCAAGAGTTAATTTCAAAGTGTCGCGAGAGGAAAGCCTTTGACCCAGATCAATTGCCAAATGACCTGACCGGTCTGGAGCCCGACGTCGCCCTTCATGACTTTGAAGCCTGGATTGGGTGCCATCTTCCTGCTTGGAAGGTGAACTCCCATCGATCCATACTTGATTGTCTTTCTATCTCAAAGGCGATTGATATGTATCGAGAAATGGCACTCCCGGCATACAAGTCAAAGCCAGACTTCCTGTCTGTCATGCATCTCTGTATACTGGAGCTCTGGGTTGCGCTTGACACTATCGTCACGCAATGGTGCCCGCTTCTCCTTGAATATTCACCCGAGATTCCGTGCGATCTTCTGGACCCTCTCCTTCTTCCGTACCGCGAGCATCTCCACCGTCTGTTCCAAGTACAGAATTATCTCAAAGCACGACATCGTGGCACGTGGCAATATGGTTCGCGATCGGTCTTCAGCGATATAAACGCCTCCTCGTCATTCGCCAATCGATTTTTCCTTCTTCCACTTGCCCAGTCGCTACGAGATCTCAGGGACACAATCTTGCAATCCTGGGAGCTTAAGCGACGGCAAAAGATATCAGAACTTGATCGCCTTAACGAGCGGTATCAAGATCTAATTGAACGCTCCGAAGCACTGGAGCATACGGAAACGGAATTTCGGGATCATTGGGGTGATTGGATCTCGAGGCACGTGAAGAAACGATGTGAAAAGTGCAAGCTCGCAGATTCAGCACAAAGGCTGAGTATCACTCCTCTTGAGGAGACGCTACCCCGAAATGTACACGAAGCTCAAGCGGTCATCTTCGAACTGAAGTGCCCGAAGTCATTCTCAATATGGAGAGACGTCACAAGGGCTATCGTCCTGTCGGCTACGAAATACAAGGATAACCAAGAAAGCGACCTCCGTCCACTCGATACGTACAATCCTCTGCAGGAATTCTTCATGGCAGCATATCCTGGACAACATGTCAGCTTGGCCTCGTCAACGAAATCTATCAGTCAATCCCACTACGGAGAGCCCCAGTCAATACCAGCGACTCGAGCACAGATCATCAAGGGTCACGCAGGGAGATGGGAATTATTTAGCATACAGCACAATTCATGGATCGCCCAAACCGGCCAGAGCGGGCTCCAGGAAGACTTGACATTTTCCGTGGAAGGGCCGTACGCTTCTCTCCAGAAATACGTCTCCCACACCTCTCACTCTCCCAATTCGATCATCGCCGCACTCGATTCTTGCCCCAGGGGCTTGTCCCCTGGTGAGTACCTTGCCTTCTCCCACCTCCGGGCTGGAAACTCTATCCAATGGCTGAATATTGCACGCGCATTATGTGCACAAAATTTGTCCTTCTCCGAGTACTCAGTCTTCGCTCTGATTCTGCAGGCCATTTGGCAGGTTGGACCAGAAGCACGATCTGATTTGGCCCACCCACTCCTCCGAGATGCACACCAAGACCTTGCTGACGAAGCATTTGGCCGGGAACTAACACGTGAGCTGTTCATTGTTCTCGAGTCGATGCACGGGAACTGGAAGCAAGCATGCTATCTCGGTATAGTGGTCGCGATCGCTTTGAAGCTGCATTCGTTTACGCCCTTGGCGGGGATAAAGGATCTCGCATATGGGGTACTCGAGCAGAGCAGGCGGCAGGCCGTCGCCTGGATCAAACAGCTCACACACTCTGCGGCGAACCTCCAGGACGCCCAAGAGTATCATCTTGCGATGACATGTGCAGTTCTTCGATGGACTTTCGACCTTGAAGTGGAAGGCGCGATGCCGTTCAGGACGCGTGAGGACACCGTTCATTACATCCATGCTGGTATGGTCGGGTCACGAATCTTTGCGCGTCCTTCATTACATGGCGGTCTTTCGATCCTCGTCCATCGTGACAGACGTCTTGCCCTGAAGCTCCTTGATCATGTGGAAAAGGCCTGCAAACGTGATCAATCTATTCTTAACGACGCTGTGAAGCAAGTCTGGCCGTCTTATTCCCCCAGCTCTTCCTGGACACATGTAGCGAACCGTGGCTCCAGGTGGTGGAGTACCACAACCGCTCAACGTGCAGGCCACACCCCCTTGATTATTCATTTGAACCTCCTGGATGGCATACTTCTAATTAATGGGAAGTCCTCCAACGTACTCCCGCGAGAAATCATGTGTCATGCAGTTTACCGGGAGCTCTTCCAAGATCAAGTGAGTCTCTTCGTCTATGTGTTTTTGTTTCTCACATGTTTGCAGGACCTTGATACAATCAGAACCTCGTCGATGACGGGAATGGACTATGAAGTGAGCTACTTGGGGCATGAGGTAGGCTTCATGATGAGTAACTTCTCCTTTCTGAGTATATTCCAGATACATTTACGCCTGCTCAAGAACAACCTCATCGTGCGACGTGTCGCAGCCGAAGGGGTGGAGGAGTTCATTCCCTCAGTCAAGCTCCTGGGAGATCTTCCATCCTTCTTCATGACTGGCCATCATTTCTGGTACAGAGAGAAAGGAAACGTTGTCGAGATACGCCCAATCTCACATACATGGCAATGTCGCCATGTGCGTCATTGGGAGATGAAGATAGAGCGCAAGCACTCAGGCATTTCTGCACGCATGCAGGAATCGACTGGAATTAGCCCGAGGCGGCTGGTTTCTCCCAATTCAATCGTCTACCAGTCGCTCAGCAAGGCATTACGCCCACTAGAGACTGATCCCCTTGGGCTTTTCGTCACACTGAATGAAGATCCGTCGAAATTATATGCATATCTTCCGCGTCACGATCTCGCATTCTCTCTCGACACGGAAGGGCGGCTGGAATGTCAAAGCGCTCCAGGTTTCTTCGTACAGCCAGACAGGAGAAATCTAGGATGTCTCTTTGGCCTCGAATCGATCCTTTGTCTCCATCAACCCGCCGTGGCTGGCGATGGCATGAAAGTGATCATTCCAAAAGGGACTCCAAGTGCGAATTTGTCCAAGTATGGCCACCCAACAGTTACAGTCGACTTCAGAAATTGTGGGGGATGCTATACATACGACGTTGACCGCGCTGTTGGACGCCTGGTTGGAAGTCGGAGCGTGGAATCCGATCTATTCCTTATTCTTCTCCATGCCTTTACATCCTCTATACTTCCGGACCCTCTTACACAACGGACCGGCACTGAAGAAGCACTCACACGCCTCAAAAGTGGATCGATATTCTCCACCCAGACTATCACTTCGGCTTTGCGTGGCCATCTCGATCAGTTGTCTGGTCTCACTCCATCCCGAAGTTTTTATCCACATTACCTTTGTGTAATGGAGACCATAGAGTGGCATCCAGTCTTATCACCTCAATCACAAAATTCGGATTTCCGGCAATGTGTCAAAGCTATTCTGGCTCATTGGAGACGGGGACTGCCTTTCCATCGAGAAGAAGAAGCTGTATCTGAGCTCCCTGAACTCGCAGGGATGGATCATCTGACGGCTCGTGAACGATATCGTGACTGGACACGACCTCTCGATGAACACACCGGAAGTGACGCGGATGTGCATCACCAGTCGACCGACTCTCTGCAATCTGCAGACTCCAGGAAGCGAGAGCTTCAAGCATTTCGTTTTACAATGCTGGCTCAGGAGTCTATGAGAGGTTCAAAACTCACAATGCGTCAAGAACTGCTGCAAATGGTCCGAGGATGGAAGACGGTAATAGGAGATCAGAGCTGGTCCTGGAAACGGATTCATGAATGGGTCACGACTTCATTCGATTCTCCAACTGCTACTTGGTGCTCTCTCTATGAGCTCTGCCGAAACACGCAGTGGCCGGCACCATTCGAAGCGCAAAGCGCCCTGGGCCTCCTCGCCTATATGAAAGTAGATCATAATTTCCTCGGAGGTTGCATCGCGATCATGCGCCTGAGGGCCCTGCTGCCTGCCGTACCCGATTTTGAACAGCTTGACCTATCGGCAGGGTGCGAGTGGAACTCACAGAATATCCGATGCATTGTCAAGGATGCAGAAAAAGGCTTCAGTCAGAGCGACGAATACAAAATACCAAAGCTTAAGGAGGAAACTCACAAGCAGCACCACCGGCGTCGTCAAACCGCCTACGATCTGCATCTGGAAACTGCTTTGACACAGGTCGTTGAGGAGATTCAGCGGATGTGGCCAGAGATACCAGATGTTGTAACTCTAACCCCTCGACGTCTCCTCACGACCTCAAGTTTGCATATCCCAATTCGCAAGAAACTGATTCAATGGCAGGAAAACGAAGGATTCCTGCTGTTCATCAGCCAAGTCGAACGTTTATTACTGCAGGAGTCTGGAACAGAGGCCAAACTACGTGAATATCGACCCCTTTCGCCCTCCTTCCCGCCTATCAAGCCCTTTCTCCGACGAGTCTCACTCACATCGGTCTTGAACGCCCGCTATGTGCCATCTATTCCCTCTCGTAGATACCATCGGCGAGATTCTGGTCATATCCTACCAGCAGCATGTACGAAATCTCGGGCTCTGTCAAACCTCTTGACGTGCCTCTCATCGACTCAGCTGAGGCAAGATTCTCTTCCCCAGAGATATCTTCGAAACCTTAGCCAAAGCGTCGACTCTCTCGAAAAATTTATCAGACCAGAGCTTAGGACATGCCCTTCCAGAGAGCAGCTGGATGCAATCTTCTCCGCAGCCTCGGAGTATTACACCAGGAGCCGAGATGCAATAATGGAACAATTAGCTCCGGAAACGACCAAAGAAACGTTGGAGCAGCTCGCTGGGATGCTTCCACCGATCTCTACACATGCTCTTCTTCGCCAGCTCTCGCAAGCTCATCGAAACGAACTCACCCCTGAGTGGACGTCTTTGCTTGCAGCATACGCCATCATAGTCAACGATATGCAAAGAGCTATCCGTATGCTTCAGCATCAACTATATGATCGCCAACGCCACCTCGTCGCCGATTTCTACCATCAAAGGCGTTGGGATACTGAGAAGTATCTTGACTGGCTCCTCGTAGAGATTGATGGCAACTTCTCCGTCCGAGAGAACCAAGCGGAGATTGCTATGTGTATGATGCATCCAGATGACCACGGGGTCAATAATGCAGTTATGCAATTGAATATGGGGGAAGGAAAGTCTTCTGTAAGCTACTAGCAATCTCATATTAGCGTGTCACTCACCCCCTCTAGGTTATTATACCCGCCATCTCGGCTTCTCTGGCTGATAGCCAAGTCCTATGTCGCGTCGTCGTACCTCGCGCACAAACTAAGCAACAGCTTCAAATTCTCCGTAGGACTTTGACCGACTTGCCTGGTCGTATCATCTTCAGTCTTCCTTTCAACCGGAATGTGCCGCTAGACTCAACTTTCGCCACCGAATTGATGAGATACCTTTCAGAAATGTCACGAATTGGAGCTGTATGGCTGTGCGAGCCTGAACAGTTGCTCTCGCTGAAACTTCTGGGGCTCGACAAGGTCATGCGGATGACAACCGGTTTGGAGTGTGGTAAGAGTCTTATTCGACTTCAACTATGGTTGGAGGAGAACACTCGCGACATTTTGGATGAAAGTGACGATATCCTCAACGTCAAGCAGCAAGTCATCTACACCGTCGGCACACAACGCAACTTCGACGCCGCACCCTTGAGGTGGGAGGTTGTGCAGAAGCTGTTTGGGCTATTTGCCAGGTTTCTTTCCTTAAATCCGCCTCCCGAAGATGAACGGCTTTATGTCAAACGATCGGCACATCCAGCTGGGTTCCCCCTCATTCGCATTCTTTCGGAGAAAGGTCGGGAGAGCTTCTGTCGTTCATCAAGCACTCCTTTGAAGAAAACGACTGGTCACTCCCTCACAGTCTTCTGTCGCACGCCCTCCAATACGTTTCTCAACGGGTTCCACCAGATGGCGTGGAGGAGCTCATCGATCATATTGCTCAGATGAGGACGAATACGTGATGCAGACGCTCTTGATCCTTCGTGGATTATTCAGCTCTGACATCCTACTGCACGCGCTCAAGGATAAGCGCTTTCGTGTGCATTATGGTCTGGATCTCAGCAGGACGCCAGTCGCAATTCCCTTCCGAGCCAAGGACTTTCCCTCCCCGAGGTCGGAGTTTGGCCACCCAGATGTGACCATTGTCCTCACATGTTTGTCGTACTATTACCGAGGCCTAGACGACGATATGATTCACCGATCTATTGTACAACTTCTCAAGTCCAATACTCCTGACCTCACCTACGAGGAGTGGTTGATTAAATGCTGGGTCGAAGTCCGTCAGGACCTGCGATCCATCCGTGGCATCAATATGGAAGACCAAAGGGGCCTCAAGTTCCATCTTTATCCCCTTCTCAGGTACAATAAGACCGTCATCGACTTCTATCTCAAGGAGTTCATCTTTCCTCAATACGCGAAGGAGTTCCCTGAAGCTCTGCTCGAGCGGCTGGGACCTCGCGATGGATAAGGTACATCCAACCACAGGATTTAGTGGAACAAATGATGGAAGATTCCTTCTCCCAACAACGATCTCGCAGCTTGACCGACCTGCCCAATTGCATACAAATGCAAAGGTTCTCGACTACCTTTTACTGGAAGAGAACAGTCGAGTTATATCTTACCAGAACGAAAGCACGTCGGAGGCATTCTTGAACCAGGTCATGGAACTGGAGAGCCATCCTACGGTTATCCTGGATGTCGGTGCTCAAATACTTGACAAATCCAACAATGCTTTTGCATTGTCCTGGCTCTCGCGCTACGACGAACATGGCAGGATTAAAGCCGCTGTTTACGTTGACGATCAGGATACCCTCGCAGTTGTCACCTTTGACGGGGTCAGCCAGCCATTCCTCGATTCTCCATATGTGGATAGGCTGGATCAATGCATAGTCTACCTTGACGATGCTCACACGCGTGGTACGGATCTTCGTCTCCCGGATACCCAAGCAGTCGTTACTCTGGGACCCCGGCTTAACAAAGATAAACTAGTACAAGGTCAGCATCTTGTTTCAATTAATTGAAACCTTTCACTGATACCATTTTCAGGGTGTATGAGGATGCGACGGCTGGGCCATGGGCATACTCTCGTGTTTATGGCACCATACGAGGTGCTGGAGCACATCAGCCGAACTCTTGAGCGACCTGTGGAAGATATCACATCGACGGATGTTGTCGTATGGACTATTCAAGAGACATGGCAACAACTGCAAGCTGATGGCCCGGCATGGATGGTCCAAGGAGAATCCTTTGCCGCCGCCTCGAGTCGTGGAAGGATCTTGGAACGAATCCGTCGATTCCATCCGGAGAAGATCTTGCCGCGTTGTTCTGCGAACCCGAGGCCCGCTCTCTTCAGGATCTTTACGGTATCCGCACCATGCCCCAAGAAAGACCCCGTTACGTGACTACAACGAGTGAGGGAATGCGCATTATACAAGAGATACATAAGCATTGCCGTAGTTTTGAGGCATTCTCCCCTCAAGATGCAGGCGTAAACGAAGAGATGGAGATTGAGCTTGTGCACGAGAGGAAGTAGAGCGCGAGGTCCAACGTCTCATTTCATCCGATCCTGCAACATGCGCTTCATCCTGATGTGCTGGCTCTCGCAACATCTGGCACATTGTCAGCGAATATCTCTAGAGCGTTTCGTCACGCGGATGTTGCTCTAGCTGAGACGACACTCCAAATTCCAAAGGGATTCCCGGAAGTCTTCACTGGGCTCCTCTTTACTGACGACTTCTACCACACGATTACTATCCCCTCCTTCAAGACATCCGGTTCGATGGACCAATTCATTCGACCAGTCGAGTGGATTGTGACTGCCCACCAACAATGGTGCGAGATGCTTGGTCGTCATTAGCCCATATGAAGCCAATGCTCTCATCCACATCTTTCGTGAGTCCAAACGCGCCGCTCTCCACATCTTCTCTGCCCGTTCCAACTTGTCTCTGCAATCCATGGAGGACCTCCAACGTTTCTCCGTCCCCGCCGTCGAACAGCCAATTCCAAGATATCTGGCCATTTCACTCAACCTGTTCTCCGGAGCGCTCTATATTCGAGATAAGAAGACATACGATGACATCTGTGGTCTCCTGAGACTGAAGCTCGAGGGTTTACCCACTCACTTGGCCAACCCGCGGATCATAAACTCCACTGGCTTCGTCCGGACGGCAGCAGCGCGGCGAGAATTAGGGATGCCAGTCATGGGCTTTGAAGAGTCTGCTCTTCCTTTCTTCCGCAAACTTATCACAATGCGACGATACGGGAAAGGGTTTGGGCCGTCGCATATGGGTAAGCTCTTATATGGGAAGAAGCTAGAAGACTCGGATTTCCTCTGAAGGATCCCACCATAAAGTCAGTACGGGTTCGATTGGCGTCGTGATACTGACAAAGAAATGCAGGATAGTCCCGTCCTAGTCTCAATTTCCGTGCATAATTTCTTGTTTGATGGTTGTTTTTCTTCTCGGTGTATCATGAATGTTTGTCTCTTATGAATTCAAACTTGAACTCTCCCATGCCCTCGCCTCCCTCGTTGTACCATACTGAAGCACCAAACCTCTCAGATTTATGAACATGAGCTCCAATAAGAACCTTCAACGAAGTCCGGTCCGCAGCGGACTCAGCAAGACGCTCGCCACTGCACTCATGCTCCCAAACCGGACGGAGCAACGTCCGTCGCCCTACGTGATCACACCTGCACATGTATCAAGCACAGCCACGCCCTATCGTACCCAGGAGACGATAGACAACGAGCGATACTACCAGGTTCGCTCTGTGGCCCGCGAAACGTGTATGTTGAGGTCTGACGTCGGGATCATTAGGCACAGATAGCGCATCTACAGACTGCATTGATGCGAGAACATGCCCTCTTTGTACGCTCTGTGAGTATTTGTCGTCTCTAATTACGTGGGCGTCTCCAATTCTGATTACGCCTATTTGTAGGTTGTCGCAGCCTCTATTATATCCGGGACTTTACTATTATTTATTGGTTTTCTACTGCTTCGACCAGCAAAGTGCGATCATGTCGGCCATCGCATCCATATACCAATCTTCTCGCCCTGGACATCCTCGGTCAGTATTCATTGTCGTGCTTACGCTGTGATGCTAATAAATTATTCTAGCACGAGAAGGAGCATCTCACTTCATCAGGGTGGGGGTTCAGCACCATCATGCTCTTTCCGTTACTCGCCGTGCTCGCTTGGCAAAACAGAGACACTCTTTTGATCCCTGTATTCGAACTTTTGGCAAAGCAACTTCCGACTCTACGCAGACTTTTTATCGGGTAACCCGTCCTCGACGCAAATGTAAACGACCGGCATCCGTCCTCCATTGATAGACCTATGAACAAGCGCCCTATTTAGACACTACGCGACTTACGTGACTAAACGTGAGAATTCTGGTTCCCGAGCTTTCTCATCCGCGTCTCACTCCCCAGCGCTGGCGGCTGGCGTATTGGGCCCACCTTTGTATCGATTCGCGCTCCATTAATAGCTCTACGCTGTAGTAGTAGCGCGCCAAATCTTCATTTGGGGCACTCCTATGGACGGCAGTATGGCAGGGTCTATTCAAATCAGTCTAGGGGCCGTAGATGGCAAGGAATTACGTACCTGCATAGCCACGCGACGACATTGAGCATCTCCGGTGGGTGCCATTTGCGTCTTAGGACCTTGTCGTGTGTGGACCGTGGTATGAGATGGTGGTAGGTGAGAGGCACATCCCGATGACATATCTCGCAGTTCTCGCAACGAGTAGACTTCCACCCGTGTTTCGGTGGAAGTGAGGCCTCTCTTGCTTCTGTGACGAGCGAGCTCAGCTCCTCAGTGAAGGCCTTCATTATAGACTGAAACGCGTCCTCTGCATCCCCTTCGCTCTCTACCAAAGAGTATGTTACGAGAGATTCCGCAAACGCTGGGGGGACAGGTATGCTGGCCAGCTGCAGCTTCTCGACTTGGCTCTCATCCAGCTGGGTCGAGTTTGATTTCAATGATTCCGGCAAGGCCTCATAAGCCTCTTGGGTGAGATATGAGATGAATTCGTCCAATTCCTCCGCCAACTCGTCCTGGGAGAGCTCGGCGTCTGGTTGCTTTTGCTTGATACTCCGTCCTTTCTTCTTCTGTAGTCCAGAAGAGGCCTGGATGACTTGATACGCTGTACAGTCCTTCAAAGTATCCAAATACGGTGTCTGTTCGCCTGCCATCCCAAAATTCGTCGACGCGGTCGGGCACAAGCGCTTCGCCGAACTTTGTTCTGATCCGCCACTTGGGTTTGACCATGACCGACAATTTGGAAACTCGTCCGTAACGCTGAATCCTATACACAACGAAATAAAATGATTAATTGAAACCAGAATCACCTCTACGCATCGTCGTCCTCATTTCTGGCTCTGGTCCGTCTGCCACTGATCTCGATTGACATTTTCACCGACGCATTCTCGTCTACACAGGAACAAATCTACAAGCTCTGATTGATGCACAACCCTCATTTAGGACAAGAGCCTCGATCGTACTTGTTCTCTCGAATCGCAAAGCCGCATATGGGCTTACCAGAGCAAAAGAGGCTGGGATCCCAACAGCATATCTCGCACTTCAACCCTATCTCAAATCCAACCCAGGAAAATCAAGAGACGACTATGATGCAGAGGTGGCGCGGATGGTGCTCAAGGCTCGTCCCGACCTGGTCGTCCTTGCAGGCTGGATGCACGTCCTTGGGGACGGGTTTCTAGATTTAATATCTCGACCGCCTTCGGAGACAGAAGAGAGTGCTGAGTCGATACCAACGACGCACGTCTTCCCCATCCCAGCGATAAACCTGCATCCAGCGCTACCTGGAGCGTTCGATGGAACACATGCGATTGACAGAGCATGGGAGGCTTACAAAGCGGGAACGCTCGATCATACAGGCGTCATGGTTCATCGAGTCGTCAGACAGGTCGACGCAGGAGAGCCGATCCTCGTCCGCGAGATTCCGTTCAGAGAGGACGAAACAAAGGAACAGTTTGAGGAGCGACTCCACGGTGTCGAATGGGAAGTCATTGTCGAAGCCACGAACAAAATCCTTACAGAACGACTTGAGCAGTGTACTGTACGCCAGTCGTAGAGGAAAGCACGCATTTTATCGAATGGCACGTTGTTAGCATTCAGGATCGACAATGCATAAGAGGTATGGAGAATCAAGATTACGCCTTTCCACTCTTGCCCTTCTTCTTCACGACCTTGTAGCCGAGCGTGTCCTGCGATGCACCCGGCTGAAGCCTGGACGATTCGGTCCCGCTGCTGACATTCCCTCCACGGGGAGCGCCGCGAGAGCTGCTCGTGGCGCCGCCCATCCTGTCGGCGTTGCGACGCTCGATAAACTCGGATGCAAAGTGCTTGCCGGGCAAAACGGTGCTCGATTGCCAAATAGTGTCGGCGATATCGTCCTCTTCTTGCATATTGAGCACAAGACCAACAACCTCATCCACTGCCAATCATGAGCATTGTATTGAGAATGCCGAAAAAGTCCACTAACCAGTAATGCCATTCTGAAGCTTTCCCTTTAACGTATCCCTCATCCATTTGAGCGTCTCCGCGCTGATCGAATGCACGGCATCATCGATAGGTGACGGAGCGACAGCAGGCTTTGTGACAGCAGAGCTCGTGGTGGAAGCAGAAGCAGGACGCCTGGGTGCTGGTCCAGCAGCAGGTGTAGCTCCCATCGACGCAACAGCAGAGGTTACATGAGGCGCACGCATCCCGGAGCTCGCAATAGCAGCAGCCGAGGGTCGTGGCGGGAGACCTGCAATACCAGTGGCGACAGGTTGCGTCGTAGAGCTCGCCGTGTTGGGTCGGGTCGCTCGTCCACCGGGACCAACCGTCGCCCATGGACCTCCGACGGCAGGAGCATTGGCAGGTGGCGGAGGCTGGCAAGTCGTCAATCACAAATATCAAGAGGAACCAAGGAAAGTTTCAAACCTTTTCGCTGACCCGCTTAGCCGTCGTTACTGCTTCACGCTCCTTCTTCTTCCTTCGTTCCTCTTCCTCCTGAATATCCTTCATCGTCATTGCCTTTTTCCCTCCAGCAGCACCAGCCTTGGCAGCGTTGGCCCATACAGCAGGGGGAGGATTGTTTGTGCTGGGAGAATGAGCTTCCTTGGGCGTGGTGGCATTTCTCGCTCCAGCCATAGACGTCGGGAGCCCCCATGAAAGAGTTCCAAGATCTCCATCCTTGCTAGAAGACGAACTGGTCGTTACAACAGGTGGCGCCGATGGTCTGACCTTTTGGGCCTCCTTTGCCTTTTTGGCTTCCGCCTCTTGAATCTCCTTGAGTGTTTTTGGTTCATCCTTGTTGACGACGGTAGCCCAAGCACGCGGAGCTGGTGCTGGCGCTGGTGGAGTCGAAGCCGCAGGAGATGGGTTCGTCACGAGAGATGCCAGCGGTACGGTCATCTTCGCTGGGGCAGCAGGCGCGGTAGGACTAGCCACAGGTGCAGTCGTCGATGGTGAAGTTGGCGTTGGAAGACTTGAAGCGGCAACCTGCGCAGCAGACGCCCGCTTCTTGACCTGAATAAACGGTTGCTCGTTTTGCTCTTTAACAGGTTGGGATGCTGGAGATGATCCGATGACCAGCTGGGCAAGCGAAACCACAGGAGATGCCTTTGGCTTTGCCGCAACAGCCTTTTCATTGGACGGCTCATCCTCTTTCTGTTTCGATTCTTCTTGGACCGCTGGTTGGGTCACACTCGGCGATTCGACAACCTTTTCTTTTTCTATAGCTGGCTGAGACTTGCCCGCGAGCTCAGCGCTTATTTGCTTCAAGTGCGCATCATAGGTCATGCCGATGGTGTCCGCTGGCGTAGCTTCACCTTCTGCCTGCGTTCCAGACGATGAAACAACGGGCTGCATCGGAGACTTGTAGAGGGTTTCTGCATGCTTTGACGCGGGCGAGTCCGTTGCTCCAGCCTCCGTTCCAATCGCGGATACACTGCCCATCTTTCTCACCAAATTCCTGGGTTGAGCCCCAATTGCTCCCTCGTAGACCTCTCCGCCGAGAGCGCTCGAGACACTTGCTTGGTTAGACGGTGAGGGCGATCGACGTCCACCAAACGTTGCGCGCTGCATGTTTGACAGACTCGACGTTGTAGAATTGGTCTGATCACCCACACCAAATCCATAAGGTTGGCCAGCATGCGTCCTCTGCCACTGAGCGCTCGGCGAGCTATGAAGGTCTTGCGAGCCACGTCCAAGAATAGATTGTGAATAGAGACCTGCAACACCCAGTGGGTTCAGGTCATTGTGAAGACTATGCGATGCTGGAGTACCCCCAAAGGACGAGGTGCCGACCCTCGCAGCATCCTGTGGATAATACGCATTTGTCGCTCGATGTGGACCGCCGATGTAAGGATTATACACCATTCCATTCGCCACCGGTTGGCCAAAAGAGGAAGCTCCCCCGAGTGGTTGATTGAGCGCCGCAGCACTAAACGGCATCCGAAGACCCGTGACATCGCCAACGAGTCCATTTGCTGCATCAAAGCTACCACTGTGGGGGATCGCTCGACCGGTTGCTGGACTGTTCATTCCCACCGCAGGATCCAGCATGGGCGTTCTCATCGGCAGGCGATTCGAACCGACGGGCGAATGCGAAAAGACGCCTTCTCCTGATCCACCAAAGACAGAAGAGGGTGTTTGGGATCCCTTGGTGTCTCCTTTGCGCAACAGGTCAAAGACGGACGGCGTCTCTGATTTGCTCGTCTCCGTTTCGGATGGTGCACCGCCTCCATGACCATTTGGATAGGGCGGATACATTGACTGCTGCTGTATTGACGCAATGTTCTGAGCAAACGCGTTTGGTTGCGGCATTGCAAGACCAGGAGGTGGGGGAAGAGGTGGATCCACAACCTTTGGCGACTTGCGAACGGGTTCGTACCAGGTAAAGAAGACCATGGATTCGTCGGTGATGCCTTGACCAAACATCTTCGTCTTCCATTCGATCAGCGTCAGGTACTCTGCATCGTGATCGGGCCTCGTCATCCGCAAGTCGGGTCGCAACCATCCACTAGCAAGCCACTGAGTGAGATCTTGAGGGGTGAAAGGACCTGACAAAGGATTAACAACTGACTGCCATGAAACGAGGGTACATACCCTGAGTGACCTGCTGATCGTCCAGATACAACCACTTGACATCTGCAGGATTCGGTGGGGGCTTTGGCGGCTCTTGAACAGGATTTGTGGGTTCTGCCACCGTGCCATGTCCGTTCGTCGCCGCAGCAGTAGTCGCATTGTCGACAATATCCGGATCATCTTCCCAATTTTCAAAAGCCGGTTCCTCTCCATCAGAGCTCTTCCTCGTCCCATCGTTCGCATTCGCCCCATTTGCATGTTGAGCTTCAGGCGACTCTGAGTGGGGTTCAAGAGGTGCATCCGCATCCTGCGTCGCTGCTTCGACATCGTCTTTGCCTGCGGTCCCCTTTTCTTGTATTTCCTTGAGATAGGAAAGCCCCCTGCCAGCCGCGCTCAGCGCGCCTCGTTTCCTCCCACCCCACCCTTCGCCCGCACTCAACACGCCCTCAAAGCCTGGCCCACCACCAAAGCCAAATCCAGACGAAGCCGTCCGTGGCGAGACGAGCGGCGGCGTCCCGTCGAGTGGAGACGCAGTCGAGGCCAACTGCCTAGGTCGATATGGCTGCGTCGTTCCGCCAGAATCTTTCCACGTATGAGTATTCGCCCATCCATAGTATGTCATGATTTCAGCTCACCTCTTCGAGAAAACCGCTCGCGTAACGGACTTGCGGGGCCCCCCAATGCCCCGCCTCTCAGCCCGGCTCCAGAAAGATTCATCGAAAGTCCATCACCACTCATGCCTCTCCGCCCACCGATCCCCAACTCGCCATCTCTCTCCGAATACGACCCTCGTCCGCTCGCATGTGAATTCGCATGGGACATGGATGGTCGACGCGAGTTGAGCGATGCACCATTGTACAACTAGATTACTTCGTATCAGTCCCACCTGTTTGATATGAGCCGCTGCCAAGGGACGTACTTTTGCCTCGGCATCGGTCATTTCTCTTGAACATATGGGCACCCGCTCCTCGTCCAAGACGACACCTTCATGTTTTTCCACCTCGAGCGGTAATCGCCACCCGGGACCTCCATTCGCCACAATCCCCGCTCGCCAAATGTTCAAAACGTGCTCGCGCGGATAGCGAAACGGGTCGTGTGGATCGAGTATCACTGGCTCCGTCGATAGATGTGATGGAATAAACTTCGAGTTGTACCCCGATGGTGCGGGTGTGAGCAGCGATGCATAAGGTGATGGTACAGCTGGAGATGTGTAAACCCACGTCAGTCGACGAGTTTCCTAGCGAGTGAAGAAGGCAAAGAACTGAAACACGAAGCATAAACGATCGGAACCGGATAAAGGAATCCGTGTGTGTGGGGTTATGAAAAGCGTCTGATACCCGCCACTGGGGCAACGCGCAAAGCGAAACAGAACAAAGTTAACACGCCCATATACTCTACACAAGAGTAAATTGGGAGAAAAGCCGCGAGCAAACGACATTCTCTGCGTGTCTCGCACAAGGCACTCAACCCAACCCGCACACACAGACAAAAACCGAGTCAACAAATCCACAACAAGACGACACAATGCAAAACAAGGTAAAAGACCAAAGACTCACGATTCAAAACACCGCCCGCGCCCAAAGGACCAGGGGCTCCAACATGCGACGACGACGTTGAAGTGGGTGCGGGGGTCAAGAGACCAATCGACGCGGGTACATCATTCGTAAGAGTCGAAGTATTGGATCCAAGAGGTATACCAACCCCCGTTGTCGGTCCAGCAGATGCAGACGCAGACGCAGACGACGCACCGCCTGGAGTCCGCATCCACTCTGGACTAAAGTGTAAACTAGCCACCGCGCTCGAACTCGAATGCAAGTTACTACTCCCACTAGACAAAGGCGGGGGTGTGCTGACAGTGTCGGTGTCGATGTTGTCGTGCTCGATGCCATTTGGATGCTGGCGACGATGTGTAAATGGTATTCAAAGTGTGATGAAAGACGAGTTTGGATTACTGCCGAGTTTTTTTTTCCCAACAAGTGTTTTCCAATCGCACTTGGGCCAAAGAGGTTCAAAGTCAAGAGACTGGCTATTCAATCGCCACCCACAAAATTCTCGAGCATTCAAAATCTTTCCAGATCAACTTGTCTGACTCATTTTCATCGACAGAGCATAGAGTAAACCACTACTTTTCACTCCTACCAACACACAAAGCCTCCGAGCGCAGTAGGTCGGGGCGAGTAAATACAACCAGCACATTAAAGCAAGCCAACGCCAACACGGGGGGATGGAAAGTCGAGCTACAGTGTATGGAATAGAAGAGGAGAGGGGACGGACCAAAAGTAGAGGGGAGTCGCCGAGGGCTTGTACAATGATTTCCTTCCCAGTCGTTCACTGGGAAAGTTGGGCAAAGTCGGAGGCGGTCGTAGGTCGTGAAGACAATAGGTGGTACTATGTTTCGTTAAAGGTCCATTAGCAGCGCAGCAAAGATGTGTATGCACCGCGATGCTAGTCTAGTTCCTTGGTTGACCCAAAGGGAGAGAGAAACAGGGGTGGTACAGCGTACCACCCGGCCAAAAAGGAATAGTCGTAGACGCATCGCGGCGCACAATCCAAGCGCGTAAAGTGGGGATTGGAGGCAAATAGAGAGGAGAGTCGGTGCGAGAAGGGTGATAAGCCTCCGTAGTACGGGAGGGAATTACGGAGAGAATAGACTAGGTGCTTGGGTGCGGGGATGGTAGAAGAGATCATGATCGGGGTTCGTGGTCGGTGTATGCCATCATGCACAACAGTCGTACGTCGGGGTCTTGATCAGAAATGCGCGGAAATGCTGGATATGATGCTGGGAGACGAGTAATGCAAAGAGGTATAATGCTGTGGGTTCAGCGTCAATAATCTGGCGATGCAATAAAGGGTTATGCATACCTTGGAATAATCAGTCCTCATGAATACCAAAATCGAGCGCAAACTCGTGGTCGAATTCGAGTTCCTCGATGCTCTCTGTGTCACTGCTCGTGTCTGAAAACGAGCTATACTCGGACAGAGAATCCTCCGAGTCGGAATCCTCGTCGTCTTCAAGCGCGAGGTCGGGCGATTCAAAGGCGTCATCCTCCTTCATGAGCGGCTCTTGGACGGGCCACTCAAAGGCCGTTCGGGCAACAGGTGACACGGGCCTCGAACGGATCATCTCTTCGGGCTCTGGATGGACGACCTCGATATCTTCCTCACTCGACGAGCTTTGTCTCCTGCGGGATGGACTCGAGAGCGAGTGGCCAGCTTGAGCGCCCGTGACAAAGATTTCCTTGGCGAGTTGCTCCTTTACATCGCCATAGACGCACCAGGCGACGCGAAGGCCATAGATACGGGCCTTTTCTGCCATGGGACCAGCGAGAAAGGCGGCTCGGAGGGTATGGCGATAATACGACTGTCGAGAGACGGCAGCAACGTCTACGTGGTTTGTCCTGTAGACGGCAGGGAGCTGTGACGAAGAGACATCATCATACAGAGGCAAGAGCTCTGTGTGCGTCGTCCAGAGTGCCGAAGGTGGCAGCGGCTTGGAGGTGCTGGCGACGCGTCGTAGCGGCGAGGGTTTGATTGGAGACCAAGGGTATCGTTTGCACATGGGGATCGAGGGGGCGCTGAGGACGGTCGTTTTATCGTGACATAGGGCGCCTACTGAATGATGACGCGCCGCCGATGTGTCGTGTTGGTGCTTCTGAACAGCCAAGGCTGGATGAGCCAATTCGAATGCTGAAGACGTTGACTGGGAGCGAGCATGGCGTCGTAGCCTTCCTCCGACGGGCGAGACGGGCGTTGTTGCTGTCAGCGAGGCAGCGGGCGCGGTCGAAATGGCCGCCTTTTGGGCGATGGAGAGGACGGATTCATCTGGAATTGGACAATAAAACGAGCCAGAGCGTGAACGGGTCATGTCTTTGGACTCGATATAATGTTGTGGGCCTATAAGCAAACTAGTCGAGTATCCAGCAAGATTATGAACGCTCAAGGTGCGTTTAATAGGCTTTGTAAATGGCTTCTGACTGCGACGTGTCGAGGAGGGCGTAGGGGAAATGGTGGCCGTGGGGATCGTGATCGTAGTTGTTGAGATGATGGCTTATAGATAGCAAAAGCGATTGAACGGGTGTCGGAGCGACCAGAGGACCAGGCGCAGCCCAGCTCTTGGGTTGTACGTCAGCAACAAGCTCTAGTTCTGGATAATAAACGGGCTTCTAGAAGGAACAGAGGCGCGTATTCCAGTCGAGTTGCTCGGGGCGCAGATGTGGTCAGCTCCAGACTCCAAGTCGTCGGCTCGAGATCCGTGCGCCCAACAATAAAGAGAGCGCACGCAGATCAAGCGCCCTGTGAGTTTCCGAAATGTCTGACGATCACCTGTTCATCTTACAACCGGCCGTATTCTCCGACCGTAATCGATGAATTACATACTATATATATATATTATACTGTGACAGGTCAGAAGACATTACCTGCGACCGATATACTCACCATCTCGCACTGGAGGCAATCCAAGCTCTATTCGTTGTGGAATAATATGCCCAGTACCAACAACAACTTCCTGCCCTGAGCCTGGCGTCGTGGGGGATGGAGCAGGCATAGGCACCAAGGTCGCCGATTGAGGATGCAAGTATGTCGCCTGTTCCTAATCAATCACAAATCCTAAAAGTAATCTCAAACTCACCCTTTTATCAACCTTTGTCTCTCTTTCATCCCGGTAAATGATATCCACCGGTGTCGCCAATGCCCGCTCTCTTTTCTTTTCTCTAATCGGCAGACTACCAGAAGCAAGACGGTATTGCTGGATTCTCGCCCTCCGTCTCAGTCGGTGCACTACAAATCCAACCATGGTGAAAAACGCCACGACAAATGGCACAAGCAGCGCAATAAACAGTATTTCGCGCGTTTCAAGACCCATTATTCAAAGGGTAACGAGGCAGACAGCTGGCAAACAGGCAAACATAGAGGTATATAAGTACTAGAGAAACAGGTGAGAAGAGGGGCAGTGAACATGCCAATGCGCTGCGTCGCCGGTCTCTGCAGGCCGTAAACTCGGAGTACTCACACGATTTATCAATGCGCTTGGCGCGTGGCTGCGTTGATAATTCGAGGCGCTGCAATTTTCAGAAAGCAAAACAAGTACAGGACAGCAAAATGATCAGACTACCACACCCTCTTCCTCTTGGGCGGCGGCTCAGTTTGCACGCAAAGTGTGACATCCTTGTCGGTAACAGAACATGTCCCCAGTAAAATCTCCGAAGCACAAGGATTGGACACCCAATATCGACTCGGCATCTGAACGCATGTCGTAATCTCACCAGGACTCGGCACAAACGCAAGTGGCTGTTTCTAACATTAGCCTTTCTCCACAGAAAAAATAGAATGACGTACCTGCAGCGAACAAAGTGATTTGCGCTGTTTAGCTCGTTCCAAGAAGATGTCACGTATTACCGGCACAGGCGGACCAGCACACTCTCCAATCTGTCGAAAGAAGAGCACAATTACACCATTCTCCTCGACCACGGTCCACCCGTACATCGCTTGTGATCCCCTAGGTCGACTTGGATACACGGCTGTGCTTTCCGCGACGTGCTGTTCCGAAAATCGTCGAGTATCCCGCATGCGCATAAAGATGATATAAGCAATCAAGATGGCGAATCCACAAATGGGTGACAGCGTCGCGACGACGATAGTGATGGACATGCCGCTCGTCGACTGGGGACGTGACGGGTGAATCTACAGCGCCAGAAACGAGGAGATAAAAGTACTTGCATCCTGTTGTATACTCTGTGGGAATAAATCTCGTGAGGTCCAAAGGTTCATCCCCAAGCACCTTGGCAAATAATGATCCCTCTCAAGCGATCAACGCCGTCACGGTCTGAGAACATCTGTGATTGAATCGATTTAGTACTCTTGGTCATCGTAGCTTCTCCAGTCTGCCCTATTCCATCTTCTCCGCCACCCCTTGTACCGCACTCTTTCTAGAAACGAGCGGTCTAGACACTGAATATGTGCCAAAATGGAAAGGTCAGTCCTGATAAACTCCCTGTATTCCAAATTAGATCACATAAAATCCTCAAACTCTTTCATCCTCGAATCATCAATGTTGTCAGTCTTTGCATTCTCACCCCAGAAATCTTCGTCCTCGTCGGCCGCGGCACTCTTACTCGTAGACGGCTCCGCAGACGCCCAAGCATGGTCGTATGAACGCGCCTTTTTCTCTTCCTCTCGCTTCTTCGCGAGCTCAAGCTCGGCTTTCCGCTATAAACCTTTATCAGAACAAGTCAAAGTGAGGGGTGGGTGGAATGACCTTTGCTGCTGCTTCCTGTCTTCGCGACGCCGCCTCTTGACGGAGTCGTTCTGCCTTTTCCGCCTCGTGATCAACTTCTCGCTCGACTTTGGTCTTGTTCAGTCGATTGACGATCGGGTTCTCGCGTGCTGCGACGTGGACTAGATTCTCGTTAAGAAAACTCTTGAACGAGGTGATGGAGGTGTACCTCTTTTGACCTGCTCAATGTCAGATGACGTCCTAGTGTACAGATAAATGACTCACCTTTTCGTTTCTGTGAAAAGAGACTTGACCGACAGCCATGTCTCCCGTCTTCTTCAGGTTACTCGCCGGCGTGTAGACAATCTGGAGATTGTTCTTCTTGTTGCCTAATGCCTCTCAGTACCCAAACGAGTACAAACTGAACAAGTCGCTACCCTCGATGGAGTTTGCCTTGACCAACTGAGCACAATCGGTCAAGAGCTTGCGGGATATTCTCCCAGGACGGTATCGAAGGCGGTAGTCGTAGATAGACGTGCGCAGACGAGAGCTGATCCAACTTTCAGAACCTGTTGTCCATACGGATACCAATGCGCACCTTGTCCACATGAAACCATACATCTTCTGGCCACGCATACTTGATGAGATCCTCATCTACACTATATCAGTCTCTACTTGCTATACTCCTCTGATCAGCTCCAAACACTCACTTTCCTCCTTGTCTCTGCCCATGTAAATCGTCACCGGCGGTTCAACAACTGCAAAGGCTAAGCGCTTGTTGAGCGACACAGAATGGACCAACCGTTCGACGTGAAGAATAGAACCATCGTGTATATTGAACCTCAGGCCAGACGACTTTGTACAGTCGTGGTCGGGAGCAAGGTTGGCGCCACCTTTGGACCGTCTCTTTGAAGTTTGAAGGATCATGAAACACGTCCTCCTATGTACGTGATGCTGCCGATGTGTATCTTGCCGCAAGGGTGTTATACTATTCATTGATATACTCCCAATAGATGTCGAGTGGGTCATCTCAGTCTTTTTAATTGTGATTGACCACGGGTGTGGCGGTTCTTCAGTTCCGCGAGGCAACTCAACTGGACAAGGAGCTCGGTATGTTGGGGATTGACGCGTTTTGCATTGACAGTGACCGGTTTTCTCTAGGTGCCACTCGTCAGCACGGGTTCTTCATCAGAATGGGCGGATTTCATTGGATTATGAAATCGAAGTGCACACCTACAAGTCATGTCTTTGTCTCTCACTCTTATACGTTGCCAATGCTAACATGGTCGTTTCACATAGTAATTGAATTGCTATTAATCAGCAGGCACGCGGATGCCTGTCTACATATTTCGGATCGATAAGAGTCCTGGAGACATATATAGAGCACCATGATGTTGGTTGAGTCTCGCATCTTCTTCGTCCTCATGGCCCTCGCAGTCGCCGTTTACTCCCTATCAGCCCGCGCCGCTCAAGACCTCGCGTCGAATGCGACGGAATGCCTTTCGCCACGCACTAAGGAGTATAGAAGTTTACCTGGGATAATCTGGAGTTGTCTCACTACCACGTTCTTGTGCATCTGGGTGGCCCTCCATCTCAACGTTCCCGAACCTGTGGACACCAGAGGCTTGGGTTACTTGACCCGATTCAAAATCTGGACAAAATCGGTCCTCAGATGCAACGTGGTGCCTATCATTGTCACATTGGTGTTCCCCGAATGGGTTCTGGGTATGGCGATTCTTCAGTTTACCAAAGCCACACGACTAGCAAAGGACATTGGTATGTTGCAAAGTTTAATTTCAGTATTTAGAACTGACCAGCCGTTTTAGGTGCCACCCGCCAGCAAGGGTTCTTCATCATCATGGGCGGGTTTCATCTCTTTGAGCGAGGTCAACAGTCATCGTATGATGCGAATGGAGAACAGGACGAAGAGTCAAACCACCTACTGTTCAGGAAATCCGCGCTGGAAGCGGGAGACGGTCGACGTGAATATGCACCAAGCAAAAGGGCAACCAAAGCAGTTGATGAGGAGTTTGGAAAGCCTATCCACCCTCTTGATGAATTCGACGTCCGTCGTCTCATCAAAGATGATAAACTTCTCCTCCCTACTCCGGCTGAGCTGCAGGACAAGTGCAAGAACGACGGACTCGCAAAGTTTCTTGTCATAGTCCAAACTCTCTGGTTTATCGCTCACTGCATTGCGCGGAAAGTCAGTAACCTCCCACTCACGGAACTCGAGGTTGTTACCCTTGGTTATACTCTCCTCACCGTGGCAATGTACATTGCATGGTGGGACAAGCCGTATCGGGTGACATTCCCTGTGCGTGTGTACGAAACTCTTCCGGAGCGTACGGAAGAGCAGAAGAGGTTGAAGCAGGAGATGGAAGAACACGGCCTTTTGAGTAGAGCCCTGGCGTATGCAGTAGGCGTTCAGGGCGGATACGTGGACCTACGGAGTCTGAAACAAGTCCCAATGTTTCACTCTGGATACAATAAAGATGAGGGTACTGCCGGCGATCTCGTTGGCTTTTTGACCACAATCATTGTCGGGACAGTGTTTGGTGCTGTCCATTTTCTTGCGTGGTCGTCACCTTTTCCGTCCCATCACATGCAATTTCTCTGGCGATTTGCGAGTATCGTCATGACTGCAGTGCCACCTGCAGCAATCGTGGTCCTGTTCTCCGCAGTGGGAATTGACAAGATATCTAGAAGCTTAGGCATGGTGATCATGCTCCTCCAGTTTCTATTAATGCCCCTCTACTTTGTTGGAAGGGGAATAACAATTATGCTTGCTTTAGTGACGCTTGGGACGCTCCCACTCGACGCATATCGAGACATGGAATGGTCTGACTTCTTCCCTCATATCTAACCCTTGTACTTTTCCCGTGTAACTATTATCTCGTGTTACTCGTATCTCTTCCAAATTCGATACATTCTCTCTGCTCCAGACTCGAGCGAATAGATTACATTAAAAAGAAGGCCAATAGCGCCAAAACAAATGCCACAACACCCGCATAATACCCAGCAAAGTCCTCCCAATGCGATTTGACGGGCCACAGTGCTTTGGGGGGCGGAGTGAGTCCAAAGATGAGCTTGTACGTGACATTCTCATCTTCCTCTTCGTCGTACTCTGGCTGCTCAATGAAGAGCGTCTGGTTCTTTGCATCGTACCACCACGTTGAGCCCTGGGCTGCACCATCGAACGCGATCACAAATTTCTTCTTGTGGACAAGCTGCATCGGGAGATAAATCTCCGTAATGCGGCTCGTCAATTTCGCGTGTCCCACCAGCGGCGGTTTCTTCACACTAACACTATTATTGGCGCCAAGTAGTGCAGCCGTCACGTCTGACGGTGAAGGCGATGATGAAGGCAGAGGACGGGCCCATTCAAATCTGAATTCTCCGCGATTGACGTCATATTCGAAACTGAGCGGGATACCGGCGACCTTGGCTGGATATGGGCGCACGACTGACTCGAGAATGCGACCGCCATCATCGAGCGTCGTGTCAACTTGGTCGCGCGAACCGGCGCCAATCTTGCGTGCACGGAAATTGGAGAACCACGAAAAGTTTTCGCCGTTCCATTGATCGCCAGTCGCATCCTCATTCAGTGGATTGTAGTTCCATAATCTATCAATGGATCAGATCCGACCGCTCTTATTCAAGAGAGTCGACATACGTGAAGCCAATGAGATTGCCCTCTAATGCAGAGATGACTGCATCCATCATTCGTGCTTGCCAGGTAAAGTCACCAGAACGGAAGGCTTCCCCACCACTGCGCGCTTGTCAGCTAAGTAAGCTGGTGTATTCGAATGACATACTTCATATCCATAGGCACGCCCGTCTCTCCGATGAATACCGGGCGCTCACCCAACGACTTGTACGCAGCTCGATGAGATTTCGGATCTGAAGCGTGTAATTTGCTCGCACGCCTTGATGTCCCCAGAAGAATGTCCGAGGCGGAAATACGCCCTACGTGGTATGATCAGCGCGGACCACCATTGCGCTGGGTAAACATACCCTCGAGAGCGCCTGAACGTTGACAGTAAAGTTGCCAAATTGTTTTCTGAAAAGCGCGTCGAGGTCGTACCAGTGTGGCGAAAAGACCATCTGAGGGATGCGTCGTTCCTCTGTCCAGGAAGTTGGACAGAACTGCATGGATCAGGCCCAATTCCACTCTGTCGACTAGCGACATACCTCGTTTGGAATAGGTTCAACGAAGACAATCTTTGGAAGCGGACACGCGCTGCGAACGAGCGTGGCCCATTTCTGGAGGAACGGATAGTAAAAGTCGGTGTACCAATCGACCTAAACAAACCATAAGCACTACGCCCATTCGTGAACAAAGAATCTACCTTGTCTCCCGTAAGGGGATTATTGTTAAAGTAGTTTTCGCGAAGAACCATGGGTACTTTGTACTTTTCGTCGTATATCCAAACGCCGTGCATGGCCCATAGACATTTACCTTCGGTCGGTCCGTCGGCACGCCATACCGAGACTTTTTGTTCGTTGACCATAACATGTTTGTCGACCTTGGTGGGCATCGGGAACGAACGCACATAGTGCGGTACAGCAGTGGGTAACCCGGCTCCGAGACAGAACGAATTAAAGGCAGAAGCTGCTAGGGTTCAGATACGACAAGACGGTAGACTCTGGACGTACGAATGTCATGCAAATGTAAATCCGTATTATAGTCCCAATTATGAAGGGATGGCACTTCTATATAGCCTCGATGCGGCTCGTTTAGCATCTGCAAATGTAAGACAGGAATAACTCTCGGCGAGAGAATCTTACATCAAATCCAATAACGGCCTCTAGTCCGCCTAGTGCTTTTGCGACTTGCTCCCATGCCTTGAGGAATCGACTTTGCAGGTATTCCTGAATAGGTTCTCCCTCAACAATCAACTGAGGTGTAAACGTATTTCCACCCCAGAAGCAGGTCCTAGGATATTATTCAATCAGCGCTGTCCCAGCAACAAACGGCAGACGTACGACATGGTCGCGGCCGCGAGCTTCTGGTATCCCGTCGGCCAAATACCACGCTCCTTTAGATCCTTATCGCGTACACCATCCAACCATGCCGCTCCTGTGACTTCAAGCTTTTCGAGATCGAACCCAACGGCTTCGAGCGTCCAGGCGGGTGCACCTGAACCGCCAGAGAAGCGAGACCAAACATCTTGGTGCATGGAGACCATGGCAACGATGCCGTATTCAGGCATCAGTGAGATGACGTCGCGCACATAATTGAGGTAGGCCATGTCGTATTTCCCGGGTCCACGATGCTCGATGGCCTCCCATGTAATAAGGAAACGAACTTGATTCCGTTAGTCCCTGATAATTGAACAAGTCTGAGGTACATACCAAATGTCAACCCCCAGCGACGCAACCTTGCAAAGTGTTCTGGTGCGTCTTTCAGAGGGAAAGGTCTCCCCACGAATGTAACTTCATGTCTCCGGCTCCAAAACGCCTTTGGGTTCTCATTGACAGGACTACAACCAAGCGTCAATTGACCGGTTCGACTGAATGGGTTCTAGATAATATCGGACTAATCACCTCTTACAGCTTCCAGAGAGGTTGACACCACGCGGGAGGCACACTCGCCCGCGTCCGTCAACGAAATGGCGCCCGTGTAACCTCAGCCCGCCAGCTGTCGCTGCCTTTGACCAGTCGTGCGCATACGTCGACGTGCTCGTCAAGAGTGTTTCCGGAGGAGAAGTTGACGCGGGCGTGATTGTTGGCGCACGCTTGATTCCTCCTCTCGGATCCCCTATTTACGCCTATCGTTAGAAGGCCTCTTTTGCGCCAAAGCCTGAACGGCATACCACTCTCCGAACCAGAATATCCCTTCTAGAGTACAAACAATGAGTAACCGGCATCATACTAGGGTCCCAAGGACGCGTACTCGGCTTATTGGTGTTGACGTGCCAGACGTGGGTCGACTATTGTTGACGAGGACAAAGCTCTCCGCGAGCGCTGTGTGAGGTGGAGTGATAGGAGACGCCATTAAAAAGGTATTTCTACGAGGTTACTTATTGGCCAAACGAGCGGGGACAACCGTCGTGGTTGAGGTCGAAGATACGGGCTATTCAGTCCGCCGCCGTTCTCCCCGCCTTTTACCGTGGGTGGATCTGGAGCGAACAAAAAGAAAATTTCGAGGACAAAAGGAACGGCGACTCGGAGGATTGACAGTTGGCCATTGGCTCGAAAGGCCGAGTCAATCGGTCATAACTTTAGATGCTAACATTGACAATTCTCGGGCTGAACGCTCGTGTATTAGTGCAAAAAGGCAGCCCAGAATCCAGAAGAAAGAAGATTCTGGGACGACAAATACAGAGCCACTTAGACGACACCTTCGGAGTCTTGGCCAGCGGCCGCAACGTCCGTCGCAATGTTCTTCGTCAACTTGGTTTGCTCCTCTTCGAGTTTGGCCTCGATAGAGCTCGTGTCCTTTCCGGCAGCCTTGGCTTTGGCGAGCTAGATATTCGTCAGTCCTCGTGCTTGGATTCTAGATGAAGAATACTCACATCAATCTTGCTAACTTGAACAATACCGGTAAGCTTGAGGACCTTGTTCTTGATCTTCCCATTCTGAAGTGCCTTGGCTGTTCACAGAGGTCAGACTTGACTCGAAGATCTATGTCAGGAAAGACTTGCCCTCAGCACCGGAAGCAGCCTTGATAGCCGGGTTAAACTGTTCGGTCTCTGCCTGCTCAGCAAGGCGACGCATAGCTTCGACATTGTCCCTATCCTGCTTCGACACGGTCGCGAGGTCGACACCGTTGAATGGAGTGACAAATACGGCCGCTGCTTCGGCTTGGGCGTTTCCAGCTGGGGTAGAAGAGATCTGGAACTCTGGGTACCTATTCATAACTTGATGAGACAAAAATACTTGGCGAGTCCAGAGACGTACGTCTTGAGAGTGAACGCTCGCTTCTGAAGAGCAGCACTATCGACTGGGAGTGCCAACGAGGACCCAACGAAGCCGAGGGAAAGGACGGAGAAGATGATCGACTGGAAGCGCATGATTGCAAGTCAAAGTGGTAAATGTAGCTGTCAAAAGAGAGTGTTGGAAAAAGTGCACTAATATTGCGCTCTGCGCAGAGAAACGAGTGGAAGGGAAGGAGAGAAGATGGCCAGTCCGTCGATCCAAACCGAAGGTGTTTTATAGTTAGACAGAGTCCAGATAGCCGGCAACGCCACCACGCTCACTGAATTCGTCTGGATATACTTGTCCCTCCTTTTGCGGGTTTCGGTAGCCGGGCGGATGCTGCCTTGGAGACGATGGGCAACCAGGCCCAAGCAACAAGTCGGTGCCGTTGTTCGCTAGCTTCTTTTGTATACGCTTAGTGGCTTTTGCTTTGTTCTGGCCCGTGTGGACGGCCTCCTCACGGTTTGCTCCGTCTACTTTTCGCCAGACGTCCTCAGAGTCGTCATGCAACGTGCTCACACGCCTATTCAATCTCTGATCCCGGCCGCTTTACCGATTGGTACGCGTCTCCTGCACCAATCACCGTCGCGTACCTCGTCTCTCTCCTGAGAGAGCAACGACTGAAAATGATCAGAGGTGCTTGATACTTGGGGCACTTCAAAAATGAATTTTCAATGACCTGGTACCTGACAGCCGCATATGGATCGTAGAAGTCGAAGGCAAAGTGCGGCTCTGAGCAAGACCTCAAACCGACTTGTTCTGTACATTTGAGTACCCAAGAGCTGTCGTCTTTTGTCCTGTCTCAACACCGAACAAACGAGGACGACCTGGGTCAAAGGTCAATTTGGCCAAACAACGCCTCTGACTTCTTGTTCTGGGCTGCGTCGAGCTCCTGAAAAAGGCTGCGATGGATCTCTTCCAGAAACTGCGGAATAAATCCAAGAAACACAAGGATGCTCAAGACTCGTCTCAGACGCCGACCTCATCTGATATCCCGGCTAGCACGAGCATCGCCGCGTCACATACCGTAGATCAAAATGTAGCCGTTGATAACAATGCAGTATCTACATCAGAGGTATCAACGGCCCAGGCTGCGACCAGCGAACAACCATCACAACCTCAAACGCAAGGTTCTAAGATGGACAGGTGGCTCGCTCGAGTAGCTCTTGTACTAAACATCACCAAAAGTGTTGCGGATGCTGCAGAATTTGCGCCACCAAGGGAGCCTGCGAGGCAGCTGTTACACTCTTGGAAGCTATCCAGGTAAGGCATAGCTAGGGTTCGCGTTCCTCATCGGGGTTACAAACTATCTTTCGTATGTTCATCCTTTCCCGTCGACGTAAACTCAGCAGCAACAGCACCCTTGTGGAAATGATTGCCAACGTATGCGTAGATTCCGGTGCCGACGAATCCGAGTTGGATAGGGGTGTCACTCTCAAATTATCGGTTCAACGCATTGGTCAGACGAAGCTCGAAGCAGGGGTCATCGCAGGCTATGAGAAACGTCTGAAGGATGCCGAATGGCAAATAATGGTCAGTCCGGCATATTCATTTCGAACGATCAATTTAACTGTATCCAGTCCTCCCTCATGCTCTATATCACCGTCTCAGTAAACGCATCGGCGGATGCAGAGGTGTTAAACAAGCAACAGTGCAAGGAATACACCCGTCCTCGCGAATGCCAAACTGGTACGCGCATTGAGATATTGGCCGAATGTGCGGCGTGGGCCCGTAATCCCTGCACATCCAATATCTTGTGGATCAAAGCAGCACCAGGAGCAGGGAAATCGACCATCGCGTCCAGTCTAGTCCGTGTCCTCGGGATCAAGATGCAGCGCCTAGGATCAAGCTTCTTCTTTCGCCGTCAAGAAAGCGTCGTTGCCACTACGAGAGCGCTCTGGCGGAGCGTGGCGTACGATCTCGCGCGCCATCCCACTGTACGAAAACATTTAGCCGAAAGGTTGACAAAGGAAGAGATCGACCTAGCGACCCCAAACATTGACCAACTCTTTCGCCAGTTGATCGAGGAGCCGTTGTCGGGGATCTCTAATCTCCCTGTCGAACAATCACCCGTGATCATAGTGGCTCGAATGATAGAACGGTGAGGCTTTGTACTGTGGAAACGGGTAGGCAGTTCGGGCAGCCGCTCGAAGGACACATACATCAGGTCCAATCGGTCGCATTCTCACCCGACAGTGGCCGTATCGTTTCCGGCTCCTCTGATTGAATGATCCGGCTATGGGATGCGGGGACTCTCAGACCGATTGGAGAACCATTAGGGGGGCATAAAGGCGAAGTCACCTCGGTTGCATTCTCGCCAGATGGCCACCATATCGCATCTGACTCCGAAGACTGCACAGTAAGGTTATGGGATGCCGAGACGGGGGACAGATTGGCGTACCCTTGGAAGGACATACAAAATGGGTGAACTCTGTTGCATTCTCACCGGATGGTTGCCGTATCGTTTCTGGCTCAGATGATGAGACGTTGCGGATCTGGGATATTACCAGTGAAAGCTTGGTGAGCACACCGTGCTGTGTTGTAAATCGGCTAATTTCTCCAGACACACTCCTCAACTACCACTGCCGGATGGGTCGCAATGGATGGGTGCTAGGGCCAGATGGGGAGTTACTTTGCTGGATTCCATGGCATCTCCGTACTGGCTTGGAGCGGCCGGGGGTCCGTATTATTGGTCAATTCGAGAGGTTGACCATGGATATGTCCGATTTTGTATATGGAGAAGAGTGGACTCGGGTGAGAGAAGGTGGAGGTGTTTGGTAAATTGTACAAGTCACTTTAGCATACTCAGGGACCTGTTGGAAGATACGTATAGGTACAACTGAGTAGAGCCAAGTAGCCCTTGTATTGAGTTCGAAAGCATTCAATACTCAACACCGACGTCGGAGCGCGCGCCTCCTGCTAGGCTCAAGTGGGTCGGAAGTCCGGCAGGTGAGTCGGAGGTCCGCAAATCGCAATTAGCCACGGCTTACTCAGCGTGATAGCAATTATTAACGATATCAATGCTTCGATGACATAGACAGGATAGTTATTAGATATACAACCTCGGTCCCGTTATCTTTGAATGGCTCAATCAAAGAAAGGACCCAATCAGCGCTCCTTGACCTCGACGCCATCTCGATCAAGAACTCGCCCACCCGACCACGGAGCGCTTACCAATCAAATTTTATCGGATTAGTCTACTGGCGAATCCTACATGCACTTGCAGGATTGATGACATACCATCGTCCAGTTCTCGAGGGCTACGACTTGAATTCACATTCTGAAAGAATTCTGATGACAAAGGAGATACCAATTCCGAGAGACACGGATCGGATTACGATGGTCGTACGCTGTTCTGACGTATAAAAGCCCCAACCCAAAGCCAGTGAGCCACATTCGACCCCTCATCAGCACCCCTCAACTGGACCCCAAAATGTCTACAATTCTCGTTACTGGAGGTAATTTTACAGCATAATTTTATTATCAATACTGACGACAAGGCAAGGAAACGGCTTCGTAGCTGCTCAAGTACTCATCGCAGCTCTCGAACGTGACTATACTGTCGTATCGACCGTACGCACAGAGAAAAAAGGAGAGGAGACCAAGACTGCACTGTCCTCTCGTCTCTCGCCCGCCCAGCTCTCCAAACTCAGTTTCGCCATTGTGCCCGTCATCGAAGACGAGCATGCGTTTGATAAAGTGCTCACGGAGAACAAGTTTGATGCCGTCGTGCACACAGCTACACCATTTATCTTGAGTGCCAAGGATCCAAAGGAAATTACGGGACCTGCCGTGGGCAGCACGAAGAGTTTGTTCAAAGCGATCAATGATCTCGCACCGACAGTCAAGAGGGTCGTGCTCACGAGTAGCTTTGCATCTGTCGTAGACCCTGCAAAAGGGTGGAGAAGTGGATATGTATATTCCGAAAAGGATTGGAATCCGGTGCGTCTGAGGATCTCCTCGGAGACGATACTGATAATAGAATAGATCTCATGGGAGGAGACGCACGACGGCGATGGCAGTCACGCCTACTATGGCGCCAAGAAGTGGGCAGAAAAGGTTTGCCTTTCCCTCAACCAATCTTGACGTCTCTCATCCCAACACTCTTATAGGCCGCATGGGAATACATGGAAGAAAACAAGCCGCATTTCGACCTGGTCGCCCTCTGCCCACCCATGGTCTTTGGCCAAGTCGCGCAATACGTGCCATCAGCAGAAGCACTCAACACATCCTCTGCAGCACTCTTCCAAATGCTCTCTCCTGGCGCGAATGCAGACGGAAGCATCCCACCTCACAGCGTTGCACTCTGGGTCAACGTCGCCGATCTTGGCACGGCACACGTCCTTGCACTGTCCGCCAAAGACGCGAGTAATAAGCGATTCATCATCGCCGCTGACGGGACCTATAACAACAAGGCTATCTGCGACGTCTTCCGTTCTCATTTCCCCGATTTAGCATCCAGAATTCCTACCAAGGTTCCAGAGGGGTTCAATGAAGATGGGACACCAATCGGGGGATCTTATACCGCGGATAATAGCTTGAGCAAGGAGGTGCTCGGGTTGAAGTACCAGAGCCTTGAGGATACGATGGTTCAGTTCGGGGAGAGTGTGAAGAAATTTGTGCAGTAAACTTTGGATGTAAAGTGCTAGTGTATTGCTATCGACCACATTGTCCAATACACGACGAGACGATGGGAGCGAGTTATATACGACATAGATAGGAGAAGAGTCAAGAGAAGCTGATGTACTAGAAGCATACGAATTTTCATAGTGAGGGTATAGTTATAGAGAGAAGAGTTAGGGAAAGCTAGTTGTACCCGTATTGTCCCAGAAACGCCACTGCGGCAGCAGCTGCAAACTCTCTTGCATCCTGCTTCGTTTTAAATGTGTATGGAGAGCTTGTGCCAAGCAGTACGGGATCTGTACCCGTTGGTCTTTGCCAATAATAAGAAGCCACCCAAGCTTTGTTCATCTCGGCCTCGTCGGTGATGATTTTCAGTCCGTATTTACTCTTCAATCCGCCAAGTTGTTGGGTGGATGTAGGCATGACTTTAGATTCGGGTTTGGACGTTGCGTCGCTACTGTACGGGCAAGATGTTAGAGTGTGGCAATTAGGAAGCAACCGAATGACGCACGATGTAGAAGCTGAAGATGAAATGATGGGCAAACTTTCTCCGGGACACGTAGTTTTGCCTGAGAGAGTTGATTTATTGAGAGAGCGAGGTCGAGTTGAGTGCGCTCTGAGGAGTTGCAGCCAACGAAATCTCGCAAGAGATAGAGAAAGAAGTCGAATAGATGATTGTGAGTACCTAATTGTCAGTCATCTTCGTCGCGCCGGGGTTTATATAAGGCGAAGACGTCCTAGCCATCGCCCGACTCTAACCACTCTCCTGCTGGGCACGCGCCTGTCCATCCTGTACGTGTTTCGAGAATTACGACTACGCGCTTGTTTAGTAGTTGTTCCGTTTCCTGGCGATGACTTTGCGCACCTATGATTGGAGAAGATGACCATAGACTAAAGTAGAGTGACGTGCTGGTTCGCTCTGGATTGTTTTCTGGGCGCTTTTGGTTCCTCGTCTAGGTAGGAAGGCGGGCAATGGCGCCGTTTGAGATCGACAGACTGAACTATCTGGTGTCATCACCGTCCCGGTTCCAGGTCGGAGTCGACGGTTTCTTGAATGGAAACCCATTGTGTGTATAGCTCAGCCCCGTCTTTATCCAGCTCCGTCGGAGGATACTGTACCGTCCTGGGCGCTCCCTCGATCAAAACCGGTGCTGCATGGTGAGCGGTTTTTCTCGCCAGCCACAGAGGCAAAGTGACTTTCTTTCATTCCAGCGTCGACGTGACTCTGTGATAGCCAGCATAGTCACCGAGACTCCCAGCTGGACGTCTCGACTAACCAATGAATTTGGAACGAGACACCTATATTGAGTGGAATATTAGTTTCTAGCCTCAGCCATCGGCTCGTCGTCCAACAATCCTACCTTGAGATTGAGGCGTCTCAAGGGGTTGGGGTATCTTGAGGACTGAAACAGCGCTAAGGAGTCGAATTCAAATGTCAAAAATTTAAACTCGTGGCAACGGATTCGAGGCGAGGCGGCGGATTCAGTCCGCGTCTCTCAATATCTGCATGGTCAATGGTCCAATGTAGGGCTGCCAATTTGGCCCTGAATATTCGATTCGTGCTGGGATGGGAGTGGCTACCTTTTCTTGACCATAGGCACTTGTGCCGGGCGTCGCATGGTAAAACAAGTACGTCCCTTGCCGAGAGGACGTCCAAGCGGGTACGATTCGTCTTCGAACCAAGGTACAGTCGCATCGGCGCTGCAACCTTCCTCTCTCGTACCACTGTCAGCAATGCTGTAAGACTACACCGCCTGGTGAGGCCTAAAATGGAAATCTCATAGTGCACACTCACTATCTCCATATCCTATATACTGGTTTGCTTGGTTGAATTACGAGGGAGTGCCCTCCTGCGGGTCCAGTTAACAGTCAGTCTCCCGACGATACGAAAAACCCGAGCGCGAATGCCAATCGCCCCCACTGTGTTAAGATTTTCAAGGTGACTTGACCTCTACAGTAACTCTCGAAAGTGCAAGCTTCAGCGACCGCCCGGTTTAGGCGCTGACGCCGACTGTAACTCAGCGCATGTTTCTGACCTCTCGCCCAGTCAAACGTGATCATGATTAGAATTTGGGCTACTGAAGACGGCTGGTCGAAACCAAGTCAAACTTGTCACAGTCGTTGTCGAGTGGATGGGCACGCGCATGATAGCCAACAGCACAGAGTAACATGTTTCCAATATTGAACGTGATATCCTGGTGCATTTATTACGTTTGAACCCGCCGCGCTATTGCTTTGTCGGTTGACGTCGGGACGAAGCAAACCCGGCTACACCAACCCTTTCGAGGAAGAGCCAAGGTAAGTTAGAAAGTGTTAGATTCCACGAAATGAAATACTGAATAACGTCTAATCGACAAGTACGACCGAGTCCAGCACAGAGAATCCAGTCGCCACTCCGCCCTCGTCACTATCCTCGCCTTTGGTCCGCAAAAGATAGCCGCCGCCGCCCTCTCGCAACTCCATCATTGATTTTGCCTCAGGTTGGGAAGTCGAGGATGGAGAAGAGCGTCCGAATAGTGCCCATCCAAATGTTCCCAACTCACTCACTACATTCGCCAACACCCCTCCTGTCCCACTCCTCGCAAGCCAGTTTCTCGCACCCTTTGGAACGCGAATAAGTTTCATAGCGATCCAAGCCTCTCGTTCCTTTTCCTCCAACTTCTCTAGAAATGGCGGAATGTGCGCTTTGTATACGTTATTTCCTCCCCCTTCCCGTTGCGGTTTGAGCACCATGTCGGCGTGTTGAGTTAGAGTGCGTTCAATCGCATTGGGTGCGTCGAGCGAGTACATCTCCATCCAGCTCGCGCGTAATTCTTCGACCTCTTTAGGGGAGAACACATTATCATCTAATACTTGATTTCCAGCGCTGGAAGTTGGAAGGAGAAACTTCTCCACGACTCCTGGATCCGAGAGCACCGCCTGGACTTTCTTGCTCCCTGCGAGCTGGATTGCAATGGACGGGCATTTGATCGCGCGTGATCGTTCAAGCATCTTCCGCGTTTCAAATTGAGCATGTGTCGGAAAGTCGGTTGGGGTGTAGCCTGCACGAAAGTAGATGACGGAGATTTCGATTGCTTCCTTCGCCTTCTCGCCTTCGTCCGCGCTACATAAAGCTGAATCTCTGACATATAGTCGTCTTCCATCATCCTCGGATACCGTCGCCAATGCGAGCTCGTCGAATGTACGTCGAAGGACATGGATCCCGTGCTGATGGAGGAGGGCATATTCGAGTGGTCGTTGGTCGAATACGTTGCGCTCATTGGGCTGTACGACGAAGAGTATCCTTGGAGCTCGCACGTTTGGCGGCGGCGTCGGAGCCGAGGAAGAAGCGGTAGATTGGAGGTATGCTTCGTGCGCCATGACGAGACCCTTGACCAACTGAGTGAGGGTATCATTTACAGGGAGATTGGACGCCTTGAGGATATGCGAGCAGCTAAAGTATCCCGTCGAGGCGAGTAGATATCTGATCATTTATCAGCATTACGTAGCGACAAAGAAGGGGTACAAACCGATGTAACCCGTCAACAGCTTGCGATAGAGCACCAAAGGACGCGGAGATTGTGTTAAACTCCACTTGCTTAATGGTCATATCCTGACCCTCTTCACCATGTAGGAGATAGTCTGAGCGGAATATTCCCAACTGAAGCGGCTATACGACCGTCAATCTCATTTAACCGCGATTAACTGAGCGCATACCTGAACAAGACCCTCTGTGCGCACATCTTTCCATATCCGCCAAAGGTTTCCGACAAATTCGTCTACCTTGCCTACCCCTGTCTCTGCTGATAGGATTTGGTCGAGAAAGGCCTCGTCGGATGCGACGCGTGTGTAAAGGACGTTGTAGATCCTCTGAAGCTTCATCGCATGCTCGAACAAGTGTCGAGGAAAAGGTGTCGGGAAGAGGGCGAATGGAGCGTGGATTGCGCTTGCTGGGATAGCTGGAGGTGGCAGATTAGACGAGTTCGGGGGGAGATAGAGTAAGCCGTGTGCGAGTGCATACGTCGTTGCTTGAAGTAGGAGTTCGTCTAGCTGCGCTTGAGATAATGATGGTGGCCATGGCGGTAGTGGCATAGTTGGTAAGGCCGAGGCTGAGGCCAAGGTGCAATCCGACGCGATGGCGATTGGTGAGCCATGACTAATTACGCATGGCCGCCGTAATTCATAAGGGGAGATATAGTTCACAAGTATGCCATACGAGACAGATCACTATAACTAGATATGTGGGAAGAAGTTGGACCACTCGACATCTCGATATGCGTCAAGTGGGAGCGCTGCAAGTGTCACCAACGCAACCACGATGGTTATTCCTCTTCCAGCAAAGTAGGGGGGAACTATTAGAAATTCGGAGAGCATTATCAAGCCACCCAAGGTCACCGACAGCTTCTCAGTGATCAGACCGAGGACGAAGACCACGACAGCAGAAGGTGGCGCTACAGTCATGACAATTGTCGCAAATCGCCAAAGGAACTATATATGATTGGATGGAAAGGGAGATGGCCACGCAAGAAAATGGACAGCATCAAACACTGTCCCAATAATGACAGTGGTCAGAATGCCGCCGAGATCGCCTACACTGAACTCTGCTTGACTGTATCCAGAGTGAAACATCAGAACTCGTTTCATACTCCGTAGGTCGATGGCATTACCCTGAGCACCCACTGCATACGCAAAAGCCATGCTCCCAAAGTTAGCTATTTCCATCTCTCTTTTCAGCTTCTCTTGCTCCTTTGTACGTTCTGGGAGTATTTCATACACACGTAAAGGGAATTTCACTCGGTATGGCTTGTCCCATCATGCAATGTACATAGCCACGGTGAGCAGGGTATACCCAAGCGTAATGACCTCGAGCTCCGTGAGCGGGAGTTTGCTGACCTTGCGTGCAATACATTGAGCAATGAACCAGAGCGTTTGGACCACGACGAGGAGCTTTGCAAGTCCATCACTCTTGTACTTGTCTTCCAGCTCGGCAGATGTAGGCAGGTAAAGCTTACTAGCCTTGAGAAGACGACAGACATCAAACTCATCGAGAGGGTGAACAGGTTCTCCAAACCCCTCTTCGAATGGATTGGTCGTCTTTTGGCTTGGCAGCCGGCTACGTCCGTCTCTCGCTTCGATGACCGATTTTTTGACCAATGGTTGATTCTCCTCCAAGGCTTTCTTTCCAGCCTCAGCCCAATTCTGCGACGATCCTCGACTTCGTTTGAAGAAATGAAAGCCACCCATGATGATGAGGAATCCTTGTTGGCGAGGGGCATCTTGCAGCAAGCCATTTTAGTACTAAAATATACATCAAATGTCGATATCATACCAATCTCCTTGGCCAGGCAAGATGCCGCGAGGAACTGACGGACTGCCATACCCAGAACCCACTCTGGGAACACCAGTGTCACAGAGACAGGAACCACGGTGCATCTGATGAAAGATTTGATTCAGATTTTGAAACTTTTGGAGATATCCAAGCCTCTGGTGTCCACGGGCTCGGGGACGTTGAGATGTAGCGAGACCCAGATGCACAGAAAGATGGTGGTAAGACAGCTCATGACTATCCCGGGCAGACTCCTGTACTGATTGGCGCACAATGGAGAACATTCTGTCGTATTAGATGCGAGATTTTGAGCAGCGCGGCTTGAAAACGTGTAAGCGGCGACTGCGAGAGCCATAATGAAGACGAAGGTGTCGAACACATCAGAAAGTTTTATAATCCCAAGGGTATGATCTGTCCGAGACTTGTATCCAGGTCTGCATGTGCCTGCTGGCTAGCAAGGCTAACGTTTTCAGGTCACCCTCGCGGAGTATGGCTATTAACTATTTTTATCCACTCTGAATCGTGATTACGTAAAAGAGTAGGTAATGGAGAGACACGTACACATGGGAAAACTCCAAGTTAGGGTAAATTCTCCGTCTTCGTCCTATTCCTCGCTCCTTGGAACCCACCATCCGATGAGTACACCAACTGAAAACTTGACATGGTATTCCATGTCAACATAAGATATCAGTAGCTAGAGCGATACAGTGCGGATGCCGGCGTTATATATCTTGTGTAAAAATAGCTTGCCGCCCCTCATCCTTACCTGCCTTGCAGACTTTCTACCACAGTATGCACCATAAGAAATAACTAGTATTATATACGAGGAAGATGACTAGATTAAATGTGAGGAAAGAAGTCAGACCATTCTACATCTTGATAAGCGTCAAGTGGGAGTGTCGCAAGTGTGAGGAACGCGAGCACAATCGTTATACCTCTTCCAACAAGGTAGCAGATTGGTACCAGTCGGAGAAGGTACCCGATCAAATAAGCCAGGATAAGCCACTTTTGAACGAGCATCAGGAAGATCAAGCCTATGAATGCTGCAGGTGGTGCCACAGTCATGACAACAGCCCCGAATCGCCAGAGCCATTGCACTCGACCAGATGGAAAAGGCGAGGACCACGCCAGAAGATGGACAGCGCCAAACAGCGTCCCGACAAGGCCTATTGTCATCGGTCCGATAAAATCCCGTAAAATGACTCTTCCTCCATTGCGCCCAGAGTGGAACATTGGAACTCGCTTCTGGCTTCGTAGGTCGGTGAAGTATCCCTGTGTGCCTGAGATATACGCATAAACCCTTTCTGGAAGCTTGACTTCTTCTTTCTTTTTCTTTAGATCCTCTTGCTCTATCGTGCGTTCGGGGAGTGTTTCATAAACACGCACAGGGAACGTGACACCATATGGCTTGTCCCACCAGGCAACGTACATTGACAAGGTGAGGAGAGTATAGCCAAGTGTAACAACCTCGAGCTCGGTGAGAGAAAGTTTGTTGGCCTTCCGTGCAATGCACTGAGTGATGAACCACAGTGTTTGCAGTATGACGAGAAACTTTGCCAGTCCATCGCTTTTGCATTTGTCCTTAAGCTCCGCAAAATGAGGGAGGCGAAGTTTCCCAGCCTTGATAAGACGACAGACATCGAATTCATCGAGAGGATGAACAGGCTCTCCAACCTCTTCTTCGATTGTATTGGTCGCCTCGCCACTCGGAGTGTGGCCAAGTCGACCTTCTCCCTCTTCCACTACCGAATCCTCGACCAATGGGTGAGCTTCTTCTCTGCCCCATTCCCTCATTTGACGGAAGGACGATCCTTGAGTTCGTTTAAAGAGATGAAAACCGCCCATAATGATGAAGAATCCTTGCTGACGAGTAGCACCTCGAAACGAGCCTGTCAGGACATATTGGACTAACTTTGTATGACATACCGATCTCCTTGGCCACGTGAGCAGCCATGACAAACTGGCGAATCGCCACCCCAAGTACCCATTCTGGGGCCATCAGTGTGACGACGAGAGGGATTAGGTTGCGTCTGATGAAATATCTTATCTCAAATTTCAATTTGTTGAAGCTATTCAAGCTTCTGGTGTCAACGGGCTCGGGGACGTTGAGGTGGAGCGAGACCCAGATGCACAAGAAGATAGTCGTAAGACAACTCCAGACAATCCCAGGTAGGCTTCTGTATTGATTGGCGCACGATGAAGCGCTTTCTGTTGTATTAGATGCGACATCTTGGGCAGCGCGGGTGGAGAGTGAGTAGACAGCGATTGCGAGAGCCATGGTAGGGAGGGATGAATCAACCACAACTAGACATTCTTATTCCCCAAGAGTTTTATCTGTCCCCAATCTACATCCAGATGTGCCTGTGCCTGCTGGCTAGCGCGGCTGTCAGGCACTGGGGAGTTCCAACTCGTTTGGCCAACCGTTGAACGAGTGTATTCCGCAAGTTTTGTACCTTGTAGATTCTGCAGGAGATGTGATTCTCTCTCAACTCTAGAGTGGCCTTGGTCACTATAAAGGCCCCGCGTTATCTTGAGTGGTTAGGCTATGTTCGATGGGGCACGTTCAAGGTGCTCTGAGGTCACTACGCCTCTGACTCCACGACTATTCAATTGCTTGATGCTCCTGCGTGGCTCCTCAGCGGCCGCCAACCGGCCAAGAGACCTGACGTCAGATTCTACAAACGGGCATAAAACCCCACTGGTATGCACAATTTCACATCCAGAAGACCTGTCCTATTCTTATTTTCTATTCTGTCTTTCATGAAACCGGCGCTTGCTCTCGTTGCCACTCTGGCTTTGGGTACCACAGCGCAGCAACTCACAGATGCACAAATACGAGCAGTACGGAGTCGATTATCCGATGTAGCGAAACAAAGGTACGTCCTCTTTTCTTCGCATGAGTGACTTTTAAATATCGGTAGTTGGGAACTCGGTACGCGAGCCCAAGTACTCATCGAATACGACGCACCCGCATTCAACGTCCTCTCCACGGACTGTAAACTCCCACCAAACACGACTCTCTCTCAATCCCAATCGTCTGCGCTCTCCACGCCCTTTGGCATCGTGCGTCCTATCGTGACCTCTGGTGGTTCCGTGTCCAACACCCAGGGAAACAACGCCGGTGGAGACGGCGCTGCAGCTAGTGGAAGTCTCATGGACGATGGCTCTGCTGCCGACCCGGCGAGTTTGGGTGTCACGGTCGCATTGGCCAACTGGACTAAAGCTGATGACGGTGGCGTGCGATATGGTGATGCAGCAAGGGACGAGTTAAACTTTTTGCTCACCAAGGCCCCCCGGTCGAGCGAAGGTGCCATTAGCCACCGTACTGAAAAAGTCCAACTGGTCAGTACATTAAACGATGCTCAGGAGGAAAACGTACTGATGAAGTATAGTGGTCCGACTTTGTGTACATGGTTCCTCCCTTCTTGGCCTATTACGGTGCCCTGCATTCGAACACTACCATCATGGATGAAGCCTTTAACCAAATACGACTCTACCGTGATCAACTACACGACGGCGAGTCGAATAATCTCTGGAAACACATTGTCCTCGGCGGCTCCGGTGAAGACGGCGGACGTTGGTCGACTGGAAATGGGTGGGCAGCCATGGGCATGCTACGCGTTTTGGGCACGTACAAAGCCTCATCCGATCTCGGAAGCACCTATGGCCAAAGCATCTCCACGCTCTCCGATTGGGTACAAGAAATTCTCGACGGGATGTACGCCACGGTCGAAAACTCTAATACGGCTCTCTTCACAAACTACGCCGATCGCCCTTCAACGTTCCGCGACGCGTCCTCTACGGCGCTCATCGCAGCAGCCACATATCGCCTAGCCGTGCTGACGGATGGGAAATACGTCAGTAGAATCCCAGATGCTGAGCGTGCGAGGAGAGAGTTGAGCAAGTATGCTGGAGACGCCGGTGGACATATCGACGGGAGTGGCTGGCTTTCGCCCGTCGTCGATCCGCATAATTTCGGTCAACAGGGCGAGCATAGTCCTGAAGGCCAGGCGTTTGTCATCAGCATGATTGCTGCGTATCGGGATTGGAATGGCGCTGGTCAACCCGGCGTCAATGCTGCGACGAGTCGAGCCACAGCTAGCGTGGGTCTCGCGCTACTCGTCGGTCTTGTGTCTGCCTTGATGTTGTAGAAACTTTATACCCTCGTATTATGCTTCCCTGCTGTAATCTTGTATACCTCGATAGACACCTCTAATGACCGTATCAAAGCACAAGCATTGGAGGGTAAACAAGAAAATGCATGAAAAATAAAGAACATACATAACATCTATGCATGTCCATGTGAGAAGCGAAAAGGGTCCTAAAACTTGAACTCGAAGTTGCCTCCACCGGGGAACCCACCGGCGAATCCACCGCCAGGGAACCCGTTTCTAAACTCGCGTCCTCCTTGGTTAAAGAAGAATGGCTGGCCCTGGAACGGATGTCCACCATGCTGCGACTCGGGGTCGTTCGGGTCGTCGCCGTTATCATAGCGCTGCTTCAATTCTACACAACACTCGTCAGCAAAGACTAGAAAACGAAAACAGGTTGCTTACCCGGATTCGAAAGGACCTCGTACGCCTCGTTGACAGCCGCCATCTTCGCCTCGTTACCCCCCTTGTCAGGGTGGGCATTCATCGCCGCCTTTCGATACGCCTTTTTAATCGTCTTGGGATCCGCATCACGTCCAACACCAAGGACCTTGTAGTAATCCTTCTTCTTCGCCTGCTTCAACAGCCTCTGCGCCCGTTGTAGTCGTCCATGGATATCATGGCTCGACTTCCCCGACGCGTTAAACGCACGGTCAAACAACCGTACTGCCTCTTCCCACTCTTCATTCTTAATCGCCGCTTCCCCAGATCCGACCAGTCCATCCACGTCCTCAGGGTCCATGCGCAGTACCTCTGCGCACCATTTCTCGCCCTTGCGGACGTCGTTTAATTGGACATAGGCTTTACACGCCGCGCGCCAGATTTGCGCACGACGTTGGCTCGATTTCGACGGGTGGATAGACGTCGGTAGAGGCGGTTCAACCGTCTTTAAGATGTCATTCATCACCTGATCGAATTTGGCGGCGAGACCCGTATTCTCTTGGGTGACAATCTTGACAATCTTGCGCCAATCCTCCCCTGCGTCTTCGAGTTGTTTAAACTGCTTGTCCAACGCCTTGAGCTGGCGGTGCGCCGCTTTGCATGGTTTCGAGTCTGGATCATAGTGTAGGCATTGTTTAAGAGTTGCGAGACCCTGTGGAGACGCTGGGCTGAGGAAGTAGGAGAGGGCAGAGATGCGCAAGAGGAGGGGCGTAGAGGTGATTCCGAGATGCGTCAGGCGTGTCATGTCGGCGATAGCCTGTTCGACGTCGCCAGCTGCCAGAGCACAGTCTGCGCGTTGTTGACGAAGACTGGATGAATAAACAGCGGTTTGGAGTGCGAGGGTAGCGGATTCGATACAGGCTTCCCACTTGCCAGCCTTTTGCGCCGACGCAGCCTTTTTGGTGGCGATTTCGCTATCATTCACGGCAAACATCTAGTCAGATAAAACAAGTTTAGCGATGAGTCTGGCCAGGTTATAATGCCACGCACCAAGTCTTGGGCCGACTTGTCGCCTGGCACACGCTTGGAATAGTCGACCAACGCGGCCTTGCTCTCTGTCCATCGTCCCTCCTTTGCATAAATCTTTGCCTTTGCAATCACCGCGCCGTCAAAGTTGCCGTCTGTCAGTCTCAACACGGTGTCAAAGTCTTCCAGCGCGGGTGCATGGCGATTCGAGGACAAGTACGCCGTCGCGCGTTTAAAGTAGAGAAGATAGTCATTTGGTGCGAGTTCGAGGGCCTCGCTGTATGTCCGGGCGGCGTCTGCGAACTGGCCAGCGGAGAGGAGGACGTTTGCACGGGTGATGAGGGGCTTTAGTTGTGGAGTTTGTGATTCCTGTGTGCTTGATTCTGTCGCTGTGGGTGCAGCCGTGGATGGAATCTCTGTCGACGTGCCACTCCCACTGGCAGTGTTGTCCGCGAGTATTCTGTGCGGGGCTAGCAATAGAAGCAACGAAGTGGTGGTGGAGATTAGCCTCATCCTGTCCGCGCTGGAGAGAGGATAAGATACTGAAAAAAACGAGTGAAGCGGTCGAGGTCAAAGAGGAACAGCAACGTGGCTCATCGACGAGGCCGACACTCTTGCGATTATTCTCCATTACTATCACTACAGAATTATAGAATTAGATAGAAACCCTTGGATGCCACTCTGAGCAGCTACCTCTTATAGCAATCACAAAGGTCACTTGGTCCCCGCGTCGACACCGCTCTCCGTGATGACCCCAGAAGACTTTGTCTACAATATGCAAGTACACAACATGTTCATTTCTTATCCTTATATCCTATAGTTTCAGTGCCAACATTCGCCAAGAGCTCCATCCCGACATTTTACAAACATGGAGAACGCTCGTCCCTAAACCACAGGACCGCGAACAGCTAACTCTCGATAATGCATACTCCTTTTTCTTCCCAGCTGTACCGCTCCTCGCCATGGCTTTTCTCGTTCGAAAGCGAGGCACACGACTCGTCCGACTCGCCCTACTAGTTCCGACACTCCTCCTCTTGCTCAGATCTACCTTTGGCTTCGTCGTCATCGATATTCGATATAGTCCATACACATTCATCCAAGGTGAGACCTCTATCCTCAATTGTAAAAGCATGGCAATGACCCAAAAAGTCGCCTGCAGCGGAATCTGTTCGTCCTTTGTTTTGAGTACTGACACATCTTAAGGCGTCGTAGGTCTAGCGTGCATTGGCAAAGCTCTCGAATACGGCTTCGTCCACGGACGATTCAAACTCGCCGACGTTGTCGATCATCAGCAGCAGCAACACGTCCACAAGCCGCACGTCACCGTCAAGATCCCTACAACCAAATACAAGGATCCAGTCGAATCGCGCATCGTTCGCTCGCCGTCGGGTGTGGTCCTTCAGTACAAGCCCCTCCCAAACGGTCCCTTGGCGTCCAACGGTGCACCCCGCACACCCGTACGTTCACCTTCGGGCGTCACACTTGCCTTTAAGGATTTCTGGCGACCATCTTCCCCGACTCCCCCTGCACCTCCTCTTCCTATCACTATCCCCACGTCCGTCTCCGAGTCTTCACTACTCAAATCGCTCGCGAGACCATTCGTCGTCACAGCCAAAGGTATCTCAGACGCACTTGAAACCATTTGCTCAATACGGGGGATTGGATGGGATTGGGGAAAGGGCGTCCATGTCCCGACGGATACGCGACCGGCGGGACGAGGTGGCTTCCTCGCCATGACGGCTCTCTACTTTATCGGATCCTATCTCCTCCTCGATGTGGCCGAGTCCATCCTCAAGATCATCCCCGGATACACCCCTAGCGCTGGATCTATCTTCTTTGTCGACGCCCCACCATATATTCTCAAAAACACCTTTCTCGGGCCTTATATTCACGAGCATCCGCATCTCAGCATGCTCATCGCGCGTTATACAGTCTCCACCCTGCTTTCACTTCTCGTCGGATTGGGAATCATGTCCGGGCTAAACACGCTCTATTACCTCGAAACTCTCTTCTTCGTCGGAATTCTCCAGAATAATCCGAAAAATTGGCCACCGCTCTTTGACGAGCCCTGGAAGTCGGAGAGCTTGGTCGACTTTTGGAGTCGACGGTGGCACCAGATTCTCCGACAGACATTTCTCGTCTTTGGAGGGTATCCCCTCCAATACATCTTTAGTACCCTCGTTCATCCTTTTACCAATTCGAGGATGAGAAGGGTGGTCGGAAAAGTTGGCTTGATCCTGGGTGTGTTCCTCGCTTCGGGATGCATTCACGGATACGCCATCTACTCTTGTGGTCCAGGTGGAGTTGACTACAACGCGATTCAATTCTTTGCATCGCAAGCTTTGCTCGTCATGGCGGAGCGAGTGTGGACATACGTTACCGGACGGCCAGTAGGCGGATGGATTGGAACGATTTGGGCGTGGTGTATCGTTCTAGGTGGAATCCAACGCACAGGTATGCCATTCACTCACTATATTGAAACATACGCTGACGATCATAAAAAGCCGACGCATGGTCGTCGCGCATGCTCGCGTCCGGAGATCTCATCCCGGGCTTTCTCAGTCCAACTCGCCTCTTTGTTTTTCCCGTTTTGATCAAGCTACTCAGCTCATAGTCGCGCATTCTCGTGTCGGTACCATTTCGTGAAATCTAGTCTTTTTGCATCTTATAAAGATGGTACACGTTGGTTCTACACTTGCTTTCGTGGGACGAAGCGGCAGCGGACACCTTCTGGGCGTCTAGTCCTTTCTCAGTCGAGTTAGAGTGAAAGTAGTCGACTCACCGCGCGATGGCGTCTTGATACGGAAACTCTCTGGGTAGCTCTTCGCCTTCCAATGGCAAAATATCGTACGTCTTGAGCACTGCAACAGCAAACGTGAAGCCAATCCTGTCTGCGAGGAATCGTCCGGGACAAATCCTGTCTATTTGGTGAGATATTGCCACTGAACGCTTGGAAACGAACCTTCGTCCAAATCCGAATACAATGTCGTATACATCAGGCAGATTTGATGCGCCTGGGTTATGCTCTGGGAGCCATCTTTCAGGAGTGTACGAGTCTGGGTTGGTAAAGACACGCGGGTCACGACCCATGAATCTTCACAGAGTAAGCGAGAGACTAAGGGGAGTGTGATGCGTACCCAATATTGCTGATGACACCCGTAAACTTCGGGATATAGTATCCTTCATAAACGTCCTCCTTTAGAGAGACATGCGATATTCCTAGGGCCGTCAGCTTTCGAACAGTCTACTTCGAGTGGCCATACCCAGGGGGGCCGCGGGATTCAGTCGCATCGACTCTCGCCAAGCCGCATCAAGATAGCGGAGTTGTGGCCGTTGTTCAAACGAGGAGAAAGCGTCGCCTGGACCCATGTTTCCGTCTATTTCAGCTTGAATCCTCCGCTGGACATGCGGGTGGAGTAGCATTTGGGAGATAAAGCTTGCAAACGTCGATGCTGTCTATAGTCTTGTGAGATATTGTAGTAGGTTCAAATTGAAGCCATACTGTATCCACCCCAGCTGTAACCGAGGTCAGAGAGAAGAGGTTTTGCCAGTGATACGTACCACTATACACCATTCCCAACACATCCCGGACTGTGTCGAGATTTTCGTTCTTTTCGAGGTATTCCAGTGCGATGCTAGGTCCGGCTATACCTCGTTTCTGTAGTTCCCCGTTAGCTTTGCCGGATATCGACCCCTCGGCCGCTTTGACGTACAAAGTGATCTACCATCTGCTCCCAGGGCCAATAGCGCATCCGTTTCTGTAGCTCCAGCCCCCTTTTGCCAACCTTCTTAAACTGAAGAGGGAACCAGTCAGGTAAGAAGCGAACTTAGAGTAATAAGTAAGGATTATTACGCCGTAGGAAACCTACGCCTCTGGATATAGTTGACGAGCCAAAACTGCGTCGCGACCCAGGTGAAGAGGTCGAGCATCTTGTGGTTGAGAGCCGACATTTCTTTGCCATGCTCCTTGTAGATGCTGTCACCGTACGTGATTCGAACCACAACAGCTCCAATGCGACTAGACCCTCAGCTCAGATATTAGATGAAGATATATGGACGACGAACGCTTGGAAGACATCCCATGGGTCTCCTCGAACATTAGCCAGCTCTTCGAGCATCCTGTGAGTCTCTTCCACGACGGTTGCATCATGTCGTGCGACTTGTGTCTGTCCAATTCCACGCTTAAAGATGGTGCGACACTCAGTATGAAATCTTCCTGGTTGGGCGAGGCCGAAGTTCCAATTCCACCCCATCCTATTATCCGAACGGCGTCAAGTTCCTTTCGAGACGAAAATTAGAGACACATACACGTAATAGGTCATCACGTCTCTAGGTCGACCAGAGTAAATCGCACCTCGCTTCTCCATAAGGTCCTTTGCAGCTTGCAAGCTGTGGATGATAATCAAGTGGGAGCCGAGTATGTCGAAATGCATGAGATCCCAATTATCGTGTGACCTTTGTCCGTGTGGTACCTTGTCCACTTGGTCGAATCCTTCGCCTAAATGCTCCTTTGCCCAGGAGCTAAACGTCTCATACCACCGTGCTTGAGGAAAGTTGAGTAAATTTCCAATAAACGGTAGTCGCGGTGGGCCCGGTGGTAGACGTGCGAGACTTTCCATCTCTTCTTCTTTCGTACATCGGCTCTTGAGGTCGCATATGCGTAGAGCAGCGCCAGAACGGGCAACGATGCCAACGCGGGGACAAACAGGTGCCTGTATTGATCAAATATCGCATTCATTCGTTGTCTGTAATTATAAAGAATCAGTCAAGTCCTCTGGTCTCGACATGACGGATTGAACTGACGAAACTTCTGGCCAGGGGTAATATTTGCGAGAACTGGGTGAACTGATCTTGTCACAGAGTTCTTATCATGTCAGAGAAGTTCCCAGCTCTTGGGAAATCATCCAGTGAGAGCAATTCAAAGCACGCCCAAGCACCGCTTCCCCTCCAGGAATTCCGTCCAAGGCGGATTGGACTCGCGCCAGTCTTGAAACAGCTTGAGTTCAAATAAGTAATTAATAATAGTCGGAGAATATTAAATACATGCCTAAAGGCAATACGACTCCGGGTAGCAAAGGGCGGCCAGGTGGGAAAGAAACTAGGCTAGCTCCAGAGCCTTGGGTAACTGTGAGCGTGCATATCCACACTATCTTGTACAATGGCCAGGGCGGGGATGGTGGGTAAGGAATTTGTCGACTACAAACGGGGAGAGGCGAATAATGGCGAGGAGCAAAGTCGATATAACAAAGGGCTCACGATACAGCTGGCTCAACTGACTCTTATCGCAGGTAGAAGTACTCGACAAGAAATTTGTCCAAATTCACAGTGGGATCAAGCCAAGTATAGCCATCGCACCAGTTCTAAGCAAACTCTTGAGTCAATCGTTGCTGTGCGTCTCGTGTCTGTTCAGTGGCATAGTCTCACTTGGAGTCCAAAGATGGTATACGTGGGTTCTAGTCTTGTTTTCGCGGAACGAAGCGGCAGCGAACGCCTTCTGGTCGTCTACGTTTTGTCAGCTAGAGATTTCGCGAAAGGAGCATACTTACCGCGTGATAGCGTCTTTATATTCAAACTCTTTCGGTAGTCCTTCACCTTCTAAGGGCAAAATATCGTATGTCTTGAGCACTGCAGCAGCGAACGTGAAGCCAATCCTGTCTGCGAGGAATCGTCCGGGGCATATCCTATCTTCTATTTCAGACACTACCACTGAAGAGATAAAGTCAAACCTCCGCCCAAATCCGAATACAATATCATATACGTCAGGCAAATCGGATGCGCCGGGGTTAACATCTGGGAGCCACCGTTCGGGAGTGTACGAGTCTGGGTTGGTGAAAACACGCGGGTCGCGGCACATGAATCTTCACAGAGTAAGCAAGAGACTAAGAGAAGTGTGATGCGCACCCTATATTACTGATGACACCCGTAAACTTCGGGATATAGTATCCTTCATAAACGTCCTCCTTTAGAGAGACATGCGATATGCCTGGGGCCGTCAGCTTTCGAACGGTCTACTTCGAGTGGCCATACCCAGGGGGGCCGCGGGATTCAGTCGCATCGACTCTCGCCAAGCCGCATCGAGATAGCGGAACTGTGGCCGCTGTTCAAACGAGGGTAGAGCGTCGCCTGGACCCATTTTCCCGTCTATTTCAGCTTGGATCCTCCTCTGGACATGCGGGTGGAGTAGCATTTGGGAGATAAAGCTTGCAAACGTCGATGCTGTCTATAGTCTTGTGAGATATTGTAGTAGGTTCAAATTGAAGGCATACTGTATCCACCCCAGCTGTAACCGAGGTCAGAGAGAAAAGGTTTGGCCAGTGATACGTACCACTATACATCATTCCCAGCGCATCCCGGACTGTGTCGGGATTTTCGTTCTTTTCGAGGTATTCCAGTGCGATGCTAGGTCCGGCTATACCTCGTTTCTGTAGTTCCCCGTTAGCTTTGCCGGATATCGACCCCTCGGCCGCTTTGACGTACAAAGTGATCTACCATCTGCTCCCAGGGTCAATAGTGCATCCGCTTCTGTAGCTCCAGCCCCCTTTTGCCAACCTTCTTAAACGGAAGAGGGAACCAGTCAGGTAAGAAGCGAACTTGGAGTGATAAGTAAGGGTTATTACGCCGTAGGAAACCTACGCCTTTGGATATAGTTAACGAGCCAAAACTGCGTCGAGACCCAGGTGAAGAGGTCGAGCATCTCGTGGTTGAGAGCCGACATTTCTCTGCCGTGCTCCTTGTAGATGCTGTCGCCGTACGTGATTCGAACCACAACGGCTCCAATGCGACTAAGACCTCAGTTCAGATATTAGATGAAGATATATGGACGACGAACGCTTGGAAGACATTCCATGGGTCTCCTCGGACATTAGCCAGCTCTTCGAGCATCCTCTGCGTCTCTTCCACGACGATTGCATCATGCCGTGCGACTTGTTTCTGTCCAATTCCACGCTTAAAGATGGTACGACACTCAGTATGAAAGCCTCCTGGTTGGGCGAGGGCGACGTTCCAATTCCACCCCATCCTATTATCCATACGACGTCAATTTCGTTCTGACTCAAGGACAGAGACACGTACACATAGTAGCTCATCATGTCTCTAGGTCGACCAGAGTGAATCGCACCTCGCTTCTCCATGAGGTCCTTTGCGATTTGCCAGCTGTGGATGACGACCAAATGAAAGCCAAATAAATTGAGATACATGAGATCCCAATTATTTTTTGGTTTTTTTCCAGATGATCTTTCGACTGTCTCATCGGATCCATTGTCCAGATGCTCCGCTGCCCAGGAGCTAAACGTCTCATACCACCGCGCTTGAGGAAAGTTGAGCAAATTTCCGAGAAACGGTAGTCGCGGTGGGCCTTGTGGTAAACGCAACGGACTGTCTTTCATTCTCGTCCTCCCTGCGTCTTTTGAGGTGGCGTAGGCGTAGAGCAGTCCCAAAACAGGCAACGAGGTCAGCACTGGGACAAGCAGGTGACTGTATTGATCTAATATTGTATTCATTTGCAGCCTGTAGTAAATGAGCTCATGTCGGCGGAACAGATTAAACTGACGAAATGTCTGGACGAGGGGATCCTTGCGAAAATTGGAAGAACCAATCTTGTCATAGGGCTTTTATCATGTTAGACAAGCACCCTGCGCCTTGGACGATAGTCTAGTAATAGCGATTCCAGGCGCGCCCGACAGCGCGCCCGGCAGCGCGCCCAGGGAACCTCCTCCACCTAGAAGGCCTTCCCTTCTAAGAATTCGTCCAAAATACCTTAGAATTGCATCAAAGCGTGCCTTGAGCCCAGGGGACTCCTTGGGCAATTGGGCGCGGTACGAAACTCCAGTGTAGTTAGAGAGCATCGAATTCATACCTAAGAGCGACTAAGCCTCTTTTGGGTCCCGTATGCGCCCATTACTACTCTCTCAACCACATTCGCTGATCCCCCATGTAGAAATCGGAGAGTAGTCATACTTGTGCGTTTGCATTGACAGAATCCTCCATTATGATTCCCCGACTCCCAAGTAATCGCCCGAAGCCTATTACCAATGTTTCCCAAAGCCACACCATACCGTCATGGGAGCAAGAAATAATGGGAGGGCCACGCTCGGACAGTGATCAGGGTTAAAAGCCGATGCACATGCTTGGGTCTGGGGATCTGAATTCCGGGCATTGTCGTGTCAGTTCAGTGACGTCTCAGTCGGATTCCGAAAGATAGTACACATTAGTTAGTCTTGCTTTCTCGGAACGAAGCGGCAGCGAACGCCTTCTGGTCGTCTATTACGTTTCGTCAGCGAGAGAATCTGCAAAGGAATAGACTCACCGCGTGATGGCGTCTTGATACAGAAACTCTTTGGGTAGCTCTTCGCCTTCCAATGGCAAGATATCGTACATCTTGAGCACTGCAGCAGCAAATACGAAGCCAATTCTGTCTGCAAGGAACTGCCCGGGACAGATCCTGTCTATTTGGTGAGCCATTGCCACCGAAAGTTTAGAAGCGGACCTCCGTCCAAAGCCGAATACAAACTCGTATACATCAGGCAGATTTGATGCGTCTGGATTATGCTCTGGAAGCCATCTTTCAGGAGTGTACGAGTCTGGGTTGGTAAAGACACGCGGGTCGCGACCCATGAATCTATATAAGGTAAGCGAGAGAGCACAGGGAGTATGGTGCATACCCGATGTTGCTGACAAGACACGTATACTTTGGGATATAGTATCCTTCGTAGACGTCTTCCTTTGAACAGACATGCGATATACCTACAATATTCAGCGTTCGAATAGTTTACCTCGGTGATCGCACCTAGGGGGGCCGAAGGATTCAGTCGCATCGACTCTCTCCACGCAGCGTCGAGATAGCGGAATTGTGGCCGCTGTTCGAACGAGGGCAACGTGTCTCCCAGACCTGCTTCTGCGTCGATTTCGGCTTGAATTTTCTTCTGGATATGTGGATGGAGGAGCATTTGCGAGATGAAGCTTGCAAATGTCGAGGCTGTCTACAGCCGTTCATGAGGCATTGTAGTAGGCTCCAAAGTAAGGGCATACATTATCAATACCAGCTGTATCCAAGATTAGAGAGAAGAAATGTTTTGCCAGTGATGCATACCACTATACATCATTCCCAACGCATCTCGAACCGTATTGAGGTTCTCGTCCTTGTCGAGGTATTCCAATGCGATACTAGGCTCGGCGATACCCCTTTTCTGGAGTTTTCTATGAGACTTGTCAGGTATATGGGGCTTGCTCGACGTACAAAGTGGTCTACGGTCTGCTGCCAGGGCCAATAGTGCATCTTTCTCTGTAATTCCTGCCCCTTTTTGCCAATTTTCTTGAATGAAAGAGGGATCCAACCAGGTAGCGAATGAACTTCGAGCGATAAGTAGGGATGTTTGCGCGATAGAAAACGACCTACGCTTGGGGATAAAATTAACGAGCCAGAACTGCGTTGAAGCCCAGGTGAAGAGGTCGAGCATTTCGTGATTGAGATCTGACATTGCCTTGCCATGCTCCTTGTAGATACTATCCCCGTACGTGACTCGGTTCAGAACGGCCCCAACGACACTAGGTCCATCTCGTCAGATGTTAGATGAAGAGGAAGAAAGAAGACAGACTCTTCAATGACATCCCATGGATCTCCTTGTACACTACGGAACCCCTCAAGCATCCTCTGCGCCTCTTCCACGATGACCGCTTCATACTGCGCAACGTCCGTTTGCCCAATGCTACGCTTGTAAATGGTACGACAGTTGGTGTGATAGCTTCCTGGTTGAGCGACGACGACATTCCAATTCCATCCCATTCTATCCCACTGTCAAGCTTATTTCGAGGCAAAAGACAAAGAAACGCACACATAGTAGCTCATCATGTCTCGGGGTCGATCAGAGTAAGTTGCACCTCGCTTTTCCATAAGGTCCTTTGCGGCTTGCAAACTGTGGATGACAATCAAGTGGGAGCCGAGTATGTCGAGATGCATGAGATCCCAATTATCGTGTGACCTTTGCCCGTGTGGTACCTTGTCTACTTGGTCGAATTCTTCGCCTAAATGCTCCTTTGCCCAGGAGCTAAACGTCTCATACCACCGTGCTTGAGGAAAGTTGAGTAAATTTCCAATAAACGGTAGTCGCGGTGGGCCCGGTGGTAGACGCGTGAAATTTTCCAACTCCTTCCTCTTTCGTGTATCGGTTCTCGAGGTCGCATATGCGTAGACCAGCGCCAGAGCGGGCAACGATGCCAACGCGGGGACAAACAGGTGCCTGTATTGATCAAATATCGCATTCATTCGTAGTCTGTAATTATGAATAATCAGTTAAGTCCTCTGATCTTGACTCGACGGATTGAACTGACGAAACTTCTGGACAGGGGTAATATTTGCGAGGACTGGGGGAACCGATCTTGTCACAGAGTTCTTATCGTGTCAGAAAAGTTCCCAGGCCTTGGGAAATCATCCAGTGAGAGCAATTCAAAGCACGCCCAAGGCACCGCTTCCCCTCCAGGAATTCCGTCCAAGACGGATTGGACTCGCGCCGCCTTGAAACCACCTGAGTTAGAATAAGCAATTCGTAATAATCAGAGTGTGTCTATTCCATGCCTAAAGGCAATATGACTCCGGCTGGCAAAGGGTGGCCGGGGTCGAAGAAACTAGGCCTAGATACAAAGCCTTGGGTAGCTGTGAGTGTGCATATCAACGCTAGCTTGTACACTGGACAGGGCGGGGATGGTGGGTAAGGAATTCGTCGACTGCAAACTGCGAGAGGGGAATAATGGTGAGGAGCAAAGTCGATATAACAAAGGGCTCGCAATCGAGCTGGCCCAATCAACTCCAATCGCAGGTAGGAATACTCGACAAGAAATTTGCTCAAATTCAGAGTGAGATCAAGCCAACCTATGGCCGTCGCACCAGTTTTGAGCAACCTCTTACGTCAACCGTAGCCGGTCTGTTCAGTGACATGGTGTCCCTTGCATTGCAAAAGATGATACACGTTAGTTCTAGTCTTGTTTGCTCGGGACGAAGCGGCAGCGAACGTCTTCTGGTCGTCTACGTTTTGTCAACTCGAGATTTCGCGAAAGGAGTAGGCTCACCGCGTGATGGCGTCTTGATACGTAAACTCTTTGGGTAACTCTTCGCCTTGTAATTGTAAGATATCGTACATCTTGAGCACTGCAGCAGCGAATGTGAAGCCAATTCTATCTGCGAGGAACTGTCCGGGACAGATCCTGTATAGCTTGTAAGATAATGCCACCGAAAGCCTGAGAGCAAACCTTCTTCCAAAGCCGAATACAATGTCGTATACATCAGGCAGATTTGATGCGGCTGCATTGTGCTCTGGAAGCCACCTTTCGGGGGGATACGAGTTTGGGTGGGTAAAGATACGCGGTTCGCGACACATAAACCTGCATAGAATAAGCAATCTATCACAGAGAGGGTGATGCGTACCGATGTTGGTCATGAGGAGCGTATCTTTTGGGATATAATACCCTTCATGGACATCTTCCTGGAGTGCGGTATGAGGTACGCCTACAATAGTCAGTATTCGGGTGGTACATTTTGGGTGATGGTACCAAGGGGCGTCGAGGGATTCAATAGCATCGACTCTCTCCATGCAGCGTCGAGGTATAGTAGCTGTGGTCGCTGTTCGAACGAGGGTAATGTGTCGCTCGGACCCTTTTCTGCGTCCAGTTCAGCTTGAATCTTCCTCTGGACATGTGGATGGAGGAGCATTTGCGAAGTAAAGCTTGCAAACGTCGACGCTGTCTACTCCCTGTCGTGAAGTTGTAACAAGGTCAAAGTGAAGGTGTACATTATCTGTACCAGCTACATCCAAGGTCAGAGGGTATGTAGTTTCGCCACTGATGATGCGTACCACTATACATCATCCCCGATGCATCCCGAACTGTGTCGAGATTCTCGTCCTTTTCGAGGTACTCTAACGCAATACTGGGCACGGCTATGCCTCGTTTCTATGAACGTCCATCAGCCTTCTCTCTCTACATACTATTTGACGTACGTAATGGTCGACCGTCTGCTGCCAGGGCCAAAAGTGCATTCGCTTCTGTAGTTCTAGTCCCTTGTTGCCAATCTTCTTGAATGAGAGAGGGAGCCAGTCAGGTAAAAAGCGAACTTTGGGTGATAGGTTGTGGACCTTCACAGCATAGGAAACGTACGCCAGGGGATAAAGTTGACGAGCCAAAACTGCGTCGAAACCCAGGTGACAAGATCGAGCGTTTCATGATTGAGATCTTTCATTTCTTTGCCATGCTCCTTGTAAATGCTATCCCCGTATGTCACTCTGATCACGACAGCACCGACATGACTACGGCATCTTGTCAGATCTCGAACTGTTAGGGAGATAGACGACTGACGCTTGAAAGACATCCCACGGGTCCCCTTGTACACTAGGCAACCCCTCGAGCATGGGCTGTGTCTCTTCTACGATGACCACTTCATGCTGCGCGACCTCCGTCTGCCCAATGCCACGCTTGAAAATGGTACGACACTAGGTGTGAAATTCGCCTGGTTGCGCAAGGACGACGTTCCAATCCCACCCCATCCTATCCGGCGGTCAAACTCCTTCCGACGTGAATGACAGAGACGCGTACACATAATAGTTCATCACGTCTCCAGGTCGACCAGAGTGAATCGCACCTCGCTTCTCCATAAGGTCCTTTGCGACTTGCAAGCTGTGGATGATGATCATGTCGGTGCCGAGCACATTGAAGTACATGAGATCCCAATTGTCCTGCAACCTCTGTCCACGTAATGCTGTATTTGATTCATCAAACTCCTTGTCCGAGTACTCCTCTGCCCAGGAGCTGAACGTCTCATACCACCGCGCTTGAGGAAAGTTGAGCAAATTTCCGAGAAACAATAGTCGCGGTGGGCCGGTGGTAGACGTGAGGGACCATCTATCCCTCTCGTTTTTCCCCTGTTGGGTTTCGAGGTCGCGTAGCGGTAGAGCAGCGCCAAAACAGGCAACGACGCCAGCACCGGGACGAGCAGGTGCTTTTTTTGCTCTAAGAACGCGCCCATTCGCAGCTTATAATCAGATAAGGTTCAATATGTTCTCTAATATCGGCCCAACAAATCAAACTTACTAAACGACTGGACGTTGTGTAGGTTAAGTGGCAAGCTCGAGTTCGAGAAGCCTATTCGACGTCGCTCCTATCGCATTAGTAAGGACCACCCGGGCTTCGTACAGTTTTCTAGAGGATACCCGCGTCGACCAAAGTGACTGGGAACTGAGATTTGCTGCCGTGTCTTTGCCCCGGCGTCGACAGTCCGCTTTGAACCCGCCCCATAAGGCGCAACCTAGACCACCCTTCTACACCCAAATTCCATCGAAGATCGCTATAGGGTATATGGCGACGGCGACGAAAACAGCGAGCGGGCGTAGAATGGCTCGCAGTGTAGGAGCTATTTCACGGCGTGAGCTGAGGGATCCCTACGTCATTTATAACAAAAGGGCCAACCTGGAACAACAAGAATTTATGGATGATTGTAATCAAGCTATGGACACACTCCTGGTATTTGTATGTTGCCTGACCTCTGCATGAATGACTCGCTAAACGAGGAACAGGCTGGTCTCTTTTCTGCGATCACAACTGCGTTTATCATAGAAACCTACAAGGACCTAAAACGTGAGCCCGAAGCAAAGTCGGAGCAACTCCTTCAAGCAATCTTAGAACGCAACTGGACCCAACCATCACCAGGGTTCTCCTTGGATTCATTCACTGCGGAACATCATGCGGTAGTTACAAATACCCTTTTCTTTCTCAGCTTAAGTATCAGCCTCGTTGCAGCGCTCGGCGCTATACTTGTCAAGCAATGGGCGCGCAAGGTCTTTGTTGACATCAAGAAAATTGAAGCATCCCGGGAAAGAGCAAGAAATTACTTAATTCGCAAGCGGGATGTCGAATACTGGCGCATTCCAGAAGTAGTGGCTCTTGTCCCGATGCTACTCCACGTCGCGCTCGCCGTGTTCTTCGTTGGCCTTATATTTTGGCTCAAGCGCATAAATCCCATTGTGTCATGGGTCTCAGCGGGGGTAGGAATTATCGCACTCATTCTGTACACCGTTGTAGCCGTCATCCCCACTTGGTCATCAACAGCTCCTTTCCGCTGGCCTGTTTCAACCGCGCTCACATATTTATTCCGTGGGATGACAACGTTGTTTCGCTGGATTTCATCGTGGACGAGGCAGCTGTTGGCGGGCACCCGTTCGATAGTTTATGACACAGAAAAAGGTTCTCCGTTGGTGACTGATCCACTACAAGTAGCAACTTCAGCCTTACCACCTTCTCAACCGGATAATGCGCCTTCTTTTACCTCATCCAAGATAGAAGTTATCCTCTTTGATACCTTCCCGCCATTGACGACCATCATTGGCATGCCTGGGCCAGCCTGGGAATGGATCGAAGGCGGAAATATCGACAAAGTCGACTTAGGTGTCTTCCATGAACTTTTCCTCGATCCAGATCCTATTTCGGCGTTGGAAGATACCGCAAACGCCCTCATCACTTACCTGGTGCGGAGCGCAAAGCGTGACCGGAAAATAACTAGCACTTCATTTAAACCGATAGTACGACGATTCGCAGATTGCCTGTTGACATATCGCGCGTACTCAAATGGCACATACGAAATCCGGCCTGGTCAGTCTCAAGAACTGGCCATTACGATGTCCCAATTCTTTGAAATTGCCCTTCAAGTGAAGGCAATAGACACGGTGGAATGTCGAGACGCACTCAAGGACGTACTCGGCGTGATAGATCTATTGCTGCAAGAAGGGATGCGGCATGGATCGGTTCCAGAAATCGTCCTGTACGCATCCGTTAGCGCTCAACTGAGTCGGGTCCTGCAAACCTATCATCATTTGAATCTTGCTGTACGCATCCTCTCCACGCTTGGTGACTTTGGACCATGTTCTGCCTATCTGGCCGCATTGGAGACCGAGCAACCCGGCATTGGCATCGGGGGTGTCAGTCGGGCCAATAGAGAGAAATCCCAATCAAATCACGAGGAGTGGACGGCACACGAGCTCGAAGAGTTCCGAACTCAGCTCAGCACCTATATTTGGGCTTTAACGCAACTAGTTATTACTCGTTTCAGCGGAGGTACAGAGGTCAGCGAAAAGGACAAAGCGCAACAAGATGAACTATACACGAGGGTGGACTATATTCTATCCTTCCTGGCGCTCGCAGGCGATTCAGGGCAGACCTTCCCACTTCTCCGTGAGCGACTCGAACCTCTCTGGCTGGCCACAAGCGGATGCAGCTTGCAGGTGGAGATGTGGACGAGAATGATCCTACTGAAAACTGGGAGCTGTTGCAAAATACAGGGTGGCGAACACCTCATAGAGAGCTGATTGGATCTGCCGATGTAGTAAGCCCCCGCGAAATAAGGCTATTGTTGGAATTTGAAACGTTCGTGCATGAACATATTTTTAAGAACCTCCTTGAAAAAACCGGGAGTGAAGACGCATTCACAGACCAAGTCACAGACTGCTCATCACAACCTAGTGTGTTCGGCGCCTGGTAAAAGAGAACCGGCTTCATATATCGATAGCACGGATCGATTAAGGCATTGAACAGCAGGTCCAGTGACAGGCCTAATCGAGCCTTCCCCTCAGATGAATGATAAGTAAGCATAATACCATAAACGCTCTGTTAACACGGCTGAACATACAAACTCGTGCCACGAACCTTCTACCTAGAATCCTGCTGCGGAAGATCATACCTGTACTCCCAGAGCTCCTTGAACTTCGCGTGCAGTTCTTCTAAGACTGCTAGAGTGCTAATAGACCTCATTTGTGTTACGAGAAGCTCCACCTCCATATCAGGGTTCACCGGTGCGGCGAGTTGCTGTACGAGGGAATCAAGGAGTTGCTGCTGCTTCGAGAATGCCTTTTGAACCTTCGCGAGTCCCATAGCAGAGCTGAGAGTGATAGCTCGATCGAGGCCATCCTTGGCTTGCTGAGTTACGAGTATTTGCCACGTACGAAGCGTATACTGTTTATAGGTTGCGATGGTCGTCGCAATATCGAGTTGTGGGTCCACATCGGCAGCAAGGCACGGCCAGATGGTAGCAGTCGCTGGAGTCTCTGCGTAACCTGTTGCATTTGGCGCTACAACCAGCCACCCAAGCCACTTCTCGCTCTCCGTGAAAAGATCTTGAAGGGAAATCTCGGCCAACTCCTTCGGGGGATTCTGGGTTCCGTTGGTTTCAAGAATGTCACCGAAGTTGGCTTCTCCACGCGCATGTTTCTGAGCAAAAGACGGGTCGCTGATGGTTAAGCCGCTGATTTGTTGGACAACAAGCTGACCCCGATCCTGCTCTTCTTTCTCTCGAATTTTCTCCATATCAATGATCTCCTGGACCGTATGAGAACTTATGGCCTCGAGTACCGTTTGATCCTTTTTCCGCTCCTCCTCTGCCTTGGTATCGCCATCTCCGGCCGGGGATCTGCTTCGTCGCAGAAGCTCGGCCTGAAGCTTGATATCGGCTTCACGTGTTGTAAAAGCGCGCGCGATCCATGGTGAGAAGCTTGCGATGAGATCGCGGACCCAGGACCACGGTTGGTCCGCACTCGCGCGGTCCGCCACCATACGCCCAAGTGCCTCATCGATCCTGCTTGAGGAAAGGTCGTCCAGCGTGAATATGAGGTCTGCCTTGAGAGCGGCTTGGAGAGCGCCGTGACCATCCGGAAGCATGGTTTGAAACTGGGAAGCAAGACCACTGATGCGCTCTTCCCAGGCTTTGTGAGCTACCTCGCGCACATCGAGGACAGCTTCGGACAGAATAACGCTCAGCCTGGCCCGAAGGTTATTTGCAACGTCAACCAGAAAGGAGAGTGCCTGAGTTCGATCCATGAATAGTATCTGACCAAACAGTGAGTGGTTCACATCAAATAATGGGAAGGAATGGCGCACTATATTGCCCACGACAGGATACTTCGCCGAAACATCTTTAACAGCTTTCTCAACAGCTTTTTCAGCCTTCTCGAAGGCGAAATCCAAGTTTCTCTTCAACGCGGAGTAACTCTTTGCCGAGAATGATAGCCTATTATGATCCCATGAAGCAAAGATTTTGTGACTTTTTGCAAGGTAGTCGTCTCTCTCAGCCTTGGCATCTTGTAGTTGAATTTCAGAGAGTCTCGCCTGGTCAAGTAGTATTCTGGTGCACGTTAGCGTCACTCGGACAAGAGGGTGGGCCACCTACTGCTGGCCGACAACTGATTCTCGAAGAGCAGAGAACATAGATCCCAGAGAATCCATACGCTTTCCATCCACAATTTCATCGAGAATGCACTTTTTGATATAGCCACTGACTTCAGGCATCTTTGATTCTTGACGCATACTCTCCTCGGTGTTCCGGGCAATCTCCGAAAGATTGCCGGTCCACATCTTTGATCCCCTATTCAGGAAGTAGGCATTGAGTCCCTGCGTGAAGTGAGCTTAATTTTTAGTCGCAAAAGACAACTGACCGCCTCAATTGTCGGATTCTTCTGGATCTGATCCCAGTCAGGGATCGAGGTTGCGTTTCTTTTGCATTGCTCGATTATACGAGACAAGGCAAGCGATGCAAGCTTGTAAACAGGGGTGCAGAAATGACACCGTGACATTACCCGTGATATGCGCACGTTGGGCATCATGGTATGTGCGAATTGCAGACCTTCCTCACTATTCGGAAAGTCTTGTGGCACAGTTTCTGAGTGGGTTGCGACAACGAAGAGAGGCCTCTTGTTGGCTAGACGGATGAGTCCCCTTGCCTCGGCTTCTTTTGTTTCGAGTCCAATTGCCTTGTAGTTTGCTTCAACGACGTAGATGACTCCCTGAGATATTTTGAAGACTTCCTGGTAAATATCCATGCGATCCGACTTCGGGAAATCAGAACTGCCACAAAAGTAATTTCGACAATACCTCGTCGATCCCAGCATCTGCAAGTCCCTTAGATAAAGATAAGCCTGTCATCTGGGGGCTTAAGAGACGATCTTACCGGCATATCTACAAACTTGTAGCATACTCAGCAGTTTCCTTCGATAATATACATGAGCATACCTCAACATCGTGAAGAAAAGTGTCTGCCACATCAAATCTGACTTCGAGGACCGGAAAAGCGCGACCAATAGTGACAAGGCGTTCGCGTCCAACTTCCAAGTTCCAGTAGAGTCTCAAGAGGTCATTGATATCAGATATCTATTCCATGGTCAATCTTCAAACTTTGGGGAGTAGCCTGACATAAAAGTACTCAACTGTTCCGACAATGTCATCAAGTGTGCTACTGATCCTCTTCAAGGCAAAATTTTTGCTTCTAAAGACTGCGTATTGAGTCTTCAGATGGCTCCCCATTTTGTTCCAGAAAACTCGGCTGCGATTGACTTTGTTCGCCACAACATCCGTTGTAGTGGGAGCGCCGTTGTCGTCCAGGGAGCCCCGAAGGTATTGAAGAAACGGATCAAAAGCGGGCGTTTCAACAGTCAGAGTTGGTTCGAGGGCCTTCGGATTGTTTCGAACTATGACTGGCCACGTTGTACATCCCATTTCTAGAGTTGTTCAGTGTCACACTGAGAGACACAAGGAATACTCACTCCGGGATGTTAAAAGATTCCGCCCTATCAATGCGTTCAAGAAGGTGGATTTTCCCGCCTTCATTTGGCCACAAATGGCAATCGTAGTGGAAACTGATGAAGCTGACTCTATTTCCTTAACCTTCTTGTCCAGGTTCTTGCAACTTCTTGACAGCATACCGATAATATCACCATCGTCCCATGGCGCGAGTCCTCCCTCGAGGTTTGCTATACTCTTTATGGTTATATCGAGAGATGAAAGGAACTGTTCGACCAGCCTATCGAGCGGCCGCTCGCTGGTTTGGTTGCCAATGGCCAATTGACGGCGAGTCCAAACCTTGCTGGACTCCTCAATGTCGTTAAAACATGGATTATACTCGGTGAATGGAATATTAAATGCTGAACCCAGAGTAGGTGAATTGAGTGTCCGGATTTTTGAGGGAAAGTTGAAGGATGCCTTCGTGACCGACAGTGGATCAATACCAAAGAGATGGGTAACCAGACTGCGCAGGATCTTGTAGTCAGCCAAAGACTTCTCTCCGATGGTCTCCTTGGTAAGAGCGAAAGATTCATACATCTTCCGCAGGTGCGATGAGCTCTGGATTATCGCATCGCGGCGCACCTTAATCTCGTCCGTGAGTTCGTCGAGAGAGCGTTGAATCGTTTTCTCCACTACTGGGTTATCGCGCACTGGTGCCATCCCTTTGAGACTGAGTACGAGAGTAGGAATCCTATCCTCGTTTGAAATGAGCCTAATAGCATCATTAAGGTCTTGTCTAAGTGCCGCCACGGCTTCGGCAACACCAGGGAGCCCCCAGAAGGCGTCAAGATTGGTCGCAGTGGCAAACGTGAGATAATTTTCGTCCCGAAGGATTGCTGTGACAAGAGTTTGCAGTGATTCCATTAGTACTACGGCGTAGTCAACCGGGATTGAGCTAAACCGATCACGTTGGTGAAACCGAATATCGTTAGTGAGACGTCGGTAAAGCTCCACGACGGACGCAGTGAGGTCGTCGTCGTGGCATGGAAGTAAATCGTGATTCATGAAAGTTCGCGCGGCGAGAAGGGGGGTTGTTGGAGGAAGTTGCAGACACGAAATGCATGGTCTTTTATCGAAATGAAGGTTGCTGTGGGGGCCAAAATATTTACTTTATTTATTTTATTTTGGAGCAAATTCATCTGGCCCCGTATCACAAACAATTAAATCCATTTATTCAAATAATATGAAACATATCGTCTATTGGGCTCAGTCCACGTCTGGTAGCCGTTCAAAATATTCTACAAGGGCGTCCAACGCTTCCCGCGATGCAACCAAGTTACAATATCCACATAAGATGCGCTGCGTAGCATTTTCATCCAGGAGAACCGACAAAGTTTGGTGCTGCCTGTTCAGCGAATCGGTGTTTGCTTTGAGGCCCTCCTGAATCGCGGACTCTACAATGCCTTGCCCCAGGCCATTCGTCGTCTCGACACTCCTCCGAAGTGTGGCAGACAAATCATCTACCCATGGTGCGAATACGGTCTTCATAAGCATACCTCGCAGTCCATCCACGTCGAGCTGAAAGTACGTCTCCGAAGATATGTACCGCGGTAGACAGCGTAGAACGAGGTAGGAAATGAAGGCGACCGCATTCAGTAAGGCTCGCCCAAGAGTCGGTAGGCTTTCTGCGGTATCCATCGTCGATGTTCTGGAGGTGGAGCCCCGTGCAAGCCTCGCCAGAATCCCTTTCCTCACGGATTCGAACGTCACGGCGGCTTCTCTCCTTTCTACGAGATCTTTTAACTCCAAGGGCTGACGGCGAGGTGTCGAAAATTCCGGGAGTGTCAAGACCGAGAAGAGATGGTTCAATTCGAGTTCAGCCTTTGGGTCGAATTCGACGACGTTGTTGATAGGGATAGTATAGTACGACCTGAAAAGGTCGCCAGGAGATTGGCCTATAGAGTTCACAAACTCGTCCTTGATTCTTGGGAGATCGTCGAACAAAGATGTGCTGAAGGCTTCGAGGAAGCTTCGGATATCATGCATATTCGGAAACGTAAGGGAACTTTGAGTCTAGCGAGATGTCAATTAAGCAAGTGAAGAGGTGACCACGCACATCGTGTCTGGGTACTGAGAAGTGTGATGGAGCTTTCAGTGCTTTCTCCATATGGGCTACGAATAAGGGACGTAATCTTGACGATGTAACTTCCAACAAATCGTCATTGGCCTTCAGCGCGGCTGCTCTCCACTGAGCGCGCAACTCGATTGCTCTTTTTTGCAGCTCCTGGTTTTGCCTCTCGTCATCCGGTCTGCTGGCACTCGAAAGTCCCAATCTCAAAATCCTCTGTCTAAAGGGTCAAGTCAGAAAGGTTGACATGATTGTGAGTAGAACCCACTCGAGAGTCCTAATGACATGCGTGGTGCGCTCGCGAAGGCCGCGTGCCTCTTCGATGTGGTGAAACGATCGAGAGCTCCGCGTAATGTGCCTGAGAATTGACGTCCGCATCCCTCCGAAATTTGCATTGGAGATGGACTCGTCAACATACTCCCTCAGTAGGCTGATAGTGAACCGAAGGTACTGCTCTTTACGACCATTGAACAGAACGCCCATCGCCTTGCGCTTAGTCAGTAACATGATACCGTGCAAGCCAATTGCTTACCATGCCATGTCGTTCGAGGAGCAGTTCGAAGGGGGGTAGCTCAGTACATGTCTCCAGCTCAGCGGCGAGAGGTGCAAGCAACGGTCCTAGATATGCCGAGCCTTCGATGTAGAATGTACCTTTAGGCATCACTCCATCCATCGTACTCTCTGGAAAGAATTCTTCCACAATCATCCTCTTCCGTTCGTCCTGTGTGGAGAAGGGAAGTTGGTCGGTCTTGGTCAAAACGACGGCAGTCGGACGAATATTGCTCCCTGCTGACACCAATGTTGGCAGCTTGTGCCAATCAGGCTCGTTCAAATCAGCGCCAGAGACCAAGGCGATGATGACGTTTGCTTTTCGGAGAGCCTCCTGGGCCAAAGCCTCCCAGTGAAACTAGATGTAATCAGATTTGGCCTTCACAAGGATGAGAACCGTACTTTTGAGGGACCGGAGAGGACGCCCTAAATAAATTATGAATAATGACCTTTCGCAAAAGCAGCATACATACCGGGATATCAATCATCTGTTCATCATCAGATTTGACGTATCGGGATATCGAAACTCACTTCGAAATGTCCTATTCCCACCGCCGTCGTAAACGGTTTTATCTCCATCCGAATTACTGCCCAGGCACCACTGTATAAGCTGTTGAACGGCACTCGGTACATCTGGGATAGACGAATGAGGTCATTAACCAATTCTAACTTCGAAAGATCAGTCGAGGTACCAGTATACGGACTCTGGCTCACTGTATCCCGAATAAGGTCCACACCCCTCGTGACAGGGTCGAAAAAAAAGTCTTCCTGAGATAACCGGTCGAAGTTTTGCAAGGTTTTCTTCTTGAGAGCCAGAAAACTCGGATGAAAATACCTTTTGTGGCCCTGCGTCGCCTGGCGAAGTTCCCTCACGCATTGATCCAGTGAAGAGACATCAAGCCGAAGCTCTGGCTCTATTTGTCCCGGAACATGACATATCCTGCAAGGAAGTGCGGTGACGGGGCCAGCTAAAGTAGGTGAGCTCGAGCATTGACCTTAGAGTTTCACGTACCGCCGACGGGAAGGATGTCACATTCAATCAGAGCGTTGATCAGAGTAGATTTACCCGCATTCTGGATGCTAACAAAAACTGCTGTGTGCGTCTGAGCTTCTTCCCTGAATAATGCATCGCGAAGGCCTTGATTAAGCTGATCCTGCAATAAATGCGAAGATCTGTCCTCGACCTGAGTATCCAGGTATCTGAATACGTCTATTGGTAGTTTCTCCATACACTCCGTCCATAACTGCTGAAGCAGGGTGGATTGCTTTCGTAGGACTGTCGTTAGATCCGTTGAAGATCCCATCGACAATTCAACCCAACTGCGACCAAGCTTGATGGCTGATCGTCGCAATCGGGGGAGCGGGTCCACGTCGGAGAGGGCTTCGAGAGGCCCATCGTCCGTAGGTGCGATGGCGAAGGGGTGAGCAGAGAACTCTCGTAGCATACGCCACTCTTCGTCGTAGTTCTCAGCAGAGACTGGGACCTTTGACTGAAGATCGACCGTGGGGTTGATAGGGCGATAGGACGAGAAGAACCGCTTGTTGGTCTGATCGAGTGGGATGCGCAGCTCGGATATCTTCATCGCAATTGCATCCACTACCTCAGGTAGAGGAGATGGAGCCGACGAGACTTGTGCGATTTCAGATCCTAATGTTGAATCTTTTTGAAAGGGATTCAACCGTGCGTGTATCCGTGGCAGATATTGTTCCAGAAGGTTAAAATCAGACGATATTTCCTGTCGAAAATGTGTATCCGCGGCAATTTCCTTCATTTTACGGGCTAGAAATCTCCCAAACTCGAGGTCTTGTTGAAGCGACAATAATTGGAATTTGAGCCCGCTCAGCAGAGCAAATTGACTGATAGGCGCCATCTGAACGCATAGAAGTGCATTTTGGACATCCTCCAGTACTTTCACAAACAAGGCCTGGAGAGGCGTGTCTGGAGTTGTGTCCATCCTCAAACGGTCCAAAAGCCAAGCTGCCACCTGGACTCCTGCCCCCAAAATTTCCTTGACACCACTTGACGGATAGATTTGGATTCTGGTAGCGAATCTACTTACGTCGCGTACTCGGGACACTATTTGTTTTGTCTATGTCACGAATTGCACAGGCGATGATTATCAAATCAAGATCGAGATTATCGGAATCTGGTCGGTGTACGCCTCAATGGGAACCTTGTACCCTGTCGAGCTCGTAGCTGCCAAGGGTCGCCGAACGAGCTAGACATGCACAGGAAGATGGGCGTCGGAAGTTCATGATTGACATTGACCGAGGCGAGCACAAAGGATGTCGAATGCTGGGATAGCTGGGACTTGCACCGCTCCCGAGCCTGCTAGCGACCAGAGCATGGAAAGGCTGGACGCCGCACCCGCGAATGGGTCAAGAGCTACCGCATGTGTCAGAGAGTATGGTTATCCAGTTCTTTGTGCTACCCAATAACCACGATAACTGCTCCGTGACATACGCCCGTCTCTTGATTGCAGACCCTAGATACCGCTACAAGTCTGTGGCGCAACTTATTACAATGATAAGTTTATCTCCGACTGGTTTGAGCACGTATCCATGTCTCCCAGCATACCAGACGCATTGGACGCCGCTGTAGCACATTGACGAACAACCTGTGCCGCGTCGCTTGAACTGGAAACATTTACACTGTCTTCAACCAAAACCGGAGCTACGAACAGACTAGTTCATTCCTCCTTTGTCGTCGTTGGTGTTCGCTACAGGCTTGCAGCTGACCTCAACCCGCCGTATACTATGGCGCCGTGTCTGCACTCCACAGAATGATTGAAACCAACTCCTATCAGTCAATCAAGATCAAGAGACCCAAACTGGCTGCCACATCAGATCGCTTGCAATGCGAGTCTTGCAGGATATCGATTGAGGTCATCAAAAGAGCCATTTGTACACAGGATGCAATAGAAGCGTCGGTTTTCTATACTTTGACGATATTATGAACCCTGCGAGACTTGGTGGCTGACCATTTTTACGCCTGTCACTTCTTGGACCGTTTCGTAGGACAGCCAACGTCTTCGACTCATCAGAGTGAGGATCCCGCAACTTGAATATCTGACTTGATCCTGTACCATGCCCTTGAATGAGACCACCGACCGTCCGGGTCGCGCAGGTCGGCACCGCCCCTCGGAGATATAAGCCATGGCCACAGATGCCACATACACGGAGATTTAGTAAGTGATAACCCCGAAACTATTGCTTTCAGGTCGCCTGTCGATGGGGGAGCGCTTGGATGCCGGCGAGTAGGAAACCCTTTCAATCCACAATGCCACGGTACGTCGAGAATCCTTCTATAGAACTCTATCTGAGTCAATTTCCAGAAACCAAGGATGTAGAGGTACCCATTTTGTTCCACGGTGCAGCGAGCACAATTGAGGTAAGCCGAGCCCATTGCCGATCGAGGACAAGACAGCAAGACTAAAGAAGTTTGACGAGATAGAATCAAACGCATTGAGCACATCCAGCCGCCTCTGGTAGAAGAAACGGTCGCCTACGCATCAGGACGTCCTCGACCGACTGAGTGAAGAGCCATGTCCGACACGAGTAGATGGTCAATCCTCCGAGTATCTTTGGAGTGCCACGGTAGCTAGTCAGCATGACGGATCCGCGACCAAGCGAGTATGTCAAATCAATGTGACCCTCGGTGGCAGGGCATCAAAATTCTTCGATTCCGAGCGACTTGAGATACCTCTTGTTCATTTAGACTTGCCTTTGAGATCCTAGATAGCGACAAGGGTAGGTAGCGAACGTTGCAAAGGCCAAAAAGCAGAACAAAGGCATGTCGTTGTCTTCCAACTCTACTGCTGCATCTCATGTAAGCACCATCCATCCACTGATGAACACTGTTTGGAAGACTTAGTGTAACTTTTCTTATATGAACAGTTCACGTGGTCCAGCAAGTAAATCAAAGGTCTCAACGCGACCTCGAACGGACACTCGCTGAGACGAGTACGATGAATGCACCCCCGCATCGAGACCAGACTCGTTGGCTCCACTCAGGTTACTCAATCTCTCCAAGAACAGTCATATCCAACTTGCTTATAGTTCAGGAGTTACAACCTAATGAACGAGCAGGCGACAGGCCACCAACAGAATTGCGAAAATTGTGTTCCTTAACGTCTTTGCATGAGATCAAGTGGATGCGAGGTCTAGGTCCGGGTCTTGAGTCTCCTATGCCGTTGCACCCAGTCAAGCAAGGTGGCTACTATCGCACTCAGCTTCAAATACAACGTTAATATCACGATACTGTCACCGTCAGGTATGAAGGTTCTACTAATTGACGCAACTGCGACAACTCATGGCGACAGTTTGAAGAGGAAGCCGGTCGTCATCAGACATTCGACTTCGACGAGTCGGATTCTGGTGGTGATTTCCCAAAGCGACTCTTTTAGAAGGGATTGGGGTCACATTTGAGAGAAGGCCCAGGATCCAACGTTATATGATGCAAGAGAGGAGAACGTCGCCTGCAGCCTAATCTTTGGACTTGGTCCGTCGCCAAGCTCCGTGACTGTCTAGTCATGCTGCGGGGATGTTTCCGGGTATGGTGAAGGCATGTCTGCACTTTTTTTAACAGTGGTTGGAACCTTGAGCGCATACCGCGCATCTCGTTTATGTATTGAAGACATCCATAAGCAGGTGAAAGAGACTACTAGTGCTACAGAAGAAGGAAAGGGCAAGGGACTAGATATGAGGGAAGAAGTCTGACCACGCCACGTCTCGATAAGCGTCGAGCGGGAGCGTTGCAAGCGTCATCAATGCAAGTACGATCGTTATTCCTCTTCCAATGAAGTATAAGGGCGGTAGTAGGAACAAGGTATACCCAATCAAGTCACCCAGACTCTCAGAAACCAGCGCTTCGGCCAGTGCAGCAAAGACAGCAACCATGCCTAATGCAGGTGGCACTGCAGTCATGACAATCGTTGCAAATCGCCAGAGAAGTTGCATACGGTTGGATGGAAAGGGCGACGACCACGCAAGAAAATGCACAGCACCAAACAATGTCCCAACACTGATTGTGGTAATCAGGCCGACAAGATCGTTAAGACCATCATTCTTCATGTATCCAGAGTGAAACATTGGAACTCGTTTCACACTTCGTAACTCGATGTATGCTCCCTGAACCCCAGCGGCATAGTTCAAAGCCATGTCCCAACGGCCCACTTTGATCATCAGCCAATTTTGCTCTTTTGTACGTTCTGGGAGTGTTTCATAGACACGGATAGGGAATGTTACCCGATATGGCTTATCCCACCATGCTAGATACATTGCGATGGTGAGTAGAGTATACCCAAGGGTAATGACCTCGAGCTCTGTGAGTGGCAGTTTGCTAGCCTCTCGTGCAACACATGAGCAGTGAACCAGAGAGTTTGGACTATGACAAGAAACTTTGCAAGTGCATCGCTCTTGCACCTATCCTGCAGCTCGGCAGAAGGAGGAAGGCGAAGCTTTCCAGCTTCAATAAGCCGAAGCACGTCGAATTCGTCGAGAGGATGGGCAGGTCTTCCCATTTCTTCAACGATATCAATACTCTGGTTCTTTGATGCCTGGTCATGTTGACGGTTTCCCGTTTCTACCGCCGGTTCCTTGACCAGTAGCCGAGCATCCTCTCTGTCATTATCTCCAGTCTTATCTGATGGCAAGTTCTGACCTCGTTCAAAGAGGTGGAAGCCACCCATTAGGATGAAGAATCCGTGCTGACGGGTGATGTCTAGATAAGTTCAGCATCAAACGCAAGCAAATCTAGGTAGCAATAGCGTACCAGCCTTGCCACTCTGTAGCTTCCTCAATTTCTTTGCCAGTTCAGTAGCCTTGCGGAACTGAAGAATGGCCATCCCCAGAACCCATTCAGGGAACACCAGTGTCACAAAAATAGGAACCACTGTGCACCTGGTGAATGAAATTATCCAGACTCTGAGCCGTTGCAGGTGACCCAAGCCTCTGGTGTCCACAGGCTCGGGGACGTTGAGATGGAGGGCAACCCAAATGCACAGGAAGATGGTCGTGAGACAGCTCAGTGCTATTCCAGGCAGACTTCTGTACTGATTCGCGCACGATGGAAGATGTTCTGTCGTATTAGATGCGGCGCGGGCGGATAGGGAGTAAACGGCAATTGCGAGAGCCATGAGGACGAAGAGAGTAAGAGAATCAACCACGCCAGATTGCATTATATATGTCCTCAAGGTTCGTATCGATCCGAAATCTGTGGACGGCTATCCGCGTGCCTGCTGGTTAACAAACCGATTCAAATCCTACTATGAAATATAATTCAAACTGATCATAAAACACGAGGATTTCGCATTGGAAACATGTATCAGGCAGTACAGGCAAGGAACGAAGTTCACCTGAGGAATAGAGCCAATTCCACAGCACAGGAACCATTCTAACAGCGCTGACAGCGAAATAAGAAGATCTAAAATCCACCAAAGACCGATAAGCAAGTTACGACTATCATCGTAATTGACAGACCTACATGCATCCCAGAGATGCCGTCGTCGGATGGCTAAGTTCCACGACAACCACAGCACTCGTGAGGAAAAATGGGACAATCAAGAGAAAATATGAACGACGTCAAAGGCTAATCGCCTACTCCAGTAACGTCTGACCATCTGGCGCCTCCTTGCTATCGTTTCCAGAGTGCCAAGTACGAGTTCGCTTCAGGCTAGTACATTCGGAGATCTAGCTCTGCGCATTGCCGATGTATGAAGTGTCAGTATCGACTTTACCTACCATGGCTCCCTTGAGCCCCGGCCGTCGCTTCACCTTTCCTAGCCGCAAGCGTTTGATTGGGTACGACCTGTCCTAGTGTACGATATCGACAGCAGGAAGTAAGTTGATGAGGTAGTAGGTCTCAGGCCGTCAGATGAAAAGGCAGCCCGCTGGCACGCTTCGAACAGACTAGAGTGCTGGTGTGAAGACCCTACCTCGCCTTCTCTGAGACCGAGATTGATGAGTCGTATCAAATTCATCCCCTGGTGTGACTCGTCCACAAGGGTGATATTCGCGGTTGTATTCTACGGTACAGCTTGGGCTCAACGTGGTGGCAAGCGTTGTCGTTCATTGAGGTCTGGTTCGGCTCGATACAAACTGTCGCTAACTTGAGTTCGCGCTCGACTAGTATTCGGAAACGTGCAGCTTACCGGTTGCCAAGTCGAGTGTACACCTATTTACTGGTCTACCACCCGTCTCAGTAACGACTGGCAGGTAACAAGCAGATCGATAGGCGACTTACCCGCACGGAATCGTGAGCGAAACAGACGGAGATATATACCATGCCCGTCCTTCCCGTCGCCACGGTGCGGTGTTCGGGAACTCGAAAGTGTTTTGAACGAAGAATTCGCGCGTAGGATTGAAGGCGTAGACTCGGTTTGCTACTGAGTAAGGAACTGGACTATGGCTTTGATACCCGTACTCATTTCATGAGTCTTTGGGGACTCTCGCGAGGATGTCATGGGACAGCGTCAAACGCCGGAGCAAAGAGTGCGACTGAACATCCCACGCGATCTGGAGATAAGGATCACAAAGATTAGCCAGCAAAGCAAGCACATTCAGAATGTTGGATTTGCGGGTGGAGATCAATACTCTATTATTCTGTTGGCTGGACAGGTACAAAGACGATACGGAAGATGTCCATAATCCTGGATTGTGCGAGATTGGCAATCACAGCAGACAGGCTGTCGCGGTCGAGCCCAAGTTTGTCACCGACCACGCCCGTCGGCCCTTGCTCATTACGCATTTGGACTGCGTTTGGCTTGTACAAACTCAAGCAGCGGATCTTCAGTCATCAATTCCCATTCAAATCTTCACAAATGTCGGACAGAAGCATATCCTCGCAATCTGGCACGCCGCATTTGACCATACTAACACCGCGTATCGGCAAATAGTCATATCTAGAGTCGATGTTCGATTTACTGCCGAAAGGTCGTCAATTATTCCCTCTATCAACAAGTGGACAATGCGACTTTCTAAATCGTTCATGCCGGCCCTAGAAGTATATCGAGCAGGTCTCTTGGTGAAGAGAGGAATCAATACTATGCACGTAAATCTGCCCGACACCTACTGGAGGCTTTGGAGAGTAGGAATGAGCAACTTCACTACCTTTCTCACTTTCGTAGCGTTCTCTTATTATTCAAGTAGCTTGGCAATCCTCATGCTACGGCCCCTTAGACAACTGGAACGGATCAGCCTCCTTGAATCCAAACTTGTCTCTCAACAAGAACGGCAATGTCCAATCCACCTATGCTCTATGGAACTATAGACCATTTAACTAGAACGCGACAGGCAACCAATGGAGCAACGAAACTCTCCTCCATGTATGACGGGCAATGGTTCCGGGACCAAGTCGAAGCGACACTCGACAACGTCGCCGTACAATCTAGTCGAGCATGCTACCGCATCCGGCCAAGGTGCGCGAATTCTACTCAGTCTTAAGGACGATATCGTCATAAGTTCTTTCCTGACATTCTCCGACTTCTACTTCACCTTCCAGCCCAACGTTGACACAATTGCGACCGATAGAATCGTGTCATCGCTCGTTGAGAGTCGCCAGTCAAAACTGCGTTGGCAGGACTCTGCCGAGTATCATGCAGGTATCTTGAGCTTATTACGGCCCTAGAGGGTTTGTTTCTTGGCCATCTTCCCCAGGAGTCGGGTGCAATTTAGCGATATGGACTTTTGACGTAATGAGAATATGGGCTACGCGTGTTACATATGATAGGGATAACAAGAATTAGATATGGGGGAAGAAGGCAAACCATTCTAGACCTCGATATGTGCCAATTGGGAGCGACTTTAGCGTCTTTACCGTAACTAGGATCGTCATGCCTCTTCCAATCCAGTAACAGAGTGGTAAGGAAATAATGAGCAATGTGCCCACAAGCAGCCCAATGCATGGGTCGATCAGTGCAGCATAGCACAGTGCTATGACTGTTGCAGGCGGCACTATGATCATGAGAATAGTTCCAAGTCGCCATAGATATTGTGTACGGTCTGGTGGAACGGATGAAGACCACGCAAGGAAATGGACAGCGGCAAACAACATCCCGCCAATGATCGTGGCCTGCGCACCAACAGATTTACTGAAATAATTCCCTGCTCCAACATACCCAGAGTGAAACATTGGAACTCGTTTCATACCCGTAGGTCGACGTACTCTCCCTGGATGCCTATGGCATACGCAATGGGCAGACCGAAAGGATTGACCTTTTCCATCTTCTTCTTGAGCACCTTTTGCTCGTTTGTGCGCTCCGGTAGTGTTTCATATACGCGCACAGGGAATTTCACCCAATATGGCTTGTCCCACCATGCAACGTTCATTAACATGGTGAGTAGAATATATCCGAGCGTAATAATTTCGAGTTCCGTGATTGAAAGTTTTCGGAATTTGCGTAGAGCACACTGAGCGAGGAACCACAGGGTTTGCAATACGACGACAAACCTTGCGAGTCCATCTCTCCTGCACTTGTCATCCAGTTCGGCAGAAGTTGGGAGGAGAAGTTTGCCTGTGTCGATACAGTGACAGACGTCGAATTCATCAAGAGGGTGTAGAGGCTTCCCAAACTCCTCTTCGATTCCGTTTCTTTTCTTTTCGGGCGGTGCATGGTGACTTTCTCCCACTAACTCCAGTGGGTGATTTGAATATCCGATGTTCGTCCTAGCCTTGTTCACTGACTGTACCTGACCTCTTCCAAAGAGGTGAAAGCCACCCATTAGGATGAAGAATCCTTGCCGCCGAGTTGCACCTAATGAGAATCTGTCATTTATAGATAATAAAACGAGGTCTCGCATCATACCGATCTTTTTGGCCAGTTGAGTGGCCCTTGTGAACTGAAGAACCGCCATTCCCAGAACCCATTCTGGGAATACCAATGTGATTATGACGGGAACTACATTACGTCTAACGAACAGTTTTATCCAGATTTTCAATCGTTTGAAGCTATTCAAGCCTCTGGTGTCCACTGGCTCGGGAACATTGATATGCACAGACGACCAGATGCACAAGAGTATTGTGGTGAGGCAGGTAAAGACTATCCCAGGTAGACTTCTGTGCTGATCGGCACTGGAAGGAAGGCTTTCCCCCCTGTTTGACGGGACGTCTTGAGAGGCGCGGACTGACAATGAGTAGGCGGCGACTGCGAGAGCCATGATGGCAAAGAAATTAGTCACAAAAATGATCTTATAGCCCTTTCAGGGCCGCATGTATTCCGAGATCTGCAGAGAGGCATAATCCGCGCGCTTGCTGCTGGCAGCCAACGTTCGGTTACCGTGGCTTCCCCGATAAACGTATGTGTTGACTATTCATCAATGCGTCTCTCAATTCCAACATGCAACTGTGTACACAGCTATCTAACTAAGTCTGTTGGAGCAGGGGAGGCATACGTGAGGCGCTACAAGTGATAATGAGGCTTCCTTAGCTAGCTTTCTACGGATCATATGTAGATTCTATGATGGGAGAGCTAGTATACAGGCGCTTGGGCGGAGGTGAGTATCTAATGCTGAAAAGCGTGAACGCTTGTTGAGGCGAGGATAGGTAACGGGAAATTGGAAGAAGGGAACGAAGGCGAGCGGGAAATACGGGACTTAGCCATCGGTAGGCGAGCAATGGACGGGAAAATTGCTGGAATTTTTCTTTTGTACATGGCTATCGATTATTAGAGACCTTATATATGCGCGAGAGCGCGAGACGAAACGCGGAAAGGATGGAGTCGAAACGAAAGGGAGGGAGATGAGACAGAGCGGAGCTGCTGCGCCGCTTAGGGAGTGTAAGAGACTAACCAGAGTGTAAGAGACTAGCTATCTAGCTCCGGAGGACTTTGGCTGGCCCATGCCACTCGGGCACGAGGGCGTTACAGTATATACACGTGCAATGACCTTGAGTTCGGTGAGTGGAATTTCACTGATTTGCGTGTGATGCACTGATTAATGGACCAGAGTGTTTGGACTATCACAAGGAGCTTTGCAAGTCCATCGCTCTTGTACTTGTCCTGCAGCTCGGCAGAGGTAGGGAGTTGAAGTTTGTGAGCCTTGATAAGATGAAAGACGTCAGTTTCGTCGAGAGGGTGGTCAGGCACTCCAAACTCCTCTTCAATCGCATCAAGTCTCTCGTCGCTTAGTGCGTTATTAGGTCTACTGTCACCCTCTTCTATCACCGAATCCCTGACAATGAACGAGTTCGCTGTGTGCCTTTCTCCCCATTCTCCTTCTTCGAGAACCCTTGATATCGTTTAAAGAGATGAAAGCCGCCCATTGAGATGAAGAATCCTTGTTGGCGAGTAGCACCTTACAAGCGAGCCTCTCAGGATTCATGGCGATCCACCATACTAATTTCCTTGACTATGCGGGTGGCGTTGATGAACTGAAGAACTGCCATACCCAGCGCTCATTCCGGGAACACCAATGTCACAAAAAGCGGAACCAAGGTGCATCTCATGAATGAATTATCGAAAATTTGAGTCGCTTCAAGTAACTCAAGCCTCTGGTCTCGATAGACTCCGGAATGTCGAAATGGACGGACGCCCATATACAGAGGAATATCCTCGTGAGACAGCTCAAGACTATCCCAGGTAGACTTCTGTACTGACTGGCGCACGATGGGAGACATTCCACGGTATTCGCTGCGGCGTCTTGAGCGGCGGGGGCTGACATGGAGTAAACAGCAACTGCGAGGCTTGCCATGATGATTGGGGATGAGGCCAACCGACGCGCATTTATTTATATATCCTCGACAATTTTATTGAAATAAAGCGCTCTCAGATGCTGGTTGGCAAGACTAACGCGTTATGGCACTTCCAGCGAGGTCTCCGCTGATGACCCATTTACTTGATCCAGGCCCCAAAATTTTGACAAGGAGTACTGTGTATGGTTATCTAGACGACGCAGCACAAGGGAGATGTGCCTTTTGTGGATCGTGGAGAACTACGAGAGTAAATGCATAGCACTTCTATTCTCCGGTCTGACCCATGGTTTGAACCTCTCACAAATTCATAACTGACTCTGAATGTAGTATTATACTTTCCCCTGATCTTTCCGTGCATTTCGAGCTCTTCTTTAATGTTGAGCTTATATATAGTTCATACCCAGAAACAGCTGCTGCCTTGTACATCAACCAGCGCGTATACTCAGCATTTGAATTTGGAACTCCATTCAAGGGGTATGAAGACAGGTTCGTGATTTGGTAAGATAACCAGATACTCGTGTGCTGGTTGGATTTTAGGTGGCAGGGATCGGAGCCTTGTATCCCCCCGCGCTTGTACGGCACGACTATCAATCAACGTCTTGAACCACTTCTAAACCATTATCAACCAGGCTCCTATCGGCGAGGTCTACAGGCCCGAAACTTGACCCTTGTCCAATGATGGCGTAATCGTCGGTCGAGAACTCGAGATAACACCGAAGAGACCCTAGAAAGCGGCGATACCGGGCTTAAACACTTTCATTAAAAGACTGAGCCCTCTCGACGATGCTTTCGTCTACCTTTGCCTCTTCGTCGGTGTTTGCCAGTTTCTCCACCTCACCGTTGGTCTCGCGGGCAGACGCGAATGGCATCTATCGTCCAATCTAAGCTTATTTTTAGTGCGACTGCGGCTATTGCGAGCGGTTTAGCCGCCTACTGGCTATTTCGAACTCGCGAAATACCAACAACGCAAAAAAAGAAACCTCTTCCGGGACCGAAGCGCAAAGCTGTCATAGGAAACGTACTCGACTTTCCGACACAGCGTTGGTACGAGGCTTTCACAGAATGGCAATCGCGTTATGGTTAGTTTTCCTCAGGAGAATTGCTCCACTGCTCAGTTTGAATAGGCGATGTAATCTATGTGGAGTTACTCGGGATGCCTATGTTGGTCGTCGAGTCGTTGGACGTCGCAGAAGAGTTGTTGAGCCGGCGTGCCAATGTCTGGTCTGCGCGTGCGCATTCGGTCATGATGAACGAGCTGTGTGTTCCTCTTCTCTCAATTCTGCATCAGCTAACAATATATAGGATGAAGTTCGACTGGAGTCTGCCCATGTCTCAGCCGAATGCAGAGTTCAACGAGCAGAGGAAGATTCTCCGCAGGGTTATTGGACCACAAGAGGTCACTTCATTCGATTATCTGCTCGAGGAGCAAGCAGCTGGTCTCGTTGAAAGTCTTAGCGGTCACTCTGGTGATCCGCATGATCAAATCATCAGGTGCGTGTCTTCTCACTCGCTCAGAACTCGAATTTGACAAGTTATGAAGGGCAGTCGGGAGAGTGATCATCAAGCTTGCATATGGGGAGCGCGTCTGTCAAGAACATGGAGATGATCTCGCAAAGATGAACGCTCAGAACTCGGATATGGTCGTCTACGTCCTCACTCAGCTTTGGTTTGTCAACCTGTTCCCAATCTGTGAGTCGTTTTATCCTCTGAGTAGATTGTATATTCATCTCTCGTAGTAAAGCATCTTCCGACTTGGACCCCAGGAGCCCTGTTTCATCGCGTCGCAAAGAAGGGGAGAGCACTCAGTGAACAGATCCGATTCTGGGCGTTTGGCCTTGTGCAGGAGAATATGGTGTTGATATTACGTCTTGTTTAATCATCTCACAACTCATATCTTCCTAGAAGAAAGGAACCGCGGACTCATCTTTCATTTCCCGGCATCTTCACGAACCAGAATTTGCAACGGAGCAGTTGAGAGACGCTGTAGCAATGCTATATTCGGGTATGTACTTCGTACTGGGCACAGTATGGACGCTGAATACACCCTCAGCTGGAACAGATACGGTGGGAAAGACATGGCTTGTAAGGTATCCCGCTAACGAAAGCCATAGACTGCAACTGCCGTCCTCAACTTGGTCTGCGCGATGCAGCGCCATCCGTATATTCAAGAAAAGGTCTATAAAGAGCTGATGACCTTGACGGGTGGTGCAAAAGAGCGTGTTGTGAAAGCCACTGACTGCGAAGCATCTCGATATCTCGACGCAGTCTGGAAAGAATCCTTCCGTCTGAACCCGCCCGTGCCACTAGGTACGCTATCCGGACCAAGTACGCGACTCCTCTGATCAATCTTCAGGGCTTCCACACGTGAGCTCTGAGGAAGATTCATTAGGCGAGTACACTATCCCGAAAGGCACGATGGTCCACGCGAATATTGGATTTATGCTTCGGGATAAACGAATATGGGGTGCCGATGCCGACGCGTTTAGGCCGGAAAGATGGCTCGAGGAAGAGGCGGTCAAGCTACCAGATGCCGGTACCTTGCCATATGGGTTTGGGAAGCGGTATGTTTGATTGGTTCCTTGCTCGTGAAATCGCGTTGACCGTCGGTAGAATCTGCCCTGGTCGCCATCTTGCACAGAGAACAGGCAAGACATTCTTCGCAGCGCTCGTTCTCAACTACAAAATCACTGTTGTAGACGGAGAGGTTCTTCCAGAGATGATTGAATACGAGGATATGGCAATCAGGTGAGAATGAGTTCGTTCATAATTTGCTCGCACTTCTGATGGCGTCTATTGTAGACGGCCCTCGAACTTTCGTTGCGCATTCAAGCCTCGACACTAGAAAGTCGCGGGATCTAACCGCAGTCTGATCGCTTATTCGGCGCAGTAGTGACCGCATGCTCGAGAGGGGCCTATCCAACGACAATCCTCTCTTGCTCATTGGATCTTTGTACATATTTTGAATCTTTTCTACTCGATTAAGCGCGCTGCAGAGCATATAACCCGTGCTGGTGACTTTCGACCTAGCCCCACTCTCTTTCGCCTACCCGTGAAAGACACGCACTGACAACGCTACCAATATGTCTACACCAGCAGATTCCAAAGTCAGCGATCCCTATCGTCTCCCGAAGAACATCAAGCCCGTTCACTACAGCCTCCTCGTCAGGACTGACCTCGACGCGCTTGAGTTTCAAGGTCGTGTCGCCATAGAGTAGGTGAACTATTGGGTCTAGTTTCTAAATCTCACTGTTCTAGGTTGGATGTCTTGGAAGAGACCTCGACCGTGTCTCTCAATGTGGCCAAGCTTGACATTGACCATGTCACCCTCCTCTGGGGAGAAAACACGACAGAAATCAAAGAGCAACATCTGGATGAAGACCTTGAAAGACTCACACTCAAAACGGGAAAACCATTGTCCAAGGGACGCGCACACCTCGTAATTTCGTTCAGAGGGCCACTCGGAGATCAAATCAAAGGCAAGGTGTCGATGACTGGTAAAATCATATACTTATGTTGAGCAAAGGCTATTACCGCTCTCAGACGGAGATTGATGGCAAGAAAATGTGAGTTTGAAGACAATTGTTTGAGAATAACTTCTCTGATGCGTTGCTCGCAGGAACTACAGTCTCACTCAGTGCGCCACAAGTCTCTCCGTTCAACTTTTAGCTGACCTCCGTCAGATTTGCGCCGACCGACACGCGCAAGGCGTTTCCATGCTGGGACGAACCGGCTTTGAAAGCCACTTTCGGTACGCACTTTCTGACACTACAATAAAGACTGATGTTTGGTAGATATCATCATGGTTTCCCGCGAAGGAACGGTCAATCTCTCGAATATGCCTGTCGCTTTCGAGGTACCTCTTTCTCGTATATCCGACCAAGCCGGTGACTCCACAGAGGAGCTGGCCTTGGGACTTGCAAGCTTGAAGATGAAGGGGTCCGAGGCTGGCTGGAAACTCACCCGTTTTCAGACATCACCAATTATGTCAACGTACTTGGTCGCGTACGCCAACGGGCCATTCGAATACGTCGAAGACTATTCTACTTCTCCATTAACTGGCAAAGTACGCCCAGTCCGTGTATATGGGACAAAGGATGTCATCCATCAAGCCAAGGTGAGCGGATACACAACGGCGAAGATTCACATTGACTCTGGACAGTTTGCCCTGGACGTCAACACCAAGTGTCTTTCTATCTACGAATCGGTCTTTGACATCGAGTTTCCTATACCAAAGCTAGATGTTTTGGTCGTATGTGTCTACAAGTTGGACAGGAAACAAGTCTGAATTTATATAGGCTCACGACTTTGAATCAGGAGCGATGGAGAATTGGGTTCGTGATTCTCGACTCTTCTAACTGTATTAATCCCTTAGTAGGGCCTCATCGTCGGACGCACGACGGCGTATCTCATTGACGAGAAGAGTGCAATCACACTCAAGAAGCGCATAGCAGGGGTCGCTACTCACGAAGTTGCTCACCAATGGTAGGAGGAACGAGCGACTGTTTATCCTTCTGATCATGTGCATCTCAGGTTTGGCAATATCACGACCATGGAGTGGTGGGATGTCTTGTATCTCAACGAAGGTGCGCGCTACAACTCATCTGATTAGTGTTAATGGAATAGCAGGTTTTGCAACTCTCATGGGAGAACTGGTTATTCTCGACAAGTGCGCACCTAATCTCATGGACGGCATCCATCTTACCGGATACAGGCTGTTCCCCGAATGGGGCTGTAGAATGTCATTTATCAACGACCATTTAGAGAGGGTCAGCATCCTCTGTACAGCCGCGAAGCCACTTCTGACTTGCCCTAGGCCCTTGCACTCGATGCGCAGCGCTCGAGCCATCCCATAGAGGTACCTTGTGACGATGCAAAGAAGCTGCATATGATCTTTGACGCCCTTAGTTACTCGAAGTAAGCAACTACCTTGGCACTCGACGAGTATTGACAATCGTCAGGGCTGGAGCTGGTAGCCTACAGATTTTACGTTTTGGCTTTGCTGACCAATTTTTTCAGTTCTTCGCATGCTTTCCGAGTTTGTGACCGAGGAAAAGTTCCTCAAGGGCGTGGTCAGTCGGTTCTTACTCGAATGTCGCCGCTGAGGGGCCTCCAGTCACTGTACCTCAAAAAGCACTTGTATTCTAATGCCCGAACTGTCGATCTCTGGAATGGGGTCTCCGAGGCCACAGGTCAAGACGTGGCGAGCATCATGCACGAGTGGATCAACAATGTTGGATTCCCCGTTTTGAAAGTCACAGAGACTTCGGATGGCATCACAGTCAGGCAAGAGCGCTACCTCGAGACCGGAGATGTCAAGGAGGATGAGAACCAAACACTCTGGTACGAACAAATCTCTCTGGAAACACTTTGTCTTATTCTCATGTAGGAAGGTTCCTTTGAATATTCTCAAAGTAGATAAGAGTGGACAGAGTGTTGTGGATCGAAGCATTCTCTTGACGGAGCGGGAATCAACTTATCCAGTGGATACCAGCAAACCATACAAGCTCAATGCTGGGACTTCGGGTGTTTGTGAGTCGTATTATTACCCAAGTGTGATGCTGATTCTGCAAAGACCGCGTCCTTTACCCACCAGAACGAGTCAAATTACTGGGTCGACAAGCTGCTGATCCCAACTCTCCGTTCGCGGTCACGGATCGCATGGGTCTCATCTCAGATGTGATGGTTTTGGCAAAAAGTGGCCTATGTCGTACAAGTGACGGGCTGGCGCTCATCAACGAGCTCAGGGGAGAAGCTGAGTGTAGGTCCCTAAGTCATTCTATTGACTCGCTAACACATCCTAGATCTCGTATGGCAAAGTATTGCCGACAGATTGCGCGGCGTGCTCGAGGTTTGGTGGGAGATGACAGACGAAGTACGATCCAATATGCAAGCGTTCCTCCAGGTGAGTCAATCAATCGTGCCCTTCTGACAACTTACACTTTCTAGTCTTTATTTGTGCCATTAGTAGAGAAATATGGCTACGACTCGCGAGAATCGGACACCGTCGATGGTCGTCAACTTCGAACACTCGCAATCAATGAAGCTGCCAATTCAGAGACGCCAACGTGAGCTCAGATAGGAGGAGAGATCCTGAACTAACGCGACTCGAAGAGTTGTCGAAGAGTTACGCTCCAGGTTCAAGGCCTTGGTCGAGCGAAATGATTACTCGCACATCCTACCAGATATCCAAACCTCGACCTTTGTATGTGGGGTACGTTCTGGAGGAAAGGAAGAATGGGAAACGGCCAAAAAAGTGTTTCTCAATCCGCCCTCGCCGTCGATGAGGAGGAGCGCTCTCGATGCCATGACGGCTTCAAAGGATCCAGAGATCATCGAAATCGCGCTTAATTTTATGATGAACGAGCTGAAAGCTGGGGACGTTACGTGCGTTAACGGATTTGTGTTCGACGCTCTCTGAACTGTGCCAGGTTCTTCGCGATGGGCCTCAATAGGAACCGCTTTGCACGCCGCAGGGCCTATGAGTTCTTCAAGGAAAACTTTGACACGGTATGGGTGTTCATCCAGTGCGGTTCTATCTGACACGACGCAGCTTGACAAACGCTTCGAGGGTTCATTCGCGTGAGTTTCTCTGTATACCTTGCCACTTTACTGACAAGACCAAGTTGGCCATATGTGATCAAACTGACCCTGAACGGCTTCTCGACCAAGGACGACCTCGAAGACGTCCAGGCGTTCTTTGAGACTAAAGATACTACCAACTATTCTATGCCTGTGGAACAGGCGTTGGACGCTATTCGGAGTAACGTCAAGTGGTTCAACCACAGCAATGATGATCTGGTTGCATGGCTCAAGCAATGGGCAGAGTCGCAGGGGACGTCGAAGTAGGGGGAAGCGAGTCCAGAATCAACGATGCAATATATGAAATTTGTGCATCTCCATCCATTCAGATTTATACAGAATAGCAGAACAAGGCATCTAAGATGGTGTTTCTGGAAGGTCGAGCTCACCGTACTTCAAAAGCCATCGACCCCTTTCCCACTTTCGTTCAGCCGGCCCCAATTGTTCCCTTGTAAGAGCTTGGATGTATCCACCTCCAGTCGTTCACATTGGCCAATTATGCGAACTCCTGCTCGTACGAGGCCAGTGCGGAGATGTAATGGGATCCAAAACATTAGATCCCCATCTGGGTCGATCATCCATCCGTCTTTGTTGATTGTACAATGGCAATTAGGAACAGAATTCATCTAGAAAACGTTAGCGTATCTCGAGTTTCGAAACGGAGCACTGACTACGCTTTGGTCGGTGATATCCCATAGTCGTACCGTGTGATCCCTCGATCCAGAGGCGACGAAACGACCATTCGGTGAAAAGGAAACCGAAAAAACATTGTCTGTATGCCCCTCTAGTGGCTTTCCGATTTGTTTCCTAGACTCCACATCCCATAACCGCAACGTCTGGTCATATGAGCCTGAAGCGATATGACGTCCATCTGGGGAGAATGCAACCGACACGACGAATCCGGTATGACCCAAAAGTGGCTCCCCGATCTGCCTGCCAGTCTCCACATCCCACAATCTCACCGTCATATCAATCGAGCCAGAGGCAAGAACACAACCGTCTGGTGACAACGCGACAGAGGAGAGCTGGTCTTGGTGTCCCTCGAGCGGTTTCTCAATCCTTCTCCCGTCCTCTACATCCCACAGCCAGATGGACTCCCGACCTAAGACGGAAACAATACGGCGACCATCTGGCGAGAAGGCGACCCAGTAGATATTATTTGTGACACCCGAACCGCGTTTGAGTGAATCTCCAATCTGACTACCCAGTGCGACATTCCAAAGCCGCACTGTCCCGTCATTAGAGGCAGAAACAACAAGGAGACCATCTGGAGAGAATGCGATCGAGGCAATTGACGATGTGTGTCCGCGGAATGGATCTCCAACTTGACTTTTCGTCTGCACATCCCAAAGCCATATGGCATCATCACTCGAGTCAGAAGCCAGATGACGACCATCTGGCGAAAATGCAACCGAGGGGGCAGACCTCCTATGTTCCCTGGGCGGCTGTCCAACCTGTCTCCCGGTCTCCACATCCCAGAGCTGTATTGTACTGTCATCTGAGCTTGAAACTAGAAGACGGCCGTCTGGCGAGAATGCGACTGAGGTGACCCAATTCGTGTGTCCTTCGAGCGGCCCCTCAAGCTTTCCGCCTACATTCACGTCCCATAGGCGCACGCTGTTGTCCCATGAGCCAGAAACGACAAATTGACCATCTGGCGAGAAGGCAACTGATGAAACCCAACCCGTGTGGCCTTTCAGCGGCCGTCCAATCCGCCTGCCTGTCTCCACATTCCACAGTTGCACCGTTCGATCGCTCGACGCAGAAGCGACATGAAGACCATCTGGCGAGAATGCGACAGATGAGATTAAACTTTCATGACCTTCAAGCGGCTGTCCTATCTGAACAGCGGCCTCTACATCCCAAAGCCGTACGGTATAGTCACTCAAGGCGGAGACCAATTGGGAACCATCTGGAGAAAACGCAACAGAGGAGATATTCACTCCATCGTCATAGAATGGCTGTCCGATCGGCCGGCGTGTCTTCACGTCCCATAATATTATCGTAGGACCGCATGAGACGAGAAAATGACCATCTGGCGAAAATGAAATCGAGGAGATGTACTCGTTATGTCCCCAAAGCGGATGTCCTATCTGGCTGCCCGTTTCCACATTCCACAGCCGCACGGTGCAATCGTGGGAGCCAGAGGCTACCATACGGCCATCTGGGGAGAATGCGACTGAGCGGACCCAATGTGTGTGTCCCTCGAGCGGGTGTCCAATCTCTTTACCCGTCTCCGCGTCCCACAATCGTACTGTATTATCGAAAGAGCCAGAGGCGAAAAGGTGACCATCTGGGGAGACTGCAACCGAGGAGACCCCTTCTGTATGCCCCTCGAGCGGTTCCCCAATCTGCTTTCCCGTCTCCGCATCCCATAATAACAGCGTCATGTCTTCGGAGCCGGAAACGATTCGAGAATTATCCGGCAAAAATACGACGGCTGTCACACGACCAGTGTGTCCACGAAGAGTGGCGACCAGCGGCGACCATCTTTGATAGCCACCTGCAGTGACCATTAGCGTATTTGGATACTGTTTTTCATATTGTTTTCTAACTGCTGAAGATGGCGGCGATAGGGGTAATGCGGAGGCATAGATATGCGGCACGCTCCGACTTATGGCGTCGTTGAAATGAGCAATAAATTGGCGCATATCCATTGCAAGTGGTATTAGATCGCTTCCGCCATTTGCCTAAGATTTCTCAGTGAGTGAGTTACTTGATAGATCTCAACGTTACCTTCAGCCAGGCAATTAGAATGAAGAGGATATACGGTACTTCGTCGACAAAGCGATAGAGGCTTGCAACTTCAAGCCAGGAAAGAAATTTGACGCTGAGGACATGTCGGACCAGTGTCATAATTCCCTCGGCTGTAGTCCCATCATCCAAATGATGTGCCCAATATCGTGACGCATACTCCAAATGGAGTGGAATGTGTTGGATGTGAGAGCCCGAGTTCCATATCTCGTCATTGAATATATTAGACGACGAAATGTGGCAGATATTAAACTTGAGCTCGTCACTCATGGTTTGCAGACATTGTTTCGCCACGAGTTGGTGGCTAGCGAATATATCGAGGTGGATCTGGGATTGTTCCGTCTTTGGCTCCAAGAGATAGTCAACAAATGACTGATGGCGGAAGCGAAGACTCCGTCCATCTCCAGCACCGGTCTCAGGGCAGTGCAAATGTACTCGACTGTAAATGGTTTCATGGAGAGGAGCTTTGACACGGTGAGGAGATCCAGAGGCTTCATGGCAACGAGGACCGTGCCAAGTATCTTGCACACGTCCTGTAGAGTATCTTCCTTTACATTCGGCAACGCGACGTGTAAGACCTTGTCGTAGAGTGCACTCAAACCCGTTATGCTCTTCGTATGTAGTATCTCCTCCAATAGCCTTTCTGGGTCCCCACCGCGGATATACTCCACGACCGTCGATGCCCAGATGAAGAGACCGTTGGCTTTGAGTGCCAATGATTCGACGATGACTGGTCCAGGCCAATCGGAGGGTAGCATAGTGTACTTGTTTGCAATGACCCGCAATTCTTCCTTCAGGAGAGCTTGAATATCCCGCTTCGACTGTTCAGACTTTTCTCGCCCAACGAGAAGATCTATCGTGTACGGCAAACTCGGTGCAAAGACTTTTGCAATGTCGTCCTCTTCACGGCTGGTAACTATCAGTTTATAAGTGGGGGAAAGCCTGGACCAGGCGGTGATGGTATGCAGTAGATCCTGATGCTCCTTTGATCGTGAGCGATCTATTCCACCACATTCGTCCAAGGCATCGATGATGACCACGGGCGACTGCTCCATAGAACCAATACTGATCATAGACAATGGCTCTTCGATCAACTCGTAAAAGAGTTCATCAATGTTCGGCGTCGTCAAGTCAATCTGACCCTCTCTCAACTTGACAGCAAGGTGCTTTCGGATAGTAGGATGTCGTGCGAGATCGTACGCAACGCTCTGCCATAGCGCTCTGGGTGTAGTCACAGTACTCGTTTGACGACGAAAGAAGAAACAAGATCCGAGACGCTGTTTCTTGATCCCGAGGATGCGTACTAGGCTGGATGCAATGGTCGACTTGCCTGCTCCTGGCACTGCTTTGATCCATAGGATATTAGATACGCCGGGGTCCCGACACCAAGCTACGCATTCGTCCAATACCTCCATACGTGTTCCTCTTTGACATTCTCGAGGACGTGTATACTCCTGGCAGGGAAGTTTGTTTAATATATCCGCGTCTGCTGATGCGTTGACGGAGATGGTGACATATACTATGAGAGCGCGCTGTATTCATACTTAGATGACCTTTGAATATACCTGTCGTACGCACTATGATTTGCCCTTCTGCATCCTTGAGACGCTTTTCATAGCCTGCAATGGTATTGGCCTCTAGCTTTGACGCGCCTATGCGTTGAGCGAGTATCTTCCAAGAGACATTTGTCTCGAGTGTAGATTCATCAAGACCCGAGTCTGTGCATATTTTGGCGACTAATTCTGTGAGCGTACTGTTGGCAATTAGTCCTAGGTCGAATAGCAAAGACAACCATACGCGCGATAGGTGTTGATTGGACCTTTGATATGATTCTCATAATCATCGAGTACATCATTGATCCCCAACTGATCGAGCTGCTGTTGAAATGCCGCAACGTTTTCTCGAACCGTGCGCAAAAGCCCAGACCAGGCAGAAGAGTTATCTTTGACAGCCTAGACTTGTCAAAAAAAAACAGCGAGACGAATGGGTGATAGAGGCTCACTTGAATGGATTCTAGCAGGGTAACGACAGCCTCGGAGGCTCCCTTTAATGGCGCAAACCCGGCGGCATCTGAGATGCTCTTGGTGACAGTGAGCATGAGAGTCACCGTGCGAGCCATCTGTCCATCCCAGATCCTCGTGTGGACGTAGTAGAGGCTTGTTGAGTGGTCGTAGATATACCCGCTCTATCTTTATTGGTGGATACATTTTGATGTGTAGTTTGTGATGTGATAACATTTATGCTAGTCTGAGAGAGACTAGGTGTAGGAGAGGACGCGGCCGGCGTCGAGGATGACTTGTGAGCGCCCTTTGATGTTTTAACTTTTTTGACCAGTTTCTGGAGTGAATTCATCCCAGATCTACCAAATGGGTTTGGATGTGGTCGAGAGCCAAAGCTGGTGCGGCGGTTTCCTGGCGCTGCTGCCCATAGAGAGGAATGAATAAGAGAGGTTGGTGGACTGTATTAGATGTGATAGAGCAGAGGCTGGGAGCTGAGGTGGGACCGTAGTTGGTCTGAAAAATGCCGGGTTCTGAGGCTGGGAGACTATTTACGTCCATTTTTTTGGGCCAAAACACAGAACCTGCCGCCTTAGACCACTCGGCCATTTCTCGAGTAGCTCGTTTGGTGGCCATCTTCGAGTACATTACGTGGTATCTAATAGTTTTATACATTCTGACCATCATTGATCAGCCAATGGGATTACAAATCCGCCCGGGATGAAAGTGTTGATGCCCGACTAGGCGAGCCATCCTCTCCGTTATTGGCGGACCATATTCACAGAGTCCAGGTACAGTATATAGAGCACCGAGGGACGTGTCCCTGCTTCGTCCCGGCTCTCGCCGCAAACCGACGTCGAGGCAAATGGCACGCGTCTAGTCTGACGGAGAATCTTTCTACAGATGGGAATAGAATGCCTGTCTCTGCGAAGCGTCCAGGTGGTTCCTAATCAGGGGATTACACCCGATCCTAGATGAGCCGCAACGTCGACGACTCCAGTCACGAGATGGTAGTACACTACACTTGCCGGTCGCCAATCGTCGCCTCGCTCCCCTTGGTTCCTCGCAATTAGGGCCCGGCAGTAATTATAGTACGCGACGGGACGGATAGGAACGCTTATATTTATCCCGCACTCTTCCCCCGACCTTGGCAAACCTTTTCTTCCTCCCCCTCCACATCCCACCCATCACCCTGCACGTTTCTTCCTCGCAGGTCGTCATATGGACGCCTCGACGATCCAGTCACTCAAGACGACGCGCTATGTCACCCTAGCAGCGTTTATCCTCTACATCTACGACTGGATACTCGTCATCCCCCAAGAAGTTCATCTCTTTCGCTTGACTAGAAGCTCAGTCGGCAAACACCTTTACTATGCTGTACGTCTATTTTCTGCTTATGATGATCTTTATGCTCACCAGCGTAGATTCGCATAGCTTCCCTTTGCGGCATGTCGCTCATGATGTACCGTACGCTTTCTCTCCTTTCCCTCTCAACCTCCGCTAATTTCAGTGTAGATACCTCGACTTTTCGGCCAGACCTCTCCCAGATGGTAAGTCTCCTCCTCCTAGTGGTGAACTATGGCTCATCCATCTCAGAGCTGTATGGTATTCACATGGATTTGGCCGAGCCTTTTACTCGTGACCATGTATGCCTGCTACTCGCTGCTTACACTCCGGCTCGTCGCTCTCTTCCGTTCCCGCAAGCCCATCAACTATACTCTCTACGGGATTCTCTTCTCGACTCTACTCGCCACCTTTGTCTTCCAGATTCACGTGCAAGCAAAGTATAGCTGTACGCATCCTCTTATTGGTATTATATCCCTTACTCATTGTGATTCCTCGCAGCCGTTGTAAACAACTCGGAGATCGGCCTTTGTCTTCCACCTCCACCCCCCACGCAAGATTCAGATCTCGACTGGAACTTTGCCTATTCGTTTTTCCCACCCCTCCTCGTCGAGATTGCCCTCACACTTCTCACTGCCTATCGTGCCTTTTACGACTTGAGATTCTATCTACACACTCGTCGCATCGCTCTTGCAGCCAAGGCTCAGAACAAAGAAGGGATCGATAGGGATATAGAGGGGACGAGGAAGAAACGGCCAGGTCAATTCGTCGCTTTACCCACCGTTCTCTATCGAGGTGAGCACCTTGACGGGTGGAGACGAAAATGTTGACAACCGATAGATGGTGCTGCATTTTCTCTGGTTGTCATTACCTTGAGAGTATGGAACCTGATCATCGTATGTCTCTCCATCCCGCCAAGGTCCTTCTTTTGAACCCGGACTATAGTTGATGACACAACCGCGCACGAGCATGTACATGGCCATTGTGTATGTCCTATCCGTCTTCTTCGTCTACACAAGACTGACAACCTCTTTACAGCGCACTATGGACAGCCCTCGCAACATTGACAACGCGAATGTATCTCAACCTCTGCGACGTAATCCAACGCGAACCACCACCATCCGTACATCCAGAGACTCGTCAATTAGCCCTCCTAGGCGCCGCCACACGCCATCAATCCTTGATGCCCAGTCGTACATCCACGACAATAACCGGAAACTTTCCACCATCTGCATTCGGATATACCACTCGTTTGAGCGAACGTGATTCAAGATCATCACTCGCCTATGCAGATTATCGACCCTCAACCGCTCCAGCAAGATATGGTCCGATGCCTAGACCAAGTACAGGCAGCTCAAGTTCCGCCGCCATGATCAACTCTCTCTCAACAGACGGACCATCAAAGAAGAAAAGAACACCCGCACCATATGTCCCAGCTTACCCACCACCGATCAAAAGGGAAAAAAAGACCAAGGAGGGTAAAGCCGCTCGATGGTTCGGGCTCACTTCTGATCCTAATTTGGCAAACTCGACGCCATTGTCAATCACGACAACAATCACTACTACCACCACCACCACCACGAGTACCACAAGTCCAATCCAAAGACGCATTTCTCCATTGGACACGTTGAGCGAAAGCGGGAATGGTGTCGAAAGAGAGTTGTTGGATGTGCAAGAAATTTCTACTCGACCATACGAGTTTTACCCACGGCGTAATCATCATGACGAGTGCGATTCAAACGTCTCGACGCCCATGTCGACGACCGTACGCTTCTCCGCCTTTGAGGACATCGAGCCAGTCGAGACGTCGGACAATGGCCTTGCCTTCAACATTCCTGCTACTCTACACGAGTCAGAACCTTTTCCCTCGGACAGTAATACTGCCAACAGGACAGAACAGGTATAATACAGCTTTGTTGTAAACTAGGCCTTTCGAGGCTCATAGGTTATAATACACTTGGTTAAACTTTACGCGGGAAACGCTTGAGAGCAACCTCCCCTGCGACGGCTTTGATCCAATCCAATCTTTTCGAGACCATGTCAACGGGTGCTTTGTAGCAGGCTGGTGGGATCCATGGTGTCGCGCATTGAGCGTCCAATTGGTGATAGAAGAGGATTTCTCCAAGCGTCTGCTCATCTCCACTCGCGATTAACGCTCGCAGGACGTTTTCGTTCCTCTTGTTCCCATTCTTCGTCTCTACCATGTCAGGCCATAAACACGCCGCAATCTGGTGAACAGCGACAAATCGTAAGAATCCAGAGAGATTGCCCTTGAGGATGGCTTTGAGGAAACCACCGAGCATCTCGCCATCTTGAATACCCTCGACAGGCCACAGCCAATCTTTGAGTTCCGTCGAGGCGCACAGCGCGTTATTCACCTCGACTCGAATGCTACGAAGTGTATGGCCATAATCAATCCAGAGGAGTTTGCGATAGTCGCGTGCGTAGCGACCCGAGGTCGGTGGGAGGAGAAGGGTACCAAAGAGTTCATGTCCAAACGAGTTGCTATCGTATAGGCCAAGAAAGTCAGAGTAGAATTGGAAAAAGGGCTGGTCGGGCCCCAAGAATGCAGCCGCGACTGTTTCTAGTGACGAATCGGCACTGCCGACAAGGGCACTCTGCTGAGAATTTGAAAGGCGTAGGGGCCGTAAGAGATCTGACAGCATCCGCACGATCAACGAATCGCGGTATACTTCTCCACCACTGTCGCTCGACTGGCCATGCTCGAGCATGAACACCTTCATGCAGATAAAAATGATCCTCGATCGAGAAAGTGGTACCCTCCGATGCACGAGCAACATGAGGAGTCGTTGAACCACCTCGGTCTCAGACGCCGTCCAGTCTTGCGGTAGTGTCCTAAATAATCTCGAATGAGTCGAGCCGGAGCGTAAGAGGACATCAAGAGGAGCATCCATCCAGTCTCCAGGCTCGCTCTGTGGCAACTCGATACCCGTCCTTCCACCAGATGGTGTTTTGGCTGCCCCGGCAGATGATAAGAGGGTCGTCGTCATCTTTAGTGCAGTAGGATGAGGAACGAGTGGTGCGATGAAGAATTCTTCCTTTGGCCACAGAGCGTATTGATAAAGTGGGAGGAGAACCTTTTCTGGACCACCTGCTGCAGCCCAAAACTCGTCCGTGCCCTCCATCCTATCCGGAACAAATGTACGTTTGAGGATGCCCGAGATCAACTCTGATCCTAGCATCTCATCTCCCGGCTGTAAATGTTGCAGAGTTGAGTATCGAGCATCCACAAGTTTGGTCGAGTCATTGTTCTGAGAGTGCTGCTCCTGATAGCGGATGATGGACGTGCACAGATTATTTAGGAGCCGCGAATCGTAGGGAGCCGCCGTCGTAGATGTCCACAGGGGTGATGTAGTGATTGCTTGCATCGCTTGCATCAAGGACCCTGTCGGCCAAGGGAAAGCCTCGTCCTGGCATTCCATCCAGAGAAGTATTGCGCCATGAAGCACGAGTGCTGATTCGATGTAGCTCTTCGAGGCCGTGTCCGCTGATTGCAGCTCGGTGATCGCTGCATCAACTAGGGACCATTCGGCACCATTTCTCGCCCAGGGTGTAGATGGTTGGCTTCTCCATCTACGAACATCTCCTTCTCCGCGATCCGCTTCGTTGACTTTTGCGGTTCTGATCCACATTGTCCAGCATCTCCACCATGCAGCCCAGATGGTTCGAGATGCACTGTGGGTCTGAACCATCCGCGTTCGCAGCGCGAGGAGTCCATCCCCCCAGCCCCATGCAGTAAGCTGGGACCAAAGCAAGTCGTGCTCCGGCGTCGTATTGTGTGGATTGAATGCACATGCAATCCACACCTCGTGCAGATGTAACCACGAGGTCACCAAATGCGTCCCAACTTCGCTCTCCAGCGCTATGTTCCCGGTCACAATGCCGTGTAGACGCTGAAAGACTTCATGCCCATTGGATGCTATGGCCGACCCAAGACCGTAGCGCCCCAAATCGGCGTAGAAATTGAGAGCCTGTGTGCATACTCCGATGTAGGGCCCGTCTCTGCTTTCGTCTGGCGCTTCTGGGACGGAAAGAAGCGTCTTGAGAAAAGCATCAGAGACGTCTGGAATGAGGGCTTGTGCGGATCGTCGCGAAGTTTGTGCGATTCTCCTCATTAGTCGGAGAAGAGTCATCTCTATCGACATAGCGGCGTCCCCATGAACCGTCTCTTCCAAACGAAGAGAGTCGCAACTTCGAACAGCCCCGTTCAGAATACCTTCCATGCCAATGATATCGTCCACCAACTTTGTATTGATGTTGATGAGTGCCAGGAGAACCTCCAGGATCCTTCCGAGTGAGGTCAACGAGACGGTAGTTCGGGTAAGGTTGTATAGCGCGCCTTCGAAGAAGTAGCTGAGTGGTAGTGTGTCCAGTTGAGTCGTACCGACGATCATTCCGCCTACTTCTCCTCCAGGAGCATACGCGAGCGCGTGCCACAACACATCCAAACCCGCGATGCGTACGTGCGTCGAAGCGTGATCACCAAATGCCTCGATCGCGACGATGAGGCATTTTTGGGTAATATCGGCGACTTTCTCGATTTCCTCTTTCGATGCTTGTCCGTCACGGAATCGACGAACAATCTTTCCAAGTACAAGCAGCATTGTCGCTCGCTGTGCTGGTAATGTCGAGCGAGAGAGCATCAAAATCTCGTCGAGCGTGTATCCCGCATGCTCGGGAGAGTCTCCGTGGTGATGGAGTCCGAGATGAGATGGAAGAGTGTGAGTGAGATGCTTTGGTATAACTCGGCCTTGGAGATCATATCGAACTTCTGCAGATCCCTTCTCCGACTGTGAAGCCTCTTCTTTCGAAGGCAACATCCACGCCAGGCTTGGGTTTTCTGATGGCGGTGGTTCAGTTGGAAAGTATTTCTCCCGAATGATCTCGGGATCCCCCTCATCAGGTCTGGGAGGTTGCTCTTCTGCTGCCTCTGGCTTCATCTTGCCCTTCCATGTACCAAGCGAGACAATGCCTTCAGACGACTCGCCTGGACCAGGTGGAGGAGGGAGCGCCAGTGCACGCTTCTTTGGCGAAGAGGGCTCCGATTCGTATACGTAGACTTGAGCAGGCTCGTTTGCAAACCGAAGCCGTCGTGCGGCTTTGGTAGAGGGCGTCGATTCAGCGGTACTACTCCGCGAGTGCGCCATGGCACTTTTGGGACCTATAAAAAGTTATTCAAGTATTCGAGTATCTGTATCGTATCGCTTACGTTCATGCTCCGCATTGCTTTCCAATCCTCTTCGCTCTCTCATCTTGGCCACTAGATCAACAATACCCGGCCCAAACTGCGAAATAATCTCCTCTCGTTCCTTTATCCTCTGTTCTTCACTCATCCCCTCAATCTTGTTCTCATTCTCCCGCGATATCTCCTCTCGCAACGCTGCATCGTCCATCTTCGAGCTCTCCGATTTCGTGTGCGACATATCAATATTCTGAAGAGGTTTCATTCGAGTTGAAGAGACGATTGGAGGCGCGTTGGATCGTGCGTGGCCTTGTGCTGCTCGCGCTCGCGCAAAGGCGCTTTCAGAGCGATGAGTGGCTTTGGGAAAGCCAGAAGGGACGTCGGCAAATCGATTATTATATGATGTAGGGTTCGCATTAGATTCGGATAAGGTAGTTGGTTTACGCTCAATAATTTCGCCCAAAACTGCGGGCATGGTTGAGACCAAGGTTGGATCATCACTTGCTACAACTGTCCAAAGCCTGAACCTGGCTAATAGAGATGCGGATGAAAAAATGATACATGGATTAGGGTACAGCAAGGTAATCGTACACAGCTGGCCAAATGCAAGATAGAAGCTTAGTGGAAGTCGTCCTCCTTGTCATCCTCAAATATATCAATACCCCAGTGAGAGCTCGGGTCGTTGATCCGGTGCGGTCGATGAGCAGTCGCGGCGGCCTCCAGCTCGTTGAAGAGATCCGCTGGAAGCCTAAAGACTACGTAATCGATGAATAACGGACCATATAAGGACATAATTCACTTACTTTGATAGTTTTCGGATATGCGGCCACCGTCCACACTCTTGGGCAACACGACGGTGCCTCGTTGAACATGCCAGGACATGATCACTTGAGCCGGCGTAATCTTGAGCTTCTTCGCAATCTTGCGCACCTATGGGAAACATGGGTCGTCAGCAAAGGGCGTTGGCGTTGCGCATCACCAAACGGGCATACCGGGGGAAGCCGCAGGGTTTTGCCGACCAAGACGTCGCTGCCCAAGGGTGAATAGGCTTCGAGGAGGATTCCATTATCTTTTGACCAGGAGACTAGCTCCGGTTGAGGGTTCCAGTAACTGAGCTCGACTTGGTTGACGGCGGGTCGGATGGTGATATCAGAAGCGGTCAGGTTTTGGAGTCGGCGAATGTTGAAACTAGTACGACATGAGAACAAAGGCAAGAAGGAGAATGATGTGAAACGTACTTGCTGACGCCAATGTTCCTAACCTTTCCCTTCCGAACCATCTCCTCCATCTTTTTCCAGGTCCTGATCGGGTTCTCGGTCAATTCCCAATCCACTTTGAAGTCGGCTGTCTGTGCAATGGGCCAATGCATGAGATAGAGATCCAGATAGTTTGTCTGAAGATGGGCCAGCGTCTCGTCCAAGGTCGCCTCGACATCATCTGGATTGTGGAACGTATTCCAAAGTTTCGAAGTGATGAACAATGACTCTCGTGGGACGTGGTGCTCGACTTCCTTGAGCGCCTGGCCGATTGCAGCCTCGTTCCCGTAGACCCAAGCTCCATCAATATGACGATACCCTGCTTCCAACGCGGCCTGAACGGTTTATTTGTAGATTAGCACCGTAGCTATCCAGAGTGAAGCACACGCACCTTTACAGCGGCGCCGACATCTTCGCTAGAGGCTTTCCAAGTGCCCAGAGCGACCGTTGGGATATCATCCCCACTTGGAAGCTTGTACGTCAGCGGGAGACTCTCGAGACCCAAGTCAAGAGAGATAGCCCGCCTGCCATTCTTGCTCTGTCCTCGCGATGCCCTTGCCCAACATCCACCGCGCAAACCAGTCCGTTTCCCTCCAACCAGTTGCTCTATCAAACAATAGAAACACCATTATGGCGATGGACAGTCGTAGAAGCTGGCGGATGATGTATTTAGTCGTGCGCGAGCTGGTACGATATGGCGACCTGCGCCGTGCTGTAGAACCCGGGAGAGCATAAAAGTCTCCGTCGTCCTTTCGTCGTGGTGCTGGTTGGAATTGAGAACGATATGCCAACCTTTCCTTCATTTTCTAGGGAGCACGCAAGACGAGGTGGAAGACAGGCCGGGGAGGGGTCAAATGTGGTATAGCCGGCTTTGATGATCGCCCACCAGCAAATGGCAAATGGCAATGGGAATGCCAACCTCAGCGGAGAGATATGTAAATACTAAAGATAATATCAAACAGTTCTTATTCCCCACCGCAATGGCACACCCTGGGGACATTGAGCTACGCGGCGTATATCCACTCGCAGACAGCATAGTCGCTCTTGGAACACTCTTTGTCTATCTGGCATCAGAATCTATCTCGAAAAGGGCCAGAAAAGCAAGCGAAACACTCCCAACAGGCCCAAAGCAACACCTTGCCCTCGGAAACGTCTTCAATTTCCCCAAGGACAGGTGGCACGAAGCCCTTACGAGCTGGGGCAAGGAATACGGGGACATCGCCTATGTCAGCCTCGCTGGCATCGACATGGTCCTCAATTCTCTCGAGGCAGTTCAAGAACTCACAGTCAACCGAGCGAGCATTTACTCTGAAAGACCCTATTCGATCATGTCAAATGGGCTGCATGTAACAATTCTATATATGGCATGCCAACTCACCTCTCCAGGATGGCACAAGGATGGTGCTTCGAGGCACTGGGCCAAATTTTACCGAACAACAAAAAATCTTTCACAGATTTCTCAGAAAATAGGTCGTGGCGGACTACGACGGACTGATTGGATCTCATGCAGTAAGAGTGTTTCATCTGGCAATTCGCAAGATTTTTTGGAGATCCCTATGAGCCGCTCATGAAGTCTGTTTTCCATCCCCTCACTATCTCTACTCATCTTTCATAGAACCGCGGATGGGATCCTGACCACGATTGCATATGGAGAAACGATAAACAAGGAACACGGCGAAACACAAGTCGAGCTCGACAAGCAGAGCACCAAGTTGAGTTCCTGGGTGTTTACCAGGGCCTTGATGGTAGATGTAATCCCCGCACGTACGTATAATTGTATTCAGGATGGCTCACCTTGATAGTGCGCTACATACTCTCCTGGGTGCCCGCAACGCAGTTCAAGCATATAGCCGCAAGAGGTGCGTGTCTGGCCAACGAGATTTGGTACTGGGCATGCGGCCTGGTTAAAGCGGCAGTGGTATGTTTCGTCTGGTGCTACTCGCAGTACTAATATAGCATGAGGCTGATGGCACAGCTGACGATTCAATCGTCTCTAATCAAATAAACAAGCCGGATATCTCAAATGCCAACCTTCGAGATGCTGTCGCGACCATGTATGGCGCCGGAGTTGACACAGTATGTCTCTAGTATCGTGAGATTCTGTAACTCATATCACATTCTAGACCGCCATATCTATCACAAACTCTCTGTATGCTATGGTGCTGCATCAAGAAAAGATACGAAGGGAGATGGAGGTAGCTCTTGGTCAAGGTCGCCTGCCCACCATGGAGGACGTAACAAAGCTTGAGACCTTCAATAAAGCCTGGAAGGACTCCTTTCGCTGGAATCTACCCATGCCACTAGGTAAGGCAACCTAAACCTGTCAGCGTTTCCAACAATCTTTAGGCGTCCCTAATGTGAGCAACAAAAGCATACATGAAAAGGGCATTATATACCAAAAGGCACAATTATTCAATGCAATGTTGGTCCGTCTCTTTTTCCAGTTAGGTCGATCAGTCTGACTTTCACCAGGGTTCGCATGACTGAATATCGGGAACACTGCTAAACGATCTTGGTAGATTTCTTATTCGAGATACCCACCTATAGGGAAACCACGGCCACCAATTCAACCCGAACTGCTTCCTTACTGAGAAGTCACCCTCCTTTCCAGACATTTGGAGCATTCCGTTTGGCTTCGGAAGATGGTATAATCATCACTCTCTCGGATAATAATAGACCTCATTCTGCCTCATTTAGAATCTGACCAGGTAGGTTCCTGGCGGAACGAGTAGCACTCCAACTCTCTGCTGCAATCCTTTCTGCATACAAAGTCTTGCCACCAAGTGGAGAGAAACTTCCAGTGGGCATGATATTTCAGGATTCAGTGATTCGGTGAGACGGCGCTCTTACGCGATCTGTTGGTGACACTGATCGGCCTATAAGCATCCTTCTGACTTTCGGTGCCGATTTGAGCCATTGCATACTAGTCAGGAAGCTTTTTGAACGTATTTCATTGATGTGTTAGCGGAACTCTGATACTGTCACATTCTGCAACCGCACTCAACAGTCATGCTGACCGCAGCAGTTAGTAACCTTGGAAATGACAACATTTACCATACCTCTGACGATGATTAGAGCGATATCTGAGAGTTTGGATTGGCAGGTGGACATTGGTGTCTTACCATGGACCGTCCATCCTTACTACCAACGGGGGTGCATATTTTCTCAGATGGGTCATAAGTTGCTTGCGACCAACTAAAATCCGAAGCGATAAGGCAGCCTTGTTTCATGTGAGTGTGAACCTGGTGCCGGTGGACCAAGCCGGTGTCCTTGGCGAGAATCTTGATTGGAGAAACATGATACTAGATAAATTGACGGCGATAAGCACTTGGCAACCTCTTTTTGGGGCGCATAAGTACGCAGAGTCTCTGCGCGCGATTCAAGTTCCCCTGCGACTTCAATCTGATGGCAAATCAAGGACACGAGCTACGCGCCGTGTATTCACTCGCGGGTGGTATAGTTGCTCTCGGGACACTCTTCGTCTATCTGGCATCAAACGGGACATCTGCAAAAGCCAGGAAAGCAAATGCAAAGCTCCCATCAGGCCCAAAACAACACTTTGCCCTCGGAAACGTCTTCAATTTCCCCAAGGACAGATGGTACGAAGCCTTTACGAGCTGGGGCAAGGAATATGGGGACATCGTCTATGTCAACCTCGCTGGCGTCCACATGATGGTCCTCAATTCTCTCGAAGCAGTTCAAGAACTCACAGTCAACCGAGCGAGCATTTACTCTGAAAGACCTTATACAGTCATGTCAAACGACTTGTGGGTAGCTTTTCTCACTGCTATACACCATTACATACAAGTTTAGAATGGGACAAGGATTTACGATGATTCTCTCATCTACTGGACCCAACTTTACTGAGCAGCGGAAAGTGTTTCACAAATTCCTTGGAAAGCAAGCCATTTCGAACTATGATGGACTGATCCAACGCCATACAAAGGATTTCATCGAACAGATCAATGAGTTTGTCGGGGATCCTTATGACCCGCTCATGAAGTTGGTCTCATTTCCCACTAATGTAAATACTCATTTTTATCAGGTCCGCGGGTGACATCCTGACCACGATTGGATATGGCGAAAAGATAAATAGTGAATACGGCGAAATACTCATCAAGGTCAATGCTGCAAGCACAAACCTGATCGCATGGGTGTTTACCAAGGTTTGGATGGTTGACATGATTCCTGCGTGTACGTTGATGTCCCAAAAGGATTCAGCTAGTGACCTTCTTTTACAGTGCGTCATGTACCCTCTTGGATGCCCGGAGCAGGTTTCAAGCGCACAGCAGCGAGGGGGTCGTTCCTAGTCAACACAATTCGCCACTGGGCATATAGCATGGTCGAAGCTGCGGTGGTACGTCCCGTTGGGTGCTGCCTGCAGTGCTGATAGGTCCAAGGCCGATGGTACAGCGGACGACTCAATCATATCTAAGCAAATAAACCAACCGGGTATTTCAAATACCAACCTTCGAGATGCCGTCGCAGTTATGTACGGTGCTGGAGTTGACACAGTAGGTTGCCATTGAGGCGCGGCCTTGTGGCTGATTTGACTCCTGAAAGACTGTCAGTGCCATCATAAACTTTCTGTATGCAATGGCGCGTCATCCCGAGTGGCAAGAAAGGACACGAAAGGAGATGGAAGTCATTCTAGGTCATGATCACATGCCAACCATGGAGGATATATCTAGACTTGAGATCTTCAATGCCGTCTGGAAAGAATCTTTTCGCTGGAATCCGCCTGTACCACTGGGTAAGTGGCCACTCTCTCCGTCAGCCATACTTATCCAACAATATCTAGGAATTCCTCATGTCAGCAGCAAAGAGGATACATGGAAAGGGTACTACATTCCGAAAGGCACGATCCTTCATTGCAATATTGGTCAGTCTCTTTTCTTTGTTGTACGTCCGCCTGACTCTCCGCCAGGGTTCGCACAATTGAACACAATATACTCTGCTAACAAACCTTGGTAGGTGGATTCTCCGGGATCCTCGCATTTGGGGAAACGATGGGCACCAGTTCAACCCGAACCGTTTTCTCGCGGGGAAGAATCCCACGATAGGCCAGCTTCCAGACGTTTCTAGCATTCCATTCGGATTTGGAAGGCGGTATGTCACCTTGCATTTACAAAGTTAATCCTTTATTGATGGTATCTAGAATCTGCCCTGGAAGGTATCTGGCAGAGAGACTTGCGCTCCAATTCTCAGCAGCAATTCTTTCTACGTACAATGTCCTACCGCCCAAGGGCGAGCCGACTCAATTTGACACTGTCTTCCAAGACTCGGTTGTTCGGTGAGGTGACTATAAGATTTCTTCCTGTCGCTCAGACCGACCTCTAGGCGACCCGCAAACTTTCAGTGCCGTTTCGAGCCTTTGCGTACAAGCAATTAAATTCAATAAAGGTGTTTGATTGATGCTCTCATACATGAAGGGTTCGGTATCCCAAGGTGGTTCACTAGTCTTCCTTCCCGCCGCGTTGCAAGTTTATCCACTTCGAGACAATACTCCATATGAGTGATCACGACGTTGAATTAAACAATCTCCTCCAAGTCGCACAGGAAGTGGACACGGCCTTTGATGACATTCCGATCATGTAAAGGATAGATAAAATACGATTAGTACGAACTGATTTGATCGTGCTCAAAGTGACATGACAAATGCAACGAGTCAAGACCTAGGGCTCCGTCTCGCTCTTGCACAAGAGATTAAGGATGCTTGCATGCGCGTGGGCTTCTTCTATGGTGAGCCTACTTTCTTCATGTATTCTTGGTTATGAATTTGTCACTTTTAATCCGTTGTTTTTTACCTGCAGTCAAGAACCACGGTATTCCAGCAGCCTTGCCCGAGAAAGCGATTCAAGATGCTCTGCCATTCTTCGCTCTGCCAGAGGAAGAAAAGATGAAATATAACCTACACGCAACACCCAATTTCAAAGGCTATAATGCTCTCCTCAGCGAGAACACAGATCCCGCCGGTCGTGGCGACCTGAATGAGGGCTATAACCTTGGTTGGGAGGTACTAGAGGAGCACGACGGCTTATCGCATGATACAGAAGGGCCAATGGGCGGAAAGAACGTATGGCCAGAAGGTGGCGAGGACATGAAAGCCTTTCGCAGGTCGGCCCTCATATACTAGTAAGTCTATTATATACAAAATATCAAGCTTATGAAGGCAGTCATGCAGCCGTGCGTTTTGGGTTGCAGTTGTTTCCTCTCCTCGCCCTGGCTCTAAATCTCCCTGAGAATTTTTTCGACGACAAGGGAGGGTTTTTGCCGTCACATACCAAATTTCTTTACTAACGTAATCCAGGTAACGAGACCCGCTGCAATCATGCGCATCTTGCATTACCCACCACAATCTGGTCCAGTGGATGATCGAATTATCGGAATTGGGGCACATACAGAGTATGTTCACTACGTTCCGTACTGTTGAGGTGTCTAACATTTATTAGTTACGAAGTAAGCCGCACTGCATTTTGTATCTGGTGAAACCTCATTGCGGGCTAGGTCTTCACCATCCTATGGCAGCAGGACGATATTCCGGCGCTTCAGGTGCTCAATAGTGCTGGCAAATGGATTCATGCACTGCCTATTCCAGGAACTCTGGTGGTCAAGTAAATCGAAATTGGTCGCTTTCCTCTCTCATCCTTCCGCAGCCTAGGAGATCAGTTGGCCAGATGGACCAGTAGGTGTAATTCATCGTTATATTACGCTAACTAGTTCCTTTAGATGATGTCTTCAAATCGACTGTGCACCGCGCGATCAATCGTTCCGGAGTGCGACGTTATTCCATTCCGCTCTTCTTTGGAACAGATTACGACGTCGTCATTGAGGTGTGTTCTCATACTTCGTATGCAGGCTCCTTCTGAGCCGAACACATAGGCGCTTCCGTCGTGCATTTCGCCTACTCACCCTGCAAAATATGAGCCGGTCACTGCGGGAGACTACGTCAAGTCGCGGTTGGATGCAACTTATATGGCCTCAAAGCCTTCTTTATCATGAATAGGGCGTTGAATAGCGTAATAAATTCATGTTTGTGTCTAGATGAATGGTCCTAGCTATAACGAGGAATGAATCGGCAACGGAAATCGGCTGGACGGCTTCGAGCATGTCAGAATTGATCAGGCTACAGGGATGGAAACCCACCGGATGGCGGCATCGACAAATTGCATATCTGCTGTGACTTCCTCTCCCTCTAGTGGCGTTACAGTGTACTTTGAGAGGATAGCGGCCACTATCTGCCGCGAGATTCGCTCAGCCAAGAACCGCCCTGGACAGATGCTACAAGTCGCTCAGCAAGTGAGTCTAAAGATCATTAGTACATACCGCCTCCCGAATCCAAAGGGAATGCTCATGATGTCTGGTAATTTGTCAAGATTCGGATTGAAGTCTGGATGGAACCGGAGGGGTTTGAATTCGTGGCTATCATTACCCCATAAACGAGGGTCACGAGTTATGAACCTTCTTATGTCAGCTCCAGCACAGTACATCCTTGGGAACGCACCCTAGTCGGATGAGAAATTGATACAAAGGTTGAATGCATGCTTACCAATATTGCAATGGAGGATTGTTTGCTTGGGAATATAGTAGCCGTTCCAAACGTCCTCCTGGGTGCTCATATGTGGAACACCTGATGGGACTCAGCCGGGTTTCGTCTTTCGCATCAGAAATCTCACCGAGTGGGACCGATGCGTTCCATCGGAAGGATTCCTTCCAGACAGCATTGAAAATCTTGAGTTTGGATATGTTGTTAATGTTCGGTACTTGATCATGGCCGACGACCTCATCAATCTCCTCCTGGATCTTAATTTGCCATTCTGGGAAGACTACGATGCTAAAGAGAAAGTTGACGATAGATGTTACTGTCGTATCTGCGCCAGCACCCCACATTACAGCAACGGCGTCCCGCAGGTTGTCTTCAGAGACGATGGGGTTAGCGAGGTAACGGGAGACTAAAGAGTCATCCGCAGATCCTTCAGCCTGATGGGGTTGGTATATACTTGATTATATGGCGTTAATGCTTACCACTGCCTTTTTAACCGCGCCGAATGACCAATATCGAATTTGACTCGCCAAGTAGTAGGCTCTTGCCCCGATTTTGGGGAAAGTGAAGCCAGGAATCCACGTCGGGAGGTATCTTACTACCATGGTGTAAATTGATTTATGGAGACACGAGATTGGACACTCACAAGGCGGAAAGATATCGACAGACCAGATCTGCGTGAATGCATAGGCGATGAGGCCAATGTTTTCAGTATTGATAGCCACAAGTCTCTCCCCGTGGTCTTGATATATCTTCTCACCGTACGCAATCGTAGTCAAAATACCTCCAACAACCCTGACAAGATATTTTCAGCGACTCGATTGCGATATGTTTCATGGAACCAACCTCATCAAAAGAGGGAATACATCTCCTTCAAATTTCGAAAGAGCCTCGAGCAGTTCAAGAGACCTTTGGAGGATCAGGCTGTCATATTCTTTGATTGCCTGTGGTCCAATTGAGCCATGAAAGATACGGCGTTGCTCCTTGAAATCCGGCCCTGGCTGAGATAGAACCATCGTAAAGCCTTCCATCATGCTAGGTAGAGGGTCAGATAGAATAGATGGCGTTCTGAACTTACAGGTCGCACACCATAGTACTGTAAGGTCGTCTGCCGGAAGAAAGGTTAATTCAAGTTCATTATGTGAATAGACGTTCACCCAGCGTGTATCATGCGTTTTTCCGCGAGCTCCTGAATGGCTTCCAAGGAGTTGAGAATAATCATGTGCACACCGGCAAGGTCAACATGTACAACGTCCCCTAAATAACAGAGCTTGTCAATGGCTAGTGGGCATGTAACGAAGGCGCGCACCGTATTCTTTGGCCCATTCCGAGAATGTCTCGTACCAGCGACCATTTGGAAAATTGAAAAGGTTCCCCACCAAAACAGCTTTAGGAGGCCCGGGAGGGAGCCTTGCACCGAGCCTTTTTGCTTTAGCAGAGGCGCTGTTGGACGAAAGATAGCAGGCCAAGGTGCTCAAGGCAACCGCTCCTCCTGCGAGGTAGACGCCACCCCAATCAGACATAAACCTGCTTGAAATCATGGTAAACTGGCTAGAAAGTCGATTCGAGACGTTTGGAGACGGGTCCAAGCAGCTAAGTCGCTTCCGGACGCTCCACAACTGGAAAACGCTTCATAATTTATCCATTTGTCGGTCGAAAGATTACACTTGTACTATTTAGGATCAAATTGGGAAACCGAGTCCGACGGCTTGGTTCATAGTCATGCTATCGACACGGCGCGGGAGCCGAGATCCACAATTCCGTATCATGCGGGGCCTGAATCAATTGTACCCAGGGTACCCTAGTCCCGCCGCCGGCGTTCAAATCTGCAGCAAAAGGCAAGAGGTCGACTTTGGCAAAGTCAGATCTACTCCATGAAGGAATAATGTCGCTCACCAAAGAGCCATATCTTCAAAGGGCTTCTCCGCTGTCAGCTGTTCTCCATCTGCACAAACGTCGTAGTGCGAAAGGATTGCACACGCAAACTGTGGACCGATCCGTTCAGCCAGCAGTTTCTCTGGACACACTCTGCGAGATAACTGAGCGTTCATCGTGCAAAATTTCAGCATTCTTACCGGCTACCAAAGCCGACAGGGATGCTGAGGACGTTTGGCAGCTGGTCGACGTTGGGATTGTGTTCGGGCAGAAATCGCGTCGGGTTGAATTCGTGCGCATCCAATCCCCACAGCCGAGAGTCTCGAAGGATATATCTGGCCCAGTGAGTTCGTCAGAATATGAGAACGTTGAAACACGAACCCTGTGAGGAGTCAGAAACGAAGGAACTGCAAAGTTGAAACTACTTGCCTATGTTGCAGTTGATAATGGTTCATTTGGGAATATAATTCCCGTCTCAAACGCTCTCCTGGACACTGACGTGGGCAAACCTGGAAAAGTCGGTGCCGATAGTGACATATTGGGTCCTCTTACCCAAAGGAACAGGAGGGTTCCATCGAAAAGACTCTTTCCATCCGGCATTGAAGAGCTTGAGGCCCGTGATTTCTTCTATCGTCGGTGCGTTCCCATGTCCAACTGCATCGTCCATCTCTCGCTGAATTTTTGTTGCCATCCAGGGTAAAGAGCCATACAGAACAAGAAATTTGTCAAGGAAGTGGCTGTCTGCATGTAGTCAACCAACTATTATATGAAATGCCGGGTGTACGGACCGTATCCACACCTCCTGCGTACATGACAGCCAGAGCATCGCGTAGGTTTTCATTTGAACACCCAGCTTGATTCATATACTTGCTAGCAATCGACTTGTCTGCAGTCCCGCGAGCCTAAGATATGTCAATTAGGAAAGGTTAGGAGAGGCAGTGTTCATACGACCGCATCTTCTACCATTCCATAAGCCCAGTAGCGTATCATGGTTGACAAGTATTTCCCTCGCAGACCAAGTACTTTGAAGGATGCGCCAGGGAACCATGCGGGGATATAGCGGGCTGAATACGGAGCACTTTTCAGGAGACCTGACGTGCAGTTGAGACACCGCTTACCTAGAGGGATGACGTCTACGAGCCAAAGTTGAGTAAAGACCGCCGTTAGTAGGTTCATTGCCTCTGTATCGATCGAGACCAGATCTTTGCCGTGATGCTGATAGACCTTGTCACCGTAAGCAATCGTGGTCAGTAGGGCCCCAATTGTTCTTCGAAAGCATCAGTTTAGTCATTTTTCAAAATGCTACTCACTGCATAAGCGGTTTGTATGGATCCCTATAAATCTTTCCAACAAGTCCAGGAGAGTTTTGCTTTCCGTTGGATATAACCATCGTATTCAGCAACAGTGTGGGGACCAATGGACCTTCGAAGCAGTTTCTTCTACTCTGCCAAGTCCGGGCTCTGCGACGCGAGGCTCATCATGTAACCAAAGCCTATTCTGAGATAATAAAGTGAGTAGAGAAGACACTTTAGGAGTGAGAGACAAACATCTCGTTCACGAGCATTTTCCATGGTCTTCCAGAGTAGATGCTCATCCGCTTCTCGACCATACCGTTGATAGCGTCAAGAGAATTGAGTATGATCATGTGTGTGCCAGCAAGGTTGACATATACAACCTCTCCTATTCACCAGTGTCAGAAGCGTTGTGAAGAGACTTTGATTGATACCCGCCATATTCTTTCCCCCATTGGCTAAACTCCTCGAACCATCGCTGTTTTGGAAAGTTGAGAACATTTCCCAGGAATAAGCGCTGTTTCGGTCCTGGAGGAAGCTTTGCCCTGGCTCTCTTGGCTTTCGCCGAGACAGAGGGATACTTCAGATAGAGCACGACAAAGACGAGAGCTCCAGCCAAAGCAAGCGCATGGTTCAGACTGTTGAAGGTCATACCGAGAGAAATGACGACAGGGCACAAACGAAACTGTGTCATATTTTATGGTTGGACGTTTATACGGACATGGGTTAAGGTGGTTTGATAGCCGGCGGAGCCGAACGTCAGACGCCTTAACCAGTCCTAAGGGTCCTTTGGCAATTCATCAGACGACAGGGAGTTTGATTTTGGTGACTGACCCACTATCTCAGTATGTATATCGGGTCCGTCTCCACCTATCACAGGATGTTATTAACCTTTCGGCAGGGGGTTGTCCACATGAGAGAAAGGGATGAATCAATTCAACGCGACGTCTCAGAACAATCGAGGGAATAGGAGATGATATGCATGGTCCAAAGGCACTACGAGCGAGGCTTGAAATGGCACTGGAACCCAGAGATGCGCCTGTACCACGTCAGCCTTGAGGCCACTTTCGCCTGAAGAATCCGTTCTTACCGAACCGCTGAATCGGCAAATCCTATCTTTCCACCCAACAGGTGTCCTTCCATAGGAAGGATCTGATACGTCACAAGGAGAGCAACGGCATATTGCGGCGCGATATGGTCTGCCAGATGCCGTCCGGGACAAATGCTAATCAAACAGTTCAGCAACCAATTCTGGCCAAGAAAATCCGCACGATTACCGTCTACCAAATCCAAATGGAAGATCCAACATATTAGGGAGTTCGGCTGCGCGAGGATTGAACTCGGGAAGGAAGCGAGTTGGATTGAAGGAGTGACTGTCTTCACCCCAAATTCCCTTTTCCCGAAGTATGTATCTGCTTAAGTCAGAAAGCGATATACGCAGGACCTCGAAGCATACCCTGTGAACATCGTCAGCAGGCAATTGAGAATACAAGAATTCTGACCAATGTTGCAGTGCACTATTGTGCCCTTTGGAAAATAATATCCGCGCCATACATCTTCTTTCATGCCCACATGTGGTACACCTGCTAGAAATGAGCAAAAATAAGATGGACGAGGCTCTCCGACCTATCGGAGCAGGTGGGTTCAACCTAAATGCCTCTTTCCATACAGCGTTGAATATTGAAAGGTTTCGGATTTCCTCCCGTGTCGGTAAATGTCCGCGACCGAGCACGCTATCTAATTCTTCATGAACCTTTTGCTGCCACTCGGGATACAGTACGATGATATAGAAAAGGTTGAGGAGAGCCGTCGAGGTCTGGGCCCGGTGGTCAGACAATTTGTCCTCATCGAGTTGAGCACATACCGTGTCGATGGCTGCACCGTACAGCGTGGCAATGGCATCTCGAAGGTTGTTGTGAGAGAAGGACCCTTCGTCCAAGTACTTTACCAATAGTGACTCATCGGCCGTCCCATCCGCCTAATGAGATTGTAGCAAAAGAGATATTACAGCGACGGCTGCTTACGATTCTTGAGACGATGCTCTCAAAGGGCTGGTAGCGGATTTTGCGTATCAGTATGTTCGCCCTCCTTATGATTCGTTTGAACGTCAAGCCCGGGAGCCAGTCTGGGAGATGTTGCACTATTGAACGGTAAGTCCTTGACCATTGAAGTACCATCAACGTACAAAGAGGAAAGACGTCCACGAGCCATAGTTTTGTTGACATCCAGGTGGCCAAATTGACGATTTCAACATTATTATCAACAAGTTCTTCTCCGTGATCCCTGAAGAACTGCTCCCCGTAGGAAATGCGAGTTATGACGGCGCCTATGACTCTGTGTACTCCGTCAGCCATTGGATGTAGGCGAGAGGCTGACCTACTTTGTGAACACTTCGAATGGGTCACCAGAAAACCCATCTAGTCGTCGAAGCAGAGCATCTCTATCACGCTGAATGAAGCCATCGTAGCCTGTGACGACTTGTGGACTCAAAGCCTTGCGAAATACACGACGTTGTTCATTGAACTCTGGCCCAGGCTGCACACGGGCCGTAGCGAAATTAAGTCCAGTACTACGTGGATATCATTAGTATGTTTAATAGTGACTCCGCCAGGGACTCACAGCTTGCCCATGGTTGAAGCTGGCCGATTCGAGTATGCACTCATCCGCTTATCCATAATTTCCGTGACAGCTTCAAGAGAGTTGAGAATGATCATCGGTGTGCCGAGCAAGTTGATATACACGACTTCCCCTGTCATCAACGTTAACATTTTGAACGAGGTGTGAGGTGAATACATGCCATACTCGTCTGCCCAGAGACTAAAGGTCTCATACCATGCCTTCCTTGGGAAGTTGAAGGCATTACCTACGAGGAACGCAGGCCTAGGACCTGGAGGAAGCCTCGCACCGAGTCGTTTTGCCCTTGAGGAGAGCGTGTTCATCGATAGATGAAATAGCAAGACTGCGATGAAAACTACAGCACACGCAAGCACTACTTGCATCGTGAAGGTGCCTCTAGTGGGGACGCCATGAGGCAAGTAAAGGCGGACGCCAAAGACCAGAACAAACATCACGACTGAAGAGCCGCGCGATTCGGAGATAGTGACCATCAGAATAGGGTACCTCTGAGCCGTTTGGTCGGTGACCTCCAGGAACAATCAGGGCATTGACCTGAAGGAGGTCCGATTGAGATCAGCTGTATTACTCCAACATGTCGGTCGACCGGTAAAAGGACTTCATTAACGTTGGACCGGGAAGAGTTGACAATTGAGGCAAACAAGATAATCATCCACACTCGCTAGATCTAGTCGGGGACAAGTTGGTCAACCACCGTCACCGCATCAGCTGGCTTGGTCGAATGCTGAATTCGTCGGGCCGCTTTCATAATATGAAGGTCTAATCGCTATCTGTGTATGTCACGGTCAAATATACATGCGACGAGACAAAACGATCAAGAGATATAGATTACAAGGACGGCATACGAGGTCGATAACGCGATTCAAATGTGGGGGAAGAAGTCTGACCACACCACGTCTCGATATGCGTCGAGTGGGAGCGCCGCCAGCGTCACCAATGCGAGCACAATTGTTATACCTCTTCCAACGAAGTACAAGGGTGGTAATAGAAATAGGAAGAATCCGATCAAACCCCCCAGGATGATGGACACGTAGTCGCCGATTAGTCCAGTGAGGACAAAGAGTACAACTGTAGCAGGTGGGACAGCAGTCATAACAATGGTCGCAAATCGCCACAAAAATTGCATATGAGTAGATGGGAAGGGCGACGACCACGCAAGAAAATGGACAGCACCAAACAATGTCCCAACAATGATCGTGGTCAGAATGCCGCCGAGATCGCTGACATTCCACCCATCTTTAGTGTACCCAGGGTAAAACATTCCAACTCGCTTCACACTCCGTAGGTCGATGTATGCGCCCTGAATGCCCGAGGCATACTCAAAAGCCATCACCCAAAAGTCGGCATCTTCCATCTCCGCCTTCACCTTCTCTTGCTCTTTTGTACGTTCTGGGAGTGTTTCATACACACGCATAGGGAATGTCACACGATATGGCTTGTCCCACCATGCAATGTAGATCGCCACCGTCAGCAGAGTATGGCCGAGCGTAATGACTTCGAGCTCGGTGAGCGGGAGTTTGCTGACTTTTCTTGCAATGCATTGTGCAATGAACCAGAGCGTTTGGGCCACGACAAGGAACTTTGCGAGTCCGTCGCTCTTGCACTTGTCCTCCAGCTCGACAGAAGGAGGAAGGCAAAGTTTGCCGGCTTCAATAAGACGAATGACGTCGAATTCGTCGAGAGGATGCACAGGGCTTCCAATATCTTCAACTAGATCGATCCTCCTGTCGCTCGGTGCATGGTCACGTCGACCATCTCCCGCTTCTACCCCCGGTTGCTGGCCAATAGTTGAGCGTCTTCTCCGTCTTTCTCTCCATTCTTATTCGGCGACAGAGATTGGCGCTGTTCAAAGAGGTGGAAGCCACCCATGAGGATGAAGAATCCGTGCTGGCGAGTAACCTCTAGACACACTGGTCAGTTCAAAGAAAAACATTTTCTCTAGCTTACCCGTCTCTTCTTTCTGCAGTTCGCGAATCTCCTTGGCCAGTTGAGTGGCCTTAAGGAACTGACGGACTGCCATACCCAGAACCCATTCTGGGAACACCAGAGTTACGAAGATGGGAATCACAGTACATCGAAAGAACGACTTCACCCGGATTTTGAGTCTTTTCAAGCGACTCAAGCCTCGGGTGTCCACAGGTTCGGGGACGTTGAGATGGAGAGCGACCCAGATACACAGGAAGAATGTGGTGAGACAGCTGAAGACTATCCTAGGCAGACTCCTGTACTGACTTGCGCATGACGGAAGACATTCTGTCGTATTTGATGCGAGATTTTGAGCAGCGCGGCCTGACAGGGAGTAAAGGGCGATTGCGAGAGCCATGACAATGGAGAGGGTGAGAGACTCGACCACGCCAGGGTCTTTTTATACAATTTTCGGGAATCGTACGGATTCAAAATTTGTTGACGGGGCAACCGCGTGCCTGTCGCTGGTTGACAGAAGCTGTCAGAGGTGAACAATTTACAGAGAGTTCGGAAATCCACAAACTTTTTTTTTGGTTGACCATCGTGAAAAATTTGTACCACTCGCTAGCCTTGCCCAAAAATTACACTTCTGTCTCCTGAATATTTTCCTCGGTTAATGGATGTCTTCGAGGAAATCTGGTCATGCTCGACGACCTGTTCCAGGTAGGACGTTTTGCAGCTCCCGGGTTTCAAAGCTAATCTACGTAGAAAAATTTGGACACACCCGTACCATCAAATTCTAGCTTACAGTACCAAATGCGAGCAATGAAGCAGACCATCTGCCAGACGAGAGGCCAACATTACCCGTACCAGAGGCCATACCTCCCGTCGATTCAATTCAACCAAATATTGATGAAACAGAACCTGAAGAGAGTTTGGAAGAGCTCAAAGAAGAGGAGGTAGATCCCCCCAGAAAGCGGGGTAGAGGGCGCCCCGGTGCAGTGTGTATTCTGAACCTTGGCTCACCTAGACAAATTTTAATTGCCTAAAATTATCTAGAAACCCAAAGAAAAGGCTGATTCTGGTGTGCCGCCTCCTTGTAAGCGGCATGGCAATGATCTTCCTGGGCCCCCAAGCAAAGAACGAAAGTATATCCCACGCAAGTCACCTGAACCTGATCAAGGCAATATGATGATGGATTTTGAGGCAGAAATATATGTAGAGCTGGCCAGGGTATTGGGATCTGGGCGAGGGGGAGGAATGCCAGGGCAATTAAGGACGAATTATGCCAAACACTTGGTCCATTTGTGATGGATCAGGATACATCTTGGGATGATTTTATCTCAAAGATTGCTAGCGATCTTGGATGTACACCTGAAGCTGTAGTATTGACAGGCATGAGCTGGGTGTTCGTGAAACCAAAGAATTCTCTTCCTTTCGAGTCACAGCGCGGATTCATAGACATGTGCAAACAAATTTCAATGAAGAAGGGGGAGAAGACAGTTATCATCAAAGTAACTCGCCCAGAGCATGCTAATGCCACTGCTATTACAGTACGTGGAGGACTGCTGCGGTTTTTGTGCTCAAAGTCATATATTATATAGGTTGGTAATGCGATTTCAAGTCTAAGTGTTCAAAAGAATGGGGGGAGCAGTATATATGTCCAAGGCTCGACAGTCTTTGACGAGGTGAGCAATAAAATGCCAATTATGCCACTTCTGATGCAATTGGAGACATTCGAGGAGCACATTAAGGCTGTTAAATATAGTCTTAAGAAGAGATACTGTCGCCGGTAGGGCAACAGGACAAAATTTTTGAAATACCCTGTTTCTAGCTTGCCGCGTGTACCTGTAGCTCTGTGAATTTTTTATTCAAATCGTATCAATTCTGAGATCTATTTGACATAGTATTATAACTACATACAGCCTACAGACGGTTTTAGTGGGGTAACAGTCAGAGCAAAGGTTGGGTAGGGCAACCGGACAGCTTGAAATAATGGCTGCTGGTGGTCATAGCACCTCTGTAGAATTCAGAGAAATGAATTTCTATCTTTTAACTGCCTCGAAGTTGGAGATCAATGGGAATATTATCATCCTCCACCTCTGTCTCCTGAGTCTTGCCCAAAAGCACATCCTGCATAATACCGAGCCTGGACAAATGCTAACCGTGGAATTGAGCAAGTCTTATTGACGAATAGACAATCATGCATACCGTCGGCCAAATCTAAATGGAATGTCCCACATATCAGGGAGTTGATCGGCTTGAGGATTGAACTCGGGGAGGAACCGGGCGGGATTGAAAGTTTGGCTATCTGCACCCCAAATGCGTTTATCACGGAGTATGTACCTGTTTAAAATACGCAACGGTTGCAGAGGAGGTCTTTATGCGTACCCTTTGGAAGGAATGAATATTGAACGGACCAATATTTGACTGCTTACCTTTAGATGCTAAGAACGCACAAGGAGGAATAAGGTCCACCAACCACACCTTGCTTGACACCCAAGTGGCCAAAGTAACCACATTGGTGTTGACGTCAATGAGCTCCTCGCCATGATCCTTGAATAGCTGCTCCCCATAGGCGATACGAGTGAGTACCGCACCGGTGGCACTTTATCGACTATCAGTGGCTGAACTGCGTGAAGCTAATGGACTGACTTGACAAATTGAAGAAATGGGTTGCCAGAAAACCCATCTAGTTGCCTCACTAGATTGTCTCTGTCACGTTGGATAAAGCTATCGTAATCCGCGACGGCTTTGGGGTTCATGGCTTTGCGAAATACTCGGCGCTGCTCGTTGAATTCTGGACCAGGTTGCAACCGACTCGTTGCAAACGAAGTCCGGAACTTTCTCGTATCAGCAAGTTGATAACGCCCGCAGCTTTGATACCCACAGCTTGCTCATCGTCGTAGTTGGACGGTTCGAGTAGATGTTCATACGCTTGTCCATAAGCTCCGAAACTCCGCCCAGTGAATTGAGAACAGCCAGTGGAATTCCAATTACATTGACGTATACAACGTCACCTGCCAACGCTTTCAATATGTGGAACGAGCAAGTGCGATAACGCGTACCGTACTCTTCCGCCCAGCGACTGAACGTCTCGTACCATCTACTCTTCTGAAATTTGAACGGATGTACCACGCAAAACGCAGACTTTGGACCTGGAGGAAGGGCTATACCGAGTCGTTTTGCCTTTGCAGAGGGAGTGTTTGTCGAAAAATAGAGCGAAAAGGCGCCGACGACGGCCGTAGCGCCTCCTACAATCAGATGAATCGTTGAGATGGTTTGTGTGAATGGAGCAATGGGATCATAGAGGTTGATTCCAAAGGGCTCAAGCCCAAATAATGGAATTCGGCAGCAATTCATGGATTGTGATTGGCTAATGGCGCCGAATAAATGATACGGCTGACCTGAAGCATTGGCGGCTTTGTGGTCGAGGTGATAACTCGGCTCGTAGACGGCACCCATCAAGGCCAACATAAAGCGTCGTTCTGTTTGGTCGCCGCTTGACACCATTCACAACTGCTGGCAATCTACCAACCCTCGAATACACTCCATTCCGTTTTATTTCGAAGTTAAGGACGTCCAATGTCCAATAAGCGCGTGCCAATCCCAGGCCACCGCTGACGAATCCTCGTGTTCATAACACAAGTGTATTTGCATTTGCAGCAAATGAACAGAGATCAAGACTCTAGAGCCCTATCCTCTCCATCCACGCGTCAGGGCGGCAGTCTTCTGATTGGTAAAGGCGCCAAGGATATACTTGATAAAGGGTGGTGTTAAAAGCTATATCATGGTCTCTCCGATCCCATAAGACGTTCCCACAATATGATTACCTTCTTTGAATCGCTTTTGACCACGCATGCTTGGGCTCTAGGCGCAATTGCAGTTAGTTTTGTGGCTATTTGGATTGCTTCGAACACAAATGCTGCAAAGGCAAAGAGATCCAGAGCTTCTCTGACTCCAGGTCCAAAGCGGTGGGCATTCGTGGGCAATGTGCTCAACTTTCCAAAGAGCAGGTAGTACGTAGGTTCATTAGCCGGGCGGAAGGGTACGGTAAGCGTTATCGCATTTGCTCATTCCACATATTGAAAGCGTTGGCAGCTTCAAGCGAGTTGAGAATGATCATCGGTGTGCCGAACAAGTTGATATACACGACTTACCCTGTCATCAACTTTAACATTGCGAACAAGCTGTGAGGTGAATACATACCATACTCGTCTGCCCAGCGACTAAAGGTCTCATACCATGCCTTCTTTGGGAAGTTGAAGGCATTCCCTACGAGGAACGCACGCCGAGGTCCTGGAGGAAGCTTTGCACCAAACTGTTTTGCTCTTGAGGGTGGCGTGTTTCTCGATAGATGAACGAACAAGGCTACGATGATGACTACAGTAGACGCAAGCACTACTTGCATCGTCAAGGCGTCCTCTAGTGGGAATGGCATGGGGCAAGTAGAGGTGGACGCCAAAGGCCAGGACAAACGGCACAACTGAAGGGCCGCGAGGTGCGGAGATAGTAACCATCAGAATAGGGTACCCTGAGCCGTTTGGTCGGTGACCTCCAGGAACAATCAGGGCATTGACCTGAAGGAGGTCCGATTGAGATCAGATGTATTATTCCAACATGTCGGTCGACTGGTAAAAGGACTTCATTTGTGTTGGACCGGGAAGACTTGGCAATTGAGGCAAACAAGGTAATCGTTCACACTCGCTAGATCTAGTCGGGGCCAAGTTGGTCAACCACCGTCACCGTGTCAGCCGGCTTGGTCGATTGCTGAATTGGTCTGGCTGAATTCGCCCGGCCACTTTAAGAATATGAAGGTCTAATCGCTATCTGTGTGTCTGTTGCGGTCAAATATACATGCGACGAGATAAACGATCAAGAGATATAGATTACAAGGACGACATACGAGGCCGATAACGCGATTCAAATGTGGGGGAAGAAGTTTGACCACGCCACGTCTCGATATGCGTCAAGTGGGAGCGCCGCCAGCGTCACGAATGCGAGCACAATTGTTATACCTCTTCCAGCAAAGTAGAGGGGCGGTAATAGTAATTGGGAGAGCATCATCCAGCGACCCAGGGTTCTGGACACACACTCGCCCATTAGTCCGGCGAAGAGGAACAGTACGACTGCAGCAGGTGGGACTGTAGTCATGACAATGGTCGCAAATTGCCAGAGGAATTGCATATGGGGGGATGGAAATGGCGACGACCACGCAAGAAAATGGACAGCACCAAACACTGTCCCAACAATGATCGTGGTCAGAAGGCCGCCGGAATCGCTGAAATCCTCTCTTTTGCTGTACCCAGAGTAGAACATTCCAACTCGCTTCACACTCCGTAGGTCGATGTATTCACCCTGAGTGCCCACGGCATACATAAAAGCCATCACCCAAAGGTTGGCATCTTCCATCTCCTCCTTCGCCTCCTCTTGCTCTTTTGTACGTTCTGGGAGTGTTTCATACACACGCATAGGGAATGTCACACGATATGGCTTGTCCCACCATGCGATGTAGATCGCCACCGTTAGCAGAGTATGGCCAAGCGTAACGACTTCGAGCTCGGTGAGCGGAAGTTTGCTGACTTTTCTTGCAATACATTGTGCAATGAACCAGAGTGTTTGGACTACGACAAGAAACTTTGCGAGTCCGTCGCTCTTGCATTTGTCCTCCAGCTCGACAGAAGGAGGAAGGCAAAGTTTGCCGGCTTCAATAAGACGAATGACATCGAATTCATCGAGAGGATGCAAAGGGCTTCCAATATCTTCAACTAGCTTGATCCTCTTGTCGCTCGGTGCAGGGTCATGTCGACCATCTCCCGCTTCTACCGCGGATTCCTTGGCCAATAGGTGAGCGCCTTCCCCGTCTTTCTCTCCATTCTTATTCGACGACAAGGATTGGTGCCGTTCAAAGAGATGGAAGCCACCCATGAGGATGAAGAATCCGTGCTGGCGAGTGACCTCTAGACACATTGGTCAGTTCAAAGAAAAACATCTTATCTGGCTTACCAGTTTCTTCTTTCTGCAGCTCGCGAATCTTCTTGGCCAGTTCAGTGGCCTGACGGAACTGACGGACTGCCATACCCAGAACCCATTCTGGGAACACCAGAGTCACGAAGATGGGAATCACAGTACATCGAAAGAACGACTTCATCCGGATTTTGAGTCGTTTCAAGCGACTAAAGCCTCGAGTGTTCACGGGTTCGGGGACATTGAGATGGAGGGCCACCCAGATGCATAGGAAGATGGTCGTAAGACAGCTCAGGACTATTCCAGGTAAACTTCTGTATTGATTTGCGCACGATGGAAGGCACTCTGCGGGATTGGATGCGAGATTTTGAGCAGCGCGGCCTGACAGGGAGTAAACGGCAAATGCGAGAGCCATAATGATGAAGGGTAAGCCATTTAGCTACTCTAGTGCACTATATATATATATATATATATATATATATCTCCAAGATTCTTATCGATCCGAGATATATAGACTCGCATCCACGTGCCTGCTGGTTAACAAGCTATCGCAGAATCTGGCTGGTTGGCAGCTCAATTACTCTTCTGCATTGTGGCACGCAGCAGTATACATAATGATCCAAAATATACGTGGAGACAAGACAAGTGACGGACGAGGTTGATTTGACTCTTAGGTCTCTCTTGAATATCATCACACTTGTCAGATCTAGATGCGTTTCAGAGAGGACATTGTTTTATGCTATTTCATGCGCCAATGACCGTGTTCACCTTCAGGTTTGGAAATTGGATCTGCCTTCATCTCATTCCGTCGAGTACCACAACAACCGCAGCGTTTAGATGTTTAGATTGGAAATCCGACTAGACTACAGAGTCGAGGTCTTGCGACCCGTCGGATCAAGGAGCGAAATGTTTGCGCTGAAGGCGAAGAGAAGAAACGAGCGGCACCGGATGCGGTATAAGCCGTCAAAACTCTCGGGATGTCCGAGGCCATGATTGCAGTCACGGTCAGCTCAAACATGCAGCAAGAGATCGCGACGGTACTCTGGAAAGATTCCCAGGCGCCAGATCTCTTGATCCCAAAAAGTATATTGCTCTACCACTGATATCCAATTGGTCTTGTATCAGTGACCACGGCGTATTAGTTTCAAAGCACTGTATTGTTCTGTGCGTCTTTATTGCACCGAGGTAATCAAGGCTGCTGGCAGCGAGGCTTAAACTGACATTCAAAATCGGCGACGCGCCTGTGCCCGAGTCAGTGTCCGCCTGCGTGCTCTGTCTTCTCCTGGATCCAGATGGCGCAATTGCTTTTTTTTGTCATTTAGGTCTCTGATGAAATCTCCTATTTCGTTCACACCCTCCCTCCCTGTTCATTGCGAGCGTCTAAGGGGTCCCACGCGAGTTGGGTGTATAACGTATATTTCGCGATAAGTCGTCGAGCCCAAAAGGAGATAAAGGTCAGGGGTCCGCCCGGAGGGGCCTTCAGTTTTTCTATCCTCATACAATGTTTGCACTTTTGCCTGGCACTTGTCAGGCAGAATAAGTACTACACGACCGGTGTGAATCTCGTTACTTGGACCAGTAAATCACACGTTGGACCTACACCAGCTGCATCTTGCCACCAAATGGAGTATCCAAGATTCAGGACTCGGGTGGTTCCTAGATATCAACACCCTCGCTATCGCCATGATGATGGAACACAGGCATTGATTCGACGAGGAAGGTGCTTACTATTACGCGCATTTGTTCGAGTTTGCATTCTAGTACCATTGGCATTGGTTGTATAGCTGAACACTGGTGGCTATTGAAGTCGAATGCCTAGCCCGATGGCATGTCTTTCTACTGTACGAGCACCTGAGTTCAACAAAGGTGGCCCAATCTGGGAGGGTATTCGTGATTCGCAGGCAGTCCGCAGGAAGCTAGGGTGGATGTCGATTCTTGGGCAACCTCGACGCCCTTTAGTATGTTTGACAAGTACATCAACTAGTGGGACCCTTGTGTCTGGCTGGTCGGTTGCATTGCTGATCATCCGATGAAGGAGCTCAAGTAGCTTGTTGAGAGTGTCAAATAGGTAGCGGTACTCCTCATGTCTTCGAGTAGTCGACGAGTTGGCGCAAAATGAACTCTGAGACGCTGTGCATCACGACTATTCACTCGTATGGATTGTACTATGTCCCTTATAAAAGCCACTAAGGCTCCCATACGTGCTTCAGACCGAGCTTGGGCGCTGGACTCCATTAATTCATGAAGAGTTTGGGATTGAGGTGCAATGACATTCCATGTAAATTTTTGAGTACATCTAGATAGTAACAGAACAGGCTAGGATGGGACGGGCTGGGACAGCCTGGGGAGTGATGGGGCAGGATAAGTGAATGCAGCTTACTTTGTCCTGGTCATACCCAAGCCCACCTTGCCCTGTTACAGTGACGGGCTAGGACGGGCCAGGCTCTAGCAGGTTAAGCGAATAGGATGTATACTTTTGATTAGATATCTTGGCCCATCTCGTCAGCCGTCAGCTCATCCTCGCCTGCCCTAGCCCATCACCGCCCGCTAGATTATTCGCTTATCCTGTCCCATCACTCCCCAGCCCGCCTTATCCTGTCCATCCTGCCTCTTGCTTTGTTTTGGGTGCACAACTCCATAAGTTGAATCAATTTTGTCCACCGTGGCCGCTCATATAATCGTCCACACTCGCTAGATCTAGTCGGGGCCAAGTTGGTCAACCAACGTCACCGTGTCAGCCGGCTTGGTCGATTGCTGAATTTGTCTGGCTGAATTCGCCCGGCCACTTTAAGAATATGAAGGTCTAATCGCTATCTGTGTGTCTGTTGCGGTCAAATATACATGCGACAAGATAAACGATCAAGAGATATAGATTACAAGGACGACATACGAGGCCGATAAGGCGATTCAAATGTGGGGGAAGAAGTCTGACCACGCCACGTCTCGATATGCGTCGAGTGGGAGCGCCGCCAGCGTCACGAATGCGAGCACAATTGTTATGCCTCTTCCAACAAAGTAGAGGGGCGGTACTAGCGCTAGGGAGAGCATCATCAAGCCACCCAGAATCTCGGACACATACTCGGCCATTAGTCCACCGAAGAGGAACAGTACGAGTGCAGCAGGTGGGACTGTAGTCATGACAATCGTCGCAAATTGCCAGAGGAATTGCGTATGAGTGGATGGAAATGGCGAGGACCACGCAAGAAAATGGACAGCACCAAACACTGTCCCAACAATGATCGTGGTCAGAAGGCCGCCGAAATCGCTGTCAGTCCACCCTTCCCCTTTATTGTACCCAGGGTAAAACATTCCAACTCGCTTCACACTCCGTAGGTCGATGTATTCACCCTGAGCGCCCACGGCATACATAAAAGCCATCACCCAAAAGTTGGCATCTTCCATCTCCGCCTTCGCCTCCTCTTGCTCTTTTGTACGTTCTGGGAGTGTTTCATACACACGCATAGGGAATGTCACACGATATGGCTTGTCCCACCATGCAATGTAGATCGCCACCGTCAGCAGAGTATGGCCGAGCGTAATGACTTCGAGCTCAGTGAGCGGCAGTTTGCTGACTTTTCTTGCAATACATTGTGCAATGAACCAGAGCGTTTGGGCCACGACAAGGAACTTTGCGAGTCCGTCGCTCTTGCACTTGTCCGCCAGCTCGACAGAAGGAGGAAGGCAAAGTTTGCCGGCTTCAATAAGACGAATGACGTCGAATTCATCGAGAGGATGCAAAGGACTTCCAATATCTTCAACTAGCTTGATCCTCCTGTCGCTCGGTGCATGGACGCGTCGACCATCTCCCGCTTCTACCGCAGATTCCTTGGCCAATAAGTGAGCGCCTTCCCCGTCTTTCTCTCCATTCTTATTCGGCGACAGGGATTGGCGCTGTTCAAAGAGGTGGAAGCCACCCATGAGGATGAAGAATCCGTGCTGGCGAGTGACCTCTAGACACACTGGTCAGTTCAAAGAAAAACATTTATCTAGCTTACCAGTCTCTTCTTTCTGCAGCTCGCGAATCTTCTTGGCCAGTTGAGTGGCCTTAAGGAACTGACGGACTGCCATACCCAGAACCCATTCTGGGAAAACCAGAGTTACGAAGATGGGAACCACAGTACATCGAAAGAACGACCTCATACGGATTTTGAGTCGTTTCAAGCGACTAAAGCCTCGAGTGTTCACGGGTTCGGGGACATTGAGATGGAGGGCTACCCAGATGCATAGGAAGATGGTCGTAAGACAGCTCAGGACTATTCCAGGTAAACTTCTGTATTGATTTGCGCACGATGGAAGGCACTCTGCGGGATTGGATGCGAGATTTTGAGCAGCGCGGCCTGACAGGGAGTAAACGGCAACTGCGAGAGCCATAATGATGAAGGGTAAGCCATTTAGCTACTCTAGTGCACTATATATATATCTCCAAGATTCTTATCGATCCGAGATATATAGACTCGCATCCACGTGCCTGCTGGTTAACAAGCTATCGCATAATCTGGCTGGTTGACAGCTCAATTACTCTTCTGCATTGTGGCACGCAGCAGTATACATAATGATCCAAAATATGCGTGGAGACAAGACAAGTGACGGACGAGGTTGTTTTGACTCTTAGGTCTCTCTTGAATATCATCACACTTGTCAGATCTAGATGCGTTTTCAGAGAGGACATTGTTTTATGCTATTACATGCGCCATATGACCGTGTTCACCTTCAGGTTTGCAAATTGGGTCTGCCTTCATCTCATTCCGTCAAGTGCCACAACAACTGCAGCGTTTGCGCGGAAGACCAAGAGAAGAAACGAGCGGCACCGGATGCGGTATAAGCCGTCAAAATTCTAGGGATGTCCGATTCGCGGTCACCTCAAACATGGAGCAAGAGATCGCAACGGTACTCTGGAAAGATTCCCAGGCGCCAGATATCTTGATCCTAAAAAGTATAAACCTCTACCACTGATATAGCATATCCAATTGGTCTTGTCTCGGGGACCACGGCGTATTAGTTTCAAACTACTGTATTGTTCTGTGCGTCTTTATTGCACCGATCCAATCAAGGCTGCTGGCAGCGAGGCTTAAACTGACATTCAAAATCGGCGACGCGCCTGTGCCCGAGTCAGTGTCCGCACCCACTCTGAGAAGATAGTTCATACCGAATAACTGAATCTTCAAAGTTCATGGTATCATTCAGCGGCTTCCCTTTAACGGGAAGTACTTGATACGTCGAAAGAACAGAAGCGGCGAATTGAAGAGCGACACGTTCAGCCAGATGCCGACCTGGACAAATGCTAGCCGTGGAATTGAGCAAATCTTATTGACGACTAGGCCATTATACGTACCGTCGGCCAAATCCAAATGGAATGTCCCACATATCAGGGAATCGATCGGCTTGAGGATTGAACTCGGGGAGGAACCGGGCGGGATTGAAAGTTTGGCTATCTGCACCCCAAATGCGTTTATCACGGAGGATGTACCTGTTTGAAGTAGGCAACGGTTGCAGAGAAGGTCTTTATGCGTACCCTTTGGAAGGGATGAATATTGAACGGATCAATAGTTGACTGCCTACCTATATTGCAGTGCACTACGGTCCCTTTCGGTAGATAATAGCCATTCCAAACATTCTCCTTTACGCTAAAGTGTGGCAATCCTGGAAAAGGTGAACAACTGTAAGGGATATTCGGGATATTTTACCTATAGGCACGGGCGGATTCCACCGAAAGGCCTCTTTCCAGACTGCATTAAAGATGGGAAGTCTATGAATCTCTTCTCTCGTCGGAAGGTGACCTCTACCGAGCACGCGATCCATTTCTTCGTGGACCTTTTGCTGCCATTCGGGATAAAGTGTAATGCAAAAGAAAAAGTTGAGCAAGGCGGTAGAGGTCTGAAGGTGTGAGTTTAACGAAAGCTTGAGTGGCGAAAACATACGGTATCGACACCTGCGCCATACATAACTGCAATAGCGTCGCGGAGATTTTCTCTGGAAAAGGAACCTTCGTCCAGATATTTTGTTAAGATTGATTCATCCGCAGTTCCGTCAGCCTAGTTGAGAGTCAGCCAAAAGCACAATAACAAAGGGGGTGTTCATTACAATTCTCTCCATGATCTTATCGTACGCGCGGTATCTGAGCATGCTCGCTAGTTCGTTGGACTGGCGGAGAACTCGTTTAAAGACGGCTCCTGGGAACCAATCCGGGAGATACTGTACTATGAGTATGTAAGTCACTTTGTCAACTTAGATGCTAAGAACGCACAAGGAGGAATAAGGTCCACCAACCACACCTTGCTTGACACCCAAGTGGCCAAAGTGACCACATTGGTATTGACGTCAATGAGCTCCTCGCCATGATCCTTGAATAGCTGCTCCCCATAGGCGATACGAGTGAGTACCGCACCGGTGGCACTTTATCGACTCTCAGTGGCTGAACTGCGTGAAGCTAATGGACTGACTTGACAAATTGAAGAAATGGGTTGCCAGAAAACCCATCTAGTTGCCTCACTAGATTGTCTCTGTCACGTTGGATAAAGCTATCGTAATCCGCGACGGCTTGGGGGTTCATGGCTTTGCGAAATACTCGGCGCTGCTCGTTGAATTCTGGACCAGGTTGCAACCGAGTCGTTGCAAAACTAAGTCCAGAGCTTTTTCGTATCAGTAAGTTGATAACACCCGCAGCTTTGATACCCACAGCTTGCTCATCGTCGTAGATGGACGGTTCGAGTAGATGTTCATACGCTTGTCCATGAGCTCCGTGACTGGGTCCAGTGAATTGAGAACGACCATTGGAATGCCAATTACATTGACATACACAACGTCACCTGCCAACGCTTTCAACATGTGAAATGAACAAGTGCGATAACGCGTACCATACTCTTCCGCCCAGCGACTGAACGTCTCGTACCATCTACTTTTCGGGAAGTTGAACAGATTTCCCACGAAAAACGCAGGCTTTGGACCTGGAGGAAGGGCTGCACCGAGTCGTTTTGCCTTTGCAGAGGGAGTGTTTGTCGAGAGATAGAGCGAAAAGGCGCCGACGACGGCCGCAGCGCCTCCTACAATCAGATGAGTCGTTGAGATGGTTTCTGTAAGTGGAGCCATGGGATCATAGAGGTTGATTCCAAAGGGCTCAAGCCCAAATAATGGAACTCGGCAGCAATTCATAATTCATGGATTGTGATTGGCTAATGGCGCCGAATAAATGATACAGTGGCCCCGAACCATTGACGGCTTTGTAGTCGAGGTGTTACTCGGCTCATAGATGGCACCCATCAAAGTCGACATAAGGTGTCGTTTTGTTTGGTCGCCACTTGACGCCGTTTACAACTGCTGGCAATCTACCAACCCTCGAATACGCTCCATTCTGCTCTATTTCGGAGTTAAAGATGTCGAATGTCCAATAAGCGCGTGCCAATCCCAGGCCACCGCTGACGAATCCTCGTGTTCATAACACAAGTGTATATGCATTTGCAGCAAATGAACAGAGATCAAGACTCGAGAACCCCATCCTCTCCACCCACGCGTCAGGGCGGCAGTCTTCTGATTGGTAAAGGCGCTAAAGATATACTTGATAAAGGGTGGTGTTAAAAGCTATATCATGGTCTCTCCGATCCCATAAGACGTTCCCACAACATGACTACCTTCTTCAAACCGCTTTCGGCCACGCATGCTTGGGCTCTAGGGGCGATTGCAGTTAGTTTTGTGGCTATTCGGATTGCTTCGAACACAAATGCTGCAAAGGCAAAGAGATCCGGAGCCTCTCTGGCTCCAGGTCCAAAGCGTTGGCCATTTGTGGGCAGCGTGCTCAAATTTCCAAAGAGCAGGTGGTACGAGAGTTTCAGTAGCTGGGCGGAGGAATATGGTACGTGGCTTACCTTTAATTTGGAAAGTGCTCTGACTTGCATGTCCGATAGGAGATGTTGTTTATGTGGACCTGATGGGAATACCCATGATCGTTCTCAATTCTCTCGACGCGATACACGAACTAACAGAGAAGCGAATGCACATCCATTCAAATAGACCTCACACCACTCTCGTCTGTGATATGTGAGTCTCGAATCCGCGGAGGTTGAAGAGTTGTTGATTGCATCGACCTAGCATGGGGTTTGGCTACACTTTAACGCTCAAGCAACCGGATAAAGAGTTGAACGAGCAGCGCCGCATTCTCCAAAAGGCCATAGGCCCACGAGTCGTCGGCGAGTACGACCACTTTCTCAATCGTGGTTGCTCGGACCTCCTACAACGGCTGGATGGTTTCTCCGGCGAGCCTTTCGACCACGTATTGAAGTGTGACTACGTCTGTACCTCTGAGCCCAAGACTTACTCTATTCAGGGTCTTGGGCGAATTGCTGACCCGCCTTGCCTATGGCAACCATGTTTTCGACGAATATGGAGCAGAACTTGTCAAAGCCAATATAGAGGGAGTGGAATTGGTTTCTTGGGTGTTCAGCAGACTATGGGTGGTCGATATTATTCCTCTGTGTGAGTCTGCAGATTGGCACAAGAATTCTGGTTTCTAATATGTACAGTGCGTTATGTACCCGCATGGCTCCCTGGAGCAACTTTCCAACGCATTGGAATCCAAGCAAGAGCTTATGTCCAGATCATCCGTCACGGCGGTTTCGAGAAGGTCAAGGCCGCAATGGTGAGTACGATTATTGTATCCAACTTTTCCAACCTTTTTCAGGCCAAGGGTATTGCGGATGAGTCTATTCTCTCCAAATACCTGATGGAAGAGAGTGCCTCGGAGGATAATCTTCGAGACGCTGTGGCGGTCATGTACGCAACAGGAGTGGATTCAGTGAGGCCAAAGTTAGCCATCTTGCCCTTCCGTTGACCTATCGTAGACAGCAACCACGATCACAAACTTTCTTTATGCCGTCGCGTTGTACCCCGAATGGCAGAGAAAGATCCATGACGAGATGGATCGTGAGCTTGGGCGAGGTCACGTACCAACCGCTGAAGACATCGGAAAACTAAACATTTTCAATGCTGTGATGAAAGAGACTCTGCGTTGGCTTGCGACGGTTCCCCTGGGTTTGTCCGCTTCTCCCTTCTCTCTAACTGTCTCACTCGACACAGGCGTTCCTCATGTAAGCGCGAAAGAAGATATCTTCAATGGGTATTATATCCCTAAAGGCACGATGCTACATTGCAATATTGGCTACGTGCTCAGGGATAAACGGATATGGGGACCAGACAGTCTAGAGTTCAATCCAAACCGCTTTCTCTCAAAGTTTAATCCTACTTTCGATGACCTTCCAGATATCTGGAGTGTCCCTTTTGGATTTGGGCGACGGTTAGCCCTTTGCCAAATTTCATGGTTCTATATTAACGTCACATAGCATTTGCCCAGGTCGTTACATAGCGCAGCGCATTGTACTTCAGTACGCATCCGCTATTCTGGCCACATACGAGGTTCTCCCCTGTGAAGGCGAGCAGCTCACTCCAAACGAGCCATTCGACGACGCGGCTATTCGGTATGTAGGAGTACGAGTAGGTCCTACATATTACTCACTGCTATTGCAGACGTCTATCGCATTTTCGATGCTCGTTTAAGCCGCGGGTGTGATAAGAAGTTGGCTATATCAGAGTTAGATCTAGAAAAAATATGATTGGTTTGCAGCGTTTCGAAACGAGGCAAGATTTGTGTGCGGATGTGGCCGAATAACTTGAACTGCTACTTGGTCCATTCACGCAAACGGGGCCACTACATATTGTCTAAAATGGGTACAAAGAGTGTCTAGGAGAATAAACGAGTGTATTTTCGACTTCTGAAATGCTTTCGTGTCCCGTCGCCGGGCCAACTTTGCCTGTGTTGAGATCCAATCCTGCCTTTGACGCATCTCATCAAATCCTCTTGCTTGTCATGATCGGCCACCAGACGATTTCCTGGCCGTCAAAGCGCCCCTTATCCGAGAGAGTGGGAAGCAGCTGCAGTTCCTCAAAGGAATCCAGGATCATCCAGCTAACCAGTTTTGGTGTACTAAGAGAAGAGAACCGTGAGTCTTCTTGCTAGGTCTTTGAGTGGACCCTTTTCTATCGGCCAGACTGGTCTCACTATTTTTATCACCAACCCTTCTTACCGGCGAGCTATGCAATTGAAGACAACATGGAAGAACCTTTGAAGGTGCTCATCACTGCTAATGTCTAGGCAGACTGTTGACAGGTTGTTGATCCTCATCCCGGGCAGGGACCGCGACAGGCGCTCAACCACGCCGCCCATCATCATGGTCTAGGCGCTCACGCCGTTGGGTTCTTTCTTGAATTCACGGTGCGTTGCTATCGCATATCCGGCCAACATTGCCCTTGCGCGCCACCTACCAGATCGAGCTCGCCCTTGGACCTTCGTAATGTCGGCATCATCAAGTAGTCGTCCAGTGTATAAGATCAAAGTAAGGTCTGGGGCGCTTTGTTCCTTAATCCTCTTGACATCCTTTGAACGCATTCCCATGTCTCTTCAATCGCTCCTACCTTCGAACTCCCAAGCATGGGCTGGCGGTGCTGTCGTTCTGGGTCTTGCAGCTTGGTATATCTCGCTGCATGCCACTTCAGCAAAAGCGAAGCGTGTAGGAGCCGTCCTTGCGCCTGGACCAAAACGACTGCCTCTGGTGGGGAATTTGTTCAACTTTCCGAGAGGAGGATGGTACCAAGCCTTCACTCAATGGGCAGATGATTATGGTGCGTATACCACCGTGATCTGAATACAGTACTTAAGAGCGAATATAGGGGACATCATTTACATCAACCTAGCCGGAGTTCCAATGATTGTTCTGAACTCCTTTGAGGCCATTCACGAATTGACGGATAAGCGAATGAACATCCACTCGGGGAGACCTCATCCAACTCTCGTTTGCGACATGTAAGTACCGAGTTGAGATGCGAAGTGTGACAAACTCTGACGAGTTCAACAGGATGGATTTCGGCTATTTCCTGACCGTCATAGAACCAACCAAAGATTTCGCAGAACAGCGTCGTGTTTTCCAAAAGGCAATAGGACCTCGTGCTGTGGACCAATACGATTCCTTCGTGCGCCACGGTTGCTCGCAACTCTTGCAACAGCTGGACGGATTCTCTGGCGAACCATTTGGAGTGTTGATCAAGTACGTTTAACCGCATCAGCCGAAGATGACGATTGACATGAATGCAGGACGGTGGGCGATGTACTCACTCGAATCTCCTATGGCGAACACTTCTTTGAGCACCATGGGCCGTATATTCTCAAAAACAGTGTCGAGGGGATGGAACTGGCTGCATGGGCGTTCACCAAATTCTGGCTCGTCGACATGATCCCGCCTTGTGCGTACCCTCGAATCGTTCGCAGTGTTTTACTAAACGAATGAAGTGCGCTACGTACCGACATGGTTCCCTGGATCAAATTTCAAGCAGGTTGCTTCTCAAGGAAAGCACTATGCGGATATCATTCGGTACTGGTCGTTTGAGCGAGTAAAGTCCGCAATGGTACAGTAAAGCTCTTCGGCAGTATACACGAATGCTCATTGATCGACAGTCGAAAGGAATAATAGACGAGTCTATTGTGTCCAAGAACCTACAAGAAGGTGGAGTCTCCGAAAATAACCTTCGAGATGCAGTGGCGTCAATGTACGGCGCCGGAGTCGACACAGTGAGCATGCTACTCGATTAGAAGCCCTCTGCTGATGCAATCAGACGGTGACTACTATCAGCAATCTCCTGTTCAGCATCGTCTTATATCCCGAGTGGCAAAAACGAATACATGAAGAAATGGATCAAGTTCTCGGTCGTGGTACCCACCCAACTCTGGAAGATATCCCAAAACTGGAGCTTTTCGAAGCGGTCTTCAAAGAATCATTTCGATGGAATCCTCCCGCGCCCCTTGGTCAGTCTAATACCCCCTGAATCAACGCGTCTAATATGAGTAGGCCTTCCTCATGTGAGCTCAAAGGAGGACGTGTGGAATGGGTACTATATCCCTAAAGGCTCTATCATTCACTGTAACATCGGTCGGTTTCCTCTCTTCCCTGGAAATGAGGCTGATTTTCTGCAGGGTTTGTCCTCAGAGACCCACGCCTGTGGGGGAAGGACAGTCTAGAGTTTAATCCGAACCGTTTTCTTGCAGCCCACAACCCGTCACTCAACCAGCTCCCGGACATTTGGAGTATTCCGTTTGGTTTCGGTCGACGGTCAGCCTTCTGCGGTTATAATCGAAGGCATTTCTAACACGGGGGCCATTAGTATTTGTCCTGGCCGTCACCTCGCGCAACGCCTTGTACTGCTCTACGCTGCGGCCATCTTGTCCATGTTCGAGGTCCTCCCATATCAAGATGACCATCTTTCACCAGATGGACCGTTTGAAGACTCTGTAATCAGGTGGGTATCAATTCGGTTGAAGGGCACACCGCTAATAGCCTGTAGACGGCTGTCCAATTTTCGATGCAGATTCAACCCTCGTGTATGAAGTCAAGCAGTCTGAGGGCCGCATCCCGTCGGAAGTGTATCCATTCTCGTATCTACAGCGACGTAATTCTGAACGAATATCGTGCGGATAATTTGGTGACCGCTCCAAGACTGTTCATATACCGGTAAAGCAAGGAGACTTCGTCCAAGAGGCACACAGCACAGATGCTACCAAGTCTATACAAGCAACGGCGATGGGCGACCGAGAGAAGTTGAACCATAACCATAAAGCGACATTATCGGTCACGCCGTTTAGAGGTGTAATTCATCAACTAAATAGATATCTCAACTGAATATTTAGTTTCGACGCTCTATCCCATTGTTAGGCCAGGCCATATTCAAAATGTTTCGCGGTCCGTGTCAAATGACCGACGGATGATTCGCTATCATAGAGGGCATGGGGCCCTGCACTGTTTGTCCGCACTCCTGGATCTTACCTCGACATGTCTACACTCCTCGACTCACTCTCTAGATCCCAGGTTTGGACAGGTGGCGCGGTCGTTCTTAGTGTTGTAGCTTGGTATTTTGCATCAAATACTACTGCGGCGAAGGCAAAACGCGCAGGTGCCGTTCTCGCGCCAGGTCCAAAACAAAGCTTTCTCGTGGGCAACTTGTTCAACTTTCCAAAGGGAAGATGGTATGAGACCTTTACTCAATGGGCAGAGGACTACGGCACGTTGTGCTTCTCAAACGCACCTAACGCTGACAATCAACTGCAGGGGACATTGTCTACATCAACTTGGCCGGTGTCCCTATGATTGTTTTGAACTCCTTCGATGCCATCCATGAATTGACGGATAAGCGAATGAATATACACTCAAATAGAGCTCATACGACGCTCGTTTGTGATATGCAAGCATTCAATTGTGATACCAAAGGCGATACAATCTGACAAGCTCACATAGGATGGAATTCGGTTATTTCATGACTCTCATACAACCTGGCAAGGACTTCACAGAACAACGTCGCCTTTTCCAGAAAGCGATAGGTCCTCGTGCCGTGGAGGAATACGATTCCTTCTTGCAGCACGGTTGTTCGGAACTCCTGAAACAATTGGACGGATTTTCCGGCGATCCATACAGTATTATAATCAAGTAAGTTTACTCGGTTCTCGTGCGCAACTACTGACGCAACACCAGGACGATAGGAAATGTGCTTACTCGCGTCGCCTATGGGGAGCATTTCTTTCAACACCATGGGGAGGAAATCATCAAGAACAACGTCGAAGGTGTAGAACTAATTGCATGGACGTTTACAAAGTTCTGGTTAGTGGACGTGATCCCGAGTCGTAGGTTTGTTTGCATCATAGGGGCGAGTTACTCAAAGAAACTAGTACGCCACATACCGAGTTGGTTACCTGGAACAAATTTCAAACGAATCGCCAATAAAGGGAAGCACCACTCGAATATCATCCGGTATTGGTCGTTTGATCGAGTGAAGGCCGCGATGGTAACCCGTCTCCCACTCTTGATGATCAACTCTTATAGTCAATAGGAAAAGGGAATCACGGACGAATCCATCCTTTCCAAGTATCTACGTGAAGGTGGTATGTCCGAAGGCAACCTTCGAGATGCAACGGCTTCCATGTATGCCGCGGGCGTGGATACGGTAAGCAAGTGACATCTCGAAAACATGCGCTAAATTTTCTAGACCTCGATCGCCATCACCCACTTTCTGTTCAGCGTTACGTTGTATCCGGAATGGCAGAGAAGAATCCACGACGAGATGGATCAAACACTGGGTCGTGGTCACTTGGCAACTCAGGATGATATTCCAAAATTGGAGCTATTCAAAGCCGTCTTTAAAGAGTCTCTGAGGCTGAATCCTGCAGCGCCGCTCGGTTTGTCTACTCTTCCTCGCAGTGAACACAACTTCTTATCCACACCAGGCGTTCCTCATGTAAGCTCAGAAGAAGACGTGTGGAATGGATACTATATCCCCAGAAACTCAATCATTCATTGCAACATTGGTGAGTTTCGCCCGGCTCCTCCAACTTACGCTTATTTTCCTCAGGGTTTGTCAAGAAGATAGAGAAGAGCACGAGCTGATCTACTCTACAGAGTTGTTCTCAGAGACCCTCGTTTATGGGGAAAGGACAGCCTGGTCTTCAATCCTAATCGTTTCCTCGCAGCTCACAATCCATCGGTGGAGGAGCTACCTGATATCTGGAGCATTCCGTTTGGTTTCGGTCGGCGGTCAGCTTTCTACAACTAAACATGGTCACTTCTGATATACTTCCTGTAGTATCTGTCCCGGACGATACCTCGCGCAACGCACTGCACTGCTATACTGCGCAGCAATCTTGACCATGTACGAAATCCTTCCATTTGAGGGTGACCAGCTTAGTTTCGATGGTCCTTTTGAGGACTCGGTCATCAGGTACGCATCAATGCTGCTAAGTGACATTCTCCTCAACTCCAATAGACGCATATCCAATTTTCGGTGCATATTCAAGCCCCGCACGTAGACCGCGGCTTTATGATGGTCTTACAAAATGCCAAATAAATGGTGTAGAGCGTGTTAAGCCTTGTATACAGCGACTTGAATCGGAAAGTATGCGAAAGAGGCATTTCTCACATTTCTGTTGCTTCCTGCTTATCTAACAAAAGGACGATGGGAAATGTGCTTACACGAATTGCGTATGGCAAGTACTTCTTCCAGCACCATGGTTCGGAAATCATCAAGAACAACGTCGAAGGGTCGAGTTAATTGCTTGGGCATCCACCAAGTTTTGGTTTGTTGACGTCGTCGCATCTCGTATGCTCTTTCAATCATCCCTTTCGTCTTATTTAACAGAATATAGTCCGATATGTACCGGCATGGTTCCCCGGAGCCAATTTCAAACGCATTGGCGACCGCGGAAAATACTACTCTAATTTCATTCGGTATTGGTCGTTTAACCGAGTGAAGGCTGCTATGGTAGTAGTCTCATACACGGCAGTTAAGGTCAGAAGGAGATATCGAGACGATATCTATGAGGAATATGCGAGTCAATATGTCAATAATCTGGAGGATCATTCATTGGGTACTGGATCCGCCTCGCCTTTGAGCCACAACCTCGATTCCCAACATGATAACGTCGTCTGACGGGCCTTGTTGGGTGAATAATGTCCAAATAAACATCTCAATCGCTTAATTAGCCCCGATATTCCACTCTCGTGACTGGCCAAATTTCCCATCACAGTCCTACCAGAAGTGTGGAATCAAGATGCCGAAAATGAGTCGATATTATATCACACCATGGTCAAGTATCTCAACCACCTGTTTCGCTTGAGGACCGTATCCATTTGCTATAGTCTGCCTCGGATTCAAATGCCATTTGACATTCTCCACATGCTGCCAAGATTTGCTATCATAGAGGACTTCCGACACCCCCTTCTTGGGTGCCTGTGGTGCTTCAGCAACCGCTTTATAAGATCACGGAGTTTGTGCCCCGTTTGTCCGAACGTTTGGACCTTGCCTCGATATGCCCACGCTCCCTGAATCGCTCTCTAGCTTCCAAGTTTGGGTAGGAGGCGCCGTCGTTCTTGGAGCTGCAGTTTGGTATCTTGGCTTAAATACCCCCTCAGCCAAGGCAAAGCGGGCTGGGGCTGCCCTCGCGCCCGGACCAAAGAGACTACCTGTCGTCGGCAATTTGTTCAATTTTCCAAAGAGGAAGTGGTATGATACGTTTACCCGGTGGGCAAAGGACTATGGTATGTTTGTGTCACCTGTCGATACAATATTGATGAACGACAACAGGAGATATCACCTATGTCGACCTGGCTGGCACTTCAATGATTGTGCTGAACTCCTTCGGTGCCATCCGTGAATTGACGGAGAAAAGAATGAATATCCACTCAAACAGAGTTCATGCAACTCTAGTCTGTGACTTGTAAGTCAGCTCTGATCCCAGACGAGGTGCAATTTAACAAGTCTAAATAGGATGGGATCTGCTTACTTTCTGACGCTCATGCAACCCACCAAGAATTTTGCAGAGCAGCGCCGTCTTTTCCAAAAGGCAATAGGTCCTCGTATTGTGGAGCAATATGATGCATTCATTCAGCACGGCTGTTCCGAGCTCCTTCAACAGTTTGATGGATTCTCCGGTGAGCCAATTGGCATCCTAACCAAGTGGGTCGCATGTATTTGTCGTTTCTATTGGGATCCTGACACAAATTTGAGGACGATGGGAAACGTACTTACTCGGATCGCGTACGGCGAGCGTTTCTTCGAGCAGCACGGACCTGAAATAATCAAGTACAACATTGAAGGGGTAGAGTTGATCTCATGGGCATTCACACAATTCTGGTTTGTCGACGTGATCCCTACTTGTACGTTCTTTCAAACACTCTTTGTGTACCTTGCTCAACGAAGCGAGTGCGATACGTGCCAGCATGGTTCCCTGGAGCACACTTCAAGCGAGTTGGAAATCAAGGAAAATATTATTCGGACATGATTCGGTACTTGGCGTTCAATCGAGTAAAGGCTAATATGGTAATAAAGCTCTCCAATTCCTATCCTAGGGCCTGATTATTTCTAGGCAGAAGGACTTGTGGATGAGTCTATCCTTTCCAAGTACTTACAGGAAGGGAGTATCTCCGAAGATAACCTTCGAGATGCAGTGGCGACAATGTATACCGCTGGCGTCGACACGGTATGCATCCATCTGATCAGAAATTCCATCTATAACCTTCTAGACAACAATAACAATCACCCATTTCCTGTTCAGCGTTGCCTTGTACCCTGAATGGCAGCAAAAAATCCACCAAGAGATGGATCGAGTACTCGGTCGTGGTCAACTACCAACATTGGGCGACACCTCCAAGTTAGAGACCTTCGAGGCTGTATTCAAGGAATCTTTCCGGTGGAATCCTCCAGTGCCACTCGGTTTGTCGACCTCTCTGGGTATTCAGAGTATAGCATCTTATGGACTGACATAGGTCTCCCTCATGTGAGCTCAAAAGAGGACGTGATTGATGGTTACTATATCCCGAAGGGTTCGATCGTTCACTGCAATATCGGTGCGTATTCCTCTTCGCCCGATATTTAGCTTACATTTGCCAGGGTTTGTGCTCAGGGACCCACGCCTGTGGGGTGAAGACAGCCTCGATTTCAACCCCAATCGCTTCTTGGCGGCCCACAATCCGTCGGTGAATGAGTTACCAGACATATGGAGTATTCCATTTGGTTTCGGGCGGCGGTTAGTTTCTCGCCGCCGTGCATCATGGGAGCTATCTCTCATATTATGGTTTTAGAATCTGTCCTGGACGTCATCTTGCGCAACGTAGTGGTCTATTTTATGCAGCGGCCATCTTGTCCGCCTACGAAATCCTCCCATATGAAGGGGAGACACTCACACCAGACGGACCGTTTGAGGACTCTGCCGTCAGGTGCGTAACGATTATGGAACCGGACTTATATTCATAGCCAATAGACGCCTCTCCCACTTCCGGTGCACATTCAAGCCGCGCTCATAGAAATTGAAAATGGTGAAAACCATATATTGGCGTTGTAATAGATGCACATCGATGTTACGAACGACATTGCGGCGATTGGATATCATACAATTGCATGCGTAGATGAGTTCAAGAACACAAAACAGGCACACTGACCGCATTTGAGAGCGATAGAGAATTTGAAGATAGATATTGTTTTCGTGGTTACCTTCGTTCGAATGATCGTGGGGTTCATGGGAGCGTTTCAGCTCGTCGCGCAGACGAGGTGCGCGTCATGCACGCATGGAGTCCCGTTCTAGGATCCAAGGGCATCGAAGTGAGTTTATCACCACCTTCTTCAGTCAGCCATTCAGACTCGGGGTGATCAACACCCTTGGCGTCAGTCGAGTCATGGCGCACCGGGGTAGAAACTGCCAGATGCGTGGTCGAATCTAGTTCGTCTTCGCCGATCACTTCAGTCTCAGCGTCGTCCCAGGCAAAGTTCCAAGCGACCTAGGAAAAATTAGCATGACACTTTAGAATTCAAGGTCAACTCACCTCGTCAATCTTGGCAGCCGTCCAACGCTTGTTCACATCCACGCAGATACATCCACGCAGGACAGACTTGGGGCCTTTACCAATCTTGACGTCTCTGCTCCTCGACTTGGACGCTCGTCGTCTTCCCTCTCCACCAGCAGGGAACCGCAGTGCATCTCTCGAAGATGAGCGCACGCGACTACGTGATCTCGAAGAGCCTCTTGCACGGGAACGGGTCTTGGATCGACTACGTTCCCATACACCGCGTACAATCTTCATCTGCAGGCGCGGCTCATAGCTGTCCACAAAGGGGAGTCGACCAAAGAGCAATGCGTGCAGGAGGCATCCAACTGCCCAGATATCCTGCGCTGGTCGTACGGGGAAGGGTGATACTTCCGACTTGGTGACATGCTGAGATGAACGCGTTGGGGGGAGAAGGAGCTCGGGCGCGGCATATGGAAGTGATCCAGGTGGGAAGTGATGGAGCGAAGATGGGGTGCTTGCTCCAGGAACGTGAGTCGAGTTTCTGTGGCGTGTTTGGCGCCCGCGAAGGTGAGGAGGAAGAGCAGAATGGGGAGTCTCATCTGCATGATTCTCCGAGCTTGGCGTCTCAACGGGGATGTACCTGGCAAGACCAAAGTCTGCGATGCGACACGCGCCCATCTCATCGACGAGTACGTTTTCCAATTTGATGTCTCCGTGAACCAGGCGGACTTGCTCGTGCAAATAACGTAGCCCGCGGACGACTTGACGGAACATCGTTCCTACGTCGTCCTGGGGGAGACCTGGAGATCCATGAAGCCGCAGAATATCAAAGAGCGAGCCGGCTGGGCAGTAGAGTGAGACGAGGTAGAGAGCATCGTCGGTGCGATAGTCAGTGAAGAGGGGAAGAATGTACTCGTGATGGAGGTTAGACCAAATGGCAATCTCATTCTCTAGGGAAGATACGAGTGACGGGTCTGTGGACGATCTGGTGACAATCTTGACGGCGACGACGCCAGAGGTCGAAGTGGCCTTGCGGATAACGGAAAAACCCCCGTGACCGATGACTGGACCCAGGATGTATGGCCCAATCCTTTCTTCGACAGGCGCGGCGGGACGTCTGATCGCTGAGGCTTGGGCCGGAGCCGAGAATGGGGAATTGAGTCCACTCAAAAAGGCCATGGCAGGTGACCAGGCAGCCTCTTCCTGGACAGGCTTACTTGCCGACGTCTTGTCCTGCTCTGGTATTGGGAGAGGGCTGGTCGACTGCACGGCCTCTGAGCCAGCTGGCGTACCGCGGCCTGGCGGAGACGAGATGACGCGGTTGCGGGGTAATGATGATGGTACAGCGACACCCAGCTGGGTCATAGCGTCTTTGGCTTTTTGTTTGCGGACGTGATCCTCACCCATCATCTGCAAACTCGGCCCCTCTGCCTCGGACTCGTCGCTGACGGACGAGGCATCGCTCGAGGAGTCTGCATCGAGTGATGGTCTACTACTGACGTCACTTGGGGACAGCAGTGGGCTGTTGGCGTCGTCTGAGCTGCTTCCAAACATTTTTGGCGCACTCAGGGCGCTGGCGGGTGACAAAAGGCCAGTCGTGTGCATCCTAGAGGAAGAATAAGAGGCTTGGACGAGTTCATGATCGTCTTCGTTGTTGATAGATAGCTTTACAAGGCTGCTTTGGCTAGTTCCTCGCTGCATACACGGACCAGTCGGCAAAGGAAGGGAGTCAAGTGACAAGCTCCGCTTAGCGCCGGCCGACAACCTGGCTTTGTAGGAAGATGCCTAGGACGGCGAGCACGACGAGCTCAAGGAGCTCAAGTACAGGTTCTGACGACGAAGACAACAATTGGGACGACTTGGTCGACGATTCTCAACAGCCAGCCACTCTCTCACTTTTCGAAGACAAAAGCTTTCCATCGGTCGAGGAAGCCATCGCAAACGACAGGGAAAAGCATGGATTCGACCTCATTGCGCTCTGTAGCAATCTTTGTGAGTTTATAGCCAACCCACGTCATTGGATCACGACTCTGATCAACGGGTGGCCAAAAGCCTTGGACCCATACCAACGCATCAGGCTCGTAAACTACATACGAAGTCAAGTAAGGTGCCATTTATTCTTTGAACATATCTAATACGCTGCAGAAACCACCTCCGAACGAGCTCACGGCTCTTGGGGGGACGGAAACATTCTTCGGTGACGACACATATCTCAAGCCAGTCATTGAAGATGATCCATTGCTTCGTGAGCAGTCATTATGCGACCCATTTCGCGGCATCTCATCAGTCCAGAGCTACAGATGGACGAGTGGTCATCCGACTCTGAACTCGACGCGTCAACTAGCAAGGACATCTCTGGAGAAAAAGAGTTGATTAGGACGCGCAGAGAGGTCAAAAAACTTCGAGAGCGCCTAGCCAAGGCACAGCAAGATCTAGCCGACTACCAAGCCCTCGTTCAAAGGAACCTCGCCAATATTGCCAACGATACCTTTGGCGGTGTAACCGCAGAAGATATTAGAAACGAAGAGCTTCCAACCAACTCGAACAGGGACGATGATACGCACTACTTTGAGAGCTACAACGAACAAGGTTGGTTTCTTCAGACTTGCAAGATGATCCTAATACCGTACATAGCGATTCATTATATCATGCTCACGGATAGAGTACGAACTTCGACCTATGCAACCTTTATCCTTTCGAATCCCTCACTCTTTCAAAATGCCGTCGTAATGGACGTCGGCTGTGGTACTGGGATCTTGTCCCTATTCGCTGCTAGAGCAGGTGCAAAGCGGGTTATCGCAGTCGAAGCGAGCAAAATAGGAGAAAAAGCAGATGCCAACTTCAAGGCGAGTGGCTATGCGGACAAGATCACGTAACATCCTTTACTTATCTTGTGGGTTCGCGCTGATGAAAGTTTAGGTTGGTTAGAAGCAAAGTCGAGAATATCAAGAGTCTGCCAGACGACATTCCCCATGTCGACGTGATTCTCTCCGAGTGGATGGGCTACTCGCTCCTCTACGAATCGATGCTCGACTCTGTCCTCGTCGCGCGTGATCGATTCCTCCATCCAGGCGGAACCTTTATCGAGTCACCAGGCGAGCCAGCAAAGAACACAAGTACACAACACGGAGTAATGGCCCCAAGTCAATGTCGGATCATGTTGGCCTTGGCTGACCCACAAACGATTGTCAAAGAACGTGTGGGTTTCTGGAAGGATGTATACGGATTCGACATGAGTGCCATGTCGACAGAGGCGTACGACGACGCGATTATTGACTACGTCGCGAACGAATCCCTGCTCAGTGACTCGTGCATAGTCAAAGTATGTAAAATTGATCGCTTTTTATCACATTCTGATCTTGGGCAGGATCTCAATCTTCAAACCATCGCAGCCAAAGCGCTTTCGTTTACCGCACCGTTCACGCTCAAAGCAAAAGATCTTCCGACGTCTCCGGCATCCAAAGTCAAATCCGGCAACACGTATTTCCTTGGCAAGCTGCATAACCACCGGACGTACGCAACTGCTTTTGTTCTCTGGTAAACATTTATACTCTAGAGTCGCCGTGTTTGATCGATCATTGACAGGTTTGACACATTCTTCCATCCGACGGGACAACAATATCCTCCAGAGATTCCCTGTAAAGTACATACTAGTGGTGACGGGGACTGGGAAACAGGTGATGTACTCAAATTACGACCAAGCCACAAGAGAAGAAAGACGCTCGAAAGCAAGGAAGCTCCCAATGTGTCCAACCTCGTCGACCCAGACCAAACAACGACCGAACCTCAATCAATCATCAAACCATCTTCCGTTGGGAAAATAGACTCACCGTTGGCACAAATGCACGGCCCTGGTACAGCTGGTGAAGAGCTGGCTCCGGAGACAAGGGAAGAAAGCTTCACGACGGGTCCACACGGGACACCAACGCATTGGAAGCAAACCGTGTTTCTCCTCAAAACACCCATTGAGATAAGAAGAGGCACGTAACTCCCCTTCATACCACGATAGTGTCTTATCATTCGCTTTCCAGGAACGGAAATACATGGAACCTTTAGTTGCTGGAAGAATGCTGAGAACTCGCGTGAGCTAGACGTCGAACTCCGATACACAATCATCAACACGTCGTCATCGGTGGACTCGGAAAAGAAGCCAGGTCCAAACGCTATGCCTCATGTCCAGAGTTTCAAAGTACGATAGAATTTCAATCCATTTGATTGGCGATACATAGAGGTACAACAGTGTTGAGGGTTATTTAGTGATCCAAGATACGTAATAAGATTGGGAATATGATTAATCTCGTCGGACTGAGAGAAAGCGGGATAATCAAGCCTGAGGCAAGACCTCGCGTCGTCCACCCGTCCACTAAAAACTATGGTTAGGAGGATAATAAAAGAAGTTGAGTACGTACTGCAGTATTGAATTCCAAACAGGACGACGGAATATGCCCATATCCGACCCCATATCCCATCGACTCGCATGCCTGTTACTTTCTTCCACACCCGTTCGAGCAAAACAAACACTCCTTGAGATGCAAAGAATACTGTTGCGGTATGATCTGTCCCACCCTTTCCCATTGTATAGATGGAAAGTCCATGGAACAAGCCTGAAGCTGTGAACGTTCCAAGTACCAGTCCGATTCTCCCAACGTATTCAGCCTTTTTCTCACCAATAAGTGGACGAGAGAGAGTTTTGAGGACATATTCGGCTGGATAACCGCCAAAAACGAAGAATGTTTGTCGAAGGGTTTGGTGCCACCGTCGACCCCAGAAGTCACCTAGACTCGTCGTGAGCCATGGACTGTCGAAGAGAGGAGGCCAGCTCTGCGGATTGTGCCCGAGCAACCCAACACAGAAGAGTGTAAGGATGCCATAGCACATTGAGAACCCGGCAATGATGGCAATGCCAATGAAGAATGTAATTGTTGTTGAAACCGTGTACCGTGTGATAATAGTACTGATATATGGGTGTGCCTTGACCCATGGACCCAGAAAGGTATGAGTCAAAAATGAAAATGGGCGATCCATAAAGTAGATAGAGCCACCTCCAGGCGGTGAGAAACCCGGAATAACTTTGAGCATGGACTCGATGAAATCCAACGTGAGAAAGGCGAGGATTGTAGACGACAATGTCGATAGAATGAACCCTCGTCGATCTAGTGGTCGTGTTTCCGGCGCGACGTGCAGCCCTTTACCCCAGTCCCATCCGATCCCCCGGACAGAACCAACGACCTCGATTGCATCTGCGAGTCCTTGGAGAGGATGGTGTGTTTCAACCATTTTGGAGTTGGGGAATACGGCAACGCCATCCCCTCTTTGAGCTGTGGCGTATGCGGCCGCGTCGAGTCCTTGAAAGCTAGGGTTACACCTGAGGGAGACTTGATCGGTTTGCGGTGCTTGCCGTCTGGCGATGTGTCTCCTTCGGGAAGCGCCATGAATTGGAGGGTGACACCAGATGGGAATCGAAAGACACGGCCATTAACAGGGTCCGGATACTGGTGCGCAGATATTGCACCGGTTTTAACCATCTCATCCTTTCGCGCTTTGCTCACCCCAAGTGTGGAAGCCGTCGACGGTTCGTTCTCGGTGAGCCGGTCGATTGCGGGGGTTTGGACTTGGCCTAATTCGACTTCTCCGAGCTTGAAACGACCTCTCCTGACAAATCCATACTACCGACGTCTGAGCTACAGTCCTCTTCTAGTTCAAGCGCGTACCTCTAGGGCTTTTCCAACGCTTGCCATCCCGAATAGTCCTATTTATTGTGCTAAATGAGAAAAAAGGGGTGCAGCCGCCGTCGAGTTGACATACCTTGGCCAAAGTTGTATGGGCCATAGAGCTCGTCTACCCAGACATAGGCGAAGCTTGCTCGCAAAATAGCCCAGATGGTGATAGGCATAAGCGCGAGTCTGTACAAGTGCGTGTTGGGTCGTCGGACCAAGTAACTCATCAACAACAGTGGGAGGAGAGGGAAGAAGACGTTGTGGATCGTGTATACAGTGACAGGAATGCGGTCTTCGGGATAAGGAATTAGTCTGTGCCATAGTCGTTGCGTCAACGTGTGCGCCGCCTGGATACTGCGCACATGAACAAATTATGAGCAAGTAGGCGATGGGTCTAGGGATTTCTTACAAGTCATCAAGAGAGCTTTCATGAATCATAGACTAGAAATGAGTAGCTGGACGCGTCGGATTGTGAGACCGTTGCTGTCGGAGACGATGACGAAGAGTTCAAGTGTACAGGCGGCTCATTCGGCAACATTTGGCTAACTGCTTACACAGACCTGAATAGTCTCGAAAGCTGTTTACTTGTAATCAAGTCAGGAAAAGAACTCGTACATTTCAGAAGTGGCAGAGGAAAGGTGTAACACGGCCGGCATGTATAGGAGTTTCCGGATACAAGTTTTCAATGTTCCCCGAGTAAGCTCCCAGCAAGGTTTGAGCGAGAGACGAATTCGCATTCAAATCCAACTGGGCGGCTGACGACCGCATCCTCGTAGACCGTCTTGCGTACGTCTTTCACTTCCTTTCCTTTGATCGGCACTATATCGTACGCAGCGAGCACCGACATGGCGTAGCAGAATCCCATTCTTTCGGCCAAGAACCGTCCAGCACAGGCTCTGCAAAGTGTCAGGTCCATTAGAGCAAGGTATAAGTCGTCCTACCTCGTTCCAAAACCAAATGCTGCGCTGTTTGGGTCCGGGAGATTTTCACTCCCTGGTTCAAACCATCGTTCGGGTCTATATTCGTCGGGATTCTCAAAGATACGAGGATCTCGAAGCATGAAACTTGAATCTGGTTAATGAAAGGAAAACTGCGTAAACGCTACTTACCCAATATTGAAAAGGACCATCGCATCCTTTGGAATATACATGCCTCTGTACACGTCGTCCTGCGTTGTGCGCCTAGGGATACCGACGGGTGTAGTTGGGTGCCATCGGATACTCTCCTTCCACGCCGCATCAGCGTATGGAAGGTTGGGTCGATCGTTGGGTGTAGGGAGTCTGCCATGGCCAATTACGCTGTCCAGCTCTGCTTGTACTTTGCGTTGTAGGTGAGGGTGTGTCATCATCGCATACATGAAGTTGATCACGGTAGCGGATGTCTATAAACTATGAGTGAATGCGGTGTCTTTGGGATAATCGTACTGTGTCAACACCAGCTGGGAAATGTAAGAATTTGACCCAACCCGAGGCAACGTACTTACCCGCGTACATCATTCCAATGGCATCCTGTGCCAACTCTTGATCTTCTCCTTTTTCGATGTAGTTTACAGCAATACACGGCCCAGACCTTCCTTCTTTCTGTGCTTCGAGTGAGAAGTGTCGCAATAGAAGATGCCTTCTTACATATCGGGCATTGACCTCCTCCCACGGCCACCAATGGATTCTTTCTTGCATTCGCCGTCCATGTGCACCAACGCGTTTGAACGTTGCGCCGGGAGTCCACTCGGGAATGTGTTGCACTGATTTCTTGTAAGCAGATGGAGACAAACCAAGACTTTACTGACAGCTAGGCCAAAATTCGACGACCCAGAGTTTGGTAGAGATATCCGTAATTTGGTCAAGAGCTGCTTGATTCAGCTTCGTCAACTCTTTTCCATGGTCCTTGTATACTGTCGGTCCATATGCGAGTGTAATGACAACAGAGGCTACCCCGCTATGCAAAAATGAGTCCAAGACCTGAGCGAATACATCCACTTACGCAACAGACAGGTCCACGGGTGATCCCTTGTATCCATGCAGAGAAATTACATAGTTCTCTGCTCCTCGCAGGATCAAAGGATCATGCGTCGCAACCACACCCGCACCAACGCTCTCCCTGAAGATGCGACGAATAGCCTGGTGTCGTGGTCCTGGATCCATAGCGACGACGTTCCAGGTCCATCCCATGCTGGTGGCCATCAACATCACCACAAAGGAAGCGAATACGCCACTCACATCTCGGATGACATAACACTCCTCGGACGACCAGAATGAATCTGCCCTTTTTTCACGAAGAGCTCTTCAGCAACATCGAGCGAGTTGACAATGAGGATTGGTGTGCCGAGGAGATTGACATGGATCAAATCACCTAGTCGAGACTCTCTGAGATTACAAATTGGGTCGAGGGATCTGCCTTCTTACCATATTTTTTCTGCCATTCCGTAAACGTCTGCTGCCATTGAGATTGTGGAAAGTCAAGCATGTTTCCAATCAGTGGATAAGGCTTGGGCCCTTTAGGATACGGAAGTTGTTTTTTCTTCCCTAGGGCACTCCATACCACCCACAGGGCAGGAACTGCGAGAGCAGCAGAGTAGAGAATGGTCTGCGAATCCATATCGTTCTTCGATGCGTCGCTTGCCCTCCTTGAGCACCAGAGAGGGCTCTGTAAGCAATCAAAGAGCAACAACGAACAACGAGGACGTGTCCAAGTTGTGTCCCCTCCACTTGGGCCGGCGACTATGCTGAGAAAGGCATGGTTCACGGCACGCAAGGGGCGCTTAGGCTCAAAGAGTGGACCTGAACCCAATTCACGTCAACCAATCACATCTTGTGGGTTATCAACGAGCTTGGTAGACTCCTCGGATTAGAAATGCTTGCCCAAGATTCATTGATCATCGAATGGTCGTGTTGACCACCTTGTTCCTCAAGCTACGGAAAAGCAAGAAAAATAATTTGGTAAAAATTAGATTGTTATAGGCACGACAGTAGATGTACTCCCAGACAACACCAGACACCTCAATTTCATGCACGGGGCTTGAACTTGCATTGGAAATTGGACAAGCGTCTACAGATTATCAGAGACATGTTTTGTCTGTGCTTTGATACGTACCTAATCACAGAATCCTCAAAAGGTCCTTCTGGTGAAAGGATGTCGCCTTCAAATGGGAGTACCTCGTACATGGACAGGATAGCTGCAGAGTACAGCAGTGCGGTGCGTTGCGCAAGATACCGACCAGGACAAATACTACGGCAAACTTGTCAGTAGCAGCCGTAATATGAGGTCATGGAGGACTGACCGCCGACCAAACCCAAACGGAACACTCCAAATGTCCGGCAGCTTATCGACCGATGGGTTATGGGACGCAAGGAAGCGATTAGGGTTGAAGTCTAGACTATCCTTCCCCCACAACCGTGGGTCTCTGAGAACAAACCCTGTCGACAATCAGTCCGCGTCTCAAGGAGGAGGTATAATGCACCGATGTTACAATGAATGATTGAGTTTTTGGGGATATAATATCCATTCCACACGTCCTCTTTCGAGCTCACGTGGGGAACACCTAGATTGAGTGAGACGTGGTTTCCTTCTGTAGAAGAAGACAAACCAAGTGGCGCTGCAGTGTTCCATCTAAAGGACTCTTTGAAGACGACCTGGAAGAGTTCCAACTTCGGAATGTCGTCCAGCGTCGCCTGATTACCGCGACCAAGGACTTGATCCATCTCTTCGTGAATTTGCTTCTGCCATTCCGGATACAAGGCAACACTGAACAGGAAATTACTTATGGTGCTTGACGTCTGAGCGGATTAGAAGAGGTGTCTCGATCTAATAGAGTGCTCACTGTGTCGACTCCAGCGCCGTACATTGTCGCCACTGCATCTCGAAGATTGTCTTCCGAGATCCCACCTTCCTGTAAGTATTTGAAAACAATGGATTCATCTGTGATCCCTTCTGCCTATTGGTTTTCAGGACAGAGTGTGAACGTTGGAGAAGTGTTACCATAGTCGCTTTCACTTGGTTGAACGGCCAGTAGCGAATATAATCCGCATAGTCCTTTCCTTGAGAAGCGATGCGTTTAAACTTCGCGCCAGGGAACCACGCTGGTATATGGCGCACTACTCTTATTGGGCAAATAGCTGGAAGCCAATCGAAAGTGCTCACAAGCAGGGATCACGTCGACAAACCAGAACTTTGTAAATGCCCATGTGAACAGCTCTATTCCTTCACCAGTTTTCTGGAGAGCTTCCGCTCCATGGTGTTGAAAGAAGTGCTCGCCATAGGCAATTCGAGTAAGTACATTGCCCACCGTCCTGTCATCCGTGTCAGTCGTTTGAGTTGAGGGAGGCGTAAGCTTACTTGGTCAAGACATTGAACGGTTCACCTGAGAAGCCGTCCAACTGTTGCAAGAGCTGGGAGCAACTATGCTGAATGAAAGAATCGTATTGGTTGACAGTATGAGGACCTATCGCCCTTTGGAAAATACGACGCTGGTCTGTGAAATCTCTACTTGGCTGTATCATGGATGTAAAATAGCCACAGTCGATCCTATGTATTCGTCAGAATATGTCACTTCTCGTATCGTGACCAGCTGCTTACATGTCGCAGACGAAAGTGGTATGGGGCCTGCCAGAGTGTATGCTCATTCTCTTGTCTGTCAGTTCGTGAATGGCCTCCAAGGAGTTTAGAATGATCATCGGAACTCCGGCTAGATCAATGTAAATGATGTCTCCTATGGCCGCTCATGAGTATAATACCCAACCATAGTATTACACGTACCGTAGTCGCCTGCCCATTGAGTGAATGTTTCGTACCACCTTCCCCGAGGAAAATTGAATACGTTGCCCAGAAACGGCACCCGCCTCGGTCCGGGTGCAAGGACAGCACCTCTGCGCTTTGCTTTCGTCGTAGCAGTATGCCGCGAAATATACCAAGTTGTGAGACCAAGTATGGCGGCACCACTGGCCCACAAATGGGAACTCGAGAGCGATGGGAGAGACATATCGCTGTGGTTGAAGATAAAAGAGACTTAGGGGACGGAGGATCTGGATCCGCTTGCCCTTATGTAGTAGAGAACTCCAGGCAATACGATCTCAATCCGGTAAGGGATGTCGCACACGAGCGCAATGCTAACCGGACATGCGATAGAGGCTCACCGCGAAGTCAAGAAAGAAGCCAATGATGCCAGCGCCTTGGGAGATCATGGGCGCGGTGGTTGAGCGCCTCTGCTACAGGCCCTGCCCGGGGACATTTGTAGAGTATCTCACGCTTCATTTTTGGTCCTATAACTATCCAGTAGGATAGGAAGGATGATGATACGACGGAGGCTATTCTGGGCGATATGATCGCAAGACTTGATGGAAATAAGCGATATACACCCTCGGATAAGTTGGAATGGCTAGTTGGAGGATCCTGGGCCCTTCGACGCCTGGCTGTGCAGTCTGTTCGGGAACAGAGCTGGAAGGTAGTGAATTGTCTGAAGATCTACTGCGAAAAACAGGTGCACTGATGGAAGGTGTCAAAGCCCGGGTACATGGGGATCTAACCGAGCGAAGTTGGCCCGGGAATGGGATTAAAGAACATATTGACGGCTGAGATGTCTGCGTAGACCCCTATTATACATTTGAAAGGTATAAGGTATGGTGTTATTCATACGGATGGACGAGAGGTGTCTGACCATGGACATTCAAACTCGGTTTTCACATCGGATTTGTTTCGCTTTATAGACTCCAGAGTTCTACTCCCAATTTATAGATCCAGATAGCTAGCGTTGCTGCTCACACGACCCGCAGTTTGAAGAAGCCTCGATTGGTAGTACCAGAAGAGCCCGAGATAACCAGAAGTAGCGCGAAATACATATACTGAAGACGGCCAAGTGGCATTCAAACGAACATTTTGTCGACCCCGACTGGTAATGGATGTGCCAACTCCGGGTCTGGTTTGTGACCCTGTTGGAGCTAAATGGACTCGCTCAAGGGTCATTGATTGTTGAACGTCGACTGGGTCCCAAGACCGTGGGTAATACCCACCGTGTCCTGCATACTGTTTGCAGCTCCATGATGAAGATCAACCCACGTTCACTTATCGCTCTTTGTAGTTCCTGCTTAGGGGCCCTGGTTACAATGACGAGAATAGACCTCGGGGTCGAGAACTCCGTCCCGAGCGGCGTTTTCTCACCACCCAAGGGCCGACACGTTATTCCTTGCCTCAACGTCTGGAAGTCAAATGGACGCTTTGCAAGTACGATCAGTGGTCGCTGGAGGAGCAACAGCGGCCATGGTCATCATTTCCGTCTATATAGCCGCGAACTCAGTCTCAGCCAGGGCTCGGAGAGCGAATGCGAGGCTGCCTCCAGGCCCAAAGCGATCCATTTTGTTTGGAAATCTGTTCAACTTTCCGAAGAAGAGATGGTTTGAAACTTTTTCATCTTGGAAGGAGACCTACGGAGACATTGTCTATGTGAATGTTGCCGGTATCTCGATGGTTATCGTCAATTCTTTCGAAATAGCGGAAGAATTGGCGTCAAATAGAATGGGAATCTACTCCAGGCGACCTCATACGATTATGAGCTCTGAATTGTGAGCACGTTGCAGCGCCAGCATCCGCTATCACTCATATAATCGCATACAGAATGAGCTCGGGTTATGCTCTTGTCCTCAAGCAACCGGATTCAGAGTTTGTTGAACAACGCAAGGTGTTCCGCAAAGGCGTCGGTCCGCTGGTGGTCGCACACTACGACCCCCTCGTTCAGCAGCAATGCCGTTCCCTCATTAAAGCCCTGGAAGGATTTTCAGGGCATCCATATGATATTCTCGCCTTGTGTGTCCTTTTATCTTGTCAAAGACTACAGCTAATGATATGAATTTAGGAAAGTGGGAGAGCTCGTCAATACAATTGCATACGGAGAAAGCTTCAATGCCACGCACGGTCAAGAGCTTATCAAGTTGAACATTGAGAGGATCAACCTCATAACTTGGGTGTTTTCAAAGATATGGATGGTCAACTTCTTTCCTATCTGTGCATAACGTTCCTTTACAAGGCTATTCGCTGATTTGACTCTAGTGAGGTATATTCCTCCTTGGTTTCCCGGCGCAGAGTTTCGACGTATTGGCATACGAGGTACCGAGGTCACGCAGAAGTTACGCTACTGGCCATTTGGACAAATCAGAGCAGCTGTGGTACGTTAACTAGAGTTGATTCGAGTTTGTTGAAGAAATTCGCAGGAGGCAGGTACAGCTGACGATTCCCTCGTTTCGAGGTTGCTTAAGGACTCGAATCTGTCACAAGATATGCTACGGGATGCCGCCGCAGTCATGTTCTCAACCGCGAATGATACGGTATGTAAAGGAAGCCTAGTACACATCGTAATTCATTTGCAAAGACTTCATCCGCCGTCATATGTGTACTACATTGCCTCTTGCGCAGTCCAGAATGGCAAGAGAGGGTGTATCGGGAGATTCACGAAATAGTTGGACACGATCGCCTACCCAGAATGGAAGATATACAGAATATGGAGCTCCTGAATGCCGTCTGGAAGGAGTCGATACGGTGGAATTCGCCCGCCCCTCTGGGTATGGACATCGTGCGCTTACTCAATTCAGGATCGATGATTAAATTTCTTCAGGTATCCCCCATGTCAATTCCCAAGATGATGTCTGGAATGGTTATTTTATTCCCAAAGGATCGCTTGTGCACTGCAATATCGGTATGGTTCACTCTGAACTTACGCACGTACGATGCTAATGGTTGTAGGGCAAGCACGGTTACAACAAACACTATCAGTTTCTGATTTCTATACAGATTTATGCTGAGGGATCCTCGGATCTGGGGTGTAGATAGCGAACAGTTCAACCCTCAACGTTTCCTACGCGAGTACAATCCCAACATCGACAAACTTCCAGATATGTCAAGTCTGCCATTTGGCTTCGGACGAAGGTGACTGACTCGTGGCGGAAAAGGTATAGGCTGACCTACGTAGAATCTGTCCTGGACGCCACCTTGCCGAACGTGTTGGACTTCAAATGGTCGCGGCAATTTTAGCCACGTACAAGCTGGAGCCTGTCAAAGAAATTCCTGCTGAAGTAGACTGGCTGGACTCGACCGTTCGGTAAGATTTTCTACTAGCTGAAGTGCAGCCTATTGATTCATGAAGACGTCCGTTGAACTTTGAATGCCGATTTGTACCACGGCTCAAGTGGTTTTGAGTGGGAATAGTTTCCCGCATCGATAGGCGGTGTTTGCCGCCCAAATAATGCAACCCTATGTCTTGAAGGGTTCTTTTGATGGTGTAATCTCGCCCGTTACCGTGGTCGGCATCTTTATCCTTTCAAGCGAACTAATTACTCGCTTCACGTTCCCAAAGCCAAGGGCCAATGAGCATAATTCTCGTTATTCTTGTTCTATACAAGGTTTCCCGGATCGAGGACTGGTCTTTTCGAAAAATCTTGAAACGTTCAAACGGCAGGTAGGTCTGCTGACTTGAGCTCAATGACGACCGGCGACCGATCCTTTCGCGCGTGTCAACCAATTTAGAGCAAAACTTCAACGTGTGTGCACACGTGAATCGGTGTACAACCCCAAATCAACTCCGGAGGTGCTCAGTTTGGTCGAAATGGGCGGTGGAGGACACTGAAGATGGCGAGTTTTGATTCTTCTTTCCGTGTCTAGAATATAGAATACAACTGTTTGACTGCTGAAACGTGTCCTTTTGCATGATTTACAAAACGTTTGCGGGCTGTTGCGCAAGGGTTGCGCCATTTGGGCTGACGGAAACCATTCGAATTGTTTTAGGGTTGGAAATAACGCAAGATTTGCCGTGAGATCCGTCCCCAAACTGGCCCGCTCGTGACCTGTGAGCGGTGCCACACTTGGTCCGGCGTCGGCTAGTAAAAGCTTGTGATCATTACTCGACTGGTCAGCTGCGAGCGCCCAAGGAATCCTCATAAAGAGCCCGTTCGGCCATGGAACACGACTTGTTCCCTCCCATCTCATACTCGGACCCTTCTCGACGTCTACTAACTCCATCTAATCGATGAGCACACCAACAAGCTCGACCCCAGACGCTCAGGTAGCGTATTTTTATCCTCTATGAGGCCATGCATGCCATTGACCGCTGCAAACTACAGGCAAGTTTGCGCGTTCCGGGCATCTACACTGCAGCTGCGAACAAAACGGGCAGCGATTCTTCTCTTCATGTGATCAAAAATGTCCCGTAAGTGTCTAGCACCGGTCTACCACTCGACGCTTTACTGAGTCGGTGGCTCTCGTGACCTCCAGCGGCTACAAAACTCCAGTCTTCCCCGCAAAGGAAGAGCAACGCCTCAAGGTATATGAAAACGTCACTCAAAAGGGATTCCTCCCAAAGGAGTTTGTGCGTCCAGAAGTAGATTGGTTCTATGACGGCCTCGGCATCGAGGTGTGTGGCAGTCTCCCCCACATGGTCGCATCGGCTTATCGATCATACAGGAAAATTACTTTGCAAACGAGTCCATTGACGTCATTACGGACCATATCATTGCACTCTTTGCCGCAAAGACACTTGCGTACACCAAACATTCCAACCAGCTCTTAATCGATCTCGAAAAAGTGACCGAAAATGGTGCCCTCTTCATCCACACAAGCCCCCCTGGTGTCACGAGTGAAGAGGGACCCGGCGCAACCTGCGAAACTCGGTACGCACCTTGCCTATACAAGGATCTCGAACGTCTGTCTGACCCCACGACTATTATAGAATCGATGACCTCTTCCTCGATATTTCGACGCCTCAAAAGGCCTTCCGCCTCGAAACGTATCGCTCTGCTGGTGTGACAGCCGGCAACTCGCAGTCCCTGCGCTGCTACTTTGTCTCGCAATGCAACTTCCCCTCTATTCCTCCAGACTCGTTTCAGCCCGAGAATACGTCCACGGGCACCGTCGACATCCGCACCGTATCCGACCCTCACTTCCTCGAAAAGGCGTCAGAAAACACCCTCGAGATTTATCAGTCGATCATGAACCACGTTCTTCAGCGACGTGGCTTTGGCCCTGTCCTCGAGTTCTACGAAGTCGAAGGTACGAGGGAGAGGCGAGTCGTCATTGGCTACAAGATGGGCTCGACCAAGCACTTCTTCAGCGCGCTTAGTCAGCTTTACCACTGGTATGGGCTCTACTCAAAGAGGAAATACGTCGAGCAATTTGCCAATGGCGTTACGATCATCTGTTAGTACTCTCATATAATCATATATCCCTGCTGACATTATGACAGCTCTCTATCTCAACCCTCTTCCTGGAGCAAACGCACCTCCGATTGAGCACTCAATTCATCAGGTCACCAAGGAAGCATCTCTCCTTCATTGCCTACCAGACAACCCCTTCTTCCGCACCACTACTTCCGGTGATCGTCCAGGCGGAATTCCGACTACTCATGCCGTACAAGAGGCGACATATGCTTGTGCGTATTCCGCTGCTATCTCTCACCGCATTCTAACAATTCGAGCAGACGCCGGATGGATTTTCGCGCAGCACTTCTGTAACCGACTCGGTCCCGCATACTCTGCTCTCCGCAATGTTCTTGACGAAGCCAACCCTGGTCACGCAGAGGTTCTCAATCAGATCAAGAAGCGTTTCAGAGAAGAGACGTTTACGCGTCAAGGCATTTCCGAGGCTATTCTCGCGTACCCGGAGCTCGTAAGTATAAGTCGTCTTCGGTCGGATCCAACCTCGTGCTCCGTGCTGACGCTCCGCTAGATTCGTATGCTCTACGTCAACTTTGCAATGACGCACTACCCGAATGATTCGGAGGCGACCAAACTCATGTCGGTTCTTTCACGGCGGCGAGGACGTTGGATTGACGAGATATAGGCCCACACTGTCGTACCAGCGACTCAAGACTGAGCAACCTCTCTCTGTCCCCGAGTTGCAGGAGAAGATTCGTAAGACTGTCGCGAACAAGCACGACTTGCAAGTCTTCGAGGCGCTCCTCACATTCAACCAGTCAGTCCCCAAACTCTTCCAGGAACATACCTGACATTGTCTAGGCACGTTCTCAAGACCAATTTCTACCAGCCCACCAAGGTTGCCATCTCGTTCCGCTTGGATGGAAACTTTTTGCCAGACATCGAGTACCCAACGAAGCCTTTTGGTGTCTTCATTGTCGTCGGCTCCGACTTCCGTGGATTCCATGTCCGCTTCAGGGACGTCGCTCGTGGTGGCATCCGTATCGTTCGCTCGAGGGGACGAGAGTGAGTCGATAGCTAGGATTTATAGCATCGATTCGCTGACTTGCTCACTCAGGAACTATTCCATCAATCAGCGTACGCTCTTTGATGAAAACTATGCGCTCGCAAGCACACAGGCACTCAAGAACAAGGACATTCCCGAAGGAGGTGCGAAAGGAACAATTCTTCCATCGTAAGTAGCCCGTCTCTTGGCCCTTCCTTTCTGACCTGGGCTAGTCTGGGTGCCGATCCTCGTGCATGCTTTGAGCGATACGTCGATGTAAGCTGAAAGTCGCTATCCTGAGGCACGACTTATGGTTTTATAGGCCATCATAGATCTTCTCCTCCCAGGAACAACCCCCGGTATTAAAGAGCTACTGGTCGACAAGTACGGCAAACCGGAGATTCTCTTCTTCGGCCCAGACGAGGGCACTGCAGACATGATGGACTGGGCGGCTTGTACGTAATGTTTTACTGCTGGACTTACTAGGTCTAACGCTGTTTAGTGCACGCTCGCTCACGTGGAGCACCTTGGTGGAAGTCATTCACCACTGGCAAGAGCGCAGAGAAACTGGGTGGTGTCCCGCACGATACATATGGCATGACCTCGCTCTCCGTCCGCCAATACGTCGTTGGGTCGTATCAGAAGCTTAGCCTTACCGAGTCAGAGATTACTAAAGTACAAACCGGAGGACCCGACGGTGATTTGGGCTCGAGTAAGTGTCCAGTGTGATACGATTACATGAGTTAACTATGGATCTAGATGAGATTCTGCTCAGCTCGGAGAAGTACGTCGCCATCATCGACGGTTCAGGTGTTCTCGCGGATCCCAATGGCCTTGATCGCGACGAACTCGTTCGCTTGGCAAAGGGCAGGAAGATGATTGTCAACTTTGATCGCTCCAAGCTCAGCAAAGATGGCTATGTTGTACTCGTCGAGGACAAGGACCTCAAACTCCCCTCTGGTGAGATCGTAGCAGATGGTACCGACTTCCGCAACACGGCACACTTCCGCTACCATGCAGACCTCTTCGTCCCATGCGGTGGCCGTCCAGAGGCCGTCAATATCTCCAATGTTGCCGAGTTGTTCGACGAGGACGGCAAATGTCACTACAAGTATATCATCGAGGGTGCAAATCTGTTCCTTACGCAACAAGCGAGACTGTATCTCGAGAAGAGGGGTATCGTCGTCTTCAAGGATGCCAGTGCCAACAAGGGTGGCGTGACTTCGTCATCCCTCGAAGTGCTTGCTGGTCTCGGTCTCAGCGACCAAGAGTATCTCGACCTCATGGTGTTCAAGAACGGAAAGCCTTCCTCTTTCTATAGGGATTACGTCAAGGAGATCCAGGGCAAGATTGTCGAAAACGCCGCGATGGAGTTTTCGTGCATCTGGCAAGAGTATACTCGAGCAGGAGGTGCCAAGCCACGCACGCTCATCTCGGACGAACTCTCGAGCACGCTTAACAACTTGCAAGCCGAGTTGGAAAACTCTGACTTGTTTGACGACGTCGCGAGTCGTCGAGGTGTGCTTAGCCGCGCTATTCCCCAGACACTCGTCAAGCAAGTTGGGTTGGACACGCTAATGAAGCGTCTGCCGGAGCCGTATCAGCGCGCCTTGTTCTCGAGCTGGGTGGCTGCTCATTTCGTACGTCTTTTTCACGTCACAATTATAGTGGCTAACTATGTCGTGATAGATTTACCAATATGGCGTCGCCGGAAGCAACGTCGATTTCTTCAACTTTGCACGCACGCTCGCTCAGTAGAGGAGCCGTGTGTACTGTCTAATGATGGTTCTAGTCTCGGTCGAATGCGTTTATCTGTAGCCTAATTGTGGACATAGGAAGTGAAGAACAAGACATATTCTGATATTCGCGAGTTGTTTCCCAAACTTGCATCCATATGTAGTAATACCATGAAAGCTTGAGGAGAGTCGCCAGGGTTGAGTGTTCCAAGTAGATATAGTCAAGCACGTCTATTCTGTACGTGGCTTGAACGTGCATCGAAAATGAGATATTCGCCTGGGGAGTGTCAACCTGCGTCGAATTTCGAAGCAGGAGCAATGCACCTGACAACAGAATCCTCGAATGGTTCGTTTGGTGTTAATACTTCGCCTTTGTACGGTAAGACTTCGTATGAGTACAGGATTGCAGCTGCATAGAGAAGCGCAGCACGTCGTGCTAGGTGTCGTCCCGGACATATACTATAGCAAACGTATGAGAAGTGAGTCATATAACGATATCTCGGGCTAACCGTCGCCCAAAGCCAAATGGGATGCTCCAGATATCTGGAAGCTCATCAACTGATGGGTTATATTCCCGGAGAAAGCGACGCGGATTAAAGTCTTGACTATCCTTTCCCCATAATCGAGGGTCTCTGAGCACAAACCTGAATGGTTGGTCGGTATTGTACTCAATTTAAATTGGCAAACAAACCCTGGAAATGAATCAGCGGGTATCCTGCAAAGAATGATCACGCACCAATATTGCAGTGAAGGTAGCAACCTTTCGGAATATAGTATCCTCTCCAAACGTCTTCTTTTGCACTCACATGAGGCACACCTGCAGAAAATGAGATGAATAGCTATTATCAAACCCAACAGACCAATTGGAGCTGCCGGGTTCCATCGGAGCGATTCATTGAAGACGGCATTGAGCATCTTCAGCTTTGGAATGTCCTCTATTGTCGGCATATGACCATGTCCAAGCACCTGATGCATCTCTTCATGAATTTGCTGCTGCCATTCTGGGTACAGAGTGATGCTGAATATGAAGTGTGTGATTGTGATGGCCGTCTGAGTCCAATGTCAATTTAACTCTGCGAGAAATATAAAGACGTACAGTATCGACTCCGGCGGCGTACATGACCGCTACCGCGTCGCGAAGGTTGCCCTCAGAGAAGCCGCCTTCATTCATATACTTGGAAATGATGGATTCGTCCGTAATTCCCTTAGCCTGTGCCTGTCAGAATTGTTTCATTCAGTGTCTGAATACCCACCAAAGCAGCCTTGACATAATCAAAGGACCGATACCGAAGGACGTGAGCATACCCTTTTCCTTGTTCGCCAACACGTTTAAAGGCTGCACCAGGGAACCAAGCTGGTATATAGCGCACTGAATTTTTGTTAGAAGATGAAAACCTGTTGGAGGATGACATACGCAAAGGAATCACGTCGACCAACCAAAACTTGGTAGATACCCAGCCAACCAGTTCTACTGCGTCAAGATTGTTCTGGATAATCTCTGGTCCGTGATTCTGAGCAAAGTGTTCGCCGTACGCAATTCGAGTCAGTACATTGCCCACAGTTCTGTCATGATTCTGGTGAGCCCTGAAGTCCCGAATATATCAATGACATACTGGATCAATATACTCAAAGGTTCTCCAGAGAAGCCATCGAGCCGTTGGAGGAGCTCGGAACACCCTTGACGAAGAAACGAATCATACTCTTGTACAGCGTGGGAGCCAATGGCTTTCTGGAAAAGACGACGTTGTTCGGCATAATCCCTTGTTGGTTGCATGAGAGATAAAGAATAGCCAAATCCCATACTAATTGCAGAGTCAGCTGATGGTGTCTTCTCACCAAATAGCATTTACATGTCGCATACGAGAGTGAAATGTGGCCTCCCTGAGTGGATATTCATTCGTTTCTCTGTCAGATCCCGAATGGCCTCGAGTGAGTTCAGGATGACCATAGGGAGCCCGCCGAGATCGACATAGATGATGTCTCCTGTAGTCGGTCGTGAGGGATTGAATACGCTGACAATGGAGATGACGCATACCATATTCTTGTGCCCACTCGCTGAATACTTCATACCACCTCGCTTTCGGAAAGTTGAAAACATTCCCCACAAGCGGTGCTCGCTTTGGCCCGGGGCCTAGGATAGCACCAGCTTGTCTTGCTTTTGCTTCGTTGGTGTTCGATGCCAGATACCAAGTTACAAGGCCTGCAATGACAGCTCCAGCGGCCCAGGCGTGCGAGGCGGAAGGCGAGAGCATTTGGGACATGTTATAGCAGTGTCCAAGTGGGTCCTGACGAATAGGGTAGAGCAGCTGTACTTGATGCGCTCAGATAGCCGGTGGGTACACCTCGGTATATAAGGCGTGTCAGAGGTTGGCCTCAGAGGTTGGCCACAAGTCAACCAGTAACTTGCAGTCTCTATTCACGACCAAATGGGGTCTCTATTCCTTTATCAAATGAAGGCACCTGATGTAGAGCAGACCGTCGAAAAGGTGCATCAGCTCTCGCATGCGAGAACAGCAAATTATAGAGTCAAGAAGATTTTGCAAGAGTCATATAATGCCAATGGAGGAGGTGATAGACATTGCCTCTAGAGTCCAGGTTGGCGTCGAAGGCCAAGACTATATAGCACCCGACTAATCTTGACACCTACCCATCCCCGAGGCGGCCACCAGGAGTCTCAAATATCTCATGAACGCCGTTATGGGTAAACTACGACATCCAATGCCAGATATTTTCGTTCTGTGCCGTTTGCGCCAGCAAGACGTTCACCAATCAATGCGCCTCGAGACCCATCTATAGAGTATCTCGATGCGGAATACTCACAGTCATAGAACGCAGCAACCAAAAGCGTACATAATCAATTACACTGCATTCCTGATACTTTATATACTCGTAGAAATTACCTTTCATCCCAAGGACGGTCTCATTCACTTTGCACGCGGCTGGTAACCACCCAATGTGTAGTGAACAATCCCTTTGATATAGTCGGCGAGAGTAGTACCTCATAATTGACTGGCTTACATTGAGATAAACTTATTGCGGTTCTTCTCACGTACGTTTGAGACATGATTCGCAGCAAATTGGGTCCGATACGCCGCTTTTGTAGCCAATGAAATCATCCTTTGGTACCTCATTAGAGCACACTCTCAGTATCATATTTTATTTATTCCATTGGAGGCATGCCAAAGCGTCTATGTACTACGTCCCGGTATCCCCAGCTATTGAGTGGTTTATGATAAATTGAACATTCATTCTAAGCACCGTCAGGTACGTGGCTTGAATGTACATCGAAAGTTGGATAAGCGTCTAGGAGCTATTGGTAAGACCAATAGTCAGGACCAAGGTTATACATACCTAACTGCGGCATCATCAAATGATGGGCTCGACGTGAGACGTTCGCCTTCGTACGGTAGAATTTCATATGTGGACAAGATTATCGCGGAATAAAACAAAACAGTCCGATGTGCAAGGTGCCGTCCTGGACAGATACTGGATAAATAAAGTAGATTAGCTGTCGCTCATATGATACAAGGCACTGACCGTCGTCCAAACCCGAACGGGATACTCCATATGTCAGGGAGCTCGTCCACCGATGGATTATGCTCTGGCAGGAAGCGATTAGGATTGAATTCTTGGCTATCTTTTCCCCATATTCGAGGATCCTTGAGCACGAAGCTATGTGACTGGTCAACTGCGAATACATCATGGCTTCCATACGAACCCTAGGAGAAATGAGCGTGACTCGGACGAGAGGGATTACATACCGATATTGCAATGGACTATAGAGCCCCTTGGAATGTAATATCCATTCCAGACATCCTCCTTCGAGCTTACATGCGGAAGGCCTGTGGCGAATAAGGCTGAAATCCCTTATTGAAAGAGACGGACCTATTGGGGCAGCTGGGATCCATCGAAGGGACTCCTTGAAAACAGCGTTGAATATTTTCAACTTCGGAATGTCTTCAATTGTCGGTATGGTACCACGTCCGAGTACTTGATCCATTTCTTCTTGAATCAGCTTTTGCCAATTGGAGTACAAGGTAATACTGAAAAGAAAGTGTGTAACTGTAGCAGTTGTCTGGATATCATGTTAATTCAGAACTTGCCCCTGATCCATGAACTGACCGTGTCGATCCCTCCAATGTACATAATGGCAACTGCATCTCGAACGCTCTCTTCTGAGAAACCACCTTCATTTCGATATTTGGAAAGAATGGAATTGTCCGAAATTCCCTTGGACTAGAGAATTGTGAGGGTGGCTCCGTCTATCTCCAAGAAACTCACGCTGGCAGCATTTACCCGATCAATGGGCCAGTACCTAATTGTGTCTGCACAGTTCTTTCCTTTGTTACCGACATGTTTGAAGTTTGCTCCTGGGAACCATGCCGGAATGTAACGCACTATTATCTATGAATTACACAAGAGACGCGACAGGCAAAGAGGAACGTACGAGCAGGTATTAGATCGACCAACCAGAACTTGGTTACGGCCCAGGAGAGCAGCTCTAGGGCCTCTACATTTTTCTCGATGATCTCCTCCCCGTGATGTTGGAAAAAGTGCTCGCCATAGGCGATTCGTGTGAGTGCATTCCCAAGCGTCCTGGTGCCCCATCAGTCATCTCAGTCATGTCAAGGAAGAATGGGGCCACTACTTGACTAGTACATCCATGGGTTGGCCAGAAAAGCCGTCGAGTCCCTGCAAGAGTTCCGATGAACCGTGGATGAGGAATGAATCATATTCCTCTACCCCACGAGGACCTATGGATTTTTGAAAGAGGCGTCTTTGGTCGGTGAGCTCTTTGGTGGGTTGCATGAAAGCCAAAAAGTATCCAAAACTCATCCTGTGCCCTCGTCAATGCCTTGCCATTGATATCACAATCGAAGGCCTACATGTTGCTGACGAGTGTAGATTGAGGCCTGCCAGAATGTATGTTCATTCTCTTATCCATGAGCTCATGAATAGCATCCAGAGAATTCAGAACAATCATCGGAATCCCGGCCACATCGACGTAAATAATGTCTCCTATGGTTCGATGCCATCACTATTTAGTTCCAATAGTGGAGAAAGGCGCACCATACTCCTGTGCCCATTGGGTAAACGCTTCATACCATCTCCCTTTTGGAAAATTCAAGAGATTTCCAACAACGGGAAAACGCCTTGGCCCCGGTGCCAGGACCGCCCCTGCACGCTTTGCTTTCGCAGCATTTGTACTCGAGTTCAGATACCAGGTTGCAAAAGCGAGAACTATGGCGCCACCAGCCCACGTTGGGGGGTTCGATATCGAGATTGATTGAAGAAGCATGGGATGTAGGAGAGTGGAAGAGGAGATCTCCCTGAAGTGTTTACTTTATATATCTGGGCGGTCAGGTGATACAGACACTGAGAAAGTCCGAAGTTAATTCAAGCAGAGAAAAGCGCGCGCAATAGAGGCGAATGATGGACGAGCGGTAAGGAGCACCATAAATTGAAAAGGACGGGCCCCGTTACTGGAGATGTCCATTCATAAGTCAGATGTGCGAACACCTTCCCAGCTAGCTCCGTCCGGCGCGGTACAGGGGCCGAGGATTCAAGGAACAGAGAATAGGGTTCTTCATATCATCAAAAGAATCCACTTTGGAAGCCCTACTGACATAGTTTGGCTCCAGCAAGCGAACTTTCGGTTGAATGCCGACTGGCCTCCCCCTACTTGTCCCCTTCGCGGGCTCGGGCTATTTGTCCATTTGATTGATAACCCTCATCACCATTTAGTACCTCCATCTGTACCTTAGGGAATCATCGGCAAAACTACTCAATATTGCTTACTGCACAGGCAAACAACGGGGAAGGATGAAACCGTGCATGCTTGAATTCGGAAATAGCTCTAAACACAACAAGTATAACACTGAATCTTGGGTTGGTGACAAATAGATACTCGGAAATAGACCAAAAGGCGTGGATTGACTCATGTATACAGCTTAAACGTGCATCGAGAGTTGTATAAGCTTCTGAGCCAGGTAAGATCGGAATCCAAACCACGACGACAGGATCATCAAATATCTGGGCATTGCAGCAACGGAAAGAGGATGAAATAAGGCATTGTTGGGCTCAAATACCGCCTGTTAGGTGAACGGTTCATGCACGTGGCCTAAAAGTGCATCGAAAGTGGGCTACACGTCTGAAAAGGGTCAATTTTATAATCCACGGCAGCGGTGATTTAATACAGACCTGATGACAGCGTCCTCGAAGGGCTCATTCGGAGTTAGGTGCTCCCCTTCAAATGGAAGTAATTCGTATGACGAAAGAATGGCCGCAGCATATAGCAGCACGGTGCGCTGTCCCAAGTGTTTTCCTGGGCATACCCTACATGATGCGATATTAGGGGTGTCAGATGTAATAATCGGAGTACTTGCCGCCGCCCGAACCCAAAGGGAACACTCCAGATATCCGGAAGGTCATACATAGATGGGTTATGCTCAGGAAGGAAACGATTGGGGTTGAATTCTTGACTGTCTTTTCCCCATATCTGAGGGTCCCTAAGGACATACCTAGATAAATTATCAATCGTGCACTAGCAAAAAAGTCTGACGGCGGACCCTTCAGAAGATCAGCGCAGATATGGTATGAAAGAATGACGAACCAATATTGCAATGTATGAATGAACCTTTGGGGATGTAGAATCCGTTCCAGACATCTTCGCTCGAGCTCATGTGAGCAAGGCCTGCAGTGGATACGATGAGTATCGACCTTAGGGCACACGGAGGAGACTGACCGATTGGCGCAACCGGGATCCACCGAAGGGATTCTTTGAAGACGGCATTGAGGATGCTGAGTTTTGGAAGATCATCAAACGTTGGTAGATGACCTCGGCCAAGTACTTGGTCCATCTCTTCTTGAATCCGAACTTGCCAACTAGGATACAGGGTAACGCTGAACAGGAAGTGAGTGAGCGTAGACGTCGTCTAGGTGAGCTATTAGATCTGTCCTCCATCTCAGATATAAGGGCCAACCGTGTCAACTCCGCCACCGTATATAGCTGATACAGCATCTCGAAGGTTATCTTCGGAGATACTACCCTCGTGCAGGTACTTGGAGACGATAGAATCATCCGTGATTCCTTCAGCCTACGGACATATGACACCCGTTTCATCTTGATGCTGGAAACTTACCATAGCAGCCTTCACCTTATCAAAGGCCCAGTACCGCATGTTGTCTGCATACTGCTTTCCTTGATTCCCCACACGTTTGAATTTGGCTCCTGGGAACCAGGCAGGTACGTAGCGCACTAGCCTCTTTAGATACTGTTTGTCAAAGAGCTTGAAAGAACATACGAGCACCAACGACATCGACAAACCAAAAGCTGACAGCGACCCATGAGAGCAGTTGTAGACCCTCCACATTCTTTTGTATACACTCCTGTCCATGGTGCATGAAGAAATGTTCTCCATAAGATATCCGTGTGAGCACATCGCCCACGGTCCTACAGCTCCGTCAATCATTTTCGCTGACACCGAAAGGGAAGAAACTACTTGGTTATTAGACCGAGTGGTTCGCCACTGAAGCCGTTAAACTGTCGTAACAGCTCCGAGCATCCTTGAGAAAGAACAAAGTCGTACTCTTGCACAGCTCGCGGACCAATTGCTCTCTGAAAGAGACGACGCTGTTCAGCGAAATCCTTGTTGGGTTGCATGAAAGGCAACCAGTAACTAAATCCCATGCTGTGCGTACAGCCGTCACTCGCCTGTTTAACTGTAAACCAAGAGGTGAGGTGCTTACATATCAAAGACCATGTTAGTGTGAGGTCTATTCGAGTGTATGTTCATTTTCTTCTCCGCCAAGTCGTTTATGGCGTCGAGTGAGTTTAGAATGACCATCGGGAGCCCGCCGAGGTCGACGTAGATAATGTCCCCTGCGATTGATGGTCAGCCATAATCCTCTAAAGAAGCCAACGAGACGTACCGTACTCTTCTGCCCACTGAGTGAACGTCTCATACCATCTTCCTTTCGGGAAGTTGAAGAGATTGCCAACCAAGAGGGCTCGCTTTGGTCCAGGAGCGAGGACAGCACCAGCTCGTCTTGCCTTTGCTGAGTTGGTGCTCGACGCAATATACCAGGTCGCTAACCCTGCAACAACAGCACCAGCTGCCCAAGCATGCGAGGCGGAAACCGAGTCGAGAGAGAAAGGGAGCTTGGACATGCTGGAGAGGAGTCCAAGAGATTTCTGGGCGTAAAGATAACTGCACTGATATGTCGGCGAATCACCGCATGACCAGGACTTCAAAGGGGACCGAGGTTGGATCCAAACGCAGTTAAAGAGGGCGATTGCGACATGGATTCGCTACAGGAGCGAGTTGTGATTGAAAAGAGAATCCACGGATTCTGGCGCTTGACACGCCGATGAACGGAGCAATTGAAAACGGGTGCAGGGAGGTTCAAGCTCTGAGGGACACTTGGTGCCTCTTTGATATCCCGGCATCATAAGGGTTGCTCGATTTATTTAATAACATTATCACCTTCCAATAAGCTGAACGGTGGGAGAACTCGTCCGAATTGTGCATAGGCCAATAAGAAAGGAAACAAGACATGGAATTGAGCCTAGCTAACAGGTACAAAATGCATATACGTGATGTATTTGTTGAGATTCTCAAAGCACGACCACCCACCTCGCTGAGTTGTGGTGATCCTCGGCGCATGTATTACGGACTCCATAGTCAAATATGCATGAAGAGGATGGATGCTTTCACTTCATGCACGTGGCTTGAATGTGCAGCGGAAGTGAGATACACGTCTCGACGGGGGTCAGGCTCAGGGACTGAAGACGAACTGATACAGACCTGATGACAGCATCCTCAAAGGGCCAATTTGGCATCAGATGTTCCTCCTCATATGGGAGTACCTCGTACGAAGAAAGCATGGCTGCCGCGTAGAAGAGCAGCGTACGCTGCGCAAGGTGGCGTCCAGGACAGATACTTGATAGAGCGATGTCAGAAATAGCTAACATAAGCCACAAAATACGAACCGTCGTCCAAACCCAAACGGAATGCTCCAAACATCTGGAAGTTCATCTACCGACGGATTATGCTCCGGAAGGAAGCGGTTAGGATTGAAGTCTTCGCTATCCTTTCCCCATATTCGAGGGTCCCTGAGAACAAACCTACGAAACTAGTGAACCCTATATCGATCCTTCCATTGAATACAAACCCTGGGATGGGTGAGTACGTGTGTAACAAAGAGGGCTACATACCGATGTTGCAATGGATGAAGGATCCCTTCGGTATATAATAACCATTCCAAACGTCTTCTCTAGAGCTCACATGAGGGAGACCTGTGTGGATAAGATGAATATATCTCAAATGTCTATCGATGAACTGAACGAACCAAGTGGCGCGACTGGAAGCCATCGAAGAGTCTCTCTGACAAAAGCATTAAGCATCGTCAGTTTCGGGATGTCGTCTATTGTTGGCGTGTTGCCCCGCCCGAGTACTCGATCCATCTCCCCTTGAATCCGCTTCTGCCAGTTTGGGTACAAAGTAATGCAGAACAAGAAATGGGCGAGTGTTGAAGTCGTCTATGACTATATCAGTCTCAATCCTCTGCTGAGCAGTAGACCAACCGTATCAACTCCCGCACCATACATTGCCGACATTGCATCTCGGACGGTACTTTCAGAGATACCACCCTCGTCCAAGTATTTGGAAGTGATAGATTCATCCGTGATTCCTGCAGACTATGGACATAAGGGTCACTCTGCTAACGATGTAGTGGAAAAACTCACCAAAGCAGCTTTGACTTGATCGAAGGACCAATACCGGATAGCATCTGCGTAGATTCTCCCTTGGTTACCAACTCGTTTGAACGTTGCCCCAGGGAACCACGCTGGTATGTAGCGTACTAGTGTCATTGAATAAGGTGTGCCAACGATCGGCGCAGGAAAGACACATACAAGCAGGTATCACGTCGACAAGCCAAAGCTTGGCGCTTGCCGACGAGAGTAGTTCAAGTCCCTGGACGTTCTTCTGAATAGCTTCCTGCCCATGATGCACAAAGAAATACTCTCCATAGGCCATTCGAGTGAGCACATCACCCACTGTCCTATAAGCCCCTCTGTCAATCACCATTGTCGCCCCGAGTGATAAGGGAGCCTACTTGACTAGCGCTTCAAGCGGTTCGCCAGAAAATCCGTCGAGCCGTTGCAGTAGTTCAGAGCAACCCTGTTGCACAAACGAATCGTATTCGTGCACAACGCGAGGACCTATCGCCTTCTGAAAGAGACGTCTTTGTTCGGTGAAATCCTTGTCGGGCTGCAAGAATGGCAGAAAGAAGCTATATCCCATACTATACAATAGTCAATAGACCACCCACAGCACCAAAAGGAGCCTACATGTCACAGACCAGCGTAGGATTAGGTCGATTCGAGTGAATGTTCATTCTTTTATCCGTCAATTCATGGATTGCCTCGAGTGAGTTCAAAATAACCATCGGAAGCCCAGCGACGTCAATGTACACCAAGTCCCCTGTGCTCTAAGGTCAACAAACAGTCTCTTTAGGTATGAAATCTGGGTTTACCATACTCATGTGCCCATTGGGTGAATGCCTCATACCATCTTCCCTTCGGAAAGTTGAAGAGATTGCCCACCAAGAGGGCTCGCTTTGGTCCAGGACCGAGGACAGCACCAGCTCGTCTTGCTTTTGCTTCGTTGGTGTTCGACGCCAGATACCAAGTTACCAGGCCTGCAATGACGACCCCAGCGGCCCAGGTGTGCGAGGCAGAAAGCGAGAGAGATTGAGGGAAGGTGGCCATTGGGGAAGGGTCTAGGTTCTGAAGAAGACTTGAGCCCAACAAAGTACAGAGCTTCTTTCTCCTGACATTGACGGACCGACGAACCACCGTTCGACACGGACTTTGAGGAGTAGAGGTTGGACTACAGGCGCCATTCAAAAGTACATCTGGCACGAGATTGCCGTAACAGCAGAATACAGACTTCTAGCGCCAGGCATGCCGATACACGGAATAATTCAAAGCCAGTTTGGACGGTTGGGGCTCAACCTCCAAAACACACTTGTTACCTATCAGGATATTCTGGCGCGCAGTATCAGCTTCGTTTCTTAGTAAACTTACTGTAAAGGATGGTAGGCGCCAAGTTTCAACTGAAATGTACCCTGGGAAATGAGAAACGAGGGTTTATCTTGCATTCCAGAATCAACTGGTAAATTTGTATGGAATTTTATATCAGATATGACGACCTTACATCTCACATGAACTTTCACAGCAGGCTGTGTATGAATCCTCGAGGATATATTCCAGGCCTTGTATTGAGTCAAAATGAAAACATGTTACTACCTTCACGAACGTGGCTTGAATGTACATCGGAAATGCGATATACGTCTGGGGCCATGTCAGATTTGGAATTCAAGATCAGAGCGAGGCTCGTACCTAATATTCGAGTCTTCAAAAGGCTCATTCGGTGACAAGTGTTCCCCCTCATACGGCAGAACTTCGTATGCGGACAGAATGACGGCGGCATAGAGAAGTATGGTGCGTTGCGCTAGGTGTCGTCCCGGACAGATACTAGAGAATGAACATTAGAGTTGTCTGACAGGAGGACGTGGATGGCCGACCGTTGTCCGAAACCGAATGGGACACTCCACACATCTGGCAACCCGTCAGCCAATGGGTTGCGATCCGGAGAGAAACGATCAGGATTAAACTCTTGGCTGTCCTCTCCCCAAAGACGAGGATCTCTGAGGACAAATCTATACGGGGGGTCAGCCGTGTGTCAACTTGTTGCAAAGAGACGAACCCTGGGAATGTATTAGCCTCCTGTAACATGCAGAAAGGTTACGCACCGATGTTACAATGGATGATTGAGTTTTTGGGGATATAGTATCCATTCCATACATCCTCTTGTGAACTGACATGAGGAACCCCTGTTTACATGTGAGATAGAGAACGAACATGGAGAAGACGGACCAAGCGGTACCGGTGGGTTCCATCGAAGTGATTCTTTCAAAACGGCGGCCAGTATTTCCAGCTTTGAAACGTCGTCGACCGTTGGTGTCTGACCTCTTCCAAGAACACCATCCATTTCTTCATGTATCCGCTTCTGCCATTCTGGGTACAAGGTAATACTATAAAGAAAGTGTGTAATGGTAATCGACGTCTTGGACATATCAGTCTTCGTATCATCTCATCCAAGCACTTACCGTGTCAACTCCAGCCGCGTACATAGCGGACACTGCATCCCGAAGATTGTCTTCGGAAATTCCACCTTCGCGTAGATACTTGGAAACAAGAGATTCATCTGTTATTCCTTTCTCCTATCGATGTATAAGAAACGGATCGTCAAATGTCAAGGTCTCGCACCATAGCGGCTTTCACCTGACCAAACGACCAGTACCGAATGAGATTTGCATAGTGCTTTCCTTGATTTCCGACTCGTCTAAAGTTTGCCCCAGGAAACCAGGTCGGTATATAGCGCACTAGTGCCTTTTGAGTGAAATACACAGACCATTCGAGGGACGTACTGAGAGGAATTACATCGACAAACCAGAATCTGGTAAACGCCCATGCGATTACTTCCAGCCCCTCGATGTTGTACTTGATGATTTCCGTTCCATGATGTTGGAAGAAATGCTCTCCGTATGCAATTCGAGTAAGGATATCACCCATTGTCCTCCGCCATGTCAAGATCCTGATATAAAGTGAACGCAATGATTATCGCACCTGGTTACAATGGCCAGTGGTTCGCCAGAAAAGCCACTGAGCCGTTGTAGGAGCTCTGGGCACCCCTGCTGTACGAATGAGTCATATTCTTGCACGACACGTGGACCAATCGACTTCTGGAAGAGACGTCGCTGCTCGGTGAAGTCCTTGTTGGGTTGCAAGAGAGTCAGAATATAGCCCCAACTCATCCTACGCACATCGATCAATGAACGAACTATGTCTCAAACGAGTGCTTACATGTCACAGACAAGCGTGGTGTGAGGTCGACCAGAATGAATCCTCATTCGCTTTTCCATCAGCTCTTGTATAGCGTCAAGCGAATTGAGTATAATCATGGGCGTCCCCATCAGGTCGATATAAACGATGTCTCCTATGACACATATAAACTCGGATAATTCCTGGATAGAGGAGATACATACCGTACTCCGTGGCCCAGCTAGAAAACGTCTCATACCACTTCTTCTCCGGAAAATTGAAGAGATTGCCAACGAATGGGGCTCGCTTCGGTCCAGGACCAAGGGCAGCACCAGCTCGCTTCGCCTTCGCAGCAGTGCTATTCGACATAAAATACCACGTAGCTAATCCAGCGGTGATCGCCCCAGCTGCCCATGCATGCGAAATGGAGAGAGGGTAGGTTTCGGGTAACTTGATCATGCTGTAGATGGATCCAAGAAGGTGCCAAAGGTACAGTACAATCGTCTTTGCTCTGATATACTGGGGGACCTCCGAAGGATACGGAGCGGCGAGATCTCAAGGGCCATAGTAAATCCGACCCTGAAGCTAGTGTGATAAGATTCATAAGTTCAACCCCTGTCCAGATAGGCACGCTTTGCGCTCCACAAGCGCTCGAGTTTATTGCTGAGCATGGTCGGGTCCAAGGTAATTTCACGTCGACACCTTGTAACCTCTTATCAGCACTCGCTTAAATGATAGAATAGAATGACAATTCGATGAATCAGACTAGTATGAAGCGGAATACGGCATGGATTGCATAGATAGCGTTCGTAAATATCCATTAGCATAGCAGTTTAGGCACAAATTTTAATCGTCCGCATCGTCAATAGAGCGAATTTCTGCATCCTTGGGCTCCGTTTTATCAATTGCATCGCCGACATAAACCGGGAACCGCGGAGTACCACTCTTGGAGAGCTCTTGAAACTTGTATACGACAATGCTGCCAATCTTTGGTGGCTTCCTACGTTGAGCGTCCGAAAATCCGGTTCCAATCTTGAACCGTTTGCCACTTGCCATTTCGACTTCGATTGCGCCCATCACGAGCGCGTTTTTGCCGGTACCCTTGTGATGAGCAATCACTTTTGCTTCAGCGTCGTAAAACGTCTTGACTTTGAGAAGGGCTGAAGAGCGGCGGTGTTCATAGCGGCTGGTAGAATGTAAGGAGTAAGCGGGAACACGAGAATATGACGTACGATTGTGGTTCACGTAACATGAGACCTTCTGCACCCTTTTTCTGTAACTCGTCTAGTTTCTCTAACACGTGCGATTTGCCGGTGCATTTGATGTGCTCGACGACGACAACATTGGGGTACGTAGGATTGTCATGTTCGCCAAAGATCTTTTTGAGGAATGCGATGCGCTCTTCAAATGGCCGGTTGCCCATGAATGGAGCGTCGAATACATAGTATTTCACTTCAGGCCATCGAGGCGAAGAGCCTGAGCGAACAATCGAGACTGTATCTTGGAATTTATTTCTCCCGGTAAAAAGCTGCAACCAATGAGAGACTATCGGCGAACGGGAAGGTCACTCACTTCACCGTCCAATGTCGCATTCTTTGGCAATTTGGCCCCTGTGAACAATTAGATGCGTTAATTTCCATAAAAATCTGCTTACTCCACTGCGAGAAGAAGTCATCTGGCGCAAAGAACTTGTTGCCGAGACGGCTGTAGAATGCCTGGCCATTATAGAACGCTCTACGAGATGTGAGTACTTGGAAGAAATCCAATGAGCCAAGCGTACCGCACACCATCTAACTTCTCTGAGATCCAATACCCTGTGGGATCGCAGCCCTTGTCCTCCTTCCACGTTTGCGCGAGCATGACCTCGACGGTGATATTGCTCGGGCCGGATGACGAAGGTGGCTTATTGGAATTCTGTCCGCTAGCGTTTTTGGCACGCTTCTTTGGCGTAGCGTCGGCTGCGCTGTCGTCCTCGCTGTCGGAGACGGTGAGCGAGCGAGCGCGTTTGCGCGATGGATTCGTCGAGCTTGTCGAAGCATCACTGTTTCCAGACTGATTTTGGGCCTGTAAGATGCGTGCATCCTCGTACTGAATCGACGTTAGGGTTGCCAAAGGGATAGCAGACGGCTTGCCTGATATCCCAAGAGCTCTTTGAGATGCTTGCAGCTACGACCGTCGACTGGAGTATTCTTTTGATATATCCAGGCCTACAAAGGTGAGTAGCTTGCCTCACAGCGTTGGCAGACATACATAGCACGAGCAGCTGTAGTGATTTCCAGTTCTCTGCATCATAGATGAGTATAAAGATACTCATTCTATCCAATTTATCCCACCTTGATGAGCCAGATGATATCTCTGCAAAAGTGTGAGTTGTGGCAAACACTGAGACTGTCGACGCACGTTGTTTGGGAGCTCATCTTGCATTCCTGTCCATCTTCAAGGATGACTTTGGGTTTGATTCCAGCGATTGCGGCCATGTTTGTGATGGAGAATCTCGTCTTGCAACGCGTCGAATTATATACGCGTCGGCGTGGCAGTGTGCAGGGCGGGATTTGGGCGCAGTTACCATATGGAGTAAAAAGAGGCGCGCTGGTAGGCGATGCATGACTCGACGTCAAAAACAGTGACTCGATGATGACTGGATACTTTTCATAACATTCTCCATATTTTCAGGAATTCTTGGCGGCAGCGAACGGCGACGGCAGAAATCAAGGTTTGTCAAATGTGAGGCTGGCATTGCGTTGAGCTTTGGCCGCAGACTCATTAGCAGTGGCCGGGCAAGTAAGCGATAAACGACGGCAACAACAATGACAAGTGCACGCCTTTCAGATAGAGAAGTTGCGGCTCTCAACGCCGCCGCTGTCACACGCGAGTACAACGTCCATCCACGCCTAGGCAAGTATCCACCAGACAAAGTGTAGAAACCACGTCTTACTCTGATTATTATAGACTACAAGACCGTATCGGCCATCAACGGGTTCGTCCTTGCTCACTCAGTGCGCTCCATGTCACCTAATCGAGTTTGCTCAGACCACTCGTCGTCCTCGACAACGTCAAGGCAAGCAAAGCGCCACTCTCATATCCTTAGACGCGTATCTGAATGCTGCACCCTCTCTAGTTCCCGTCGTACAACGAGATCGTCCAACTCACGCTCCCCGATGGAACACGTCGTGGCGGCCAAGTCCTCGAAGTCCAAGGAAAAAAGGCCATTGTGCAGGTTTTCGAAGGTACAGCTGGTGTCGACGTCAAGGCGACCCATGTCGAGTTTACTGGCTCGAGTATGAAGCTCCCAGTGGCCGAAGACATGTTGGGCAGAATCTTCAACGGCTCGGGCAATCCAATCGACAAAGGTCCAAAGGTTTTTGCTGAAGATTATCTCGACATCAACGGTGCGTCACCATACTCTCCTAAAGATGCCTTCTGAGCAGTTTGTAGGCTCGCCTATCAATCCATACTCGCGTATCTACCCAGAGGAAATGATACAGACTGGTATCTCGACTATCGACGTCATGAACTCTATCGCGCGAGGGCAGAAGATTCCCATCTTCTCCGCAGCTGGTCTCCCGCATAACGAAGTGCGTACGCGCCCTCCAATCACCTTGATTGCTCACAAAAGTGCCATAGATTGCTGCTCAAATCTGTCGACAAGCCGGTTTGGTAAAGGGTCCCACCAAGGGCGTCCTCGACGGGCACGAAGACAACTTTTCCATCGTCTTCGCCGCCATGGGTGTCAACATGGAAACGGCTCGCTTCTTCAAATCTGATTTCGAGGAGAATGGCTCGCTCGACCGTGTCACCCTCTTCTTAAACTTGGCAAACGATCCCACGATTGAGCGAATCATTACGCCCCGTCTTGCGCTCACTACGGCAGAATACTATGCATACCAACTTGAGAAGCATGTACTTGTCATCTTGACCGACATGTCATCGTACGCCGACGCCTTGCGAGAGGTCAGCGCTGCTCGAGAGGAAGTGCCAGGTCGTCGTGGTTATCCGGTGAGTGGACTTTCCTCATAGGCAACCAACTCGTTGACGTTGTCTTCAGGTTACATGTACACTGACTTGTCTACCATTTATGAACGAGCTGGACGAGTCGAAGGTCGAAATGGATCCATTACGCAGATTCCAATTCTTACAATGCCCAATGATGGTGTGTAGCTCGCTTTGCTCCTTCATGTCGCTCAATTTGTCCAGATATTACACACCCAATTCCCGACCTTACTGGTTATATCACCGAGGGACAAATCTTCGTTGACCGACAGCTCCACAACCGACAGATTTACCCGCCTATCAATGTGCTACCGTCGCTGTCGCGTCTCATGAAGAGCGCCATCGGAGAGAAGCTGACGCGCAAGGACCACGGTGACGTTTCTAACCAACTTGTGAGAGGTTTTGTTGTACCGTGAGCCATTATTGATCATTTATAGTATGCTAAATATGCTATCGGTCGAGACGCTGCGGCTATGAAGGCCGTCGTCGGAGAGGAGGCACTCTCGTCAGAGGACAAACTTGCACTTGAATTCCTGGAAAAGTTTGAAACGCAGTTCGTCGGGCAAGGTAAGTCGACGAGGGATGCGTGGCGGACGGGGACTCACGCTTGCATAACAGGGGCATACGAGTCGCGTACCATCTTTGACTCGCTGGACCTCGCGTGGTCGCTTCTGCGTATCTTCCCCAAGGAGCTTCTTAACCGAATTAACCCAAAGATCATTTCCGAATTCTATGCACGGCAGCCGTCGAGACGGACAAATACGACGGCAGGCCCTGCAGCACCATCAAGCAAGGACGTCAAGGATAACACCAAGCTGGTTGACGACGCGTAGAGGCATATGTCTATCAGAATACATCCTCTTGACATCTAGACATTTGCGAGTATCTCGGTGTACAGGGCATGTCCATTACTCCGTCCTGTGAGAATGTGTTTCTGTAGAGTCCACGGCGTTGATGGCGACTAAGCGCGGCGGCCGTTGAATCCGCAAACTCTTGGACTCGACGCCGTTGCTGGACCAACGGGCTCTGGCAAGCGCAGTCTACAGATTCTAAGCAGTCTTGAGCATCATGGTCCTTGGAATCTCCCTCCGTGGCAAGAAGAAAAAGGAGGAGCCGACGATTCGACCGTCGCCCAGTCTCCCGAGCGTGCTCCCGACGGGTATTCCGTGGCCAGAGGATCTCGTCGACATCAACGACGTCAAAGCTGCGCGCACGAGCACTCAGCAGAGTGAGCAGCAGCAGCAGCAGGATGCGCAAGGAACGCTGAATCGCAAGAGCTCTATCAACTTTGCTCGTCCGTTCCGTACTGGCTCGCCCAGCAGCGAGAGCGGACCTATCGGAGGAAAGATTGCGAGCTTGTTTAGCTCAAAGGGCGCTGGTACAGGCGGCTTTATTCGTTCCTCCGGCCATCCTACCGTCAGTCTGTCCCGCAGCCAGCGACGGAGGGTTGCGCCGACACTCAACGTGAGTTTTATTTAGCACATATGCATGTCTAGGATGCTAATATGGTCGTGGATTGCTAGATTGTGGTCGCTGGAGAGCGTTCGACGGGCAAGACGTCGTTGCTCAAACTCTTCCTCGAAACGTCAGAGATATCGTCGACTGCAACGCCAGAGCAAAAGCTTTCTGTCGATACATTCATGTCAAAGTCCCGCAAGAGCACGCGGTCGCTGCAGACGGTGTGCGTCGAGATTGCAGAGACGCGCTTTGATCGCATCCTGCTCACCCTCGTCGACACACCTGGTCTGTGCTATGCAGACGGGCAAGAACTCGCTTTGGAGCGCTCTGTTTCGTCGCTTGTCAAGTACATTGACATGCAATATGATGAAACGATGGGAGAGGTGCGGGTGATTCGCCTCGCTTGAGCCGCTCTAACACTTGTCACAGGAATCCAAAGTCGTTCGTCAGAGCAAAGGAGACCAACATGTGCATCTGTAAGTTGCTTGATTGATGCGTCTCACCTGGTTCTAACCAGTCTCAGGTGCATATATCTCATTGACCCGGATTCGATCATGACCGTCAAAGCACGCAGAGCAAAGTCTCGCCTGCCAACACGGACCCGCTCTCAGATCCATCTTGCCTCCAGGGATGACGCGACCAACGAGTCCTCTGACGAGGAGGAAGAGGACGAATACGATAACGGTCAACACCACCACAGCAAGCTTTGTATGAACCCTGCCGAGATTCGTGTGATCAAGCGACTTGCTTCTCGCGTCAACGTCCTTCCAGTCATTGCACGCTCCGACTCGCTGACGGAGAGCCGCCTTCGCGCGGTCAAGCGTACCGTTCGTAGAGAGCTCATTGCTGCCGGAGTCGGATTCGGCGTCTTTTCTCCGTCAACAGTCGGCGCCAACGTTTCCAATGGTGCTGCCGGCCAAGGAGATGCAGCGAGTGAGGCCGAAACACCGACAAAAGCCACTGGAGTGACAACTGCTGGTGATGCAGAGGGCGAGGAGGAAGACGCAGAAGAGGATCGTCAAGCTCGTCCAGTCATCCGGATTCGCGCTCGCAAGAGCTTTACGGGCACGGAGCGATCTCGCTCCAGAAGACGAAGGAGCGGACTCGACGAGCCGTCTCCTGAGCGTGGTGATGAGGATGGAGAACAGCCTCCTCTCCCCGATGGAAGCAGCGCCATCACTGCGACCGGTTCCAGACTCAGCAAGGCGGCGCTCGAGGCCATATTGCCGTTTGCCTTTGTCTCTCCACAACCACAACGCAAGGGCGAGATGTCTCCCGGTACGCAATCCCCGGTCCCGAACGGCAATCACCTCTCCGCCAACGAACTGGACGTCCCTGCGACACCACTCAGTCAAAGAAGTTCTGTCCCTCCCTCGGCATTCCCACAGCAGTACCAGAGTCCAGGCATCAACGACTACGAGACGCGCGAGTTTCCCAAAGGACGCTTTGTCCGCAACTTTAAATGGGGCACACTCGACGTGTTGGACCCCGCCCATTGTGACTTTGTAGCACTGCGCACCGCGGTTCTATCGACGCATTTCCGAGCGATCAAGATGAACACGCGCGAAGTGTTGTACGAAAAATACAGGACCGACAAGCTCCTGGCCAGACGCGCGACGCGCAATATTACCAAGGAGGACCGGAAACGCTTGCTCGAGGACCTCGGCCTCTAGCCGTGCTTTTCTTTTTCTTTTCCGTGTTGTTTTCTGTTGCCGATCTGGCGCTGCGTGCCACCGGATTGTTTTCTGTTGCCATTGCTCTGTTCGATGCAACGCCTACGGTCTGTTGGTACCGGCGTCGGCAGCGCGATCATACCACTCGTCTTCCTCACCTCTTGCGATTCCATATTGCCATATACCTACTCTCTTCCTCGCCATCATCCTCGATGAACACTCTTTTAAAGAAAAATCTACTCCCAAGTGCCCGCTGTCATTCTCACTGCGATGTTCAGGGAACACCACGCTCCTTACCTACGACCACTCTCTGGTCCTCTTTTTCCTTGCTACTATACTCTCGGATGGATGGTCTACGGCTCTAGTACGTCTCAGGCCTCGCTTTCGTTTCCCTCGTGTCTCCTTGATGCCGCCCGACGACGTCGTCGGGGTCATTTCGTTAGACACATTCTATCCCTTCCAGCTGGGTTCCCGAGACAGCACAGATTGAATGATGGCTCGCCGTCATTGTCTTGGTTAGTTTCCTGTAATCATAATCCTGAATCGTCAGGCCTACTTTTCTGAAACGCGATTCTCTATAAACGCTGAGTACATGAACAAGCTAGAAGGTGCTTCGTCGATTCGCCTGCCATACTCTATATGGTAGCTTCCAATCCCTTGTTTGGAGCTTTGGTTCAAACGCGTGAAAGCTGTGTGCTTCTAGGCGTTGAAGGTAGGATATGGTGGGGATCTAGAACTAATCAATTTTTGGATACGCATCAAGCTGGAAACGCACCGCGCTAAGAAAGATGGGTAGAGCCTCTCGGGGGACTTGTGCGTTGTCAAACATCCCGCGCGCAGTGCTAATATGTTGATATGCTAACGAGGCTAGCTCGTATACGGCATCGTCGATACCCTGGGCGTCACCGCCGTGTCTGAACACGTCTTCTTGAGACACTCCATGTTTCGCGGTCAACTCTGCCGGCAGGAAAAGGCGCCGTTTACTCGCTTGGAATGGGAGCGCACGGAGGATGGTTGCAAACGAGTTTGCGATTCCGATGTGCGAGGCAGCGTGCGAGTAGAGAGAGGAAGAGGAGAGGCTGAGGAGGGAGAGGTGCGTGTACAGTTGGGTTGACGATGTGGATTCTGCATGTGCGGTGAGGTCGTCGACGGACATGAAGCCCGGGTTTGTGACTTCGGCAACCTGATTCAATTCTGTTAGTTAATAGCCATGAACATGACCTCGGGGCTTACTCGTGCGTCTATCATTCGCAAAAGGTGGTACGCTGGGACTGCTGGGACTACCCCACGCAATGCAAGAGCTATGGGTTGCTGTGGAGCTTGTCCCTGTAGATATTTTAGACAAGACATAACCCAGAGATTGAACTGACCTCGTAAACCGCCTTAACGGCGTCCTTCCAGAATTGGTACCTCATTTGAGCAATCGTAGCTTGTGACGTACTCTCCGGAATCATCGCAAGCTCTGCCTTGCAAGTCTTGATCAATACAAAGGCGGCGGACTGGGACGAAAACTAACGTTGAACGCCTTCAAGGCGAAATACGCGTTGCGCAGACCCGCCGGGTATGCAAACGATACTAAGAAGCCCTCGTAATCATGTTTTCTAACCAAATCTTGGCAGTAGAGTGCCGGGTCATCCGTTCCGCCAGCGTTTGACTTGTTTGCAACTGCCCGACGATGAAAAAGCTGAACCTGTCGAGGGCTGCAGCGAAGGACATGACGAAAGAGATGTCTTGTTGCACTGTCTAACATTTAGAAGAAGCGAGTGGCTTGATGGTTCAGCTAGCTTTGGGCAGGGTCTAAGTTGTAGCGGTCCTTAGGCGGCCTCTACATGAATATATCCACAAGATTCCCAAGCTTGCCAACCGGTCTTTGGGAAATTTGTAATTCCGTTCATTTCGTTGGCCGGCTTGTTAGGACGACTATTGCTAATCCTTGTTTCCAATGCCAGATCCATGTATTATAACAGCTTTGTGCTACATTTCAGAGTAGTAATTGAATCGTTTTGTCAACTAGTAAGCAGACACGAAGATGCCTGCCCACAGATTTCAGATCGATCTTCTTGTGCATCTGGGTGGCTCTCCATCTCAACGTCCCAGAGCCAGTGGACAACAGAGACTTGGGCTCTTTGGCTCGGTTAAAGGTTTTGATGAGTTCATTCCCTTGATGCACCGTGACTCCAGTCTTTGTCACACTGGTCCTGGGAATGGCAGTTCTTCAATTCACCAGGGGCACTCGGCTGGCCAAAAAGCTTTGTGAGCTGCAGAATGGGAAGCATGGCACGCTACAGACAGAAGTTTGTCTTTGATAACGACCGCTATGTCGAGATGTCACTCGTCAGCATGAATTCTGCATACTAATGGGAGCCTTCCACCTCTTTGAACAAGACCAACCCTTGTCACCAAATAGGAATGAAAAAAATGACCACAGAATTGGCGATAGAAGGGGGAAGTACATCTTGGCTCAATCTCCACAGCCGAGATAGATATTGTCCAAATACAGGGAGTATCCTGCGGAGACTCTGATCCGGATCTTTTCCAGAACCTTGGCGCGCGTCTCTTGCCAGTCAACCCAGAACCTGCACGGTGTAGATAATAGCTAGAAGGACACACTTTGTGCATATTGTCTTGAGTGATTGAGTCTGCTAACTGTGTTTGCCAGCATCCTGAGCCAGTTCGACGCGGCTAGGCCACGCCCTTGCGTTATATTATGGGCTTGGCTCTACTCCACGAGCGAGGCGAACTTACCCCTCAAATTTAGTACATCTGCCCATATTTCACATCTTATTGTGTACGGTGGTGTTGTATGCTACAATTATTTGAGCTGCCAACCAGCCCCGAGTCAACCTTAGCCGCCAAGGGCCAGCACTCATGTGGCATGCCCGACGATAGATTTCGCGATATATTCGGCCCACGAGTGTGCATAAGGTCCCCTTGGCACGGGTGATCCTCACTCTCTTGTCCTCATGGCTCTTGCAGCCGCCGTCTACTCCCTGTCAAGCCGCGCCGCTCCAAATCTCGCGTCCAATATGGCAGAATCTCTCCCATCGTGCGCTAACCAGTACCGAAGTCTACCTGGGATAGTCTTGAGCTGTATCACCACCATCTTCCTATGCATTTGGGTCGCCCTCCATCTCAATGTCCCCGAACCAGTGGACACCAAAAGCCTGGGCTACTTGGCTCGGTTCAAGATATCTATAAAATGTTTCTTTCGATGCACCCTGGTTCCGGTCTTCGTTACATTGGTGGTCCCCGAATGGGTTCTGGGCATGGCAGTCCGTCAATTCATTGCGGCATCTCGTGTCGCCAAGTCAATCGGTATGCCTCATACAGTGAATTATTGCATGGTACTAACCTGGTTTTCGTGCAAGGCGCCACTCGTCAACAAGGATTCTTCATCATCATGGGTGGCTTTCATCTTTTCAAACGAAGAGAAGGACCTTTGAAGAATATTATTGAGATCATCGAGGAATACATAGAGGAGACTCACCCATTGGTCGAAAATTTGGCTATGGAAGTGAGAGATGGTCGAGGTAGCTGTGCACCGGGCAAATCTCAAAAGATGAATAATCCATTTGAAGAGGAATTTGGAGAGCCCGTCCACCCTCTCGATGAATTCGACGTTTGTCACCTTCTCCAGACTGGCAAACTGCGCCTCCCCAATACTGCCGACCTAGAAGACCGGTGCAAGAGCGACGGACTCGCGAAGTTCCTTATCGTAATCCAAACCTTCTGGTTCATTTCTCAGTGTATTGCGCGAAAACTCAGCAAACTGCCACTCACAGAGCTCGAGATCATTACTCTCGGTTATACTCTGCTCACCGTGGCAATGTACATTGCGTGGTGGGACAAGCCATACCGGGTTAGATTCCCTGTGCGCGTGTATGAAACACTTCCTAAACGTACAAAAGAGCAACAGTGGTTAAAGAATAATATGGAAGCCACCAACTCTTGGGAGACGGCTTTCAACTACGCCGCAGGTACCCAGGCAGAGCTCGTTGACCTACGGAGTGTGAAACAAGTGCCAATATTTTACTCTGGGTTCACATTAGATGAGTGGAATGTCAGCGATCTCGGTGGCATTCCGACCACGGTCATAGTTGGGACATTGTTTGGTGCTGTCCATTTTCTTGGGTGGTCGTCTCCATTTCCATCCACTCGTATGCAGTTCCTCTGGCGATTCGCGGCAATTGCCATGACTGCGGTGCCACCTGCAGCACTCGTAGGTGCATTCTTTGGTGGACTAATCCGCGATACGCTGTCTGAGCTTGTGGGTACCTTGGTCTTCCTCCCCCTATTTCTATTACCGCCCCTCTATTTTGTTGGAAGAGGCGTAACGGTTGTACTTGCGTTGGTGACACTTGCGAAGCTCCCACTCGACGCATATCGAGACGTGGAATGGTCCGACTTCTTCCCCCACATTTAGCTCTTGTCATCGACCTAGTATGGTGTACTTTTAACCTAAATCCCTGATATGATACGTTTTTCTCTCCAAAGCAGGAAGATAATAGCAATGAATAAATTAATATTAAAAGGATATCAATTGTGCTGAGCGAGTGTCATAATACCCAGTACCTCTCCAACGTAATTAACTGGCCACGCGTTTGGCGGCGCGCTGAATCCAAAGATTAGACGAGCATTGCCGGGAATCCATTGTCATTATCCAGTGAACGAGCAGAGCCATGTACAAGAAAGTTAGAGAACCAGAGACTTCGCCCCTGCGCTAGTTGCCCTTCGCAAGCTCGTTCATTGGGCTGCGTTCCAGTGATTGGTATGTATGTGCTGTTTGAGAGAATGATAACCCATGTGAGGTCAGTGGAACCAATCTCCAATTAGGGGCAAACGTAATCGTTGTGCTCACGTGCGCCGCATTGAGCTAACCCTGATTACGACAGGTCAACTTTTCAGCCAGTTAAGAGTTAGAGTCTCCAAATATGTTCCTCGACCGTTTCGTGATTGAGGAACAAGACGGTTATTCTGCTCCTTGAGCTTTGCAGTTTGCTAGCGATATTTACCATTATTCCACGTTACCAATAAGGCGAGTGGAGATGTACAAAGAGTACCTCAAGTTGCTGACCCGAGAGATCCACTGGGTTATGAGGTACATTTGTTTCGGTATTTGGTCGTTGCGAAGATGATAATTGGACGGTCGTGATGAAGTCAATGCTTGAGTTTGTACACTCGAGACGTGGTCCAATTTGGCGTGGTGGTGGACAAACTTGGGCTCGACTATGCCGGCTTGTTTGCCTGGTGACCATCGCCCACGATCAGAGACCTGTCTTGTATCATCCTGATAGCTATCTGCTCGAACAAATGAGAGAATCCTTCGTCTCAATCTTGTCATCACTCAAGGGGCCATGGAATGAATACGAGTATCAAAGTCCATCGTCAAAGTCCATCATTATCTCACCAAATGAGTTGGTGCAAAACTTACCCATATATAACAGCCATTGCCAGCGCTTAGAGTGAACGAGTATGTAAATAACATAAAATAATCAAATGTCTATATACCCTGAAGCGTTCTAGCGGTCCACTCGTATGCCCCAAGAAATACGGCTCCTCCTGCAGATATCCAAAGTGTTCTTGGAACTACACCAGCAAACAGAGCCTTTGATCCTTCAACTCGATAGATATTTGCGAGTAGGGACAAGGGCGACGGAATCTTTGATCCCTCTCTTAGGTCGAGCATAACTCGTGTCTTGAGTACGTCCAAAGGAGTTGTAAGAGCAGCAGCTACTCCACCAGCGATACTGCCACAAACCGCTGCCTCGTGCGCTAGAAGGCTACCCCGCTTCTTTCCTCGCACATCCGCCATTCTGACCTTGAGAAACTCGTAGAGGGGAAACTGGATAGAGGTAAAAGGAATCTATAAGGTTCTCAGCGGGCGTTTATCAATGAAATATGACCCACCTCACGCATGATTGTTGGACCGAATCCACGATAAAATCCCCGAATCCCGTGGGTTTGAAACGTCATGCGTGCAGACGCCAGCGACGATGCTAATGGACCGTACGAAGACGTTTGTGTTCGAGACTTGATGACTTCTGTTGGTACTCGTACTAGGCATGCGACCTGGGCGGTTCTTCAACTTCCCACTACGACAACGGACTGCTTCGCACCACTTCACCGCACGAAGCAGCAATGAGATGCGACATAGGCTCCCATCCTTTTGGCATCTTTATGTTTCTTTTTAGAGTGTCGTACGTGGTGAAGAATGCGGCAGCTAGCTGCAGTTAGAGAAAACTTTTGATGGAGAAATGTATACGTACCACCAGGAGCACTCCCTAATGCGACACTTCCTACTCCTTTGTACACTCCCTTAAATCCTCCCGCCTTGACAAAACCTTGGGCGGATTGTAATCGCGTTTTGAGTGTGTCTATTGGGAAAAACAAGAGGTCGACTGTAGTTCCGGCCATGGCTCCTGACTGTATTCATGCGTAAGTACTTTGTAAAATAGTTGCCGAGAAAAGTCGAAAGATGATTCGTGTTTCTGGATATGGGAATAGGTCCCCAAGCGTGAAGTAGTCTTACCAGAAGGGATTCTGTGAAATTTGTAGCCATTCTTGGTTTCTTGCGAAAGACTGGACGTGGCGCTGGTCAAGCTGCGTGTCTTGGACACAACCATCACCAACGCTCAAAATCAAAAGGACTCATTTTCACTGCCGAAATAACTTAGAAGCATGGATAATCATATACCCATCAGCTCCAAAGCAAAAGGAAAGGGGCGTGCGTATCCAATTAACATGGAAGCGTTGGAGATGCGAAACGTTGCCGCACCTGTTCGGAGTCTACAGCTTGGAGTCAGATTTACCGACGGGAGTCCTGATTTGAGGTTCACTATGACTCCTCAGGATACGGGCGAGACAGTTTTGGCCAAGGTGAATACTATTCCTCCTCCCGCGGAGTTTCTCACAACTCTGTCAATAGATTCGGCAAGAAAGGCCAGAATTACAGCAGAAGCGCCTCAAACTCATTCACGCTGGACGACTAATCCTGGATCATTCGGTCCTTGGCACGTTGCAGAAGCCCAGTGTCATTTCGCCTACGGAATCCCGCCTGTCTTTAAGTAACTGGTCAAAGAAGGAGAAAACGGAACCCAAACCTGAAAATGAGGAACCCGTCATCTGGCTGCATTGTTCTGTCGGCGAGATTATTGAAAACGAGCAAACTCAGGATAGTACAGAAACACCCGTAAGCACTCTCGTCGCAGATTTTATTTGGCTTGACCTCTATAGACGAGAGGAAGTACCGAATATCTATGACCGCTTTACCGACGCGGGACTGTCTCAAGCAGATGTGCAGACGATACGAAGCTTGTTCAGGCGCATGATGTTTGGAAATGGCGCATCCAATGCAGAAAATGAGCGAAGTCGGTGTTAATAACGTCCAAGAAGCACTCTCTCAACATCCTTAGGTTTATCTGCGGCACAAATTAACCGACTCGAGACCGAGTGGCTAGAGTCTATCAGTCAACCATCGGCGTTTGAAGAACCTTCATCCTCAGCTGAACCACCAGCATTCCTCTCGTACCTCCTTCCGTCTGCTACACATGCGTCTCCTGCTCGATCCACTACGCAAGGTCTTCTGTTTGGTTTCTTCTTCCCATTCATATCCAACTTTATGGTTAGACCGCTGTATCGACCGGCAGCTTTCTTTGATGGAGAGATTTGGCCCAACCTTAATGTATGTCATACACTTCTACCGACACTGTGGCTCACATTCTTCTTTCACCAGAGCGAGGTTGCTGCCGTTGCGTCTGCCTTGGCAGTCATTGATACATCTGCACAGCAAAACCGCGAGAATACCTCCAATGATAATGCACCAACCGCAGACGTAACAGAACCTGGAGAAGGCTCGACCAATGCGGCCGTAGCATCCGATGGTCCCGTCGAAAGCCAGAGGGAAGAAGCAAGGTCAACCACTCTAGTCGCGGATGCCATGGTTGATCCGATTCCTAACCTCACATTTACGGATATTATGCATGCTGCTGTACGGGCCGGCATGATGTTGAACGTAGTCATAGGGTTATATCTGTGGTTATATGCCTGAAATTCTAAAACAGAAACTGTTTAATCTAGCTCCGTTCCATTTACGCGCCCCTGCCCGATTGACCAAACAAGACCAAGCGTACCTTGCACATCGACCACAAGCTCCAGTATGGCAGAGGTCGACGATTCGCAAGCGCAAGATATTTCAGTGCAACAAGATCAGCAAGAACGCAGAGAACAACGCGTCGAGGGGCCCTTCAGCCACATTTACGAGGAATTCCGCGATTACTTTGGCAATCTCGTAAGCTTGTCCCTCAAATCGACGGGGATAGCCTCTCTGGTATCATTAATAATTTCTAAACTTTCCTGTTGTTGCGTTGGGATCATCCCTGTCCCAGGCGTTGGCCGTCAACCCTCCATGTTGACGTCTGTTTCCCCGCCTTGTTCATTAGCAGGCTACCCCGTCGATAATTAATCACAGTAACATGCTTCATGCTGATGCCTGTCATAGATCGATGCAGTGAATACGCGAACCAACGAGCTCACAGATCGCAATGAGGCGCTGGAGGAGCAACTGGATACTTTACAAAGGGACTTTGACGTGAAGTTTCGCGAATACTCAGCAGAGAAGGAGCGCATTTGCTGGATTCTTTGGCGGGCCGCTAATCTACGCGTCAACTTGTCGCGTAGATCAATTCGAATGGACGAAGCTTTCAAGCAAATGCAGGATGATGTGGATGTCCTCGTGCAAGAGGTTCGTGGGTCACGTATCATTGAACCTCGGTTGACATTTAAATAGACTATGCTCTCCGATGCCGTTCGTCGACTACTGGCCACGGTGGTAAGTTCATCCGACCTGTAAGCTCGGTGTTCTAACGCATGAATGTCTAGCTCACCCGCACCCATGAACAATACGATAAACTCGAGGCATGGAATGACGGGGTGCTGCAAGATCTTGCCAGTCTTGAAAGCGATCATTACATCCTGAAGAAGAAGTATGCCGCACTTGCATCCGCCTGGCAACAGAAGACTGGATTACCTCTTCCCAAACGACAGACAGAGATTGAAGAGGAGCAGAATGGTGCAGCCGCGAGGATGCAGGAGCAAAAACGTCACCTCCAACAACAACGCGAGCAAAAGCTCGTTTCTGGCGAGTTTGCCCCGCTACCGGTGAATGTGCCTGTGAACTGGGCAAAGTTCGATCCCAAAGACTTCACGCAATCCTTGTAGAGTCCTTGGGAGCACAAGAGCAGCGAGGTTTCTCTCCTATTCGCAAACGGCGCACGCAAAACGCGGACGGTGTTCAAATACCGCCTCCAAAACCATCGGTGACCGCGCTCCGTGCCATCTTCCCCCCACCGCAGCCGTTTGAAGCAGCTAATCTCAACCACAATCTACGACAGCGAAAGGTACCGGCGAATACCCAGAGCGATTCTGCAGCCTTGGCACCAGCTGCCTCGGTGTCCAACCCTTCCGGCCGTCCACCCACAAGTACAGGTCGCGCTGCAAAGCACAACGGTGGTGTTCAATCTGGTCCTTCGTCGAACGATGCCCAAGATAGCGAGAGCGAGAACTTGGAACCGGATCTCCAAGGCCAGGTCGAAGGACTTGGAGAAGTGCTTTTCAAGCAGCAGGCCTTCAAGCCTGAGGAACTCCGTGAATATCGACTTAGGGTCCTTGACCTCCACACGAAGGTGGAGCAGCGAGCCATCGAAGTCGGGAAGAATTGCGGCAAAGACGATGAAGCTCGACGCCTTGATAGACGCAAACGCTTGGACGAACTAGGCGGCAAGCTACAACAGGAGATGAACGTCAATCTCGGCTATTTGCCACTTCCAGACAAGCCCATCCCAGTCCCACGCTGGAGAGTCACCCGAGTCAGGGAGCCAGCCATTGCACCGGCTGATCCCGTAAAGACCGAGTTTGGTGAAATTGACATCGACACCATTCTCCCCCAGCGCATTCGAGACTGAAGCCCAGGGACCGATTGATTCGACCTCAGAACCACGTGAGGAGAGTCCTTGGGTTGACGATGATCCTCATGACCCGCGACGAGAGGAGATATTTGCACGAATATTGGATAAGCTGGAGCGCAGGGCGCAATTGATTGAAATAGGCAAGCGGAAAGCACTCGAACTTGACTCGGAGGTGGAAGAAGCCGCATTTGAAAGCTCTGAAGACACCTCTTCCACGCCTCAAGCCAATCCACGCAAGTCGAAGCGTGGAGAGCGAGACAGCTACGAAGATGAGGAATCATTCATGTCTAGCTTTACAGAGGAAGAGGAGAAGAATCAGGCGAGGAAGAGGCGGAAAGTTGGCCAACAGAGGCGAGACGACGCACCTTACAAAGGCAAGATAACAAAGTCTGGGCAACTCGGGCGCGTGCGCAAAGTACCTGCCGCTGCCGCGAATACCGTTGCAGCAGCAGGTGGCAAGACGCTGAGCAAACCCAGACCCGCTGAACTGCCAAAGAAAAAGACCCAGTCCACTCTACGCAAAGGAAAGGGCAAGCCAACGGAACCTCAGATGGAAATCAGGGTGCCCAAGGCTGTCGCTGCCGTCTTTTCGGAAAGTAGCACTTCGTACAAGGACGATTCTGAAGATGAGCCAGAGAGTGAAGAACAAGAGGTAGCCTATTGCGATACCGAATACCCTAGTACTGACTTTTAACAGTCTGAAGAGAGTGACCCTACCTGGGAAGAGCGTCGCAGCAAGACCCGGCACCCAACGCGTCGGCCCGCTACTTCCAAAGCTCCATCGACCATTAAGAGTAGAGCTAAACGGAGATAATGGAGGCCGATGTGATGCTACGATCACAGCACTTTCGCCATGATTGCTCACCGTCGAGCGAACGTGATATGCGATTCATTCCTGTCACTTGTTACCACGAACACCACTGCCACGGGTCTTCGACCCTCTCGCGCGGTGTTCGGGGTTGCGGTGAATCCGGAAACGCCACCGGCATATTTTATGCTACCTCGCGTCCAGTATCGCTAGAGTTCGCTAGAACAAGTCAAACCATTGGTACTCAACTATTTCATCATCGCTGCAGTCGTTCATAGCCCTGTCGCGTTGTTGCGGGGATTGATCAGGAGTTGGATCGGAGTGGCTCATGCGGGAATTGATGTAGAGTACAACAGACACGTTGAATTTAGTGGCTTTTTGCCCAAATTACTCTGTATTCAGGTTATGCATGTGGCCATGGTTTCACGACAGCGATTGAACCTAGTCCCTCCCTCGATGGTTCGTTGGCCTTGGCTAGTCGTATTTGCGGCCGTTTCCTCTGCCAAAGAGCTCATACAGCTTTCTGTCAGCGAATATCAAGATGGGACGTGCGAGCTACTGTCCATTCGTACTGTTCAACACCGTCGAGAGGGCATAAACCCCGCGAAGACGCATGTGGAGCGACAAATACAGCCACAAGAACCAGGCAACGAACCGTGGACTTTGCTGCGCATATATGGATCCTCCGAAGAGGAGGCACTGGCACAACTCGATGTAGAGTGCAAGCATCGACGGGCTAGGAAATTTGACGCCAGCAAAGGGATTGATCCAGAACAGCGCGTTATGGGATTTAGCGAGCGTCTTTCTTGGGAGAACCCACTTCCTCCGCCACCGTCGCTCATCGTCAAGCCTCTCGTCCTCTCGGGACCTTCAGACAATCGAGTGGATCTAGTCTTTTTTGGAGACGGCTGTGTGTCATCTTCTACGGAGAAAATTATATCTGAACGCTTGGTAGATACACCTTCTGAAGAAGCCAAGTTCTTCGCGGACGCGCTACGGCTGGCCGAAGACATTTCAGCGAACCAAACTTTTAGCTCTGTTAAGCCACTACTCAATATCTGGGCCGCCTATACTCCCAGTAACTTTGTAGGAGTTCCGTTTGTTTTTCGAACCAAAACTTATCAGCTCTAGAGTGGGATCGGAACAGACTTGGAACCGAGGGAGTGAGTTTGTGGGATAAAATATTTTGCGTATCACTGATGCGCTTACAGTACAGCATTCGGTCTGTATCGTGTTGGCACTGAGCTAAGAGCCATTTACTGCGCAAAGAAACCCGTCGCCAGAGCTGCGTGTGCATCGCTGGGCCCTGGTTGCAATTTTCCAATTCTTCTAGGTACGCGAGAGCGACTCTAGGCCACCCGGAGCCTCCTGACGTGCCCTAGCCAACAGCGAGTTTTACGGAGGTGAGTGCGGGCCGACCGTTAGGATCGGTGCTCATGCTATTCCGAGGTCTTGGTGGAGAGTTCAGGTAAATTGAAACACCTTGTTCAACCAAAATCTGACGACTGGCAGCATAACGACTTCGTCCGTTTTGAATGGGGCATTGGTGCTCCGGCACGAATTGGGACATTCGATTATTGACGGTGAATTTTTCCGCACTTCCATCCGCCAAAAGCTTTATGCTGAAGCTTCCCTCAGTTGGGGAGGAATACGATGGTGGATACGCATATTATGGTCCAAATTCATCTCCCATTCCTCCAACCATCAGCATCAAATGGTCGCATTGGCTTGACTCACCTGCCCCAACTGCTCGCGCCGAGCGCGCAATCTCGCCTCTTCAAGCATATCCCTGGACCATACTTAATGCGTCCACACCCTATACAGCCCTGTTTGACTCTTCCGGGCTCTTCAGCTGGCACATGGTCCGGTTCTCGCTGTCCGGCTTTCCAAAGAAACATGATCTGACGGTTTTGCTGGATGGAGAGAATATCGGTTGGGAACCAAGACCGGACATAGGTATGGATAGGTGGCACTACGATATCAAACGGCAGAAAGCTTTACTGCCCGGACAACATAACTTGACTTTCTCTGTGGCCGAGGATGCTCAAGTCAGTCAAGGCCAATTATGCAGTTTTGAGATTATCGAATATGGAAATAGCTCCGAGTAGGTAGCCTCGCGATACACCGGAAGTTTTGCTGACAGTTGGAGGTTCAATAACACCGAGGGTCACATCGGCGCTTATCCTACGTGAGTAACGCAGTTTAGGTCGTTTTGTAGAAGTATTGAATACTCTCCGAGTTTCTCTATGTGGAACGGAACAACGTACCGACCGACAAACGAGGGCTGTCTGATGCGTCAAGTTGTTCTGCCCTCCTTTTGCCGCCCGTGCTTGGAAGGCTTGTGGCTCCAACTTCTCAGACGCGTGGAATTGATCGATGATCTCACTGCCATTCGCGACCGTACCGGTAGCAATATCTTTATCCGAGCGACACCAGTTAGGCTCGGGCAACTCCGGGATGATCCCCCTGCAAACGCGGAGACCCTAGAAATTTCCTGGACAGTAAACGGAACAACACTCGGATCATTCAAAAACCAGACACAATTTATACTGCCAGTTTCCGAGGCCGTCGGTGATTGGACAGTCACAATACAGTTACATACGGACCAGGTCAGGGTTGACCAAAAGGAGTACCTTGTGTCGACGAAATCATTTAGGATCTAGTAAGGCTCTTTGCTTAGCCACAAGTCGAACGCTTATTCCTTCTAGAAGCATCACTGTCCGCTGTCACGGAGCTGAAATAGACATCGACCTGTTCCTGAGCCTTTAATTATCGCCACGAGTTTATTTGAGCGCCACTTTTGTCATTATATGGCGAACACTCCAGCACTGACACTGATGGGGCCGAATAGATCGACTATTTGCCATGACACCGGTTGACGGTCCCCCTGTCAGGTGCTACGGAACAAGAGCGCCTTTCGGGAAATCCTACGTTTGGTTGAGGATGGTCAAGTGTTCAACTGTCCAAGTGGATCCCTGCGCAATTTGCCTTGTCGTAGTGGTAGGAGAACGCCGCGCGCCGACTAGCATGGGTGGCGTATTGGATTTCCTCAGGAACTACCGCCCTTGGATTAACACACCGTCTCTGGGCGTCGATCAGGTATAAAGACTGCTCTGTGGCCGAAATGAAACTGGCCCCAGCGGCATAAATGTCATCCTATCTTGAAGTCCCTCGATTCGATCAAGACCCCCAAAACTTAACCCGATCACAGGCGTGGACAGCGTCAGAAGATAGCGATGTACGAAGCCACTACACTGTTCGCCACAAGAGTTCTAGGACATCGCTTCATTCGTATAGAAGCACAAGGGATTTATCGAACTTCATCACGGAAGTAGACGGTCGAGCAAGTAGAATTGATCCCGCGATGAAAACAAGCCTTACGCATCCCACAGATGTACAGTAGTATGAGCAATCTATACATGCTTCCGAGCGGTACGTATTTTTATTCAGGTCTTCTGGCATTGCTCAATCTGTCTAGATCAAGAAGAGTGGACAAGACTGTACGCGACGTTGCCGACAAAATCCAACCGTACTGACTTCAAACCAAGGAATATTCTTCATACTTGCTTTCTGCTTGGAATTGGCGAATTATACCCAGAGGCGCACCTCGTCCATAGAAAACTGACATCTCAAGTGCCGAACGAAAGGACAGTTCTCGACCTCGGTAAGAATTTCATTCACTAGTATGGCAGATATTGACCACCCTAGGATGTGGAAACGGTCAATGGTACGTTAGCCGAGGCAAGGGACTTCTGGATCACTCAACCACGGCGGCAGGATGACTGAATTAGGACTTAAATTCCCAAATGCTGGTGTGACGGGGGTGGATCTCACGCCGTGTCCACTCAGACCAGACACAAGTGCCAACTGCACATTCGAACTTGACAATGTCGACCTCGGACTATCACACTTTTTTGATCAATTTGACGTCGTGCATGCGCGATGTATAGCCCTTGGAGTAAGTTATTCCCCATAGCGATTGCAGCGGCTGACGCCCAGCAGATATCTGACTATCGACGAATGATAGAGGAAGCTGTCCTATGCCTAAAACCCGGGGGAATGCTAGTGCTGGTAGAGCTTGACTGGCAGGTATACGAAGAAGACAAGAAGACACCAGCATCTGAATTTTCCGAAGCCTCCCTTAGTGGTAGCGCATTACAACGCATATTTCGGGGTGCTTCCTTACTATATTTGATGCTTGTACCGTGCTGATACCCCATCAAGAATCGAGAACAGCAACCATCCATAACGGCAGCGGACTAACTCAAGCCTCTAATGCACTTTCCGAGGGTTTATGGGCCTGTACGCTTGCCGACCCGCAGACGTACGTATATTAGGGATGAATGTGCCCGATGGTACTTATAAGTTGGCAGTTGCAAAACAGCGGACCTCTGGTTTCCAATCGGCAATCACAGTGATGGCACGAGCTCTTATATAGTGCAGTACACAGCTGATATAGCTAATAGTGACGGCAAATTCCCGCCGAGTGCAGATGGCAGCTACCTTGATGCGGCAGAATCTAGCGGTCAGTCCCTTGCCCGCCTCCCCGTGGATTCTCAGCAACTCTATTTCCAGGCTTTACATCGAGGGCTACATCGTCTCCTGAAAGACTCGGGGAGAGCCCCTGCTGAACTTGAGACCTGGTCGGAGCTGGCTGATGCAGGTACACCACAGAATCAGAACCGTGATTATAACTCACAAACCCGATAGAGTTGAGCAGTACCGAGAATCTTCGCTGGGTTCGCTTTCAATACTGTTGGGGTCGGCGACATTCAGGCCTTGACGAACCTGTAACTCCGCCAACGACCATCGAATCAACAGAGCAAACCCAACGAGTCTCCTTTTCGATCCCAGGAGAGATTGGATCTGCAGCGACAGCTCACATTCAAGACATTCACCAAGTACTGGCAAGCGATCCCGCCTATCCGTATTTCATTGTCTACGAAAAGCAGGCCGATTCTCTTAGAGAGCGCGAATAGCATGCTACTGGGTGTTTTGAGTACGTTTGACAAACGAAAGCATTCAACCACCGGAGTGGTATAAGGGTTTAGAGTTTGCATGCAACCAAATTCTTGCTAGCCACACCTGGAAGCGATGAGCTACGCGTAGTCTGGAGTCGGACCAATTTACCATGAATCCAAAGGGTTCTCTTTTTACTATCCCACACAGCGCTTGTTGCACCTGAGATCAATGTTCCGTTCGTCTCGAAGATCTGAGGACATGAGGATATTTCATGCAGCAGCTTGCATTTATGCGCACCTTTTCGACCTTGTACTTGTCGCCAAAGTACGCACCGGGATCGATGGATATCTTGTGAACAGAAGAGGGTTCAGGTAGGTCTCTGGTGCCTTTGTATATCCTGTCCTCCAGTGATAAAGCTTTGGGAATGTTGCGACGTAGACAGAACCTTGCTCGTCTATGCTGAGGTTGTCCATCGCGTGATCTGTTTTATCGTTTGTGGACATCAAGCTTGGAAGATCGGAACTCACCCATGTTCACGGTATCAGACAGAACCAATGAGTTATCCGACTGGCGCTCCATCACAAACAACTTGGCATTTGTAGCATGTCCTGCACCATAGAAGAGCTCTTGGTTCATGGACAACTTTGAAGGTGGGGCCCTGACAATGCCGTTCAAGCTTGGGATGCCAGTAATGGCAAACTTGCAGTTGCCAACAACAGTGCAATAGGTAATCCCGAGGCCCTCTCTCCCTGTCAGCAGCTCCATGGTACGTGCCTATATCATTATCGATTAGTATGACACCTCTGAGTCGAAAGAAGAAACAGACCGAGCCGACGCGAGCGATATGATCATTGGAGACCCAAAATCCCGAGCCATCTGGCTGCCCAACGACATCATTTGGTGTTACAATGTGCTCTGCATCTTCCACCGTGCGCACGTGGATAAACTCGTCGCTCCCAACTGTCGTTCGGAATATCTCCACACAACTGTCTGCACCATCGGTCTTTGGCGTTTTGGGAGGCAGTGGTGGACGGTGGTTGATCACGTATACCCAAAGGACATTAGGCTCAATGCTCGATTCGACGACGTCAAGTCCAACGAGATTAAGGCCACGCCAGGTAGGATCGTCAATTGGTAGACCCTTGAGTGTGACCCTTTTGAACGAGGCAGAGGATAGGGGTTGTGAAGTATCAACAATGGCGAAACCGTCGGGGTCCGTTGGTGGCTTTGGGGTGTCCAGGTTGTCGACAGTTGGACACCATTTGGTGCGTGATATGGGAGTCGAGCAACTCATGTAAAGCATTCCAGAGGGTCTATGGAGGACCATTTCTGCCAACAGTCAATTTACAGTCGCTAGCCTGCTTGGATGCGTACTTTCACATGCTTGCAGCTCTAAGGAAAAGCAAATAGCTCTTAAATCCCCATAAAATCATTGTAACCCACAACTGACCTGGCAGAGTGTCGCAATGCGCATCTCCAAGCTTCTCCACAACCCGTCCAACACCGAGTACAGTGACCAGAGGACCCAGCCAGATTGATAAAACTCCAATTGATATTGCAAATATGCCAGCGAGTCCCAGACCCACGACTTTGAGCGACATGACGACTATGGGGGCAGACGCCGTCGGGTAGAAGAGTAGAGTTGCCGGTACATGACATTCACGACCCACAATTGGCACTTGTCAAAATCCTTTATTATATCCCCATGACTTGTTATTCAATTACCCAAGATCTAAATCCTTCAAATTGGCTATCTACCAGTCCGACAATATCCCAAGTCCCGCGACTCCTGGAACACCGAACAACCATAGAGCAGCCAGCAAATAAGCTTCCTGCAATCCTTTTAGTTAATGATGCGAAACCAAAATGGAATCATGTACCTCTTTCCAGTCCCGTACGGTTGCAAATAACCACGATTGTCTCATCGTGCTCATCTGAAGCTGGATATTCGTCCATAGGCCTCAGTGCGTCCGAGTCTTTGCTCCAAAGCGGCAATAGTCGTGCAATCCAGTACTGGATTGTTGTCAAACTGAAAGGCGAGTTTCCGTCCTCTTCTGATCGGAGCCATGCACAAAGGAGGACGAGTACCCGTGAACGACGAGACAGTGCAAAAGATGCCAACTCGCATGGAGCAGGCCAGTCTGTAACGTTCGGCATTGGATTGAGATCCATACATATGCCCAATGAAACCGTCTGCAGCGACTCAGAGAGATTGGGGAAACACGCGTATCCAGTCCCTTTCCATCATTAGTGAGAAGTAGATACGACAGGTGTTTACTTACCAGGCTTTACCCATGGCAGGTCAGCCTCAAAGAGGTTTGTCTTTCTGTATCCTCCAATCCAGGCGCCATTGGGATCATACACTACAGCGCTGTTCGCACCAACGGCATGGTCGTCTCGCTCCTCTTCATCTCCTAGCTTCTCTGGATATCCAGCGATGACAAACGTTCGAAGGCTTCTCGCGGTTTCCTGGAAGAACTGGAGCGAGACGCCGGTCTTTGGATGCTCAAGGTACGGCGAGACGTCTGCTGGTGTCGGGAAGACGTAGCCTGGACAGTTTGTTACGACAGCCTTCGAGTCTGCAAGGTAAATACCTGTAAGTGCCATCTCTGGGAAGCAAAGAAGGTCCAATGAGCCCGGTTGAACCCTGATCAAACGTTAGTTGTCGTAGATTAGCAGCAATAGGGCTGTACTTTGTGAGAAAGCCTTTGACTCGCGCAATATTGTCTTCTATCTTTGTAACCTGAGGCGATTTCGAGTTCATGGTAGACGGTTTCCAGATAGGCGCTGCTGACCTTGGGATCATATTGCACGATTCCAATCCGAAGGAAGTTCTATTGGTTGCATACATCCTGTGGGGTGGATTTAGGATAGAGCGCGAGCTCTTCTGAGCCTTGCGAAGAAAATAGTGGGCGAGGTGTGGATCAAGGGATGCCGTATAGTCTGGGTTCAACCTGCATGACTTTGATTTCATCCTTCTCCGAATTCTTCGAAATACAATCCTTTCAATCCAATCCGCCTCATTCCTTTCTCTATCGGTCCCCTTTGCCTCAGCTCAGAGTGTGTATCTGAATCCTGAAGACCATTAGGAGACCTACAGAATCATAGCAAGTGATGGGCTTACCGACACTACGGTCGTAATTGTCAAACTTGAGCGGCGTACCCTCGGCCGGTCGACCTCCTTCACGCTGATCCCTCTTGCGATTCTCCGTGCGGAAGTAGATGGTCAGACCGAGTGAGATACAAATTGCGAGGAGATTAAACGCCAGATTGACACCAAATCCCTTGTGCCACTTTGGTCCTTCCCGCGAAGGGAAGATAAAGGCGGCAAGGATCGAAAGACATTGTCCGACCGAGTTGAGCATACCAAGTCCTGTAGCGCGTTGGGACTGTGAAGGCGAATTATTCGAGACCCACGCCATAATCCTATCGCGGTTTGTCAGCAAAAATCATGATCGAATATCGAGACATACAATGGGATCGCTGCATAGCCGCCTATTACCACGCAAAAGACTGCAAAATAACGAGCATGTTGGTTTTGGACCACCGTGAGCAGGATGATCCAGCCAATGGACGAGATTGTGAACACAGAGTCCGCGAACCTTCATACGGTCGGAGATAGCCGCTACGCTGGTCATGAACACAAGGGCAACCGCGTATGGGGGCACTGTATACAGTTGAGCATCTGCATTGCTATAGCCAAGGCTCTTGACTACGGAGCGTAAGTTTACGCGATGTGATATCTAGAACACATACCGATAGTAGGCAAGAATCCGCTAACACTCCCCAGAGTGAGATTCATGCATGAGTAAAGTACCTATGCCTGTTAAGTGATGCTTTAATGACGACTGTGATCTTACTGCAGTGATCCAGGCCTTTGGGTCGGTTAGTGATCGCTTTACTCCCTTCCAGTCTACTCCAGTGTTTCCTTCGTTGAGTGAATCGAGATTCAGCCTTTTGAGTTCCAAATCACGCTCTTCTTCCGTGAGGTATTTAGACTGCGAGGGTATGGAGGGAAGAAAGATGAAGACGCAAATGGCCAATAGAACCGAGGGAAGGCCTTCGATCATAAAGAGAATGCGCCAATGTGCGATGGAAGTGTGAACATGGGCCACGCCGTATGCGATGAGACCTCCGAATGCACCCTTGAGATGCGTTAATGGTTGAATAATACGATAGAAGCGTCGACTTACCGCGAGAACACCAGCACCAATGAAGAACCCGAGCCGCTTAGCTACCTCTGTTGATAATTAGATGAGGATACTGAAACTGAAAATATATATCCACCATCTTTTCTGTACCACATCGAATAATAGAGTGCGACTGCTTGGCCAAACATAGCTTCTCCAATCCCAATAAACAGCTGTATCCAAAGTCAGGTCTTACATTCTGGAGGGAATATAAACATACTCGACAAACTATGATGGAAGGATAGTTCTGTTACAAAGTAAATCATGAGGTTACAGTAGGCAGGCGGGCATACCTTCGCGCCAGCCATCGCGCTCGCAGCGACAGACCAGATCAAAGCCCCTAGCGAGATGGAACGGGACGGTAACCAAGCCTTTGCCAACAAGGTCCCGGGAATGGAGAGCGCGATATATGTGACTGCATAGATTGGTATATGACAAACGACGGGCAAGAGTACTCGCCGAAGAACATGGTCAAAACGACCGAATACTTGGTATCTGATCCACCAAGGAGCGTCGCTTGTAGTCCTTGAAGCCGCGCATTTCCAATATTCCCACGATCAAGGTATGCTGAAAGATACAGGAGTGCTGTAAGAGGCATGATGACAAGGTCGATTTTGGTCAAAAGTCGCCTCTCGTGCGCCTTTTCCTCGACTGTAAGAGCATCTTCGCCTTCCTTTTCGGTCGAACCATGGTCCGAGGCATGCTCGAGTTGATCTTCACGGTGTTTCTCGTTCATTTCAAAGACCTGTAACGACGCAGAGGAAGGACTGGGGATGAGACGAGCTCTGAGATGTCGAGAGTCTGATAGGTGGCTATAAGTAGCACAGTCCTAGTCGCATGTGATGGTGGGGCCAAACGTTGTGCCACATTCACTTTTCCAATTGACTTACCGCCGGCAAGCACCGGATTCTGTAGAAAAGAATTGTTAGAATTACAGAGAGTAAATACATCGAGAAACCCGAAGAGAATTTCAGCCCTTCGTGGATTTAAATGGAAATGCGCATCCAACTGACCCAAAAATGAACAGGACACGGTAGCTCGAAGCAAGTGAGAAGCTACCAGGCAGCCGAACATCAAGCCTTGGGCCTTCGCGGAAGAAGTTTCGAATCGGAGACCACTCCGGATGGACCGCGTGAGTAATGGTCGGTATCACTGTTCATCCCACTTGATGCTAGCATCGAGGTCGAGTCCCTAGTAGACCGTCGTTGAATGAGCACCGGGCGCACACGCTTGGGACCCTCGCCAATGAGTGAATTGTCTGGCGAATACAGTTGCGGAGACCCGCCCCGCATGGGTGGGGAAGAAGACACTTCGGATGCGGTCCGCCGAGGCGGTCGCCGCGGTTGGAAGATGGGTTCAGCAGCTAAACCGCGTGCAGAGCCCCGTCTACCTTTGGCGATATCATCAAACGAATGCATGTCGAGTAGAGCGCCGGCGGATCGATTCGCTACAGGGTGTTGTTCCATTAAGGAAGCATTTGCTCTCGCTAGTAGTGTACTCCCTGTCGCACCGGGGAGAAGAATGGGAACGATATCGCGAGCGAGTTCGCGAACGAGTATGGCACCGTCGGTCCGACTTAAACGCTCGACCACATCATACAGTCCGAAACGTTCGACAAGACTCGCCCGATCCGGGTGAATATCACAAATGGCCTTGAGTAACTTGAGAAGATTCAAGCGTACAACGGCCTTGTGGTGTGATAGTCTGTCGGTCAACCGTTGGAAGAATTCAGGCTTTGCAAGTCCGATCGTCACCGCGGTGCTAGCTCGAACTATTTTGAGCAAGGGGTCGAGGATATTCTCAAACGAGTTGGCCTTGGCAGTCGAGAAGCACTTGAGAATGCATTCAACGGAAGACGGTTCGGCTAACACATCTTCCACACGTGCCATATCGTCCTGGAGCCTGTAAAGCATCAGATTGCCGGTAGAGAATGCCCGTTCTCCCTACTCACCAAGATAGGATGGCGTCAAGAGCGCTAACCTGGAAGTATGGGTCGGATAGCAAATCGAGATAAATGTTCATGCCGCCATGCTGCCATAGAAGAGAGCGGCAACTCTTGCCTGCACTGGCAAGATCGCACAGAATTGGAAGCGCAAACTGCCGAAGAGGTGAATTGGTGCTAATGACCCGCTTAAGACATGGCAATATCCCAGCCTGAGCGGCTTCCTCCTGTCGTCCCTTGTTGAGCCGACAAAGGTTGTAGCATGTTTGAATGATGTGATTTGAAATTTCCTAACAGGGCGTCAGCCAGTGCGGTTGAAGGTATTTGTTGCTTACAGTGCTGTGCTGACCACCCATCTGATTGGCCAAAATAGTCACCAATATCTCGATCGCGTTGGTATTCTGTAGCACGTCCAACAAAGAAGGGCTCATTGAAAGATGCTTGATTGCCTTGAGTAGCAGGACTAGGTGTTCAGGCTCGAGCAGTTCGCAACCGCGCAAGAGTCCTTGCAAGGTTCAGCAACTGGAGTAGGTTCCACAGACAATCACATACGTCGAATAACCTTTCGTGTTCCAATCGCGTTTCGTACGAATGCGTCCGATTGGCTAACCTGGCAGTAGACGACAATGATTTGCAGAATTCTCGTCTTCATCTCTGATGCTCTTAGGGTGTCCTTGGAAGAAATGACGTTGAGCAAAGCCATGGACAGGGGATCGAGTAGTCCATCGCGGATGAACATCCGGCAAAAATCATTCTTGGGTGTAGGAGACTGCAGCTCAAACACGCTCCCAATACCATTGAGAGCGTGGCTGACGAGCTCGCTCTGCTCCGCATAGTCTTCGTCTAGGATATCGACCAAAACTCGTAAACCGCGGCATCTGAGTGACGTGAGGATCATCACCATAACTAAGGAATTGACGTACGAGATGAACATTTGCAGTGTGAGAACGGATGTATGGCAGAGCAACTTGATGATCTTTGAAGCTTCTAGTCGGCACTCCGAAGAGTATTTCTTGGTCGTGAAACCTGAAGTCGAGTCAGGTACAACCACCCACAATACTATCAAATACATACCCATGAGGACTGGAATACCACTTCACAGTGTTAAGCAATTTGTACGACTACCAAGTTCGACTTACCCAATCAGACAGAAACTCTCTAAGAATCCCAAGTCAGATGTAACAAGCTACAGCTCGGTCAGTGAAAGGCAAAATGGGTGCGAAAAGTCGTGCCATATTGATGATCTCCAAGAGGCGAATCGTGATATCTCTTGGGGCTTAGATTCCAGAACCTCCAAGATTGCCAGCATCCCATGCGAAGACATCAGTTGGTTCTGCATCTCCGGCGTTTCATCCAAGATTTCAATCTAGATGGTAGTGAGTCACCAATCGATCCAAAGACGGAATATGGCCTACGATCTGGTCACACGCTCGACGCAACGTTGGCTCTGCACTATCTGGAGAAAGATCTTCGATAAACTGGTTGACTTGAGAGCAGAGACGCGCGTGTTTGTCTCGTTGTAGATTGGTGTCGTAGTCATCTATCGCAAACTCTTCGTCGATCTGGAATGAAAGTCGGCTAGAGCCCATTAACGCCATCAACACATACCTCTGCAAATGGATCTTCGTCATCTGAAGTGTCCCCATCATCTTCCGCAATCCAAGACTTATTGGAAAGATTCAGCTTGAGCATTTGCATGGTCTGTCCAGATCCTGTTCTTCTCAGCATAGGGAAGTTGGAATTAGGCGGGGACATACCAGATGCAGGCACTTTTCCGAACACATCTTCGTAGTCTTCATCGTCGTCTTCAGTATACCTCTCGAGTTCGGCTTGACTCTGAATCTTCTTCAACGCCGATTCGGATGTAGAGCCTTTGGACATGGACGAAGGAGGCGTCATGGGGCCGTTGAACCGCGACTGTGACGAGCGACGACTGATGGGCGTGTTTGGAGACGGCAGATCGGAATGAGATGACCGCCTCGGCAGCGATGGTAAGGGTGCCGATTTAGGTGGAACAGGTGACAAATTCTTCGGAGAAGAGGATACACCGACAGTCTTGATATCCTCTGGGAAGAATAGTCCCTTTCTCGAGCCAGCCTTCAGCTGTACCATAGTCAGTCATTTCATCGACTCTTCCTGATATCTCACCTTGAATGATTCAACTTTACCAAACAAGTCGTCTTCCTCCGCATCGAAAAGATCATCATAGCCTTCTTCCGCCAGGCCAGGCAAAGGTTTTGGTGCCTGCTTACTGGACCCTGCAGGCGGTGTGATATCTAGGCTATCCAAGGGCGATTTCTCTTTCACGATCTGCGGCGGTAGAGGCGGTACTGGAGGCGTGACCGGGCGCGATGTCTGCTGAGAAGGTAGTGGAGGTACTTTGGGTGGGATGTTCTTCGAGGAGAGAGTCGGGCTCTCTGTAAGCGTCGGCCGAATAGTTCGAGCATTGGCATCTTCCCGCTCAGGTGAGGTCACCTTTGCCAATGGCTCTTTGATTACTGGAGGAGCCTTGCTCTTTTTGGTTGGCGTGGCTTTTTTAGTGAAAATGTTTTGCTTAACCGGTGCCTTGGCGGGTGCAGGATCAGGTGTAGGAACCGTCTTGAGTTGCAACTTGGTGAGCGTGATATCCTCTTCAAAATCATCGTCCCAGTTGTCCGTCGCCTCTTCAATCTCTGGAACAACCATAGGCCGCGCTACAACAGGAGCAGGATTTGCGAGCGGTAACAGGTTGGGAAGGAGAGGGAGGCTGGCCATGCCTGCAGACGAACTTCGCGAACGTGCAGGAGGCGATGCCAGTTTCCATGTCATCATTTCTGCAACCTTTGCCGGTGGAGGTGTTGGAGAAGGTGACCTCACGCGTTTCGGCTGTTGCGGTTTAGTGGGTGATTTGAGGGCCTCATTCCACTGCTGTACTCTCTGGACAGCATCGTCATAGTTGTAGTTATTGCTGAGTGGGCGTCCCTCTGTCGTCTTTTCCCCAGTGCCAGTCGGTGCTGGCCCGTTCATATTGTTCATCTGCTTTTTTGCTGAGATCATCCATGGATGGCGAAGGAGCTTCTTCGCACTGATTCTGAGATTGCAGTCCTTTTGGAAGCAGTGGTAGAGAAAGTCCTTTACAATCTGTAGGAGGCCAATCAGACATGAACGCGTACCGTAAATCAAAGCTTACGGGTGAAGCACCCTCAGGAATGGGAGGACAGTCGTCCTGCACGATGCGGAAAAGAGCAGGCATTGGGTCCAAGAAATGGTAAGGAGGTTTTCCTTCCAACAACTCAATGACCACACATCCAACGCTCCAAATGTCCGACGCAGTCGTCGCACCAAGTTGCTCAATGACCTCCGGGGCCACTTATTCACGTCAGAGTCAAATATAACGATGATCGTGTACTCACTCCAGTAAGGGCTGCCAACAACTGCGCTGTCGCTGACTTGGGCGGTGGCGACACCAAAGTCGGCAAGCTTGACGCATCCATCCTTGTTCGTGAGAATGTTTGCCCCTTTAATATCTCGATGAATGACACCTTGGTCATGCAGGTACACGAGTCCATGTAAAACTTGAGAGATGTAAACCGCAACGAGGTTCTCCGGGAACTTTCCAAAGCGTTTGCAAATGTTATGCAGAGATCCGTTCTCGCAATATCTATACAGACAAGTCGTTAGCATTGCGATTTGCAGAATGGGCACACTCACTCGAGAATAATATTCAGGTATTCCGGCGTCTTGACAAATCCTTTGTATTTGACAATATTTGGATGCTAGAGAGGGAGATAAGTTTACCGATACCGTATAAAGCCGAGAACAAGAAGCTCACGTTGAGGTTCTTGAGCAAATCGATCTCGGCCTATTGTTGCCATCCATCAGCATAAAGCTCGCAACGTGGTCAAGACACAAACCATAATCTCGCCAAGGTCGCTCTTTGGAATGTTACTGAGCTGTATTTGCTTGATGGCCACCGTCTCGCCCGTCGTCCAGTTCAACGCGCCTAGTCGACGGAACATCAGAATTTATTGAGCAGAATATCGCGTATGGGAGATCTAAACTCACGAAACACTTGGGCAAACGCGCCTTTACCCAGCGAATCTCCAAGTTGCTAGCGAGAATGAAAGATGCATCAGCCTTTGGATAAAGAAAATGTTTGAGAAGGATAGTAGTGTATGATACGAACATAATTTGAGAGTTGCTGGGTCATGATTGGACTTGGGCTGGGTGTGGTCGGTCGCGTTGCCATCTTCAGCCGACAGGGATCGTCCAATTAAATGCAAAGGTCGCTGAGTGTTCAAACGAGGCCCTTGGAATCGAGCCTGTGCAAGCGTCTTGAGAGCTGGGCGGGAGATCTAATAGACAGGAAGCATTGACCACTTTCGACCCGCCTACACGCGGCTAAACTCGTTGAAGCAGGCAGAAAGCCTCACTCATAAAGTCTATTATTCGGGCTACAATGACTAATCAACATCGTCCAATATATCCTCTCCGACAATCACAGTCTCGCCATCGTCGGAAAACTGAACGTTTTTCTAATGCAGTCAGTAAAAATGATCGTTGTGAGTGAGAAGAGTCTCACAGGGTGGTTGATTGTCTTGCCAATAAACTTGGTGTGACCTAAGAGTTGTCTAGTCGACGTCTACTCGACCAAGGTATCCCACTCACTTCCGTATGCCACTAGCTGACCAGAGGCGCTTCTAAACTCGGTTCTGGTATACGCCAGATTCCCTCCTGCCCAAGTGGATTAGCGACGACAGCGTTCCAAGTTCTTGCATACCGATGCCCGTGACGTTGCACTCCATAAAAACAGTATCTCCGAGCTTGCCCCCAGGTTTCACAAAGGACGCGTTAATGTCCGTGGAGACGCCTGCCTGTCATGGAGAGTCGGTGACTTCGGCGGCGGGGTATATGCATATCTACCATCCACTGGCCTTTGGAAGCAATTGCCAATGTGCCCATAGTGTCTGTAAGCGACAAAATTACGCCGCCGTGGAGTGCCTTTTTTTTGCAAAAAAGTGATCGACGAGATGACGGGCGGACGGAGGCGCAGATTAGCCGCTATCAGGCGCTGGAATAACCTGACAGACCTTTCCGCGGTTCACTGTACACATATGGTCAGCCAATGAAACATCGACGGTTGGGAGACTTGCGGTTATGTTCAGCAATCTTGAGCGAGGCTTTGACACGGCCAGGCGAGACTGCCTCCAATTTCAGATGGGGACAAACGGCGGTTTCGTGACCTTTTGTAATTGTCAGTTTACGGTAAATGACGAGTTTTAACGCGCCTCCATTGTCCAGGAAAGATTTCCAGACCTGTTAATTGGTCTCTGTTTCACATACGACGGCGTTGTACACACTCTTCGGGTGAATCGACCAACGGCTGCCATCAATTATCCGCCCAGGCTCGATCGTGAGTGCAAGAAAGAGCGTTTCAGCGTATTTCAGAGGGAAATAGCGGCCAACCAGGAGGGCGTCGGGAGCAAGCTCTGGTGTTGATCTGCACTTCGACCTTGCTACGACCGCGAGCGATTTTTGGAAAAATCCGGGGCGTCGTATTTCTATTCCGAAAGACTGAAAGGATATCCTCCGAGGAATTTGGCAGCGTTCCTCTTTGCATTCTCGTCCTCTCCGCCCGCCGACTCGGAGTTTCGTGCGCGGAGAACAAAGGAGAACAGACGACCGCCGAGCTCTTATCCAGTATTCTACTCTACTCTACAGCTTGTTCATCGCTCGTACGTTTACTTTGTCCCGTGGGCCTCTCCGAGCGGTTTCAGCTCACATTACTTCATCCAGCAGATTTCCACTAATTCCTCAAGAGGACCAATCCACATTGTCAATTCGGACAGTACCATTACTTTTAGCATTCCCGGACCTTTGGCGCGTCGTATCTCGTGACCAAAGTGTGGAGTTCCTTCTTCAGCCATGGCTCTCGCTGCCCAGCAACAACACCATTTCCCGACCGGAAATGGCCCCTATGATCCGTCTTGGGACGAAAGCATCGTTCCAGCTCTCCGCAAGCGTATGTCTCCTTCTCGTCTTTCAAGCGCCGTCTCTTCCTGTGGCTGCTTGCCGCTTGCCAATCGCCAACTCTATCCACAATCGTTTGCTACACACTCCCGCTCCGCATCTCTTTCATTATCTCCCTGGCTGAGGCTCGTAACCCACGCTAACCTCTTATGGACATGCCCGTCGTGTAGGCCTCCAAAATGAATCCAACATGCTCACCAAACGTCTCAGCACTCACAGCATCAGTTCGGCGGCTGCTGCTCAGCTAGCGAGCTCACAGGTTGACCATCGCGCGCAAAACGGCAAGCCAAGCTCAATACCGCGTCCTTCCATGCCCATGGAGAAGCAGAGCTCCACCTCTTCGACGAACTCTAACGCAGTCTCCATGAAGAAACGTCAACGAACAAACTCGACCCCGTATAGCCCCCAGGCGTCCGTCCCACTTCCGACCCGAATACCCAAAGTTTCCACCAAGGGAAGTGGGGGACCCTACCACCCATACAAAGCCTCGACAACGCCGAGTGTCTCAAGCAGCGTCAGTGGCTCGGTGGCCTCTAGGACCACACGGGGCAAAGGCATGGAACCTCCCTCACCTTCAGAAACTGGGATGAGTACCTCTTCGTCGTTGAGGAACCCAAGATTAGTTAGAAATAGCTATATCCCCAACGAAGAAGCCCCGTTTCCCAACTCGGCCTCGACGTCGACAGAGTTTCAATACGAACAAACCCGGCTGATGCACACTCCGAGTCTCAACGCAGGCTTGCACAGTCGGTATTGGACCACAGGAGCGTCTTCAGACCGTCCGAGTCTCGACGAAGTCAACGAGCCCTCGGATGGCGAAAAGCCGTTTGAACATTGGTACCGTGGTGAGGCAGCGCGGAACGGTGGCGTCGGCGAGCTCAAGGTCGCGCGTTCGGAGATGTTGGAAATTGCCCAATTCGGGCACAGAAGCTCACCCCTTGGAATGTATTCGACCACCGGAGGGTTGCGAAGAAGGGCAGGAAGCATGGACGAGAAGCGGGAGAGCTGGATCATGGACGAGAACGCGTTCAAGATGAGCAAGGTCATTGATGAGAGTCCCCTCACCGATATTGAGGGCGATGATTATACGACCGAGGGCGAACGCGCATATCCAGCTTATTCTTCAACGAGTCAACCGCGTGGAATCGGATACAATCAGGGAGGGTCGGCGGCCGACTTGCAGGGTGATACTCTTGTACACGAAGAGGACGCGCTGATGAGCACGACGCCGACTGCCCTCAGCTCGATGCCCTCGTCCAAGACCAACCAGGATATATCGATATCGTCGACTGGTCACGGTCAGAATTCGACTCGGTCACAAATGTCTCCATCAGGTTCGAGCAAGATACCCCTGGGGGCGAGCAATGGTGCCAATACGACTCCTGGCAAGGCTCCGTCGGTCAAGAGTACGGCTGCTGGAAAAGCGAAACCTAAGCCAAAATCGCAGAGCACCACCCGTCAGCGCTCTCAAACATCACCGTCGCAGTCGACAGAAGGACACGAGGAAGCCAATCAATCCGTGGAGAATGCGGAGAAAATTCCATACCGACTGCCACCATCAAAGGGCAACTGGGACGACATTGTTCTACCAGCGATATCCAAGAAGATGGGTATCGAGGGCTACGGTCTGAAGAGCGATGGTGGTATTATGGAGATTAGCGAAGAGGCTAGGCGACGTATGAGTGCTATCCCCCCACCGGTCAGTTCTCTTCCCGTCCCCCATGACACGAAACTCACCCACGACAGGTACCTGGTTTGTTTGGTTACGACAATTCCAAGTACAAACCACCGAGACCAGAGGAAGATATCCAGATGGGGGATCTCGTCGTCGCTCCAGAATCACGTCCTGCTACACCCAAAACTGCTTCACCTCCACCCCCAGAGCAAGTACCCGCTCGAACATCCAACGGTCGTGAATCTCCGCTTGCATTCTCGCATTACCAGACGAATCTCCCACCGCTGTCAGAAAAGCCACCCAAACGAAAGAGTCAGGTGCCCGATATCAAGATTAGTCACCCGAGTGCAGAGGAATTGGCCAAGCACAAGGTAGAAGAGGACAAACACAGTGGTTGCTGTGGATGTGTGGTCCAGTAAGATGCTCCGTTTTCTACAAGATATTGGACGATACAGTTGTACGATAGGGGACAAGGTGAATGGCGTCCCAATTGTTTCGGGCTTTTTCCCGTCGAGTTATGCGAGTACTCTCACGCGTACCCATACTCTCTACTCCCAGATTTGCGGACCTTGACGGCTCTTGTTGCGTCGGACATCTGTGGCACGTGGTGCTTTGTCGACGACGACTTGCTTTTGCCAAGACCCGTCATGTCTTCCCTCTCTCAAAAAAAAAACTCTACAATCCTTTTGCGCAATTCTCGAGTTACTCTCCTTTGGTTCAAACCGACAGCCCCTCCTTGTGTCTTGGTTCTTTCTCCTCTTCTCCTTTCTCGTCTCCTCTGTGCTGGTAGAAGATGTACATACGAGGTTCCAATCGACTTTCGATGCCCACAAACATATCTCACTATTGTCTGTGTGCAAGCAAATTGGTGGTTGGTGGGGCAACGCTTTGAGCCTGACCATTCCCTATGCGACGTCGAGTGGCGGGTAGATCCGCTAACGGGACCAAAAATCCGGTCTTTTACGCATGCTACCTTCTTAAGTCCGTCAAGTCGCCAACTGCGACCGCAACATACGTATGCCAAGAGTTTGTAATACAAATAGGAGGCTGAATGCAAGAAATAGATAGGTTCGACACTTCATCCTGTGCGTAGATTACGACAGCATAATGGGGAGCTCGTATCTGGAGCACGAAGGACGGCACGGCATAGGCCGTGGGATATGGCCATGCTCGTTCATGGATTCCCATCTCGGTTGGCGGCATTGCAGTTTGAATGGGCGTGGCAGCATCCGTACAAAGCGAGGGCACTCAAAGACGAAGATGGTGGACGACTTATTTCGCGTTCGGTAGGACTTCGAGCGCATGTTAGGTGAGCAGTGACCTCTTTTCGGTGTGTAAACGGATTTATCTTGGTAGAGCCGTCCGTTTGATGCTTGCGACGCACCCGTACTCCAATTGGCCGCTTCATGTCAAGCTATTCTCTCTCGATGCAGTCAAGGCGTGGCAAAACGTGAAAGATGCGCCACCTTTCCCGCGTGGGTTTCAGAGTACTATCGAGCTTGAGGGAGTTGATGGTACAAAGCGAAGTATTCATGGGTCCAGCAGAACGGGTCCCATCGATACCCTTGACAGTAAGGGCTCATTTTTCACTGCGATGGACACTTACACTGCATAGGTGCATTCGTCCAGCAGCAATTCAGGACGTACTACGCCATCCTTCGCTCGTCAAAGTACAAGGATTGTCGTGTCTGTCGGTCGAAGATTGACATTGAGAAAGAGGTACGACTTGTGGTATAATATCCTGATTCCCGACTTAAGACTCTTAGGATCCTCTCAGATTTGCCATATGCACAACACCGTTCTGCCATACCACCACGCATATGACGTGTCTCGCCACAGCGTTTCTTCAGGATGATGAGCAACGCTCGTTGATACCTCGTGGGGGAGCTTGTCCAGGCTGTGGTACTTGGACCCTGTGGGGAGATATCGTGAAGGGCGCTCATAGACGTAAAGACGGGGGCACTGAAATTCAGTTGGACGAAGAAGACCTGAGCGAGGAAAACTTCTACCGACGAAAATGTTATGGAAGAGGTAAGTTTATAGATTCGCACAGACAGTCCTTATTCGGAATGACAGACAGATCTGCCCTCTACGAAGAGTCCATCAAAGTCAGTTTACGTGCAAAAGTCCCCAAGTAAGAGCACTACGACGAAGACGAGCTCGGCAAACGAGACCAATGCGCAACGGCCAGCAAAGAAGCCGACCCAACGACACCGACCCCGGAATAGCGCATCGAATAGAACCAGCTCCCGACGATTTGCGACCTCCATTAAAGCAAACACTACTCGCATGAGGATTCCAGAAGACTTTGAAGACTTTGGGGATCTAATGCGCATTGCGGACCGAGCCAATGAGTCGGACCAAGAGCTCGTGCGCCAGATGTCTGGCGTTTCCATTTCTGCGCCAAATAATTCACGCTATGTCTGATAACCTGTACTTTTATTGTGCTACCTACTCGTTACGAGCCATGAAACTCTCGTTTCCTCGAGAGTTCCCAAGCGAGAATTCCAAATCCCATGGCAATCATCCCACACCCTAGTATACTCCAGCCGCTGGGAGATGGCGCTGCCATGAGTACTGTTTCGACCACGAGCATCAGCACGATCGTGAGCAGGTTACCCACCGAGGTAAGGACTGGGCCCCAAATGGAGAGCAAAACCATATACCCAGCATTCCACGTCAATCCTGCGAGCGCAATGGCAGATATGGAAAGTACGATGGCCAACGGGGAGCCTGTAGCCGCCTTCTCCTTTGAAGGGTCTGAGAGAAATACGGGGAGTACCCAGAGAGAGAAGAGGGTGGTAACGCCGGCGAGCGAAGTGATGAAATTGGGGTAAAGTCCAAATGGCAAGGCGAGTTCGGCCTTTTCGAGTTGCCGACGCTCCTCTTCGACCTCTTCGCTCGCCTCCACAAAACCATCCTGCATCGTCTCATCCATTTCACCGCCTTCCTCATTGAAAAGCGGATGATAGGTGACGAGAGGTGAAGAAACTTCACGCTCCGTGTCATCATCCAGCCCAATGCCTTCTGCTGGCTCATGCGGAAGTGCGATATATTTCTTATACAGCACCTGAACCAGGGCATAGACAACGGAGGCAATGAGAGTCAGCACGTTTCCAAATAGTGGTGCTGAAGGAACGCTGGGGTCGGTTTCCCCGGTACCAGATTTGCTGTCGGATTTGACGCCAGAGTAGACCGTGATTGTCACGCCTACACACGCCATGACAACAGCCACGAGTTTGTTTGCCTCCAGTCGTCTCCACCACGAAGCAGGGTGGCTCCCAGGAGGGACAAGGATGCATACGGAGAACACATAGGCCCAAAAGGCGCTGGTGTTCCAGATTGCCGTCACATCACTGATTGACGCAAAGGAGACGGCGATGTACCACAATAATCCAGGAGTCGAAATACCGATGGTCAGGACGATGGCCAACGTGATTATATTCCTTGTTGGGAACCTTCCAACGTGCAAGTCTGCAGGGCTCGAGAATTGGAGGCGAAGTGTCTCCCTGATGAGAGATAAATAATGGTTGACGGTGTACGGCGTCGTCCAAGTAAGATAGAGAAGATGAAAAGGAAAGATTATGCTGAAGGTGGAGTGGGCAATATAACTGCGCAACGGTCAACGCAAGGTCTACATCTTTCGGATACTGACAATAATAGATATGGTTTGCGAAAGCCAAGCGTGGTTTGCACATACTATTATTACACGAATGTTAGTTTGTAGATCATGTATAACGGGAAAATATACCTGCGTAGCGGCGCTTTGGACCACGAATGCAATGAGGATCGCGACGAAGAGAATCACGGCTACTGGTCCACCCAGTCTTGGGGAGAATCCAGCAGGATTTTGTCTATGCTGTTCTAATAGCGTCGCGTCTTCTCGCGATGAGGATCGTGCACGGCCTACTCCGTCGCTGGCCATGCTCCAAGAATTCTAACCGGGTTGAGGAACTAGAGATGTTCTCAAAGATTATAGATCCTGATCCATATAAGCTTGGCCCAAACTCCCGTCGTAGTTTATCGAGCCGACAAGACAGAGTCCAACTTTGGAGCCGACCAAAACTTTGACTATCCTCAATGAACCGCATTGTACGGGTGTCGTCAAAACCAAACGCAATAATACGTACATTCTCGCAACAACGTGCTGTGAAAACAGCACCGAGGACTGCCGGTTTATCAACCGTTGCTCGAACTGGCAACGGCGTGCACGTCTGTGGGCCTGCCTGTGCTCATGGGCAAGCAAGAACACTCTTTACGACCATATTATCGCGTACAGGCAACCACAGAATGCTCGCTAGTGAACTACCATCGACTTTGTCGACCTCTTCAACACAAGTTCGAGGGATGAAGGTTCGATCCGCCGTTCGCAAATTTTGCGAGAGTTGCTCGGTCGTGAAGCGAAAAGGAAAAGTTTATGTGATTTGTAGCGCAAACCCGAAGCACAAGCAGGTGTGTCGATGTCGAAATGGCGTCGTAGGCAAAGCTAATGCCGCTCCAACAGAGACAGGGATAGGGCATGTTATTATATACACCTTTAGCATCAGCTATTTTGAATTCACTTTCATGTGCTGAGATGAAGGGTCCGAATGCCAGCTGAAGGCCACAGAGAGTTAGCAGACTAGCTTTAGAAACAAATTTCGGCTAGCCTTCGTCTGATATCGCTGGAAGTTCATTCACAGCCCATCAAAGTAGACTAGCTGGTCGCCATCTCTGTTCAAACCGATACATCATATGGAGATGGTAATGTAACCAAGAACCGATGGACACACGAGCGGAGACTAAGTTAATCATTGGTCTCGTGGAGGCCACTAATGTCCCTCTGCTTGTGCGACTATGAACAAACTGAGCGACCACAGAACATAGTAGGGCTCGTTTGTTCTCCTTCCACTATTTAGGAGCCCAGTGGCTCTCTATTACCGTGCTCGCTGATATACGAAAGAGTTTATCACCCCAAATGGCGAAAGGGTGGATCTCGGCCCACTAGTACTGGCGCGCAAAAGCAAGACAAGGTCCTGATGATAGTGGAGGCAACTGATTATCATTGTGCTCATGTCTGCTCAAGGATTCGACATCTGTAATTTATACCTCAACCAATCGAAGTTGGACCTCTGGGCTTATGACAACAGAGGTACCTGTTGTTCTACAAGCTCAAAGAAGTCACACGACGCTGCAGGCAATCACTCATTAGATACGACCTCTGGAGATATCCAAAGGACATGGTTTCGCAGCATTACCCACTCCCGTGCGAGTCCGAACCCCTCAGGCGACCCTTCTATTCAAAAATACTTCTCATTATCTACACTGTATAGTGGTGCGCTACTGTGGCGATAGCGGGCCCACTTGCCTTTCATGCCGAAGGTGTAGCTACACAGCACCCTGTACGTGCGCTGCTACATCGGTATGGTCCACGAAGCAAAGGCATATTCGATATGAAGTAAATGTATATAGTTCTCGCGGTGTCTTTAGACTATGCATTCATTATATGGTACCTAGAAAGCGAACAGATTCTCTCGCAGAGGAAGCGCGAGCACCGTCGCGACACCACATACTCGGGGATTAGGATCATCTTAACCACAGACAACATGGTCTAGCATCGCAGATTTGAGTACTACTTCTCCGGAGCTCTGATCTGTAGCGTATGTGTCGAGAACTGTCAATCTTGACCTGCCTGGGGGCGATATATTGATGCCACGTCGTTCAAGATTAGCTTATCTTCTTAAATCGAGCAAAATGCTCTTGGCGTTTTGTGCCATGCTCTTATGCATCGAGGGAAGCTACTGTGTCGGTCGTATAACGTTGTTGAGTGCTCGACAGCTCATGACGAGTTTAACGCTACTGCAGACCTTTCCACGGAATCAATCATCTTTTTTTCTTCGCAGCTGTGTGTATTTTCTTTTGAATATAAAGATACAATATAAAGAACTATTCTCAAATTTTGTTGTCCATGGCCCCTAATCGAGCTCTTCAATGCTCCTCTTCGAACTCTCTAGGGCCTCGTGAACCATTCGCACACGGTTCATTGGGTGTACGTCGCGTCTGCCAACCTTCTTCCACGGCAAATTTTTCAGAGCACTGTGGAGAGTTCCTTCAGGATGCTTCTGGTGCAAACCGATATTGTGGTGGGTCCCATGGTCGTTGGTCACCTTAAAGCCGTGCGCTTCTGCTTCATGCGATTCGACGCTGGGAGAGGGTGTGGTTAGGAAATCGGGCCTAATTGAAGATATTTAAGCTCACGAGTAGACATGCTTCGTTCCCTTTGGAAGGTGATCGGGGTTGGAAAACGTTGACAAGCCTCCACTGTTCAGTAGTCGTCAGCGTTGAAGCCTCAGCCAAGGAGGACACGCTCACCCATTTGGGTGGTAATGACCATCAGAAGGGTGGCCAAAGTCTTGATGCCTGACGCGGTCGCCGGTGACAGGAGTATGGCTGTTGCCACCTCTGTACAAAGTGACCGCGTTTACATTGGCAGCGAGAAGAGCAATGGCAAAGAGGGTGGCAGTCGTGAATTGCATGTTTCTTAGGAGTAGAAAGAAACTGCAAAGACGAAGTGAGCAAGTCGCAGGGGCTTGTGAACACTGATACTGACAAGTCGAAGACGGAGAAAGAAGAAGTGGCGAAAGAAGAAGAACAAAGGCTGCAAAGGAGAAGGAAGAGAGAACCAGTCTGAGGATTGGGAGCGAGACTACAAGCCTCCTTTTATAGCGCAATCTCCAGTGCCGTCTTCGTAGAGCCAGTGAATCCAAACCGAGGAGCGATGCATACCCCTCGGCCCTCGGGGATGGTGTTCTCATGGCTCAACCAGCAGATGCTTCCTTGTCACGCACTTCCAAGCCAGGGCTACCCCGGCGATGCATGCAGGAAGAAGCTGCTTCGGCCCCATGCCGCGTAAGAAGACGGTCACAATGCAACTCTTGTCTCCTTCAGCCAAGTGCCAGACACAATCGCGCCTTTTTCTTCGTCTTGCTCCAAGGTGACTAGCAATTACGCTGAAATAATGACAATTTAACTGACTATAACCATCTTTGTGGGGAGGAGTGCGATTCAGACCCTTCAATAGAATTCGGGCATGTAGGCTGTGCTGCCTCGGTTAGCACCGCTTTCCCTTCCCCTCCTCCGCGGGTGTGACGCTTGGCTCACCGAAGTGACCATTCAGCCTGATGCATACACAGTGCGTCGCTCTGGTGACGGCTCGGACCCGTCGTTCATCCGGGCTACACCGCACATGTCACTACTCTCGAAGTTGCTGTCTACGTTCAGTCAGAGAAGCGATGGGAAACAAATGAGGTCAATTTTTTTCTGCACAATGTCGCCTACAGTTCGACTTTCTTTCGTCATCAAGAGCTCGAACGAACCGCGCCAAAGTTTTCTATGAACATTGAAACGGGTACACCCCCTCGTAAAATCGTGCTCGAACTGGCCGCTCCAGCACAAAGGCAGTGACGCACCGTCGCCGTCATGTGCCCTGGTCCACAAGCTGTACGATGGGCGGTGAGACCAGTGTGCACCCTAGGCACAAAAGACATACCGACGATAGCGACGGGTCCCTTGGATGCTCGAATTTCTTCGTCGATAATCGCAGGTAGATCCGGTCTACCAGCATATGTGATATCATCAATGGCCATCGGGAACGCCGGTGTCGAGGTTCCGGACTCTCCGGCAACGACAGCGCATCGGATGGGAAGTGTTGGCTTCTCTTTTTCGCTTGGAGAGATTGGAGTTAATGAGGCCGCGATGTCTACAGAGCCACGCAGCGAAGGAACTTGTTCGTTTGCCTGAGCCCGTGAGATGTGAATTCGGATATCGAGGTCAAGTATCCCGAGTGCGCCTGCTGTAGTCGCTTTGATTATATCCACGGCCCATTGGAGGTCGCCTGTTTAGCTCTTCATCAGCCAAAGCTCCTCCTGTCCCCCACAAAAGGAAGCCCACCTCGAGACTTGACACTCCAGACGAATACCACACGCCTCACGGGCGATTGTCCACGTTTTACATTCCTAGGAAACGTCGAATAATGAGTTAGGTCCCGGCAGTTTACTCGAGGAACAGTCGCACGATAATATGTCCAGAAGTAGTGGTAGCGTGGAAGCGATTCCTGATCCCCCTGCAATTTGGTTTAACGAGAGTGCTCAAGACGAGCCAAAACTTCTCACCTGCAATGAATATCACAGTGGTAAAGCTGTTTACGTCCGGTGGCGTGCCATATGGCCCATCGACCAGTGTGGTCACGGCCTTGCCGTCGTTGTTGATCGCGTATTCGTACAGCTTCCGCGTAAATCCGTCCATCGCACGAATGTAAAACACCAAGTCTGTGGATTTGGCCTGTTTTCCGTCCTCGTCTGTGTCCGGAATATTCGCCAGAGTCATTGGGTGAGACTCAAAGGGGAGCTTGGACACGCCTGGAAGCGTGAGAAAGACATGTTGTCCCGCCCTCCATCGCATTTGCCGTTGAGGTAGCACCAGTCTCACAGAGTCATCGGCCACAAGCTGCACTATCGCCTTGGTCGACTGGGGATTACCGCGGTTGATTCGAATCATTTGTATACCACGAATGATGCGATCTAATGCCCAGAATCCAATAAGTAGCCAGAGGTACATGGCATCCCTGAACACCTATCAGTTCACGAAGTCTCTACGCAAACCGTGCTCACTCCGGCCAGTGATAATACATTGCGACAATATAGATGCTGTCTATTGTTAGTTTGAATTCCCGGTTCCATGATAACAACGTACATGACAGTGAAGATGTGGAGATATAAGAACGTTTCAAATCCTCTGTTGCGAATCGGGCGGAATGACGTGAAGAGAAGAATAGTAAATGCGAGGAGCGCTGCGATCCCAGTGTAGTTTATTGGTCGCGCCACTCGTTTTGGAGTGAGACGACTAAGATGAATGAGTCAGATGGGTCTACGAGTCAAATTCTACATACGGAAACTTCTCTGCGCTGTGAAGTAGCGCGACGAGGAACAGAGTTCGGCCAACGGCGCGATGCATGATGTTAACCTGTGAACGTCGTCTCGCATTTTTATGGCGCTGTTAACGGGAGGTATCTTACCTTTTCGTAGCTGAGGCCAGTTAGCACTATCAGAGGATCGTCAGCAACTCTTGATTTGTTCATGAGCCCGACGCACGAGTGACCAGGTTGTTCTTCCCAGAGAGAAGCGTCAGAAGAGGAGCCTGCCTCGATGCTATTGCAGCCGTTCTCTCCGCCCAGAATGCCTATATATATATTTATCAAGTCGTTCGAATGTGAGAAAGAAGTGGTACCCTTTGGCCCCCACGCGCTAATGGCATGCATTAGCTAGTCCGTAGACCCGAAATCGAGACGGACATACAATGGATAAAACTCCAGATCAAGACTGCGGCGAGGTACCCCGTCGTGAAGAAGACTTCTGTGAGCGAGAGCGTAAACGTCCGACCAGCGGGAATCGACCACCTGAATGAGATAATCTTGAATGCGGCCTCAAATGCCTCGAATCTTGTCTGCAAAGTCGATCGTAGCGCTGGCCCCGGTGCGCTGCCACTTTTTTCAGCCTCGCCACCCTCGTTCGGCGGCACAGAACGCTGTCTCATGAGCGATGCCTTGCGAAGGCGCGTGCGTATAATGTACACGATGTTGCAGACAGTGAGCAGCGCAAGCCCGGCGGCGACAAAGTACCATAGTTGTCTCGGGTACTCGACCTGTTGCCATCGTATGTAGGCCCGAAGAGGATTCACCGCGCGGATCGTGGTCGGGCTGGGAGAATTAGAGGATAAAGTGGTGGACATATTGTCATTTATCGCAGAAGTGCCGTGTCCGCCAGCTCCGTGGTCCATGGCGTCGTCGCGGGGAGGGGAAGACCAGGGGTGGAAGATCAGAGACTTGGTCTACTTGCTTTCTGTCCTAAAAATGGTCCTACATTCGAGTTAAATCGGCCGACGAGAGCCATCTAGACGAAGACACGAATCGCGTGAAAAGATTATTCACGTTACGGATGACAGTGGAGCATGAAGGGACAGAAAATCAATTCAATGCGCGTTATTCTGCGTCCTGTCCACCAGAACAGGCGTGGCTGCCAGCAGGAGAAGCGGCCCCTAGCCTGCCATTGGAGGGTTCTTAATCAGCCCATCACAATACAGTGTCTTCGGAGAATGTGTTTTTACATACCATTTCGGGTGATCTTGCGCATTAGAAGCTGCTCAGTCGCGCGCTCCCGCAAAGTGGTCGACAGCCAGATGCTGATAGATTGACAGCCGCAGACAGGAAGTCTAGACCCTAGCGCCACCGTTTTTGGCGTCACATGTTGTGAGGATCCCCTTGTCAAAGTTGGCTCGTCCGTCCGGCTTGGAGATCGGAGCGCCAAGTGAGCACGGAGATGACAATGACGAGGATACAGAGTAAGAGGGATCCTGGGTCGCCTTGTGGGCGTGGGCAAGTTGAGACCGGGACGAGAGCCGGAGGGGATTTGTTATCTGATAGTCGTTATCAGATACCGACAAAGCGCCATCGTACGAGCGCACCAAACATCCCTAAGCGATAAATATATACAATTAATCGAAGAATTATCCTTAATACTAACCGAGCTGCCAGTAGAAACGGCTCCAAGGTCACGGACAACGTACAAAAAATGGAACTAAGATGACGTATCAGTGCTTTGATAAAGAATGGTTGCATACACAAGGTGCTTGGGGGCTTCTTTGCCTGATTTTCCGGAGGGATGTGATATCTTCGAGTTGAGAGGGCCATTTTCGCCGACTTCCTCCATCACATGAGCTACATGCCCCGCTTTTTAAGCGTCAGAGACGTTGCCTCGTCAAGAAGCCAAGCCGTGTCTTGCGGAGCATCGCATGAGTGCCTGTATCCTGGCCCGGGGATCAATTAGAGTAGAAAGTAAGAGCAATAAAGTCTCACTTACACGGTCATGTCTCGAAGAGTGGGACCTGGGTGCCCCATCGGCTCATATGTTTGCGCAACGATTGATGTATCAACGTTGTCACACATAAAGATATTTTGCCTCTCCATCTGATTAATAAGCAGCAATTCATCTCCACAGGTGATTAGTGCCGCCTGGTGTTCTGGCGCCGTTGGAATTTGGACTTTGGGAAGATAAATCGTCAAATTACTCTCATATTATAAATTTTATTTATGCCTCAGTATATGGCTCGCCCGAAACGGCAATATCTGCTGTCGTAGGATCCTTATCCTGGCGAATAGGGCCGTGGCGCGATATCCAATGGAAGAGGGATGAATTTTTGAAGTTTGGGATGACTCAAATACCTATATTTGGATAGAAGAGGAGGGATGGCCTGTCGCTAATTATTGTATTCGATTTCTACTCCTAATAATTGCCATTTGCGTGGGATTTGATGAGAACATTGCTTCCATGATCACTTAATCGCATCTCTTCGAGAAAGAGGGGAGAATATAATGGAGATACAGGCCCTGGCCCGTGGTCAACACCTCGAGCGTGCGGGCTCGCGTTTGGGCTCGCGTTTCACAAGCTGGATATGGATGATCTGGTAAATAGTATGGACATTTGAACGATTTGAGACCAATTTTTCTTTGCTCTTGTTAATGCAATCTCTTAGCCTTTGCCGCGTGTGTTTGGTCCCGGAGAGTGGCAGACGCCTACCGGGGCTTGGACTCGCCCACCTTCACAATGTCATCTGGAACGTCCAATCAGCCGAGTAATGCGACCCAGAATTCACCAGGCACATCGTCCGCACCCAGGAGGGGGCAAGTAAACGATACGGCCATCGTTGCACTCGAATTTGTGGCAAATATAGCCGAGGCATCCGATAAACTCTCCGCTGTTAAAGCGATCTGTCGAGCAACGAAAACGGTTCTCGAAGCCGTTCAAGTGAGTCATCCAATTAAGCCAATTGTTGCTCGTGCCAACGTCCCTGGCCTTATAGGCGGTAGACAATAACGACCAAGAATGGGTCGATCTAATGCAACGCTTGAAGGTTTATGAATCAGCATTCAAGGAAAAAAGCGACGTATTGCAGCAATGTCCCTCAGACGTCGTAGACGATGAGTTTCGGCGACTGCTCGACCACTATGCCAAGTAGGCTAGAAATCTAATTTTTTATTCATCTCTTGATTGATTAATGCAGAGTCCTACAAAAGCTGCATACAACAGTCAACAATTTACGCGAGGAACGCAAGGGCAGACTCAAGTTCTGGAAAAGGATAGCCCAAGTGAAAAAAGATGCTGGGGATATCGGCAAACTCAATCGAGATATTGAAGATGGTCATCGCCAGCTCATGGTATGAGGCTCGGCTGCGGCTGCAGGATTTATAATCTCACAATTTATGAAGGAGGCGGTGAATTTGTTCATCGCACACCGTGTTCAAGCCATCGAACAGAAGGTAAAAACTCTCCTGACAGACTGTAAGTCAATATTTTTGGATATGAATCTCGTTGATTGTCTCAAGCCGACGCCAATGCTCTATTCCAACTGCCAATGGTAGCATCCGTTGCTTCCTCGGTTCATAGCACTTGCCTGGAGGGAACGCGTACGGCCGTTTTACAGATGATCCGTCGCTGGGCCGACGACAACACGTCAGGGAAGCCAATATTCTGGCTTTGTGATATTGCCGGCTCCGGAAAATCCACAGTTGCAATGTCTGCGGTTGAGTCCTGGCGGGAGATGGGAGTGCTCGGGGGGCGCTTCTTCTTTTCCATTGCAAGCAGCGAAGGATCAACCATTGACAAGTTCTGTTCCACTATAGCGAGAGAGTTGGCTCATAACATGCCTGAACTTGCATCACATATTGCTGCAGCCGTGAAACAAAACCCGGCTATCATGCGAAGTCCGTTCGAAGAACAATTTCGGAGGCTTATCCTCGGTCCTCTGAATAATCGACAGGAACGCGCGATTCTTGTCGTGGACGCCATCGATGAATGCAAGTCTCAATCACATCGAAGGGAGCTTCTCGACGCACTCGCTATGGCTGCCAATGAGAGCGCAAACCTGAAACTACTCATCACAAGCAGACCGGATTCTGTTGTCGAACACGTTTTGGGGTCACTCTCGATCAAAGCAAAGTTAGAAGACCGGCTTCACAGCGTCAATCATCAAGATAATATCGACGACATTGCACGGTATATGCATCAGTCACTATCCAAAGTCCTACCAGAGTACAAAGTGCAACAGCTGGTCGAAAAGGCTAATGGCTTGTTTATCTGGGCAACCACCGTGTGTCGGTTGTTCGATGCCAAAAGTAGATTCAAGACTCCTGAAAGGATCTATGACCACCTTATCTCGATGCACCAAACTGGAATGATAGACGACCTATATAGCCTCGTCTTTGAACGTATGGAGCCTCCAGCTCATGAAATTGTGTGCGAAATGCTTGCTTTGTTGCTTGCAGCATTCGAACCACTCACAGTCAATGATCTGGACGACCTCATGAAGCATTCCGGAGTAGAGGGAAGCGCTCTGGATTTGGTAACGAATTTGGGCAGTGTACTCACCCAAGACGCGAGTACCAATCTTATTCAGTTTCGCCATCCTACCTTGGTCGAGTACCTCCAACGACGTTGTACCATCAATCTAACCATCAATGACCACGATAAAATCTATATAGACCTCAACAAGGCTCACAGTCGATTGGCATCATGGTGTCTCCAATGCCTCAAGAAAGGTCTCAGGTTCAATATATGTCAACTTGAGTCTTCTTTCTATCTGAATCGGCAAGTCCCGGATCTTGACGTAAAGATATCACATTTCATCCCGCAAAGTCTTCGATATGCCAGTGTTTACTGGACATTTCATGTCACGGGAACAGATGAAAACTGTCGACGGACGCTCAAAGATAGAGTTTGGTACATTCTACAGACTCCATATGTTTTATACTGGATGGAGATTTTGAGCTTCATCAGGGGCGTGCCACGAGTGATAGCTGGCTTTCGAGCACTTTCGCGCCACGTAGAGGTGAGTTGCTCTGTCCCAAAAACCTCCCTCTGAAATATTAAATAGCTTGGGAGCAAGATCAGAAGCAGCACAATCGAAGTTCGACGGTTTATGATGACATTTTCAGTGCCAATTCAGGAGAGCGCTGCACACATCTACATTTCGGCGCTTCCATTTACCCCCCGAGGATCCATGCTACATTCTGAGGGCCTAAGATGGTTCCCAAACGTCCTCAAAGTTTCACAGGGGCTTGAAGATATGTATCCCAACCTGCCAAGAGCTATTCGAGGTCATAGTGGGGCCGTGAACGCCGTCGCGGTCTCACCAGATGGCTCTATAATAGCATCCTGCTCGTCTGACGCGACCATTCGATTGTGGGATACAGACACCGGACAGCCGTTAGGGGTGCCACTCCGAGGTCACCAAGAATGGGTCAAATGCATCGCGTTCTCTCCAGATGGCTCTATAATAGCATCTGGCTCGTCCGACATGACCATTAGGTTGTGGGATGCAGACACTGGACAGCCATTGGGGGTGCCACTCCAAGGCCATAGAGGACGGGTTAAGACCGTAACATTCTCGCCAGAGGGTTCACGAATTGCCTCCGGCTCGTCTAACGGTACAATCTTACTGTGGGATGCGAACACTCGTCAGCCTATAACAGCAGCATTACGAGGTTCCAGTTCGTCGGTCAACACCATTGCATTCTCGCCAGATGGCTCACGTATCATTTCTGGTTCATCCGATCGATGTATTCGCCAGTGGGACTCATACAACGGTCAATGTTTGGGAAAGCCGCTTCGGGGTCACAATAAGGAAGTGAAGGCGGTCGCCTTCTCACCAGATGGCTCACGAATTGCCTCAGGCTCGTCGGATCATACGATTCGATTGTGGAATGCATACACAGGCGAAAAGCTATGGGGTCGATCCCTCGTCCATGACTCCGTAGTCACTGCTGTGGGATTCTCGCCAGACGGTTTGCGGGTCGTCTCTTGCTCACGAGATAAGACAGTGCGTGTGTGGAATGTGGAAGGTGATCTCTTTGTGGATGAGTCCCTTCGAGGTTGCAAGGAGGCCGCCATCACTGACACTATCTCGCCGAATCGCTCACGGACCGCCTCTAGTTCGGAAGGTAGTAAGAAAGGTCAACTAGGCAACATCAAAACTGGCCATAAATTTTCAATGAAGCTCCGAGGTCACACGTCCCCAGTCAATACCGTCGCTTTCATCCAAGACGGCTCACGAATAATTTCCGGCTCCTCCGACAAGACCATCCGGCAGTGGGATCCACACACCGGTGAGCCGGTAGGACACCCAACGGAAGGTCACGAGGCACCCATCAACGCAGTCGCATTCTCGCCGGACGGTCAACGAATTGCCTCTGGTTCGCGAGACTGGACGCTTCGTATGTGGAATGCAGACAATGGTCGTCCTTTAGGAGGGCCACTTCGAGGTCACGATGGGCATGTAAATGCTGTCGCATTCTCTCCAGACGGCTTAAGAGTTATTTCTTGCTCCTCTGACAAGAAGATTCGTTGGTGGAACGCGGAGACTGGAGAAGCGTTAGGAGAGCCGCTTCGAGGCCACAAAGGCCCAATAAACTCAATATCATTATCGCGAGATGGCTTACGCATTGTCTCTGGTTCATCTGACAAAACAATTCGAGTCTGGGATGCGCACACTGGTCAGCAGGTGGGAGAGCCATTCCAAGGTCACCAAAAGGAGGTCATGGCCGTTGCTTTTTCCCCAGACGGATCACGAATTGTCTCTGGCTCGGCTGATACGACGATAATACTCTGGGATGCAAACACTGGTGTACGCATTGGGGAGCCAATCCGAGGTCACAGTGGAAGCGTGGTAGCCGTACTATTCTCACCAGATGGCTCTAGAATTCTGTCTGGCTCACGAGACAAAACGATGCGCCTGTGGCATGCAGTTACAGGTCAGTCGCTGGGACACCCATTTCGAGGACACCAAGATTGGATCAAATCTATCGCGTTTTCGCCGGACGGCTCTCGAATCGTCTCCGGCTCGCGTGACTGGTCGATTATGCTGTGGGATGCTGCAACAGGTCAGCCATTGGAGGCGGCGTCGAGGTCACAAGAACTGGGTCAATGCAGTATCATTCTCACCAGATGGCTCCCGCATCGTGTCTGCCTCGTCCGACACCACAATTAGAGTATGGAATGCAGAACCTGATCAGCCATTGGCTGAGCCACTCCAAGGTGACCAATACCCCCGGCAGGCCGCAGTTGCCCTGCCTCTAGATGGCTTTGAAGAACAAAATTCGAATTCAAACGGAGGTGAGCAAGATTTGGGCCTGTCGCTGTTGATGTAACACGACCTGACAAGTACCACTTAATGTAGCCGCAAATGAGCCCGGAGAGGACGCTCAAGACCAGGGACAGTCAGGTCTTGAAATTTCATTTCCCGGGGCCCCCTCAAGGATCCTTGTGCCAGGCTTCGAACAGTGCTTACTCTTGTCCGATGGCTGGGTGGAATCGTGCGGTAGATTCCTCTTCTGGCTACCACCCGACAATCGACATGGTCTGGAATTTCCACATATTCTGACTATGCCGAAAACGAGCCCGCTCCGTTCAACTAGCCTCAATTACACTCGCTTCCAATGTGGCCCGTCTTGGACGAATGTACGGAGGAATGCTCGCCAGTGAATTGTACAATCATTATTGATGCCGATATATTCTATTTTCTATA